GGTTCTGCTGTCTAGTCAAGTTCAATAATTAGTACTACACAAGGGGTCAAAAGTCCAAAGGTCTGAAATCAGGTCTGCTAGTGTGGAGATGCAGAGATGGTGGGAGAGTAAGGGAAATGAAGAGAAAGTGTCAGGATTAGCTTGGGGATATTAAGGAACATCAAATGAATGAGTAGCAATAGTTTTAGGTCTGTTAAAAACTGTGCTCAAGGGAGAGGGACTGATTCAGAGGGGCTTAGCCTCAGCTCATACACTGTGTCCCTTATCTGAGTATGTGCCCTTCATTTCAGATGAAGTCCAATGATGGTCCAATGAAGTCTAATGGACTTCCAGAGGAGTACAGGAAATACTCAAAGGAGTTCTCACTGCATAGGAAGTAAAGAGACCCCAAGGCAATACCTCTAGAGGAAACAGGATGGAAGAACAGGAGGACAGAGGACAGGACATCCAGAGGTACAAAGGACAGAACATCTAGAAGTACAAAGGACAGGATGTCCAGAGGTCCAGAAGGAATAGGGGCTACATCGGACTTTGTCCAATGTAGAAGCAAACAGAGGTAGACTACCCTAAGGCAGAGTCAGAGAGACAGGAAGTGAATGAAAGTCCAGAGAGAGGGTAAGTGCCAGAAAGGCAAGACTCCAGCCTAGGGAAGCAATCCCTAGGCTTGGGACAGAGACATAGGGGACAAATCCAACATCTGGATTTCTGGCCTAGGAAACCCATCCCTAGGCCTTATGGAAAAAGACAATACTCAGATGGACTGAAGTCTAGAAGATGCAAGAGCAATTCTAAGATGATATTCAGACTAAGGACTCTACAGGAGTTGTACAGGGGTTATATACTAGAGGATATCCAAGAGGATCAGTAAGCAAAGAAGTAAGGCTATGTACAAGCATGCAGAAACACATTAGTAAGTGAGATGGAACATAAGTAAATGAACTTAGAGATGAAACTAGTACAAGGATCAATCAGCAAGATGGAAACAGAGATAACCAAGAACCAGAAAGGCAGAGATGCCTAAATAAGGATAGGTGCAAGATCTTGGACAGAGGGTAGGAATAGATTCAGAGATAGTTACAGTTAATATCTGGAGGTCCAGAGATCCAGGGATCTAGAAGGCAAGGCAGAAACAGGACTGAGATATGTAAGGGGGTGGATGTAGTCTGGAATCTGAGGAGGTAAAGTCTGGATGTCTTGCTGGATAGAATATACATAGGGTGGACAGGATAGGGGTGTATGGATCAGGCTAGTAGTGCAGATCCAAAGATCCAGAGCTCAGGGGTAAATCTGTAGTGGAGCTAATCCTGCTGAGGTGTGGAGCACACAATGGAAGGGGATCTGGGAATGAGTCAGATGTGGGGTCTGGACATAGGCTCAGAAGGTGTGGGAATATTATGGGATCTAGGTCTGGCATATGAGATATGACAGGGTCAAGGAGAGCAGATAAACAGATATATTGGCAAGGGTAACTCTAAGGACTGGTATGGGGTGACCAGTATCAGGGATTTCTCCCTCCTACTAAGTGACAATTGTAATCCTGGTCACTCAACCCTATACAGTGGCTCAAAAAAGTGTCTCAATGTTTGTGACTTTTTGTGTAATTGCTGTATTATGAGCTAGGGTGTGAGAATATGACTAAGCCATAGGGAGGTGTGGGAAAGCTCTGCTTCTAAGCTTCATGTTTGATTCCTATATCGTGGGAATATTATGTTATTGAGTGAAGATATGGTTAATTTAATTTGGCGACTCATTAAGACACTTTTTTGACTTTCAGTTTGGCTAACACAATCTCTATAATTCTAGTACTTGGTGCTTCCTCCTGTTGCTCTAATTACTTCCACCACTGTTCTATGCATACTATCTATCAATTTGAGGCATTCCTCATCAATAATCTTGCCCCACTCTGCTGCAACTCTCTCCCACAGCTGAAATAGCCCCTATTATTATCCTCAGCTCTTCTAATCTGTATACCAGGCAGATTCCTACCAAAACTGGTCTGAGCAGGGTTACTATCATTAGGATTATAAAAAAGTCATGCCAGATAAGAAAAATATCAAACTAGATTGTCCTTTCAAGCTTATACCATATAACAAAAAATCTCTTGTTCATAATATTCTAACTAGGTAGGCTGCCAATGCTACTCAAGCCACCAAATTTATTAATTACATCATCTATGCTGCTCTCTCCACTCAAATAGTCAAGAATACTTCTAAGGCAGCCAATCTTAAAGCTGTAAACAGGCAGAAAAAGTCTTTCCTATCTTCAGCCTATAGAAGGAAGAGACCAGCCTTGGCTTTAAAGCCTCAATATTGGATTGTTGAGGACTGGAATAGGGCTACCTGGTCAGATGAGACAAAAATCAATAGGATGGGGTCAGATAGCTAGGAATATATGTGATGAAAGGCAGAAGAACTACTAGAACAAAAAAACTCAAGAAAACACTAAAGTATGTAAAGTAGGAGACTTGATGGTATGGTGTTGTATGAGGTGGAATGGAGTAGGAATTCTCTGTGAGGTGGGGGGGAGGATGAATGCAGAGCAGCACATTTCAATTTTGGAAAACTATCTGCTCAGAAGCATGCAAGAATCAAGAATTACTGAAGAAGACATTACCTTCTAACAAGACAATGACCCTAAGCATACTTCAAGTTGAGCATAAAATGGTTTGAAAACTATGGTATCAGTGTTCTATCATGGCAAGTCCAGTCCTTAGACCTCAACCCTAAACAGCCCTGGTAATTACTCAAGATATCACTTGTAGTCTATCAAGATCCTCAATAGGGGTTATTTCAGCTGTGGGAGAGAGTTGCAGCAGAGTGGGGCAAGATTATTGATGAGGAATGCCTCAAATTGATAGATAGTATGCATAGAACAGTGGTGGAAGTAATTAGAGCAACAGGAGGAAGCACCAAGTACTAGAATTATAGAGATTGTGTTAGCCAAACTGAAAGTCAAAAAAGTGTCTTAATGAGTCACCAAATTAAATTAACCATATCTTCACTCAATGACATAATATTCCCATGATATAGGAATCAAACATGAAGCTTAGAAGCAGAGCTTTCCCACACCTCCCTATGTCTTAGTCATATTCTCATGCCCTGGCTCATAATATAGCAATTACATGAAAAGTCACAAACATCAAGACACTTTTTTGAGCCACTGTATATCTAACTACATGAAAGTCCAGAGTCCATAGGCAAAAGTAGTAGTGAAATTGCAGGTCTAATGATATGTAGGTAAAAGGCCATGAGGTACTGTGGCCTGTGAGAATCTATGTAATAACACTGTCTACTCAATCTGTAATGGAAAATAACTGACTATGCACCAGTGGGGATAAGCGGGACTGGACTGGACATAGTAGGACAAGTGCACAGGCCTGATGCATTGGAGATACAGAGATGGCGGGAAAGTGTCAGAGATGGGTAGGAGATGTGTGGACTGAATAGGATTTGTCATATATTGCAGAATGGGGTCCTAGTAGGCCAGCCTAAACATGATCATCACATTGGGAAGTTTGTTTCACTGGAATAACCACTTGTGCAGTAGCAGCAACAAGAATACCAATGAGAAGTACAATATAGCAAAGCATTCACTCATGGACTGTCTACTGTGCCAGCTGGCCAGTTGGCCAAATGCAGTGAGCAGTGAGAAACCACTAATGTTACAATCATGTACACCCCTATTCATTTTCTCTCTCTTTACCTTGTATTACACCACAAGCTACATGATGCTGCCACCAGGCTTATCTCTGACTCATATCTTGTATTACATCACAATCGCCGTTGCCATTGCTAGATGATCTATTCTTGTTATCACTGACGTGTCCTTTCTTATCTCTGACTCATCATCAATCCCACACCTGCCCTAAACCACCTATATTCACTATATATAGTTGATGATGTATCTTGTAGTTCTTCACTTTAATCTTACTAGGTTTTACCTGAAATATCCTTTGCTAAAGACCTCCAATCTCTTGTCATCTGAACTGTACTTTAAGATAGAAGCACTCCTTCTGTCTTAGCTTACACTGAACACTTGACTTATTGTCTTGCATAGAATCTCGGCAGAGGTCCCAACTCTTATCAAGTTGTCTGTCATTAAGAACTATCCTAGTTCATAACAACTGATATAGGACCAAGCAGGGGCTGATGAGGAGGCTGTATATGAATAGACCTGTCCATGGTATAAAACTGATGGGTAGTACCAGTAGCACTAGTATTGAGTGTCAAACTACTGTATGCCAGTATGCTAGGGCTTACCATATTCAAATTCAGCTTACAGCTTGTCATAAACTAAACTTTATATTTCAAAATTTTGGCTTACACAATAGTTACTAAACAAACTCTAAAGTGGTACTTACACTCCTACTGACTGCTATCAACTGCCTATCTTGTGATACCACTAATGCCCACACCTGCCTGCTACTATGTCCCTCCATCTTCTTCAACACAACACCTGTTTTCAAGTCCCACAGATGAAGTGCCTTGTTGTCCTAGCTTATGAGTGTGTTAGCCCTCCTTTGAGCTCCAGCCATGCTGATCCAAATCATCACCTGTCATTTGCAGACTGTAAGTGTACCAATCCTGCTTCAAGCTCAAGCCATGCTGATCAAAGTCATTACCTACCATTCACAGCCTCTGAGTGTGCCAACCTCACTTTGAGCTCAAGCTATATTGATCATTGCCTGCCATTCACAGACTGTGAGTGTGCTGATCTAAGTTGTTGCCTGCCATTTGCAGTATGTGAGTATGTCAATCCTCCTTTGAGGTCAAGTCATGCTGATCCAAGTTGTCACCTACCATTTGTATATGTATTACCCATGACTCTTTACCAGCACTGGCACCTCCCAAGATAACAGATCTGTGTAATGAATTAGACCAATAGTCTCAAATGGCACTCAACTACATATTTGACCATCCCTGGTAAGTTTTATTCTATATCATAATTTCTGATAAATGGCCAAATAGTTGCTAACAGCTATATCCATTGATGTCAAATAGCTTTTTAGCCATAGACATCTCCTACTCTTGCATGTCCACTCACATCTCTCAGCCCAATCAACTTGCACACTGCTTTGCCCCAGCTCCTGGAGCAGCCTCAATCTTGTGAAGACTAAAGATATTATAAAGGTTAGTAATATGCCTGATATCAATGGAGAGGAGGAAGAGTTCAAGGATGATTGGAACTGCATTTCAGATGTCACTGACCAGTAGCTACTTATGTGTGTGTTGTAAAGTATAATGCATTTTTGTTGACTATTGATGTGTGGGTTGACCCTTGACAGGTCCAGGTGGGGTATGAGACCTGTACCCCTTGTTAGGGCGTGGGTGTAGTAAGTGAGGCCTTTGACACCCTGGGGTATACCCATGTGGACCCCTACTCCTTTGAGCATGGCCTTAACATAAGATCCTGCCATCACAGTAGTCCAAAAATATTAGGAAGGGCACACAGGCCAGCAGATGAGATTGGGTGCAGTCATTCCTCTTACAGATATTGCACATGTGGTAGAGCTTATCCCTGTCTATGGCTAAGACACTGACCATACAGTGAGTGTGGTGACAAGTATGGAGGTATACAAGTGTTTTTACCTAATCAATTTCTTGGACAAGGAGGTGTATCATTCATTGTGCTCAGATTTGCATTAGTTACATTATGTGTTATGTTCTCAGCTTGCAATTTAACTGCATCATGTTGTCTGTTTTTTATTTTATTTTATCCCAGAGATAAATAGAATCAACCCCATCTTTTATCTTTAGTGAGATGTGATAGATTACCATTGATCAAAACATTTGATTCTCCATCTCTCATCAGTTTAAACTGGCAAAATAAAATAGTAATGGTGAAAGCATCTCCACTAATCACATGTGTGCTACAGTCTGAAGTCATAAGTGTTTGTAAGTGTCTGTTGCAGTGATTAGATGAGCAAGAGGGACAAGGAGTCTATAAGGACAAGTACACTACTAGGGCATTAGAACATTGTGAATACAGGTGATGGTCTGGACTTACATCTCAGTCTCTTGAAAAGAACTGAGATGCCTGAGCGCTACAAGTGGCCCTTTTAAGCTGGGTGGCTTGACTACTGTAGAATATGAATGCAAAATATAAAATAAAGGGAGGACGCGGACCAACATCAATACATCACTCACCTTAGTCCATTTTGGCTTGTGCTCATACCTCACTTACTCACTCTCTGTACCTAGGTCGGATCCTTCGGTCTTCTTCATCTCAGATCTCTCAGAGTCCAACATCTGTAACACACATAAGTTAAGTGTTCATTTCAGTGGTTTGGCAGATGTAGTATCATACTCTGTCGTACCCTTTCACATATAAATTATGGTGACTTGGCGCTCGAGTGAGCCAAACAGATCCTGGACGGACATGCCCTTCGGAAAGTTTGAATACCTACTCGGTGACAACGTGTGCGTCACGTGTAAGGTGACGTGACGCCAGAGTTCTGGTCCATCTTAAGACTTCCTTGCCACCATCTGCGAGTTCGGTGTCCATGAAGTTTTTTATCGACAATCTACCTGTCTGTATCCTTATGCTTGGTGGACGTTATAAATGAATCATGATGCTGAAGTCCTTTACTTCAGATTATCTTCCCTTATGACCGAATTTACCCCGGTTCGTGCATTCAAATGCCAGCCATGCTTAACGCTGACTCTGTTACCTGCAGAACAATATGCGTACATGTGTGATCTCAAACGAACCCTGGATGCAACAGTACAGCACACGTGATATTGTTCTGGACCTGCTATTCTGACGGCTTTCCTCTAGGGGCACTGCGTTTTGGAAATGCCTTCAGGAACAGGGAAAACCGTTTCATTGCTGTCTCTAATTGTGTCATACCAACAGGTACGTTTCCAAGCTCACATCGCAGTGGATTTTTGAGCGCTGCTCGCTAGTTTTACCCCACGAAACGGAAACTTGTTTATTGCTCACGGACGGTTCCAGAGATCGAGAAAGCATTGGCCGAGTTGAAGCGTCTCATGGCATACCGGATCAAGTTTGCGGAGACTCCTGAACAGAAAGAAAAAGAAGAAAGTTTTATGGGACTCGGACTCACAAGTAGGAAGAACCTCTGCATACACCCAGATGTGAGTACGCACTTTATAATGAACATGAAAGAGCCCGTTCCACAGCTTACTTTTTTTGGTGTCACCTTTCCAGGTCTCTAAGGAGAAGAAGGGCAAGGTAGTTGACGCTCGTTGTCGAGACCTCACCAATTCTGCTACATGTGAGAAAGGTCGCGCAGACCCAGGTTCAGTTGAATTGTGTGATTGGCATGAGGTGAGGCAGTGAAATTTACATTAATTGCTCCATAGGTATTGAGTCATCTTAGAACCTGGGTAAAGGCGAACCTGGGTCCTTAATACCCTCTGGTATATGGACACTAGCTGATGTTCTTCAGCACGGGCGTGAAAATAAGACATGTCCATACTTCACAGTCCGGCGAATGGTGAGTGACGTCAATATCACCCAGTAACCCTCATCAACTGTCCAAGATGCCGTTCGTGGATGTCATCATCTACTCATTTCACTATCTGCTTGATCCCAAAGTTGCCGAACAAGTTTCCAAGGAACTTTCAAAAGATGCCATCGTCGTTTTTGATGAAGCCCACAATATCGGTAGGACCCTTGTCGAATAACTGTTTGATTTTTCTATAATTCATTCCAGACAATGTGTGCATCGAGTCACTGAGCATTGACTTGACCCGACCGATGTTAGATTCAGCTGCTCGCAGTGTCGTGAAATTGGGTGAAAAAATAGAAGAGTCAGTGTTTTATATACCATTGTGATCGTAGCACTCAAGCATCATCTTTTTAGGATCAAGAAAACGGACACGGCCAAACTACAGGACGAGTATGCGAAACTTGTCGAGGGGCTACAGGAGTCAGCGACTGACGCTGCTGACGAAGACGCATTCATGGCTAATCCAGGTTCGTCAGAAAGAAAGTGGCCCTCCATTATACTGAGATTTCCAGGAAAGTTTTGCCAGACGACCTCCTCACAGAAGCTGTTCCGGGAAACATCAGAAAGGCCGAACATTTTGTGGCATTTTTGAAGCGATTCGTGGAGTATCTCAAGGTTTTCAGTCTGACACCCATGTGGCATACTCCGTTGACAGTTACCGTAGACTAGAATGCGCGTTTTGCATGTCGTTGCCGAAACGCCATTGTCGTTCCTACAGCATTTGAAAGATATCACTTATATTGAGCGGCGACCATTACGGCAAGTATCGTTTTCTTTCCGCCAACTTTCTCTAATGTCAGCCTTCAGGTTTTGTGCGGAGCGACTACAATCGATGATCCGTACATTGGAACTGAATCGGCTAGATGAGCACTCAGCGTTGCAGAAGGTTGCAAGTTTTGCAACGCTCGTTGCAACTTACGAAAAGGGTCCGAATTCTAATTCTCATTAATATCTATATATTAACTCCGTTACAGGGTTTCTTCTTATTCTTGAACCATTCGAAACCGATAATGCGACCGTCCCTAATCCCATCTTCCACTTCACGTGAGAGTTTGGTTGCGTGTTCCGAAATTCATTGCCTACTCAGCATTAATTTCAGATGCCTGGACCCGTCGCTCGCAATCAAACCCGTATTCGAGCATTTCAGTAGCGTCGTAATTACTTCAGGAACCATATCCCCGTTGGACATGTATCCGAAGATGCTGCAATTCACCCCCGTCGTGCAAGAAACATATCCCATGACGCTCACACGCAATGCTTTCTTACCGTTGGTGAGTTGTCTCGTTAGTCTTTGTGCTCTTGTCCACTGAAAAATAGAAGGTCATCACGCGAGGAAGTGACCAAGTTGCCATCAGTTCACGCTTCGAAGTCAGAAACGACCCTGCTGTAGTCCGCAACTTTGGAAGCATTCTCATCGAGTACAGCAAGATCGTACCGGACGGTATTGTAGCTTTCTTCCCTAGTTACCTTTACATGGAGTCCATCGTCGCAGCTTGGAATGATATGGTAAATCTATGTGTCCCAAGAGATGGAACTTCATTCATCATTTCCTTAGGGTATTCTCAACGAGGTCTGGAAGAACAAGTTGATATTTGTGGAAACGCCAGATGCAAACGAGACGAGTATCGCTTTGGAAAACTATCGCCGAGTGAGAGATGCCCATGCCACAAAAAAGTTCAGCCACTCACAGAATTACTGCAGGCTTGCGATAATGGCCGAGGAGCCGTTCTTCTGTCGGTCGCGCGTGGTAAAGTGTCAGAGGGTATCGATTTTGACCACAACTATGGGAGAGCTGTGATCATGTTTGGGTTTGTGATTAAATTCATAGATCGGAGCCAGCAACTGATGAAATCGCAAATAGGGTGCCATATCAATACACGGAGAGCCGGATATTAAAAGCACGGTTGGAGTATTTGCGTGATGCATACCGTATAAGAGAATCCGAGTTCCTTGGTTTTGATGCCATGCGCAACGCTGCTCAATGCGTTGGACGTGTCCTGCGAGGTAAGACTGATTGGGGTCTGATGGTATTCGCGGACAAGGTTAGTCTGTCTTTTGCAAACAATCGTTTGACTAACTTGCCAATCGTGACAGCGTTTTGCTCGTGCCGACAAACGGGCTAAGTTACCCCGGTGGATAAACCAATACATCACCGAGGTTGCTTCTAATCTTTCCACGGACATGGCCTTGACACTTTCCAAGCTCTTCATGCGCACAATCTCGCAGAATCCAAACGAAAATCAGACTGGTGTATCGTTATGGACACTGGAAGATATTGAGAAAGCGCAAGCGAAACAAAAGGAACAAGCGCTGCTCATGGAGCAACAACAAGAGCAGGAAGACGAAATGGATGTCGACTATGGAGACGGTGGGATTGATGATGACGTGTTATTGGGGTTGGATGTGTAGTTATACATAGTAAAGATATAATTTCTAGGGAAGGGGATTTTTGAAACCACTGGGGTGGCAGACATGAACACTAACTGAATAATTGGAAGAATATTAGGTGATCCAAGACATGATATATATATATATACAGACTGAGGTCAGACGACCAGCGGTGAGGTATGTTGGATTAGTTGCATCTTGTCATGATGGGCAGTGTGGACATGTTCCCGGACGCTGTGAACATGACGGATCAACACCAGACCAAAATTAAATTGAGGGATGCGGTATACTTCTAGTGTGACCAGCCGCTGGGGTTGACTGGAGAATAACAATAAGCGACACAAAGCTTCGCGGAAGCAAAAAATGCTATGATGATGGTAGCTTACCTGTAATACCGACGGCAATTGCATGGTTTCGCCGGTGATCCGCACGTGGACGGATGATTGGTACTGATCTTGCAGTCTTGTGCAAAACAATCAATGTAAGTGTCGCCTTCGAATGTGAGATGACCGCATGCCGCATTTTTGGTGAATCGCAGCTGTCGGTAGCACATCTGACAAGCTATTTCAGTTTGATAGTTTGATATAGTAAAGATAAAGAAGTTTGAATAGGTCTTACACTTCGTCGGCGGCGGTAGGACAACGCTAATAGTAAGCAAGCGACAAGTTTTGAGTTTACCAAAGGCACTGCTTTTTGTGACTTCGTGAGATCTTCCCGGCGGCATCGTTATTGGCAGGTGGCACGGGCTTACCGCAGATCGCTGGGCAGGAAATGGTCGTTGATGTTGAGGTGTACAGAGGCAGAGGCGAGGAAAGCCTTGAATGCTCCTGCTTTTAAGCCGAGAGTCTGCGCAGTATAATTAACTAATATTACATACGATTCATCTCGCGGTACAAGTCCGCCAACTCCCGTGTCATACCAATTTTTGGCCTATAGGAGAGACCTTTCATCTGCTTTTTGGCAAAAAAAAAGTACAAGTCTCAAGATTTCAGAGATGAGGGTGCGAACTTTGGGCGAAATTTTCACACTTTGACCTTGTTTGTAATTGATCGACGTTCATGCTGATGGGCGCGAGGCCGATGGAGACGTGAGCTTGTATTCCGCTCAAGGAATTTGTTTCCCAAAGTTGTGGCTCCTTTCTCAACGTGCATTCAAAGGTACGATCTTACCGACAAGCTTCTCTTCCTGGATATCAACCGGTATCAATCCCCTTTTGGTCTCCCTAAAGCTCGAAGGCCTATCCAGGACTCCAGCAAGGTTTATAAATAATTCGACATTTTGTGAGACCATGAACTTGGTCGTCAAAAATGAGTCGGGGGGTGAAGCGGTAGAGTGCTACGTATAGGGAACTCATCGACAAAGTCCAAAGGTTGACCAGCTGTTATGAACGGACCTTGTAATGGCCTACCTAGCTGTCGGCTCATGATTTGTCAGAGTAGATGCTTGAAGCATTTTAGCGGCTTCGCACCCCCAAGGGTAGTTGTGATAATGCTCCTATAACAGTTTGACATGTGGATAATCATTTTCTGTCTCCGCTCGATCACACATACCCGGTGCACATGCCCGAGTTCAACACTGTTAACAGTTATTTGTCGCCGAAGAATCTCTTCAACTTGTCTTCATTTCGGAAGCAACATGGTCTCAACTTATGGTTCTGATTCATATCGTTGTGCGCTCCTACAAATCGACCATGGGTCAATCAGATGAAACAGGTCTCTTGCTCGCATGTTGCCGTACTCAAGGGCTATATCTTGTGATCCCCTCTCTATTTGGACCAAATTGTCAATCGATAAAATCTACCACTGATCAAGGAAGCCGAATTGACGCGGCGTCAATGTCATCGGTAGTCTTTGCTTGGTCTTTTGCTCTGAAAGTTTTCCACGACTTCGAAACCCCGCGCTGGAATCGGCATTTCAATCGTGACGTGCGGGCACTATGACACAAATCCCCATTCTCTTGGCGATCGATGCGGCACCAGGAAGTATCATTCGTGAACCTAATGTATATCTGCGATAACAGCTTCCCTTGTTGAGACTATACGCCGTTAACAAACCTGCAATTGGATTCAGCTATCACATGCTTGATGAAACATGTGAGAGTCACAGTACCGGTACTAACCTTGGCAGAGATTGTTTGTTGTTTTTGCCATCATGATCAAGACCTACTGGGAAACGGCTCCCGAATTCACCTTTCAATGCGGTATAGCTCAGATAAACGATGTTCCCCTGTCGCCGTACTCTGCTCGACGTTCAGTCATCGAGCGTGAGGTAAAACGTCTTCGCCAAATAGGTACGTGGCTTTCGCATTGAATTTAATGCTCACATGGTACCGCGAATGTCAGTCAATTTACTCACGTTGAATTGAAGAACTGACGAGGATGTGACCACCTGTACGGTTACGGTTGTTATCAGAGCATGGTCCGGATTTATTGTTAGATTGACTTGAGTTTCTGAATCTGTGGCGTGCTGCTGCGTCAGTACGTGATTAGGTGTCATCATATCAGCATCTGTCAACATCAAAAACCTGGTCATCTGTCAGTGTGTGATGTTGTGGCATGGTTGACGTCTTCATACTTATTCATATCCGCCTTCAGCTCTGGCAACTGGCTCATCAATGGCGCCAAAAGTGGCATGTCCACCTCGGGAGCTGAAGGGAGGCCATTGCCATGGCAGGCTTGGTCGGATTTGAACGTTTAGATACGTTTCGTTACGACCATACACACTATAGTAATAGCGATGACAATCATATATGGCTACGGCTCTTGTCCGGTCGTCGAGGATCAGAGACGAGGCAACAAATGCACAACGAAAACGTCATGGGTTATGTATAACAAAGATCCACTCACGTACAACACTAATTGGTGATCCAGAAAGCTCGCGGCGTAAAGCTTGCCAGGGGCATCCTCCTAACTTTTCACCTGATACAAATGACATGTTCCCCGCCCCAAATTTTCTTTGGACTGCCTTCCATTGGAAATATCACGAATTTCATTGGATGGTCATCTTTGCAGATCTCAACCCACGACAAGGCAACCGCATAAAAAGCGAGGAGATCTCCCCAACTCAGCCCTGAGATATACAAAACATGCATTATACGTCCTAATCCCCAACTTAGTCTAATGTTCGTGCAAAAAGTAATATGCACCTCATGTCAGTGCAGGAATTTCCTCTGACGCAACCTCCGCGACCTCATCGTGAGAAATCTTTTCCTTGATATTCCGTATCGGCTCGCCCCTGATGACCTTCTTTACTTCCTCGGCATCCAAAGTTTCGTATTCTACTAGGGCGTGCGCAAGCTGCAAGCGCCAAACGGAAGCTGGTGAGATTTGAAGAGAAACAAGAAAAAGAGATGCGCGCACCCGATGTAGTTCCTCCTTCTTTTCCGTTAGAAGTTTGGTCGCCCGTGCCTCACCTTGTTGCAATAATCTAACGGCAGGACGTTTAGCATAATGGCGACAACTCAACAGAAGTTACTCGCTTGGTGATTTCCGCATCTATCTTCTCCCTTGTAGCAGGGCTTATCGCTTCATCTTGATCGCTATAGAATACTGGGCCAACTTTTTCCGAGAAACCCCATTTCTACAGAAGTTACCCAAGTAGCGGTGAGATGGTCACGTAATGTTCAAGGGAATTTGATTTATGCTAACCTTGACCATAGCGGTTGCAGTACGAGTGGCATGCTGGAGATCAGATGAGGCGCCGCTTGTGAGGCCCCCAGTCCCATAAACTGAAATTCCAAGTCAGGAGTTGTGGGAGATCGGGGTGAGAAGAACTCGCTAAGTCCCTCCGCTACGCGACCACCCATGCAAACGTCAATCGTAGCTTTGAACTCCGTCTGCGTTACTGAATACCGGTCATCTTCAGGAAGTTGGGAAGTCTGATAAATGCGAGAATCAGCATAGTTTTCAGGCCTGAAGGGTCACCATCGGCACGTACAACGCCCAACGCATGACCACGCGGAACACACGTGACTTTGTGGAGGGGCATGGCACCATCTGTATAAAGAGCTGTCAGGGCATGTCCTCCCTACCACCATCTATCAGCTTCGAAATTTCCACGCGAGATTCGTGTAGTTGATGATGCACCTCGTGATAAGCGGTCAATAACTTGTTCTTCTCGTCAATGTATGCGCTCTTCCTCTCGGCTCCCAAAAGAATGCGATCCTACATAAATGTGATACAGGGTTAGAAAATCGACTCAAGTTAGCCGGCAAATGAAGAGCACGTGCCTTGGCCCATTCAAAGTGCTTTAATGTGACCTCATTATAACCTTCCTTTGATGCTTGTATGGCAGCCTGACTAATATATAATGCGTCAAAGTCTCTGAGAGATAAAGAAAAAGCGTATGCTGCACTCACTTCACCATGTTTTGCAGTTCGGCACCAGAGAACCCTGGCGTACCGCGCGCTAGTACCTTCGGATCGACAGCTAAAGGTAAGCCAATCATGAATTAGTGATAGGATTGCACCGAGCAGTAAAAAAAACGTACCAACACTTGCGACCACCTCTTTCATAAAATGCTGAAGGAGTTGGACTCGACCACGGATATCAGGCAAAGGGACAGCGATGATCCTGTCAAAGCGGCCCGGGCGCGTCAAAGCACTAGACAAAGAATTGTTAGGCACTTCAACACTAGATATGACAAGCCTAGCACTGACAGGTCCAAACTTTCTGGGAAGTTAGTCGCGGCAATGACAATGATACCTTCGCTTTGCAAGAAACCATCCATTTCCACCAACAATTGATTCAAGGTCTGTTTCATGTAATGTTGGTCCCTGTGGCTGCGCTTCCCACCAACAGCATCCAATTCGTCGATAAAAATAATGGCGGGCTGTCTCTTCCGAGCGGTCGCGAAAAGCTCTCGGACACGCTTAGCGCCAACACCCACGAACATTTCCTCGAACTCGGAACCGGATGCGAAGAAAAATGGCACACCCGCCTCTCCGGCAATAGCGCGTGCGAGCATGGTTTTACCGGTACCGGGAGGTCCTGTCAGCAAGACGCCTTTTGGAAGTTTACCACCAAGGGATGCAAAGACAGTGGGATCCTTGAGAAATTCTACGATATCGTGGAGTTCCTATGTGGACGTGAAATATAGGTATTCTCAGGCAGTTTATAAGCCGCAAAGCTTACCTCTTTCACTTCGTCGACACCATGGACATCGCTAAAACGTATAGTCCTTTGTTGAAGTGGCTCGAACTCTGCTTGCCGAGGAACAGGTTTAAGCAAGCCGGAATTTTCCAAGAGCACAGACAAGATAACGAGAATGACTGTCGAAGAATACAAGATTGATGACCTGAAGTTCATGATCTGATGTGCACTTACAGAATCCACCCATGGCAGTCAAAACTAAAAACCGCACAAGACGCATGATTGTAGACCCTTTCGCTGGAAGTAAAGTGAGAAGCATGCATTTGTGTATGTTGATGGCCACTTACGCTCACTGATAGTGACATGAATCGGATTACCGCTTACGCCACTACCCTTACTCAGGGCAGCTGCGAGATTCGCCATGTCCGTGCTCTGGGAAGCCGAGGCACCGTCAGGACGAGAAGTCGCAAGTAAAGGTTCTGTGCGCCCAGCAAGTACATCGGAAGCAATCTCTTGACTTCGAGATGGAGGTGGTGTCGGTGACGATGTTGAAGGAACATCAGAAGGGGAATGCGAAGTGTTAGCAAGAGAATCAGTTGGTGAGGCGTCTGTAGCGGTAGTTGTACCAGCAGCAGCAAGAAGCGAATCACGTCTGCGAACGGCCAAGTTGACTGAAACGTCTTGACCAGTCTTGAGCAAGGATGTAAGATACAGCTGGAACGCTGCATCGGACTGAAGGAGCGGTGATGCTGAATTCTATCAAAAGCAAAACAATCCATGAGTCCAATAAGAACACTGATGAAAGATGTAAAATATATTTACGAATTCGCACATCCTCTCCCAACGAGTTATTACTACTTCATACCCAGCTTTTACTTGCGTGCCTACAAGAACTTGATACAGGGCGAGCTGCTTAGCAACATCATCTGGACTTGCGTTAGCTTCTGCTTCTAGGCGAGCGACCTTCGCAACGACCGCTGGGGCAGGCGTAGACGATGCTTTCGACCAAGGGAATAATGACAGCGCACGTCGGAGACACGGCTGTGCAGTTAGTGGTTGGATTCGGTGTTGAGTAATTAGCGAGGATGCTTTAGATGCGAGCGTAAATCTTGAGTAGGGTTGTATTGGTCGAGAATTAGAGAACGAGCGGAACTGTATGCATGACTTTGGAGGGAGAGAAACGACTGAACGCCCTTGGGCGCGCAGGATGCCCGGTAGCTACAAAATAACATGGTTAATGGAGTAGCATACGATTAAACAAACAATGACCTACTAGGAGGTGCACGGACATGCACTGAGAGAGTTAGAGATAAATGGTTGCGCTAATGCTTGCGACAAGAGCGTCCAGCACCGTACATACACGCAAGAAAAACGGACAGCTTTACGTAAGTCCGCTTTTGGAGCAGATTAGATGCTGCTCGCATGTTTTGGAACAGAACATGACCGACAAGCAAAAAAGTGAGCAGCTCACTGATTCATGAATTTTGCTCTGAATAATTATTGCTACCAGTCATCGTCGCTTTGACATCTGCGTCCGAGACATGCACCGCTGCACTCTCCGCACTCACTTCCCGAAATCAGCGCGATAAATCCGAGTCCCAAACCTCCGATCTCGCTGTGATCCTAAAAGACCTAGACTCTCTCCTTTCTCTGATATACAACTCCAGCACTAAACTTGCTCTTGTGCTCAAACCATCATCTCCTACATACTCCGCTTCTCTACCCGTGATCGTGGATCTAACGAAATATACGTCTGGCATCGCGCATTGTATTCATCTTTTGAATCCTGATTTACATGGGGCGACGCTTATCAAGGAGCTGCAGCATGAGATGACATCTATTTTTGAGGCTTTGCGTGCAGTCGTGCAGACATTTTTGAACCTTGCTGCGCGTGGTCCGTCGATAGCAAGGAATGGTTCCGCAGGAGAAGAGTATCTTGTCCGGACAGGCACTCTTCACGATCTAATAACAAAAGCACGTGGACCCAACGGAATACCAAAGGATAACATATCTGCCATCCGTCGAAGATGGAAGCAGGACCGAGAGGCTCTTGAAGATAGTCTTCGAGAAGTATCTGAAATGATAGACGGCGTCGAAGGGAGTGAAAACGATGATGTTGATGACGGTTGGGATGAGCTTGGTTTGGGCGACACAGGAGCGAAGATGGACGAGGACGAGCTGGCACGTGCAAAAAATGTACAGCACTTGTCTGCTACTTTCAAATTAGCTCTTTTTAAACGTGTCATTTGTCAGGTTCACTCCGTACTGCGGTTAACCACATTATTGCACAAGCGTATATTCTTGGATCTACTTTCGTCTACACCGACCCCACTGCTTTCGAGCCTTGCTCTGGATGCTTTGCTTTTGCAGTCACATGCACTTCTTTCTGCGTCCGACGAATTGGTCTCCTCGTTGTATATTCCTCAGAACCCCGCAACGATCAGGAAGGAATCGTTAGCGCTGCTCGATATAATTAATGGACTCCAATTACAGCTGCGAATATTCTTCCCCGATACGTCCTCCCTAGAACAACAGCTCTCCGGGCTCAGCATCGAGGGAGACAAATCAACGTCGACACATAGCAAACCCACGGCTGACAAGAAGTGGTTTGATCTTTGTTTCGACCAGGTAACAAAGACATCTGCCAATCTCGTGTCTCCTATGTACAAGTCACCCCCAGGGGTCGGCCAGAAATCAAGATGAAAGACGCTGTGAAGTGTCAGTTGGGCAGGTAGTGGAGTATAGGAAGTTTGTAATATTGCAGTGATGTATCTACAAGTTTAGTGTTGCATGTCCGAAAGCAAGATGCACAAGTCAAGCAAAACAAGAAATGAAAGCCCTCAGGTTCTAAGTTCAAGCCTCTCCCTCCTCTTTCGTGGCACTCCGACTCCGCTCCCTGTCGTGTCGTAGACGCGTTCTCTCCTTGTCGTACTCCTCTCGGAACTTGGCAGCAAGAAAGTTGGGGTGCAAAGCCATGCAATTGTTGGCTCTAAGTTTCTGTTCAAAACCGGCGATCTGATCTGCTTGTGACTGCAGATCGAAATGATATTTCTGCACTTGAATCAGAAACAAGGATCCTGTGCGAACAAGAGAAAGAAACAGACAGCTTCTTCCGCGCGCTTAGCCTTTGCTTCATCACGCATCTTGTTCAGCTCTTTCCGTCGCTCTTCCTCCTTTTCTCTCCTATTGAGTCCAGAACGAGGAGTACTACCACCAGCCTACAGAGCAAATAGTCATGTAAACGTGCAAAAACATCGTTAAAATCACCTCACCCCTTTGAAGAGCTCAGCATACACGCTTTTGTCTCGCAAGTCAAAGTCTGCTGCCCCCATGAGACCTGCAGCCTTACGTTGCGGATGAGGAGCCCCAATTTTTGTCACGTCATCAGTCGAGGGTGGTGGCTTAGAGGGTGCAGCGGCGGTTTGGGATTGAGCGGAAGTTGCAGCTGAGGTAGAAGATTTATTCTTCTTAATTGTTGGGAGTTTGCGCTTCTTCAGTTCTGGCAGCGGAAAAGCAGACTGGTCAGGTGCGGCAGGAGGATCGGCCACCGATGGTGGACGAACGGAAGATTCATCATCCGCAAAGAGATCAGAGACCTGGCTCTGGGCTGTGACGCTAGTAGACGCAGATAGGGTGCCAGAAGGGGGAATTTTGCGCTCATCCTTGATCATGATCTCTTTCTCCTTGTCTTTGCCAGCCTTCGGCTTGCCACCCTTTCCTAACACCAATTTGATCTTGGTAGGTTTTCTCTTCGCGGACGAAGATGCCTTTGCTTTTCCACCACGCTTTGGTGCAGCTTCAGGTTCGAACCCCTCGTCTTCGACATCTGGGAAAGGTTCGTCAAGAAAATCATCTTCATCCACAAGGTCATCAATGTCGACTTCAGCATCTTCTGCGTCGGAGAATACCGCTTGTTTCGTCTTCTTCGTTCCTGTCACAGAACCTGCCGCCTTTATACGCTTCGCGCTCGGATCCACCTTACTCTTCTTCCGAGCTTGACCGAGAGCGACTGGAGCGGTGCCAGCGTCGGCATGTTGATCCATAGGGTCGTGTGCTAGAAAACGCGTTTCTTCGTCCGCATCCACCTCCCCATCAACATCTACATCCATATCATTATCCATATAATGATGTTCATGGCCTGTCGGTTCTGGTTCTAGTTCTGCAGTACGAGAGCGTTTGAAGCGCGAAGACTCAAAGTGAGCGTCAGCAGCATTATCAAATTCTTCCTCATCAGAATCGACGAGGCGTCTCTTTGATTTTCGTTTGCTGAGCGAAGACTGGTTTTGATGAGCTTCCTGTGCATTAATACACGGAAATTGTTCACCTTTGAGTCTGCTGAATCCCTGATAGCGACTCGGGACATCAGAGCTCGAAGTGGCTGTGCTCATAACCAAGTTTGGATTTGTTTGAAGCTTTTAGACAACAGGTGCAAACAAACGCGTAAATTAACAAAGTTGAGGCCCGGAGTGATGTTTAGAGCAGGTGAGCTTACAGCAATTCAACGAGGACTCATTGGCAGCTTCTAGTGAGAATAATTCACGCTAAATGCGTTTACCTGGCTCGCTATGGCGCAATATTCATGGGAGAGGAGTACCCTCACGATATCTCGCTAACACGGCTGTCCAACGACCGTGTCATGTCGCCGTACTAGGTGAAGAGTACCCCACCGACCACATGACAAACATATCTCCCACAATCGTGTCCAAGCTCCCACTAAAGCTACACACACAACCCTCGCATCCCCTCAGCACACTCCGAGCGCTCATAGAATCACATTTCCCCTCCTACGCTCACCTCTCTTCGCTCTCTCCCCTCGTCACTCCATATCAAAACTTTGATCTGCTATCTTTCCCAGCAGACCACCCTGGTCGGTCCGTAACAGACAGCTACTATGTCAACAAGGACCTCATGTTGCGCACTCACACCTCTGCACACGAAGTAGAGGTGTTCGGACGAGGAGAGACGAAGTGGTTGCTTACCGCAGACGTGTACCGGCGCGACGAGATAGACGGGTCGCATTACCCCGTATTCCACCAGACAGAGGGTGCACGTATCGTTTCAGCAAACCCAGCGGGCATGAAAGAGATCGAGGAGGACAACGAACGTCTTGCAGCCCATTTGGAGCGATCCAGTATAGAAATTGAAGATGTCCCCCATCTATCGCCGATGAATCCTTGTCAACCAGCTCATGATCCAAAACACACGGAACTAATCGCGAAAAACCTGAAATTGTCTCTGAATAGTCTTATGCTACATTTGTTTGCTGGACGTGCCGGTGCTACCGCCCAAAACCCACTTAAAGTGCGGTGGATAGAAGCTACTTTCCCGTGGACGACGCCAAGTTTTGAGGTCGAGGTTTTCTTTCGTGGTAAATGGCTGGAAATTCTTGGTTGTGGAGTCATTTATCAGCCAACACTCGATAACGCGAGTACGTTGATGAATTGACATATATTAATGTGACGAATAATGCGTAATTAGATGTTTCCAACAAGCTGGGGTGGGCGTTCGGCCTTGGACTCGAACGGATAGCGATGGTTTTATATTCTATCCCTGACATTCGTTTGTTCTGGTCACAGGACCCCCGCTTCCTCTCGCAGTTTAAACAAGGCGAAATCACCACGTTCAAACCGTACTCGAAATACCCGGCATGTTTCAAGGACGTGAGCTTTTGGCTCCCCGGTGGCCAGACGCTTCATGAAAACGATTTTTGCGACCTTGTTCGAGACGTCGCTGGAGATGTGGTGGAGGACGTCAAATTGGCGAGTCTTGCTCTGAACCGAGTGTGGCCTGACCTGACCTTCGAGCAGATTGACAATTTCACTCACCCCAAAACTAACCGGAAGAGCCTTTGTTACAGAATCAATTATCGTTCGATGGATAGGTAAGCCCCGTGTTTTATGAAAGCTTCTTTCTAACCTTTAAGTAGATCACTTTCGAACGATGAGGCCAACTCTCTTAATGCGCAGGTCGTTTCCTGTTTGCGGGATCGGTTCAGAGTTGAGATTCGGTGAATTAAATGTGCTAAAATAATGTCTATCGTGCATGCAATCCACCCACACCGCTCGTAGAGGCTCTAGAGTACTTACTAGTGTGTCTAATAGTCCTCCCAATACCTGCTCTGCTCGGCACCGCACACCCGTCACCCGCCTAAACCCCGCTCTATAGCAATGGCATAGGTCACTGATGTGTCCTGCACGACACCAACTTGCGCCGCTCGCAATAGCCGATCCTTAATCATGTACCCGGTTTTCTGGCACTCCAATATAGTCCCAGGTTCCTTTCCGGGTATTGGAGCTTGATACATTGCTTCGTGTTGATTAGGATCAAACTTGTCACCGGTAGGGTCGAATGGTTTGACATGATACTTGAAGAGTGTAGAGAGGAGGAGACGATGGGTCATGTCCACGCCTTGATGTAACTCCTTCAAGTAGGTTTGGACAGATTTTGAGTCGGGTGATGACGAGTCTGAGGAGGGAGAGTTTGTTTGGGCAAAGACACTCTCTGGTACGGATTTGAGAGCGAGTGCGAGAACATCTACGGTCTCAAGCAAGTCACCAGCAAAGCGGGTGATAGCAAAATCGCGTTGCTGCTCTTTTTCACGAGAAGCATTGCGTTGCAAGTTCAAAAAGTCTGCTTGCAGGTACTGTAACCGACTCTGGAGAACAATCAAAACGCGCGCAGGGTTCGAGGGGGAATGCTAACTTTTAGGTCCGTGGTTTCAGCTTCTTTTGCTTTAATGGTTTTGAGCAACTCAGTCTCCGGCGTGATTTCTGTCTTGTCGGTTTCTACCTCCTTCTCTGCGTCCGCCTCCGCTGCAGGAGCTTTGTCATCAGAATACTGTCGTGTGCCTACTATTCGCCGACCGTAAGATGCAAGGGCATCTCGTGAGGAGCGACCGATAATTCTCGACGACAGTGAAGCCGTAGAAGAACGAAAGGCCTGTCGGACGTATGCAGCGTTCATGATAATAAATGATAGAAAAGAGAAAGAGCTCTAGTTGTATGAACGGAGCCAAACGCGCCCAAAATTTTCGGAAGGGAAAGGGTCGTGGGAACAACTTACGTATCCGCTTCAAGAATTCATATCTTCAGAAATCAGTAGAAAATATAGACGATATTGTAAATCCGTGGTGCTCCTGCTCTTTGTTTTCCCGTGTCGCTATCTTTCTGATTTCACTGTCTATCTTTTAAAAGTTCTAGTGTTGTGTGTAACTTTCGTTCGTTCGTGGGTGTGCTTGCAGTATAACCAAAAGAGGCAACTCGGTATGACATTTATTAAGATGCCTCGCGCAGTCTTTAGGCCTTTCCTTTTATCTTCCATTTCAACCTCTTCTTCGGTTCGAAATCGTCCAAGTTCGATCCTTGTTTCTACCATCATGACCGCCCAGATCATCGACGGCACTACCATAGCAAAGTAAGTGATCCGTGATCAACGTCAAAGCTGTCTTGATCAAATCACGTGCGTCTAGGTCTATTCGCGATGGTGTCGCGCAGAACATCAAGGTATTCCAAGCCCAATACCCTCGGTTCCAGCCCCAGCTGGTAGTCGTGCAAGCTGGCGAACGTCCTGATTCGAGCACGTACATTCGCATGAAAGCTAAAGCTGCAGAGGAAGTCGGCATCAAGTTTAATCACGTCAAATTCCCAGAAGCAGCTACGGCCGACGAGATCATCCAGGTCGTTAAGAAGCTTTCGGACGATGAAGCTATAAGTGGTGTCCTTGTTCAGCTGCCTCTTGGCCCTCACGTCGATGCGGACGGTACCCGCGCTGTCACCGAGGCGGTTTCTCCCGAGAAGGATGTTGACGGGTAGGTTGTTTTCATATGGGAAATCATTTTATCTGAGAGTTCTAGTTTCCATGCGTACAATATCGGTCACCTGTCTTCGCGTGCTGCTTCCCCGTTGTTCGTTCCTTGTACGCCAGCAGCTGTTATTCGTCTGCTGGAGAGTACCGGCGTATCCATCGCTGGGTCAACTGCAGTCGTGCTGGGTCGTAGCGACATCGTCGGCAACCCCGTGGCTGCACTCCTGAGAAGCCGTGATGCAACTGTTACCCAATGCCACAGTCGCACCAAGAACATTGAACAGATCGTCAGTTGCATCTCGCGTAATTATAAGATATCACACAATTCTTACGCTTACTTGCAGGTTAGGCAAGCTGATATCGTGGTGGCTGCTATCGGCCAGTCGGCATTCGTCAAAGGTTCGTGGGTGAAACCTGGTGCAGTCGTTATCGATGTTGGCATCAATTTCGTTCCGGGTATGTTTTTGGTCTCGGCATGCGATCCGGGTTATTTATATGAACAATTTCTAGACGCGACTAAGAAATCAGGTCAACGCCTAGTCGGAGATGTCGACGAAGACGCGTTTGCTGTGGCCTCACACATCACTCCTGTTCCGGGAGGTGTCGGTCCTATGACTGTCGCTTTACTGATGGAGAATGTATACAATTCTGCTGTCCGTCTCTGGCAAAAGGCTCGGGAGCGTAAGATCAAACCCTTGGCACTTGACATCAAGGAGAAAGTTCCCAGCGACATCGAAATTGCTATGGCCCAAACCCCGAAGCCTGTCACTCAGCTTGCGAAAGAGATGGGACTCCTGCCCGACGAACTTGAAAGCTATGGCAAGTTTAAGGCCAAGGTCGAACTCAGCGTGTTGGACCGCTTGGCACACCGCAAAGATGGGAAATATATTGTCATTGCTGGGTAGGAATTACTGGAACACATTTTGCTATCTGAGATTGACCTATTTTAAAGTATCACACCCACTCCTCTGGGTGAGGGCAAGTCTACGACTACCATTGGTCTTGCTCAGGCACTGGGAGCACATCTTGGACGTCCGGCATTCGCATGTGTGCGTCAGCCTTCTCAAGGACCGACATTTGGTATCAAAGGTGGAGCTGCTGGTGGAGGTTACAGTCAAGTAATTCCTATGGATGAGGTAGGCTGTCTTTTTTTAGATCTCTTCTCGCCCTGACGTTCTTTGTTTAGTTCAACCTTCATTTGACTGGTGACATACACGCTGTTACAGCTGCCAACAACTTGCTGGGTAAGCTCGCTGAATTTGTTCTGACACTCGACCCCTGACACTGAGCGCAGCCGCTGCTCTTGACGCTCGTTTGTTTCATGAGGCAACTCAGACTGACAAGGTCTGTCAACGTTGTAAAACTTGTTGTATAAGCTCACTTTCTGCAGGGTCTTTTCAGTCGTCTTGTGCCCACCAAGAAGGGCAAGCGCGAGTTCGCACCCCTGATGCTCAAGCGCTTGAAGAAGCTCGGTATCGACAAAACCAACCCGAACGACCTGACACCCGAGGAAATCAACCTCTTTGCTCGCCTTGACATCGACCCCGAGACTATCACTTGGAACCGTGTCCTCGACACAAATGACCGTTTCCTGCGCAGGGTCACACTGGGCCGTAACCCCACTGAGAAAGGCCATGAGCGCGAGGCTGGGTTTGACATCGCTGTGGCTAGTGAATGTATGGCCGTGCTGGCGTTGACTACCGATCTCGTTGACATGCGCGAGAGGTTGGGCAACATGGTTGTCGCAACGAGCAAGCGTGGAGAGGCCATCACTGCTGATGACATTGGCGTTGGAGGTGCACTTGCTGTTCTCATGAAGGACACGGTCAAGCCCAACCTGATGCAAACGCTCGAGGGTACCCCTGTTTTTGTCCACGCCGGTCCTTTTGCCAACATCGCCCACGGAAACTCTTCTATCCTTGCTGATCGTATTGCTCTCAAGCTCGCAGGAACTGAGGAGGGCGACTCTTCAGACCGCGTCGGCTACGTGCTGACTGAGGGTGGTTTCGGAGCTGACATGGGCATGGAGAAGTTCTGCAATATCAAGTGTCGTGTTAGCGGCCTCAAGCCTGATGCTACCGTCATCGTTGCAACTACCCGTGCGCTCAAGATGCACGGTGGTGGACCTGAGGTGACACCTGGCAAGCCTTTGGCTGATACCTACACCAAGGAGGATCTTGTCACCCTCAAGGAAGGTTGCCAAAACCTCGCTAGGCACATCGAGAACTCCAAGAAGTTCGGTGTCAAGGTTATCATTGCTATCAACCGATTTGCGTTAGTGCTACTTTGTGTCTGGCGTGGGTCTTTGCTGACTTTGGCACAGCTCTGATACCCCTGCTGAACTCGAGCTCATCCGTCAGCAGGCTCTCGCTGCCGGTGCTGATGCCGCGATAGTGAGCAACCACTGGGCAGAAGGTGGTGCTGGTGCACGTGCCCTTGCTGAGGCAGTCGTTGCAACTTGCGAAGGAGAATCCGGCTTCAGATTCCTCTATGACCTCAACCTCCCCATCGCTCAAAAGATCGAGATAATCTGCAAGGAGATATACCGTGCGGCTGGCATCGAGCTTAGCGAACTTGCCAGCAAGCAGCTAGAAACTTATACTCGTCAAGGCTACGGCAACCTGCCCAGTAAGTCCTATCTCCATATGTCTGTGGAGTTATAGTTATGCCGTTCATTCAGTTTGCATGGCAAAGACCCAATATTCATTCTCTCATGATCCGTCGCTTAAAAATGCTCCTTCGGGCTTCACCGTTCCCATTCGCGAAGTGCGCCTATCTGCTGGAGCTGGTTTCCTATACCCTATTCTCGGAGACATGCAGACCATGCCTGGGCTTGGTACACGGCCAGGTAAGTGATACCATGTGCTTTATCCAAGATTTGTCTCACAAGAAATCGCCGCGCAGGATTCTGGGAAGTCGGACTTGACCCACAAACTGGGCGCGTCGTTGGATTGTTCTAGACGCTTTGCTCTCGCGCTCTCAACTATCGCGACAAGTACATAGCGCACATCGTCTCGAATCTTCATCAGATTTCGCAGCTTCCACGCTGGAAGCCCCGTCTCAACACGGAGCTGTTTGCTGTTCAACACGTGCATAGGTTGCCGTCGAGGTGTTGTAGATATGGGTTATTTAAGACGATGGAGGGTACTGGCGCGTCCCAATATTTGCTCTGAAGAGCAGTCTTGTCGGGCGTTACACATGTATCATGCGTTAAATAAATAGCTCCTCACATGTATTCATGATGTTATCACTATGACTAATCTACGAGTTAAATACACCCTGTCCACCTGGGAGTCTTGCACCGGGAATGGACTGTGCGTTGGAAATTAAAGGAAATGCGGGTAGGGGAGTGGTTGCAAGGCTGCCGCTCTGCTCATCATAGGTGATCACGTCGTATGCAGCCTCTACATCCCTAGCGTACGTGTTACCCTTGGTGTCAACGTACGAAAAGGTGTTGTTGCTGGTCCCGTTACCAGTAACTTCCGTGGTTGAGATGGTGAGGTAACCCGCTAGAATACGGTTGAGCACATGTCCTACGCAGAGACAGAGATCATACCTGTCTGCTGGCGCTCACTAATGTCGGATCCCAAGATGAAAGGCGCAGGGACAAGCTGACGGTTATACGAGTGATCAAACGTGGTATAATCTGAAGCACAAATCGGTCAGTCAGCAACGCAGGTTGAACCGAGCGAAACTTGCATGATGTCTCGGTGTCATTGTTAACCAGGATTGTCACGTTGATGTACAGGGGATAGTTAAAGTCGTCGGTAAGAACTGAGACTCCGTTGTGAGTTGAGATGACTGAGCCAGATGATATCTGCGCGACATTCTGTGACAGATATATTGAGTGACGAGCAAATTATGACGACGGTGGGTCTCAACCTGAATATTGGCGTCATTGAGATAATATTGCGTGTTTGTGAAGTCCATGCTCTGTTGGAAAACGACATTGTTTGTCGTCCCACTACCGCTGACGATGGTAGACTCGATTTTGAGTGAGCGCTGAGCATTGACCGTAATATTGACATCTGTGCCGCCGATACTCGCAGTTGTCTCCGTTATTGCATAGGGTTGAGCATCATATGTCGTGATGCTGCCCGTCGTTCGTTTGCCCGACGGGTCCGTGACAACCTGCAAGAGTCCAGAAACATACCAGTTCTGGTTGAGAGTGTGATTTGTTTCAGCGGAGGCGACGTCCAAGGTCACATTATGGGGGAGGCCGTCGGCGAACACCGGTGCAAATGGTGTGAGATCAAGGAAGTAGGTAGGAAGATCAATTGCACCATATGATGTGATGGGCCTGTGAACCACATGATCAAAAGAGAGAGAGAAACTGGGAAAGCACAAGATCATACCTCCAAACTGCGGGATTTATGCCGCCAGTGAAAATGACAGCATATGGAAAGGCTACACCAGCAACTTGGCCATCCACGAGGAGACGAACCTCACGGAAAGGGCCTCCACCGTATGTTGTGCCAGGCGGAAGATATCCGAGGTATTCGTCGGGTGTGTTGTAGTACTTGAGAGAAAAATCGGTTGGTGACTCGGCTTCCTTATACACAACAAACTGCATCTCACCCAGAATTCCTCGTCTCCATTTCCGGACGCATAGAGCTCGGCGTAGATTTCAACAGTGTTTTGCGGGAGCGTCACGTTGAGCTGAAAGGGTTTACTTAACACTCATGATGCAGAGGGAAAGGCGTACAGAAAATGCTGGTGGGACTGAAGCCTCGTTGCCAGTGTTGTTTAGCATCGTTGATATCGGCACAATCATATTAGATTGTCCAGCAGTAGGATATTCCCCGGACGACGCATAGAAAGTTGCATAAAGTGTAGCTGATGCGTAAATTAGCACATCATTTGAAACGAAACAAAAACACGCGTACTCGCATATTGCCCAGTGTCAGTGGACGTGACGATGTTGTCAAGCTCGAGAATGAAAGTTCCGGGCTTGTCGAACAAGGGAATGTAGCGAGTGACATCTTTCGTGTAAGTCCAAATGATACCGTTTTCGGTTGGCTCTGGAGTTGAAGTGCGCCAGACTAGGACGTTCAGTATCAGTCCTCGCCATGCAATGCATGACCGTCAAAATGAACATACTTTCCGTGTTCTGGAACGTGAAGATTCCAAGGCGGTCATACTGGGTCCCGTTTGATGTCACTGTGAAATTGAGTGTTACTGCTGCCCAGGAACCGACCGCCCCGCAATCTGTCGGCGGACTGCATGGAGTCGGATGAGAATCAACGTGAAAAAACGCAAGCAGACACCCACGTGTACTCGACGATCTCTGGACTGAAGTAAATGGTCAGCTCAACTTGGAAATTTTCACCAGTCAAAGACCAACTAACTCTCCGTATGAGTTCCCAAATGTGCGCCTAGGAAGTAATAACTGTCAGAGTTCGAAACGCTTCAAAATGATTTACTCACTCCAGAATCATCATCGTGCATTGTTGCCCACTGTTTGGAACCGGAGGCGGTTCAGCGACTTGGAAATCGACAAGCACCTGGGCACTGGAGAGCGCGGCAAGCAATACACCTGCCAGTGGTGCGAATGCTCTCATCTTCGACAGCGTTGATTGCAGCTAGTGTCAGGTAGCAGTGGGAAGCAGTGGACACACCCCAGACTCGGAGTTCGTGCACACGTGGAGACTGATATCATGTTGTTACCCAGCAGCATCATTTGTTTCGCAGGATGATCTTGCCCAGCTAAAAAAAAAAGGTTGAATGATTATAACGATACCGCGCAAAATGACGATACCGCGCAGATTTATTCATAATTATAAAAGTTGAGTAGGTCAGAAACTTGGAAGCCGAACCCACACTCGGCGAAGCGACTCGAAGCGAAATTATCTTGTAGTACCACAAGGTCAATAATTATGACTGTACATTCCTAAATTTAGCTATTACAACACTTTACCGTAAAGTTAAAAACTCGCAGTCCGACTCCGGAGTCCGAACGAGTTTACTGTGGTCAATTTGACTTCTACTCCGTTGTCTAGCGTCAAAAGTACTAGTCACAGGCCATTGGAAAGACGTGACCTAGATGTCCCATGGCATTCAGAAGGGAGCATGAAACCAAATAGCCCCGTTTGGCGAGCCCGAGGCTGGGAGTTTGAAGAAGGTATACTATCGGTTACTATCATTCCGTTACGGTCCACTATTCCGTGAGTCACACTTAAGTCATGAATAGTAACAGTCAGTCACACTGGCCAAATTTACAGTCCGCTTGACAGACATTATTCGTGATTCGTGAACTTTAACAGCAGTTAATTAGGACACTACTAGCAAGTCTGTGAGCTATAGTATGTACAGAGAATTATATAGAACTAGTAAATGCAAATAATTAATGCTGTGTAAAATATTGCTGAGGGAATGTGTGTGAATGTAGGTAGTGATACATAGGTGCATTGTGAAATTCATGACTCAGATGTGGGGGTTGAGCAAAAAAATATGGTGGATGTGGTGCGGGAATGATGAAACCAGTATGAGAAGGCAGATGTATGAAATGTGGTGGCAAGTGTCCAGGCTGGGAGGAACTGGAGGTTGCAGGAAGTTCTGGTGGTTGGCTTGAAGTTGAAGCTGCTGATGCCAATGCTTGCCAGGGATCCTTCCACTAATCTCATTGACCTGAGCACATAAATCGCAAGGGTGCACAAGACATGCAGCACCAGATTCATGAGCCAGCCAATCCTTGACAGCTTCCTCTTCAGACAGCTGGAGGAGCTGCCATGACCAGGAAAAATCCTTGCAAGACATATGACCCTTGCTCTGGTCTTTAAGAGTCTGCTGTGCAACCTGTACAATGAAATTAGCACCACAGGAACTTGAAAAATAAATAATCATACTTTGTGTACCCTTGCAGCTACTGTTTAATTCTTGTAGGTGCCATTTGTAACACCCTCGAGTGCAGCCTGGATCCTGAACTCATACTCAGGGACAGTAGACGCCACCAACTTGCCTCAGGCGGCAACCCATGGCATAGCGATTGAGCCCAGCTCAGTGCAGTGCTCACGGGTGACAGGATTGCAGCTGCATTGAAACACGCTGTTAATTTCAATGTCCGACGTCGGCAGCTTCGGCAGGTGACACCGATCTGTGATTTTTGCTGCTGTCACGCTAAAAACACGATCTCCATCATTTCTTAACGGATTTGATTTTTTTCACTTGGAACATGCTACGATAGTATGTAGAATATACTTAGTGAAGTAGCTAAGCAATTGCTTTAACATTGAGTGCTGTAGACAAAATTCACGGAATGGTGGACATAATGGAATGATAGTAACCGATAGTTTAACACCTTTTTCTCTACTGAAGCACAGCATCTTTCCCCATTTCCGACGTTCTCTTCCCACGACGGTCGCCATCGACTATATGATGAGTTGGAGCCAGATCAAGGTCATCTCGACCTGGATTTTAGAAAAATGAGTCCCGATCAACTCCCTTATTTAGTTTGGCGACGTTTATCTCTGAAGGTATTGAACAACAGACACAAACAAGTCCTTTTGACAATTTCCGTAATGAGAGTTCTTCAGACTCATGCACTCGAGCGTTGGTGGATCAGACCTTTGAGTAATCTTACAGTTGCAGTCAAGGATAGCATATGCACAATGCTCGTCGGGCATGCTTCTCTGTATATTGAATAGCGTGCCTCATTCTCGTTCTAATTCTATTACAGAGTTCACTTCACCATTTGAGGCGACGGCAGTGGAGCTTCTGAAGGTGGGAGGTCTGAATATTATTGGGAAGGCTAACTGCGATGAATTGGAGTGGGGCAAACCTTACCTCTTGGGTTTTGCAGCTTTTCGCCAACACTCATACCCTCATGTCCCTGGACGTGAACAGCATCCACTCGCATCAGTTGCATCGCCCCGGCCCCGTGGTGAATCTGTATCATTCTCCAGATGAAAAATCCATACCATGAGCCGAGCGCGAACGAAGATCAGTGGGTGGAAGCTCGGGTGGAAATGCTGTAGCTGTTGCGGCTAGTATGTGTGACGCGTGAGATATCAACTTATCGAAGTGGCACAGCACTCACTGAGAGACAGTGCACCAGGTACAGATACAGGTGTCTCTGTTCGTTTTCCCGCGTCATACTTAGGTATTACGGGCTTGAAATCCTCGTATGACCTCATTAGCAGGTCTGTCACTTTACAACTCCTATTTTCAGAAATTCATGGACTGCAGATGGGGTATGGTTTCTTTTGCTGATAGTCTTGACTTGTGTCGGTGTGCCTGGCAAGTCCGTCGACACAGTGAGACCACATTTAGTGAACACGACAAGAATGAGCGAGAGCACCTGAGTTGACAATTCGAGCAGACTCGATTTCATCATATGATCCAAAGGATCCTACCGCAGCGACACAAGAGAGAGTGCAAAAGCTTCGACAGAATCACTGTCATCAACTCTGGATGCGGACCTGTCTGACCTGACCTCTCGTCGCTTCGGATTGGGATACCACAAATCCGTCTCGACTCTCAGTTCGTTCGACGCACTCACAGTTTGAGATAGGAATATTTCGCTTCTGAACCATCGTGACCGTGGTTCAGAAGGTTTTAGAGCAACTGTCGTCCCTTGGCGCTCAATTGATTCCTATCTCTCTTCCATCGACGCCATATGCGTTGGGTGCATACTCCGTCATAGCAAGCGCAGAAGCGTCAAGAAATTTAGCGCGATATGAAGGGCTTCAATATGGTTGGTGATGACGAAAGTCTGCTTCTCATCAACTAATCCTACGTAGGTACTCGTTCCCCTCTGCTCCCTGGCACAGATCAATCCAAACCAGGTAATGTGTACGCACATACGCGCCCAGCAGGCTTTGGGGCGGAGGTGCATGCAGAAACACATCCTCCTTGGCACTTATGCACTCACAGCTGAGTACGAGTATCCGTTCTTACTGTGAAGCCTTGACTCCAAGCTATTAGTTACAGTGCATTTGACAATGATTTTCTTCAAGCTCAGTGCGTCCAGCAACGGATCAAGACCGATTTTGACTCTGCTTTTCGCGTCTCCGATGCTCAACTATCCAATCCCTCGCCGAATTACGGTGGTATGGATATTCTCTTGCATCTTCTGCGATTCGTACCGCACCTCGACTAGACTCAGATGCAGTCTCTAGTCTGGGTCCATATCTATAGGACGTTACAACTGTTTCCGCTTCTCTGGCTGGCTTACCAACGGTGAGTGTCCCTGGCGGGTTAGCCGCCGACGGTTGGCTTGTTGGAATTAGCGTCGCTGGACAGTGGGGTTCTGACGAACTAGTGATGTGCGTCGGGAAGGTGACCGAATAGACGTTAGACGAGGATGATGATTTTGGGCCAATGGCTGATGCAATTGTGGGCTCGATGCTGCACAGATGATCATGATTTGGATTGTCGATCCGGGCGCATTTCAATTAGAACAAATGCAATTACTGCTCCTTGGATGCAGATTGATGTTCAAACACACAATAGAGTGGTGAGTTACGACGGGTAACGTGGGGTACTATACAAATGTATGCGAAAACAATGTACGATTGAATCGATGCGGGACTGTGAAAGTGCGGGAAGAATAGTAAGGTGACGCAATCAGCAATAGTAAGTGGTGTAGATCTAGGTTAAAAAAATGAATTTAAACATAGCTTACTGGAGGATCCCGATAGGGATCCCAATCTCTCAGAAGCCTGAGATTCAATTAGAGTGCTTGCTCCATCGCAAGACGCCCTCGTATATCGAGTACATCACCGCTGCATTAGGTACCACACGCATTAAATGTGCACTCAGTCCGCCGTAAAGGGAGCGGGCTCCCTCTTCAGCAATGACTGTCCGCAGCGTTTGCCAAAGACCAGTGTACTTCACGACGCCGTTCACAGACGGTTGTCGTAGTCGCGTCCGTAGAACCTGTACCATATAAGGCAAAGACATTTATGCTGGTCTAAAGGCGCACCTCATGGGGATATGTGATTAAACTGGCGACGCACTTCGCGGTTCCAGCGCTACCAAGCATCCCAAACCACTCGAGCATACCTCCACGACCTTCGGTGTTCGTGGATAACTGCTTCAGACGCTCATAGAGCACCCATTGAATAGTTCCCTCTGTCACGCCCAAGTAGCTAGCACTCAAGCCCTTGTAGAAGCCCTTGATGCCCTCCTCACGGAAGATTTTTGTGATCATCTTGTAACTGCCTCCGACGGCGCGTGAAGGTCCAGCAATTGCTCCCGGATTCGTACTTGTGATTGAGGGATGCCGACGTTCTGATGCTGTAAGCTGCAGACGTGTCTTGACAACCCAGATGGGATTCGTTGCTGTCCCCGTTACAACACCAGCAACTGCAGCTGCGGCGAGGTGGACATAGGAGTTTTCTTGTCCGTGGTTAAAGTAATTGGCAATGATTTGCTTGCCGTTACCGTACGTATAGAAATTGATTGAACGGGCGGGGATGACACCGACTAGAGTTGGTCCAAGGCCTTTAAAGAGCGCTCTTGGTGACTCATCGCGGTATATGTCGCTGAATCGCGAGTCCTCCTCAACATTTGATCGCAGTTGAGTTAGGAATGTAGATTATACGCACCGTAGAATGTGTCCTGTCTCGACGAAATTCCACAGCAAACCACCCGAGCGCTGTGGGAGCGCCGCAACTCCTCCTCCTACAACTCCGACTGAAGTGTGTTTTTCCCTGAAAAGACTGGACTGCAACCGCGTCTTGACAACATCAAATGGACTCGTGACGATTGCACCACACATTCCACCCAGACTAACACGTCATGAAAACACGTCAAGAAAACATATAGTGCACATATGAAGTGTGAACTCACCCTCCCGCTACGAAATGATGAAATGATTTTGCGGGCAGGAGACTGCTGGATGCAGTTGGGTTTGTCGTAGTTGAGGGTACATCGGCCATTGTATCAATCTAACGAATATCCTCCCAAGGAAACAAGTCCGCCAACTTCTAAGATCCAAAAGACAGTTATGAAGAAGTAAGAAGGAGAGCGGGGGGGAATTTTAACGACGCTAACTTTTTTCATTACAAGTCACGTGGTAAGTGAAAATAATGATTAGATTATACAGATAACCGCGTTTTTGATCATGGAACGTGACTCTTCCCGGTGACCATATTATTACTTCGAGTAGGTCGTTCACTATAGAAGGACCTTCTGTTACAGGCTGCTGAAGACATGTTTGTCCTATCCGTGATAAAAGTGAACGTTTCTCCGACAGTCTTGTTACTTATCATTGACTTATTACTAGGATACCATTGCAATTCTGCCAGCAAACTTTGGTGTGCCTCCAGCACAAGCTCTCGTTGCTGAAATAAACAAAAAGTATGCCAATAGAGTCCTCCACGACGTAGGGCTGTGTATTTGCGCGTTTGATCTGGTGGAAGCAGGTGAAGGCAAGGTACGATACGGAGATGGGTGTTTATGGTATAAAGGTGCGTGCTCGAAATTTCAGCCTGTCCTATGGCCGCGACTCATCCTAATGAACAGTCAGGTTCAGAATGGTTGTTTTTCGGCCATTCGCATCGGAAGTGATCCTTGCTAAAGTGAAGTCATCAGACGAAGATGGCATTCGATGTATGGACGCTATTTCCTTCTCTCGTGATTACTAATTGTACCAGTGAGCGTAGGATTTTTTGATGACATTTATGTGCCTTTAGCATATCTGCCACAACCATCTGCCTTGTATGTCCTGTGACCTACCATTCTCTCCAAGCTACTCACAGCTGCCTTCAGTGACCCGAATGAGCGTGCTCATTTCTGGCTACCAGACTCAGAAGCAACAACCTCGCACGGGCTTTTGGAATCTGCAACAGTAGACCGGATGTATATTGACCAAGGAGAAGTAGTACGGGTTCGCGTTGAGGCTGATGAATTTTATGACGACGAACCTGGTCCACCAAAAGCATCGGAGGGTGTCGCAGTAAAACGAGAGGTCCGGCGCGCACCATATAGCATGATTGTGAGCTCGCAGGTATGGGCCGTGTGCGCTGGCTAATGATTCTTTCTGCAGTGCTCCATTGCAGAACAGGGACTTGGGCCTGTCCCGTGGTGGAAGAGCGCGCAGCCTGATGGCGATGCTATGGACGAGGAATGATTCGCTTCTTCCATTCTGCTTTCAATCGCAATGATATTCCAACGTGCATTTACACACGATTTCAACATTATCACACATTGTTACGCTCGACGTGGAGGACCAAGTCATCATCTCGCGTATGTTTGCACCAGCAAGCCTCCCTGACGAGCCGGTGTGTGGAACCTTGCACTCGTTGCTCGTACTTTCCTGGTTGGCTCGACTCCGGAATATAGATCAGGATGGGGTGTAGAAACGGAGGTGGGCGCGACTTGACAAAGGTGTCTTGTTTGGCTCTATATCTACGCGGAAGCTTCCGAAAAGGTGAACACCACTTGAAGTCTCGGAGCATGAATAGCTTTAGTTTAACTTGTGAGACAATCCCTTTGAGGGCCAAGAAGTCATATAACATCGGTACCAAGAACATCCATCTAGTGTGCAGGGAAATTGTTATTACTCTGGGATCCAGTATTCTCTGTTGCAGCAATGCTTGTGCGCTAAGCACATACTCAATACTCAATAGCGGAAGTGTGAGCTTGCAGCGGGTAAACAATGTTCGTGATGCGGAGCTCGCACCCGTTCACGAGTTTCTCCTACTCACACTATTTAATTTTCAGCGACGCGTAGGTCAAACGTTGTTGGGCACGTACCAAAGGCTCCTCATAACCTGCTCATTAAGGTCAGCATCGAGAACGCGTTGAAATAGAAATACTTGGCGACACTTGTCACCACTGTCCTACTGGGACCCTTCCGTGAACCTCTTTCGCGCGTGCAACATGACTTTGCGCATGATGGCTCCAAGCCACCAGATTACTGGATTCTGCATTGCTCAGCAGTACAGGGCCCACCTTAACATTCCTCGGGACTCGGCACAGCACCAGGGAATTTTGCACTGGTGGTCGACATATGGTGCGCGCGCCGAGTTTAAATTTAGCTGAGATTTGCCTCTCCCCATACACAGGCGGAGCATAGATGTCCCACCTTCGTCGCAGCTTGTGAATCGTTCCGAGACGTAGTAGCAGGCCAAGTTATGTCACAATCCCATTCCTCCATGGTCCCGAGATCAACCACCTATGAATGTAGCACTGACTTCGTCTAGAGGCTTGTCGCATGTAGGCGGGTGCTCTGCACGAGCCTTCTTAGTAGGTTTGGAGTATTCCGTGTACCAGCAAAGTCTCTTGGTGGTGGTGACGTGTTCAAGCTCAAGCAGCAATAAATATCGTACCATTCTGTTCATAAGTCGATCTGTATTAGCACCAACTGTACATAAGCCTAAGAAGAATTGTGCGCGGGCGCGCAACACGATGGCTATGATATTGACGGCAGTGGATTGCTTACCGAGTAGCAGAATCAAGCCAGTCCTCGGAGCCAAGCTGTCAAGTATTTGCTGTATTATGGATAGCCTGAGCATCACAGCTTTAAGCCTAATAAGGGTTGGACAGGGAATGCAAAGAGGCTAGCGTACCGACTAGGAGAGTCAAGAGCCATTCGGGAATCGCGCGAGCCTGTCCCCGCTAGCCCGGAATGGAAACACGGGACGGAACAGAATGGCGGGATATGACTCAAGGATGACTGGGCGCGTGAGTAGTGACTTCCAGAAAGGGTAACGATGTTATTGGGGTGACACAGCAAGTTATTTCAGTTGACTGAGCGACTTGGATTACATTGAAATGGCGGCCTAAACCTCTCCATTTCACAACCACTATGGCCGCCCAAAGCAGCTCTACCTTTGCAAATCCTCCAAACTATACCTTTACCTCTCATCGTCTCCATCGAACTCTACATGCCTCTGACAAGCAGCCAATCGTCCTTGTAGCATGTGGTTCCTTCAACCCCATCACATATCACCATCTCCGAATGTTCGAGATGGCAAATGACTTTGTTCGGCAGAACACTAATTTTGAGATTGTCGGTGGATATCTCAGTCCTGTTAGTGAGGAATACAAGAAGCCAGGACTGGTTCGAGCCCATCACCGGTATGTGCGGTCTTTGTGCTGCTCAATCTTATCTTCGAATACATATTGACACGAAATAGGGTCAATATGTGCACGCTCGCTACAGAGCAGGAGTCTTCAGGGCTAATGGTCGACTCGTGGGAGGCATTCCAGAATTATCAACGCACGGCTGTCGTCCTCGACCACTTTGATTACGAGATCAATACCGTTCTTGGCGGGATATCTACCCGAGATGGCGAACATCGTGATGTTCGGATCATGCTTCTTGCTGGATCGGACTTGATCAGCACCATGTCTGAGCCTGGTGTTTGGTCTCATAATGATGTCAGTTACACGTGTTGCGTATGTGTCTCAAGCTAATGAGTGGGTTCCTAGCTCGATCGCATACTCGGACGCTATGGCACATTTGTTATCGAGCGCACAGGGTCCAGTATGGATCAGGCGACAGACAGCTTGGCGCGCTGGCGCAACAGCATTTATCCCATCCCTCAGCTGGTCCAGAATGATGTTTCCTCGACGAAAGTTCGGCTGTTTTTTCGTCGGGGTCTCTCGGTCCGGTACCTCATCCCAGCTGCCGTTATTGATTATATAAAGCAGAACTATCTATACCTAGACGACGGGTCGGGCCCGGAGAAAGAAAAGGGGAAGGACAAGGAAAGTGGCGAAGCTGAAACTAGCCTTCGAGACGGCGGGTCTCTGCTACAATTATAACTAGCTTCCAGTTGATACCTCGGATGATATATTTACTTTGAAGGTAGACGAAGAACATGTATTCCTCCAGAGCCTGTAACGGAAATGCCAGTTTCACTCCACCATCTTGGATACTAGGCACACCGGTTAGCATCTCATTCACGAAAGAAATCACCGTGACAAGTGTGTGCATTGAATTTAAGCTGGGGTCCGCATTGGTGGTCCCGACAGAGCTTTTAAACGACCACTTGAGGGGGCTTACGGAAGAAATGTATCGATCATCCATACATTCCATGCATGATCCACACATTTTATTTTGCAGTCAGGTGCCCAAAACTCGAGCCGGGCGCGGTCTCACCGGGAGTCCCCGGCGATGCACCTCAGATGTAATCGGAAGCAACAAAATGCCCTAGTGGAGCACATATGCTCAAGAGAGTAGGCATAATGGTCGTGCACTCGGTCACGGTCACTGGCTTGTCCGAATCTTCATTGTTGTAAGGGATAAATAACATTTGGCCTTTGCAGGTCAAAGGCACATTGTCGACCTTATAGGTCTCTGTTGGAAGCTCCCGCATAGTTATTGAGAGAAGCCTGCGTGATAGATGTAAATTAGACGGGTGTAGGATGATGCGTGCTTCTAGCCTATAGCTGGTGTGCTTTATAGTAATTGTTGGCGGAGAGATCATGGACGAACCTTGCGACTCTGACCGTGCATACTTCTTTAACGAGATACTGGGCTGTGCTTGAAAACACTGTATCTCATGCCGTCCAAATGTCAGGGGGGCGGCAGAACGAAAGAATGTTTCCTCGTGAGATAATTGATGTGCTTGAGCGATTGAGCCACGAGGTAAAAATACCTACCGGTTTCTTTAAATCCAGTGGGTGAATCGAACGTTCCACACTAGCGAAAATGAAATGATATCATAGTCTGAGCGGAGTCTCGGCGCAGATCAGAAAATCAGGGGTTCCAATGATCAGGATCATGACTCCTGGCTGGCAATGTCATGGGCAGGATCTCATTTGTGATGCGTCTGGATCCACAAGCTGACTAGAGCCATCGAACCGCCATCACATTGAGCGATATTCAGCGCCACTAGTCAAGTGGAACGTTCCAAGACTACCAGTGAGCCCCATGAGGTAAGGCTATATATCAAGCGTTACACCATCGGTCCATTGCACGGCTATCATACCCCATATATCTAGATTGGGAGTGGGGTGTGACTTCACGATATAGTGACGGCAGGGGATTGATCGAACAAGCTTTAAGCTCGATCGTCATTAATATCGTGGGGCCAGTCATGCGCACTTGCTGAGGCTGTCAGAATCGTATTTACTCCACACTCGCTCCAATGCCGACAGAGGTAAGTACTGTCGATCACTATCAGCTCTTGCACTCTTGTGCTTGTCTGTAATATAGTAAATGCAAATCTGTAATGTCATGAACGTGGTGTCCGTGGTGCACGAGATGCAATACTTGCCTCAGCTTCATCGTTTCAAGCCATGGTGCCAATGAGAGGGGGTGGCCCATATTGAATCATGTAAACGGCAGATCGCGTAGCAAACGAGAAGCCTCCGAGTCGTAGTTAGAAAACTACTACCCAGCTGTCATGTCCTGCAGAAAATTCCTATCTCCGGCGAAAGGTGTCAAAGATAGGACTGATACAAGTACACTCCAAACATACAAGAGCGCGGGTTACCAAGTTGACAAAATGTTGGCAAGAAGACGGAGATAAGAAAGGGTACACCGTCACGGTTGGTGGAGGGGAAGAGAAGAAAAAGTCGGAAGCTTTTCAGGTCCTGAGAATATCAACATCAACAGTAACGAATTCCTGCAAAATGTGGTGTCAAGCTACGGTCAGCCTTGCTGAGCCCTGGGTTCAGCGAGGCCGACCGTGGCTCCACATGCCAGCCAAGCAAACCAGTGGTTTAGCGCCATTCAAAAGCGCCCTCGTTGTCGATAGCGTATAAATTCATACACCACGAAACGGAAGCGGGACCAAAAGGATATTTGCATCCTGATTATAGGACTGGAAATTACTGGGTTTGTGCGGTGATCTAGAACAGCGCATGCTCATCGCAGCTAACGACGTGCGGAGTAAGGATATAAAGTTCATTACATAACGCATCGGTTTAGGTCGAGCTTATCTCCTAAAACGAAAGATAATTCGAAGACCCAACAATACTAGTACTATTGATCTAGAGTCATCATTAACGTACAGTTGACAGTGTACATGGCATGAGGCTAGCCGGATCAGCAAAACCGCTGAAATGAACGCTTAGCTTGAGCGCATTACGGATACTTACGATTCGTACGTCAGATGGTTTGAGCAACAGATCATCCACTGAGTTGAACGGGAGCAGTAGATCAGTAGTACTACTTTGTATTTGGGTAAAATATTTGATTGTGATCATATCAACCTCGATAATGGCAGTTGGCGGCTCTCGCTTATTCTCGCTTTTCAACTTTCGGTTTGGTGTTTTTGGCAAAGTCCCTCGCTCAATGTGGTTCGACCGAGACTATGCCAAACGGGGATCGTTCAATCAAGGGGTCCAAAGTTTGGACTCTGGATCATGATTTGAATAAATTCGGTTGAGACGTGAGTACCTAAATTTCGAAAATCTTTCAACTCTAAGACGTACAACAATGGTCTAGACCATACATAACAGCACAAGTACAATGAATGTTAACCGAGAATGGAGGCTGCGCTTTCTAAGAATCTTTTGACCTATACAATGGTGGTCTAGAGCAAGTCCAAAGCGAACATAACTGCGTACATAGCGATGAATATCGATTGTGAATGGAGACTGAGACGGAAGTAAATTTTCGGAGAATCTTTCCCCAAAATCCAAACAAGAGCAATTGCGAAGCAGGAACTTCCTACAATGAATGGATTGCGGAGGAAGGCCATCATAACGGCTGCTTGAACGATAGTCAAGACTATCCGAGTCTTAAGAGGAGACTCTAGAAGGATGGGTATGGTCGGGACTCCGGCCTTCTCGTCCTCGTCATAATCACGTATGTCTGACATAATCTTGGGAAGAACTTGAGCTGAGAGTACATTGATAAGAAGAAAATTGTCTTACGCAATGACAAGTGCGATTGACCGTCGACCAAATGATAATCTCAATGATCGTCCATGGAGGCGCGTTATTGGCCGTTTCCCATGATAACTGCAGTGCTGAGTGGACGACGAAGAATGTCCCACAACTATCTTCAAGTCAAAAATCACAAACCGTCAGGATGCGACAGCACATACCCTCGAATGATACCGTCAAATATAGCCTTCATGCCAGGAACTCGTTTGATTATGAATGGTTCATTAGATCTGGGTGGGTCGTATTCCGTTTCTTTTTGATCATAATTTGCCCATATGAAGCTCTTCAGTACTACACCGATCCGCCGAAGATCAAGCGGCGTTGCCCACAGAAAAGCGGGGGCAGCAAAAACTGCGGTGACAAGCGTCGTTCCTGGCGGGCTTCGACATAAAGCTATCACAAGAAGCGACGCATTAAATGCCAGAAAAATACGGGCAAGGTGGAACACGGGGGCAAAGCGCTTCATGACAGCCGCACCCCAAGCACCGATGACAACTTCTTGATCCTTCAGGTGGTCAACACCGATAGCAAGAATGTCACATGTTACGCATACGGTGATCTTTTACACTATGTAATCAGAAAGACTGTAAGGTTGGAATTCATAAACAAAGGGCTTACCGGCCTCCAGTCAAGCTGCCCAGCGATCTCGTAGGATAGGAGGGATGAAATCGCAGCACTGCTCACCGCTACGACGATGGGCACCAGGATCACAGAGCTAACGAAGGTGGAAACTGTGGGCGTAGCCATCTCGTTGAAGGTAGGTTCTCCGAGTCTGCAAGCCCAATGAGAGAGTTTGAATAGTCTTGTGGGCGACCTTTTATCAGTCCTAAGAGTTTCGGTTCCAAAATTGGAGAACAGCATACCTCACTTACAGTAGAGATTAAGACCTCCAGCACCGCTGGGAAATGGTCAATCACCTGGGTGTCGTGCCGCTTAATTAACCTCTTAACCGGTTAGTAGCAATTGGTCGCGCCGGTTGGCTGGCGATTATTAGTCCGGTTGAGTTTTCCATAATATCTCTCTGCGTCACGCTGATCTGACGGACTGACCCCCAATCTCGCCCAAGCGTGATGCGGTATCTGTCTGCCGACTGCACCCCTACCGGAGCCTCCTGCAGTCTCGTTGCCTTTACCTTGCACCATAAAGCCTCTTGTTAAATGAAAGGACCTCGAAAACTTACCGTGAATTTCTTGATGATGGTAAAATGAATAGCGGACAGCTGTGGTTAGTCCATCAGGAAAACGTAATTCACTACAGAGTGCTACAGAGCGCTCTGTAACACTCTGTAATGAATTACGTTTTCCTGATGGGTCCCCTCTCGGATCAGTTACTTCTGAGCGTAAGTATATGATACAACCCGTTGACGCTGTCAGACGCTGTCGGATCCACTCAAAATCCGCAAACACCGTACGCAGCCGCACACCTATGATTGGACATGTATATATAGACTAAGGATCAGCGCTAAAATCGACTAGCTTCGTGGGATGCGTTTATTTTCTGCACCTGGATTCGCGCTAACTGAAGCACGCTAAGGACGTATAGTGGGTTTAAAGCTCTATGCTCGGTCCCTCGGAGGACACACCGCAAGTTAAAATAAGAGTCGGAGGCTCGCAGAAGATGTTGGATTGGTAGGAGAAGGGGTGAGCAGAGCAGGGGACAGAGTTCGAAAAGTTTACCAGCGGAACGCACCGAGCCGCCAGTTACTGTCGCTGATGATGATCGAGGATGAAATATCGTTCTTCAGGCTTTCGAGCTTCAAGCTTTAACGCTGCGGCTGCCAGGTCTAGTACTCGTGTATGCGCTGTCAGAGGCTGTCAGCGACCAACAAACACACCAGTGAACTAATGAGACTTTGATATTGTAACCGTGCGAAGTACAGAAGGGTAGATTCTGCTCCCGATATTATCTAGACGCTCCCTTGTTGTCATATGTTGTCTGTACTCTTCTAACCTGCGTCGTAAATTTGGCAGCGCAGACAAAAAACTTTCATGATAGATATGATCCGAACTAGTTGCAGCCTGCAGGACACCGTGTAAAGCATATAATGGATATTTGACTTAGCTTAGGCAAGTGTCTGGTACGTAGGAATCAAGTCGTGCACCTATATTGATTATTTTATTGATTATTGCGTGACACAACTTTTGCACTCGCCTTGACGCTGATGACGAACCCGCAGTTCACTTAGTTGGCTTGGGCTACATCTGTCATTCGCAGGATAATCCAAGTTCATCGAGCACACGACAGCTTGCTTGGCCGCCATAAGAACACATCGTACCTACACAACTTGAAACATTTACATGTAACTCCCGTGACAATATTTATGGCAATTATCGTGATTGTTTAGACTCGTGACCAGTCTAGAGTGGGAAATCTTGACGTAGTCACCACTCGACTTGTCCGTGGTTATATAAGCCAGGCTGGTATCGAGCCTAGTGATTGTTGACAATCGATAGTTAACTATGGTGTTTCAATTGGTTCATCAGATTCAGTTCACTGATCGGCGGCGCACGACCTTGACAATTGCAGACAATGATCTTTTTCAGCACCGTTTTTCTCTCCTCCGCATAATCCCCGACCTGCCTCTCGATCATTGGAATCGAGCGCTTCTCCAGCGCCAATAATCGAAGTCAGCGAGTGTTATTTCGTTTCTCTAATCAGGGGCTGACATCCTACTTCTAGCTACAAGTGCTGGACCCTCATTACGCAGCCTGAATGAAACGCCGCGCCTTACAATACTAGTCATCCGTGGTAAACAACGTGCTTCATCAAGAACACTGCCTATCTTGTCAACATTAACGAGCCTATCTTTTAGCCGGCTTGGTTTGACCTCCGTATGCTACGGAACCCCCTGTATTTCTGGTATGGCTCTGTGCGAGCTCAGAGAATTTTGGTTTTTCGTCGTTGTGCGTATAGATGATCATGTGCTGATCAAGCAAGCATTTCCACCTAGGTTGAGATAGATCATTGTTCAACATACGGTGCTACCGGCTGGCATAAGTGACGTTTCTTACGTATTTCCGAGTCCACGGGCTCTGCTCACGTCAATCACCACGAACTTCATCTAACATTATTCGGAAACGTTCTCAACACGATGCACGTACCATACTCCTTTCACCAGCCCCCCAAACACACCTTCTCGAGTCACGTTCCTCGGCACCCCATGGCAGCCTGTCGCTGACAGCTCTCGGCATCCTTCGTTCGGTTCATGGCATTGTGATACCACGACTCAACAAGAGCGTTTAGCTTTATTTATATCAGGGTAATTGGATGAGCATGCTCATCAGTAGACTTTGTCTTTCGCGTCTATCGGGTACCCGAAATCTATTTTTTCGTCTACTAGCCTAGGACCTGTTCTTCGGAGATAGGAGTAGTTCAGTTTACCAGTAAGTCTAAACACGTGCACACTGGCATGTTTTCAAATTGTGGCTACTATCAATAAGCCGTTTTTACTGTTCTCCCTCTGTGATTTCTGTTATTCCTCCTCGAAAGCCAAGCACGCATAGGCGCCGAGTACTGGTCCTGGTAATAGGTTGTCCCTCGACTAGTAAGTATCTTTGATGCACAGATCTAACTCACATGCATAGAGATGTCTACAAAGGAGAGTGCTGCATAAATTTGTACGTACAATATGTGAGGGACTTCGGAAGTGCATCGATCTTTGAAAGATACTGCATGCAATCATAGATAGAAACTAACGTGGAGTGTTGATTAGGATATACAGAGGACGTGTTATCAGAACTCGTGGTCGAATACATCGCTCTCGCCCTGCAATGCGACAGCATGGCCATTCTCCACCGCTGCATGCCCATTGCCTTGTCTCCCAGACCCATATGTTCCACCGGCTGCATCTTCTGGCACCTCCAGATCGACACTCGACTCTGCTCTGCGCGAGTAGGTCGACTCTAGATCACCACCATCGCTAGTTATAGAGCGATTCTTTGACTTCTTCTTTCGTTTTTTCTGCTCGGGAGCGGTATATGCATCTTCCGTTCTTGCCCACCTATCTTTCTTCTTTTTCTTCTTCCGTGCTGGAGCGTCTCCCGCACCAGGAACTATATCATTGAAGTTGGCAGGGTAATGCCAGCGAGAACTTCCTGATTCAGCTGAGCGCATGCTACCTTCACGTTCAGGATTGTAGAATGATTCGTCATCAGCCTTCCAGAGAGCACCGCCATTGGTTGGCTTGGTAAAGGAATCCTGTGTTGTTGAGCGGCTTGGCGACACTTGGCCTTCCTCTAGAGGCTGGTCATCCAGAGCAGAGTTTGCATTACGGTCATTGTATCTCCCTGCCCACTGGGAACGTTTTTCATGACGCTTGATGGTTGAAGTGTCGACAAGGCCGTAGCGCTCGACCCACTTGGGTGTGCGGCGGTGATTCTTGTTGTTCCTAACATTCTGCAATTTCAGAACACGTCAGTACTTTAATTCATAAAAACAATGCGGCTAGCGCTCTTGTTACCTGTATATAAAAGTTGTGCGCGTGTCCTGGGACAAGGAAGTTACTCAAATGCAATCAGGCTGTTGTGATCACAGTGCATACCTGGAATGTATCCGCAAATCGTAAGTAAAAGATTCAGCCAGAAGTCCTTCCCAATACCGAACCTTGCTGCGACAGCTATATTCAATTGGCTTATCAGCACTCGATTCCACGATAGCATTCCTGAAGACAAGATCACAAAGATACACACCCAGTGGGGGGAAGAGCGTCCCCATAATGAAGAGTATGACGGCATACGCATGATACCGCCTGACCTTGGGTCTCGCCGGTTTGTTAGTCTTCGCAGTTGGCATGATGCTCGTCGTAACCGACGTTCATGAAAGGGAGTAAGAGTAAGAGGTACAGCATGACTTGGCGCTTGCCATTGGTGTTGCTGGCCGCCGCAATCTCCAAAAGAGGAAGCGACACGTGAATGATGCCGTTACCTAAACAAGCGTCACAACATCGTGTTCAAGTACCGTCCGTTATTGGACTTCAAAGCTTCAGCGTTAACCTCGACCATCCATACTGCGCTCATCGGTGAGCGCGACGTGTACATATCTCGGTGAGTAATGTAATTGTTAGATCTATATATCTAGTTTCAATGTCCTCGGCAGGAATCACATTTTGACCTGTTTCGCACCAGGTCCACACTCCGAGCTGGAGGCACTTCACAATTTCTATAATGGACCATGATGAAAACGAACCGGTGCTCGACCTCTCAGATGTCGTACACGATGAGCCTTTGGGCTCTGATGATGAACAGATCCATAGTGGAGATGAGGTCGACGTGCACGCCCCTTCCTCATTCTCTGATTCATCACACCACGAACATTCGCCACACAGTGGCGTGCCCCTTTCCCTCGACCCGTCAGTGTCTCCCGAGCACTTCTCAGTAGAAATGCTGGAGCGCGAAATCGCCAGTCTCCTTCACCAGAATGCGACGGCTGCATCTGCTGCACTCCTGAGTGCCGCCGCCCAGCAGCGCCAAGCACAAAACGAGCACGAGCGCGATTCCCCCATTCAGGATTCCGCTCCAGATGATACACAGAAAGTCAGCGATACTACAACTGCTGGTGATACTATTTCTAGTCTTGGTCTTAATCTTCGCAGTATCACAGCCATGCTGCAAGCAGCACACGCGCAGGCTTCATCCCACGAGCGCCGTGCTGAATCATTGAAGCTCCACGACGCGGAGCTTGAGCATGGTCTGCGTACCACGCGCACTGCCCCCGCGTTCCATTCTCTAACGGCTGGCGATGCTGATGACTATATTGTGGATGGTCCTCGAGAATTGGGGCCTCGGGACTTGGACCTCCTCTACCCCACTCAAGAGATAAGGAATGACGAACATAATGACGACCGAAATGGGAATGACGCTGTATGTTCCCCACAACACAAACCTCGGACGGATGTACCAGACGCCCACGAAGGCGTGCCTGGAGAATTCAATGATATCAGTGACATATTGAATCATCTTTCATCACACTTTGAGACCGAAACAGAAACGGATCCCACTCACGGACATCTTCAGGCACCATCGACCGAAAGTACTTCTCCCATATCTCGTTCTCGTACCACGCCTGCCCAGTCACCCGTGCGCTCTAGCCAGCATCTACCCAGTCCATCGCGCCCCACTCCACAACCCATTGCTTCTACATCGACAGTACCAAAGAAGTCTCCCGAAGGCAAGAAGTCAAAGAAGGGGAAGGATAAAGATAAGGAGCAAAATGGCGAAAAGGAAAAGGCAATAAATATACATGCCTGTGAAGAACCACTATGTCGCAAGACATTCACCCGAAGGAGCGATCTCGCGAGGCACATGCGGATCCATACTGGCGAACGACCGTTTGTTTGTAACCATGGCGGATGTGGAAAGACATTCATTCAGGTTTGTATTATTTATCAGATTACACACAGTATCTTACGACCTTTCGGGCACAGCGATCTGCATTACACGTTCATCAACGGGTACACACAGGCGAGAAACCGCATTCTTGCGAATATCCAGGGTGTGGAAAGACTTTCGGGGATTCGAGCAGTCTCGCACGGCACCGGCGAACACACACAGGAAAACGACCCTACAAGTGCGAAGATCCAGAGTGCGAGAAAACGTTTACACGTCGCACGACGCTCACCCAGCATATGCGAACTCACGATCCAACATGGGAACCAGATCCTAACATGTGGGTGTCCAAGCTTAATGCTTTATTCACGGGTACTGATTGGATGACGCAGAAAATACAATTTCAAAGCCAAGAAACAAAAGGTTTCTGATACAACAGAAGATCTCGAGCTAGAAGAATCAGTGCGCACTATTTCTGCGCTATTCTCGCAGACTGGGGGCGTCGCAACCAGGCCCTTGGCGGCTATTGCACCGGGTGAGCCACTTGAAGCCAGAGTGGCAAGTATCAGTGCAGAGATCGCTGCTGCAATTGCCCAGGCATCTTCACGAGCGCTGGACGAGGACGAAGATGAAATGGAGGAAGAAGAGGGGGTTGACGATGATGATGGATGGTGCTCTGGGCATGAGATTGGGAGACCTGAGAGCATAGTGCCCAATACGAGCGGGATCAGAGGCAGTGGTAGTGATGACAATGGTGGGAAGGGTATTGCAGGCGTGGAAGACAACGATGAGGACAGTGACACTTTTCCTATCCCACTACGGACACGCAAGGGTAAGGAACCGGTTTCTTTGGTAGGAATCAAGAGGAAACGATGATCAAGCTCCTGTCGGCCGGCTCGTGTATGTATTCATATTCTGCTTTTACGTATCCGCTGTATAATCACAGGGAATTCATTCGCATTCGGGGTAGTAGGGTCTCCGACTGTACCGGATCCAGTGGGTACTGTGAGAACAACTTGCTGAATCTTGACAACGTCACTGGGAAGCGGATCCATCATCAAGGTGTTTATTGCAGTGTCCGTTTCCATCCGCATACAACAGACGGGCAAATATAACGCTTAAGTATTGTGAAACATTTCCATGTTTCCTTGCTCGCACTTTACAACACCTTACCTAGAACTATAATGGCGTCGGTCTCAGAACAACCCCCTAGCACGGATCTGATCACCTTGAGCAGGTGAGCATGGATATGTTCCGGTAGAGCGTGAAGCTAGACATCGACGCCTCGCAGACATGTGATGGACGACCAGCTGCGACTGGGAGCAACCGCTACGGGAGATCTCACCCTCTTGCTCATCGCTATCCAAGTGACTAGCAAGTTCATCGCAACCAATGTGCGAAAGGCCCGGCTCATTAACCTGTATGTCATTTAACTACACGAATGCTTGTACTCGGAACACCCCTGATGTGACGATCAGTGTCGGCCTTGCTGGCGAGACCAATGTCCAAGGCGAGGAGCAGAAAAAGCTTGATGTTCTATCCAATGACATCATGGTCAACGCCCTGCGGGCGTCTGGAAAGACCGCAGTCTTGGTCTCAGAAGAGCTTGACAATGCTATCATCATCGAGGAGAAAAACCGGGGAAAGTACTGCGTAGTTTTCGACCCGCTTGACGGCAGTAGCAACATTGATGCTGGTGTCAACATTGGGACTATTTTCGGCATTTACGCTGTGGTGCGCCTCTTTCACATTGACGTCTCCATTGCCCTGACCTGCTTTTGCAGAGACCAGACTCTGATGGATCTATAGAAGATGTGCTCAGACCAGGAAATGAGATGGTTGCTGCAGGATACACCATGTTAGTCGTCTGTATGGTTGTCTTTCCAAATGTCCTCACATCCATCTAGGTATGGTTCCTCAGCGAACTTGGTTCTGTCCACTGGGTCTGGTGTCAACGGCTACACACTGGACGCCGCTCTAGGAGAGTTTATCCTCACTCACCCCGATGTAGGGAATCACCCCCTATCTCGCACCCATAATGTTCTAAATCTATCCCCCCAGATAAAAATACCTCCTCGCGGCAAAATTTACTCCTTCAACGAAGGCAACTCGATGTATTTTTACCCTCCCGTGACCAACTACCTAAACTCGATCAAGTATCCGAAGACTGGTTCTCCTTATTCTGCTCGGTACATCGGGTCGATGGTTGCAGATGTGCACAGGACACTGTTATATGGAGGGATTTTCGGCTACCCTGACGATAAGAAGAGCAAGTCTGGGAAGTTGCGATTACTATACGAGGCATTCCCCATGGCCTTCCTGACCGAGCAAGTAAGTGTCTCAGGGGTCTACCCTGGTTAGTTCATTACTAACCACATTACGCGAAGGCCGGTGGTGTCGCAACTACGGGTACGAAACGCATCCTTGACATTGTTCCAACGAGCATACATGAGCGGTGCTCTGTGTTCCTTGGAAGCCGGGATGATGTACAGGACCTCATGAAATTCTATGCCAGTGAGCGTGCATAATCAAGATTAGTGATCAGTGATATGCTGGTATCGAAGTATGTATTCAATGGAATTAATTGTATGATCAAGCCTGTTTCGTCACCGCGTGGTTTTTGCGTCAATAGCCAGCAATAGCCTCGAGCTTTGGCACCGAATGAGGTGATTTGAAATTTAAAGTCCTCGGAAACACGCTTTTTCGGAGCTCGATGATACTAGACTAGTTCGAGGGTTTTGATCACAGGTCAGGCCTTCTATCAGTTTCAGGAGTGCTGACTTACGGTGCTCAGTAATGCATAAGCATTAAAGCAGTTCTAAGAGGGCGAGCGCCATGGAAGATGCATTATGATAGTGAATTTGTAGACCGTGTTTGGCGGACGAGATTTTTAAGTTCGTAAGCTCTTCGGTCTTCGAATTATAGGAGACCTTGACGAATGAGATTTGACGATATTGCGCAATAGCACGCGCTGTCACTTTCGCTGGGCAGTACGAGAGATTGTAATTGTGAAAAGGGTCCTCAACGTTGCAACAAGGCTCGAGTGTTGAATATGAATCTTGATATTAAATTTAATGTTGGCAACGCAGTAATCACGAGGGCTTTGGGTTTAGTGGCGCCGCACCCCCCGACATTCCTAAGCCTCATTCTACCGGTATACTCTTGATCTACCGCGATATCTTGAAGGTCGGTCCATCGGCGCCGTAGCCCAAGATGGTTCCTAGAATCACGAGCAAACATTGCGCTGTCACCTGCCTTGTCAGACTCAGCTTATCGGAAAATTGGAAATATTAGTCAGTTCCTGTCAACAGCAGCTTAGTGAGCACGCAATAAGTACCAGAAATCTTATCAGTCTATTTTTCATCACACCCCCATCGTCACCACCAACTGGCTTACACGCATCGCCATTATCAAACAATAGCTCACGCCATCTCGACTCATCCATGGCGCCGCTGAAGCTTGCAAGGACTCAATCTCGTCCATAGTAATTCTCCTGCACCACCAGACACCCATGACCTACTAGCATCCTCGCCTTTCCCTGACTTCTCAGCCCACCTTGACTTGTGGACAAATCTTGCTTTTGAGACTGATGAACCTCTCGCTCGTAACAAAGGAAAGAGAAAGTCAGTGGACGAATCAGAAGAAGAAGCCGCTGCTTCTCCTTTAGGCCTGCCTACCCATGACGGCCACGAAAACGTGGTGCACCCCACCAGCACTACCATCACTCCCCAGTCTGAGGCCCAATCCCCGCAGTTCGATCTGAACGCGTTATTGGCTGGATTTGGCATCGACCCAATCTCACTCCCGCAATTGGCGCCTGCACCCGCAGAGAATGTGACAGCGCCTTCACTTGCGCAATTGCTTGCTTTGCATACTGCTCAAGGAGGGACATACTCTGTACCCCCTCCTCCTCCTGTTGTACATGCTCAGCCTGCCTCTCAGCCTGCTACTAAGCGGGCTCGTACTTCCAAAAGCTCGGCGTCTACTGAGGCATTCGACCCTGCATCCCCAGTCTCGCCTACTGGGGAAGAGACCCAAGGTGATTACACCAATCCCTTATCCGCGGCGGAAGACAAGCGTCGCCGCAATACCGCTGCTAGCGCACGGTTCAGATTGAAGAAGAAGGAGCGGGAAGCTGCGCTTGAACGGCGCGCAAAAGAGCTTGAGGAACGTGTTGTTGAGCTTGAACGCGAGTGCGAGGGTCTTCGTCGAGAGAATGGGTGGTTGAAGGGGCTTGTGGTGGGCGTAACGGGTGCAGGAGCGAAATAGGGGTCAACGAACGGCGTAGCGCTGTGGAGTGACAGTCTTGCTGAGTGAGGCTTCAGCGCTCTCGGCGTTTGGCGCCGGTGACTTCCTGCCATATCCCTTCGCGGGGTGATGGGGAGAGTATTGGTTATGAAGAGCTTGGCCTTTCATCGCATAATGGTGTGACGATGGAGCATCTTGTGGAGACCGCGAAGACTGGTGGGCACCATGAAGTATTGTTCAACCAGACTCTGTATTATTATCGATAATTTTTGAATTGTTGACTTTTTACTGTGCTAGCAGACATCTTCATGAATTCGTTTTTGAGCCTCATGGGGTAGGAGTTGTCTTATCATTCTAAGTTAAGTTCAGGCATGGATGTGGTCTCGACCGTGAATGACAATCGTGTGTTTTACGACCGATATATAACCGATGCCATGCCGTATCTTCTATCGCATGTCCTCCACATGGACTGCTAGCTGCGTCTATAATCAGCTGTTTATTTGGCCTTGTTGAATTCTCAAGTCCATACCTAAATCGGGTATATTCTCGATTTAGTAACTAGGTCCGTGCGCTGTTCAAGAAGATATAAAAGGGAGCTGGTCAGGATTTGAATCCTTACCACTCTGGCCTTTTGGCTTAGATCAAGTGTAGTATCTGTTCTTAATAGTTTAACCACTATTATGAGGGCACCGCCCTCATTCTTTGGTTATCAAATTTTTGCCGCCCTTGTCCTCTCGAGCTCTGCTTGCAACTTGAGGGGTGTGATGACCTTGCTACTGCACTACTGGCTTGCGTCGTCGGGGGTTCCTTTTTTGGAGTTCTTTGTCTCTTTGTCCCGTTTGGTTACTTGGTGGTCTCTTGACTACTTATGACCCTTGACAAACAGATCATGCAACTTCTTTTTGTATATCTTTTTACAGCTGTTTGTAAAAAGGTTGACAGTAGCGACATTTTGAGAAAAGAACAACAAATAAATAATAGATTAATAGCCACATATATACATCACAAATTGACCATCATGTATCGGAAAATCAGTCACGACTAGCCGCAATTAATCTTCACAAGCATCAACACCTTGCACTCGAAGACATTCTTGCTTGCGTCGGAGATTCGGAATGCACGTTCTGGCGGGTCCTCAAGCTCTGGCGCGAAACGGGAGGCATACATTGCGTCAAGCGTTTGCAAGTATATGCGCGTGTTATTTGACCCTATGTATGTGGCTATTATTTATTTGTTTTGTTCTTTCTCAAAATGTCGCTACTGTCAACCTTTTTGCAAACAGCTGTAAATGTACTCGGCTCAGGTATCCCGATGTGGGATTGTTCGGTAGAACTGTACGTGGAGCTAAATGACCATGTTCATGCATGTGGTGCCACTGGCCATCAAATAAATAAGAGAGTGCTAACACCGTTGCTCACCTTTCTGCATTCAGGTTATCCAAGCTATGGGTACAGTGCTATGGCTCAAATTTCTTGATCAGGCACGTACATGCCTGCTGTCTCGGCCGAGAGGAAGTGTTGAATTCAATTCCTACAGACATCCAAAATCGTGACCACGTTGACTGCCGCAGTCCTTCTCTACACCCGCTCGGCAGGTGTCGCATATTTCGTGACTGGCGCGGTCTTATGTTCAGCGCTTGCCAAGTGCATTAAGAGGGCAATACGACAGGAGCGCCCATTGCTGCACTCCGGACGCAAGGTATCTTATGGGTGCGCAAATTCAATCCACTTCCATTGACGCATACAGTCTAATTGCATTGTCAACATACTCCTGCAGAATGCCTAGCTCACATGCATCCGCATGCACCTTCTTTGCCACATATATTACGACAACTTGCCTCCAGCTACCTGTTCACCCTACCTTGCCTAGTTCCGCTATGTTCACTCCACTGGTCATCTTACCATGGACATTCATGATAGTTGTGTCAAGGGTCCAGTTGGGCCATCACACATGGCCGCAGGTTGCGGCAGGAACTGCCCTTGGAGCCTGCTGTGCTAGCTTTTGGTTTAAGCTATGGGTGGATGATGCAGCTGGTGTCAAGACAACTGGATGGGAAGTCGAAGCGATGGTAAAATCATGGCTTGGACAATGATCTCAGGAGCATGTATATATCCATTCACTACACTTATAGAGACATTCATGATTTTTTGTTAGTAACTGCAGTGAGTGATCTGTCGGCTGTGTTTCTATTCTTCCGCTAATTCTGTTTCGGAAAGTTTTTTTTGGCGTACACTGGTTGCCGCCTTGATGTGAATTTCTTGTCCGTGCGACTGTCAAGTGTTGGGTTTTTGTTCGATCGTTTACCCATCCTTGTCAGATAGAGATATACGATAAATGCAAGTCAGTGTTTGTGGGATATTTCCGTCTCCTGTGACGGTTTTTGGAATGCCACCTGAAGTCATAGATCTGAATTATGCCCTGGGTGTATGCCTGCAAGCAGAATGGGGTCACATTATACCCTTTGTCACAGGTGAGGATAAGTTAGAGCAGCTGGTGTCTTTAACTACCAAGCATGGTCGTCGGTTCCCTCACGCTGAACATTCCTTATTATGGCGTCTTCATGATCTGAATGGGAAACTGTATTTCACCGTTGCCAAGTAGGACGACAATTCAAATACAGGTTCACTGGTCTGTGTTCTTGTTAGACTTAGCCTACTAATTTCAGTCGCGTGACCGACGCGTTACGTGTGACGCGCCTCCTTGAAAGCACGCAGTTTCAGTTCTCAGATTTCTTTTACTCGTACTTTGTCCAAAATCGAGAATGAGTCTGCGCCGATTTGCCCAGGCCAACCATGCAGCAAATACTCCAGGTTCTCCACTCTCTCCGTCGCCCAGGCTGAGTGGTGTAGCTCACACCCCAGTCACGCCCCGCACACGCGTGTCATATGTTCAGTCTCCATCTTCCACTCCTTCCATATCTTCCTCTACGCCATTCGACTGGGATGCCGCACGGTCAAGGAGACCACCACCTTATGCTTCGCCTCTTAGCGCAAAGCGTAAATCTCGTATGAGTACCATCCCGGATGGGCTCAGGCCACCGCCAAAGAAGGTTGTGAAAAAGAAAGGCATATTTGAGAGGTCAGTGATTGTTTCGAGCGTTTGTGCATAGTTAATTGATGAGTTATCAATGCGTTGGTCATTGCACAGAATTACAGCGCTACCTTCACAGATTATGTTCGAGATCTCATTGTTTCCTCACAACCTACCCATGCCGGCTCCGAGAACGACCGGATGGCTCATCGGGTCTGGCATGCACCTGCTGCACCTTTGTCTGCGTATATCTCAGATACGCGCCACAGCTGACTCAGACATCGGCTGGGAAGACTTGTATTGGGAACGTAGCCAGCAAAGCTGGTTTGACTGGGTAAGCTACGCTCGACACTGAATCTTACACGTCCTTACATATCTTTCGTAGACCATTCCGATGACAGGTGTTCTGTTGGTTGCCTCGACGTTGAATGCAATGCACCTTTTCACGCAGAGCAGAACGTATCGCCTGCATCGTCGAACCAAGGCGGACCCCGTGTCCTCGCCACATACCACGTTTGTAACGTCTCCCGCACGTGCACGATCCCTTTCTTCCGACGAGCCTTCTCCAATGGCCTCCTTCAAAACCCGCATCCTGCGCGTGGTAAAAGTCGTCATCATTTTCCTATGGACATGTTTTATCTCCTTCTGGAAATTTCTGCTTGGTATTTCCACTCCCACGCCTTCATCATCTTCGCCCGCGCGAGGTGCACCTGCAGATCAAATCCAACAGCTCGAGATCTGGACACCAGGAGAGCTTGAGCGTGTGCTTCTCAGCGTATATTCCCCTGTTCACGCTCTTATATGGATGTCTACGGGTCCTACGAATTGGATACTTATGACTGCTGTGATGGGTGCCGTGGGCGTGCAAACTAGTCTTCTCGTACAGGCTTATGAGGGTCTTGTGAAGGATCGTGCTATTCTTGCAGCTGAAGTCATGCATGAATATAACGAAGGGGTGAGTTATCGTCGGGTCTTTGGCAGGACGTCTCCCGCTGACATGATCTTTATCTCAGTTCGTATATCCGCGAATGAATATTGTGAAGAAGGATGTCGCTGTCATGACACATCAATCGGAGATGATAAACATCTGGGAAGACTAGCGATCCTAGATCAACATCTCAAAAATAGCTACAAGTCATCGATTCATTCATGAGAAAGTATACCTGCATGTAGATTGGACTATCATCAGTACATTCACCCTAATATCCTGGACCGTAGTGCCCGAGACCTGATATATATATTGATTTGTGTATTTTATTCGTACCAGCTTGTTTCCAGCTCGTGCTCGACCCTTCGTTTATTATTCATCTACGTAATTCGTTTCTTTAAACTCGTCAATCGATCGAGTTCCATTCCTTTGTAAACTGCTCTTAATTTTACACATAATTAGATATGAACGCTGGCAAAACTACTTTGCTGAAATCTTACATATAACGAATTCACGGAATTTGCGGCGCTGAGTAAATAAACGCCGCGTCGCGTCCCACTACTTGGTTATCGACCTTTACAAAAAGACGTCATCCTCCCAAAGTCCTGAAAGACAGGAGCTCCAAGGACGTATCTTGAAGACGAAAACTAGGCATGCACTTGTGCTGCCATCGACCATGACTAGCACATTCACGGCTACCCTGGGGTTATTCTCGCTAACTCTGATATATATCTGCTTACCACGCAGCAAATGACGTCCGTCTGACAGTTTCTCCACAAGGATGTCGGATGTCATGGATGTCTCCATCTTACCTCCTCCAACACAAATTCAACACCTCATGGACACCATTAGCACACCGGTATTCACTCTGGTTATACCGTGAGGTGGGATGGGATCCCAACCAGGTGCGTGTCTATTAACCACTCCATTAGCTGCAATCCGATAACTAATGCTCAAGGACTCGAAATAATTATATCCGAACCTCACTACTGATAAAGGTCATGGGTGTACCAGTTCTGTTCATTCCCGGAAACGCTGGCTCGTCGCATCAAGTCCGGTCCATTGCATCCTCTGCCTCAAGACAATATTTTTCGTCTCCTTTGTCATCTCTAGCGACTTTACGGGTCGTGGAATTCAGTCGCTGGACTTTTTTGCTGGTAGGCTCAAATTCAACTTCATGTAGCTCAAATTGGTGTCGCCATAAGCTACCACATACCAACAGAGTCTGGCTGACGTGTCTCATTTGTCTAGTGGAATTTAACGAAGACCTTTCGGCATTCCATGGACCTACTATTGAGTCACAGATCGAATACTCCGCTGCGGCGATACGTTACATCCTATCACATTATCCCCCTAATACCCGAATTATCGTCATGGGTCATTCGATGGGCGGTATCGTAGGGACCGCTCTTCTCCCATCCGACGACATATCCGCATTGATAACCATGTCTACTCCCCACACACTACCGCCCGCACGCTTTGACGCTCGTATAGATGAGATATACCGACGAAATGCTGAATCTTTGGCGAATGACCCGACGCCCGTCGTCTCGATATGTGGAGGAGCATCAGACATGATGATTCCGTCTGAGTCCTGCATTCTACCAGATCCTGGAGATGGCAATCTGGGAAGTGCTATTTACCGTCGTACAGTCTTCTACATCTGCACTGGAAGGTGCGTGGACTGGGGTTGGTCATCGCGAGATGGTATGGTGTCATCAGGTGCGATGGCGGGTTGCTCGTGCTGCCCTCGAGCTTGGAGGAGCAAATTCCCAGGTAGATATGGCGACCATATTGGATACCTGGCTTAGTAGAGATGGTCGTTTCCTTCCTTCTGCAACAGGCATAGATATTCCCGAGGCAACGACTTACGAGGCTCTTCCTGAGGGTATGAATCTGGTCTTGAGAAAACCCACTGAATCTCGGACATACCTCCTCCCTATACCGCGTGCTCTTGAAACGAACGCTACGTTTGTCTTGTTTGTATCACGAGGCAGCATACCCCCCATTGCACCCCAGCATCCGACCAAACTGCAGGCGTTACCTTACTTTTGCGTTGGACGCGCGACATCGCCAACAACACAACAATCCTCAGAGTCCGTGTCGTGTGTACCGCTCGAGCCCAGTACTCTGAAGCTCTTACCAAGTCCTCAACTGGGAAAACCTTTTCCAGTACCGGATGAAGGGTCTGATGAGAGCGAGGGCGTTGTCCTTTTCGAGGCCACTGTACCACGTACACCTAGTGATGCGGAGGATGCTTGGATCGGTGTTCATGTTAACGCTGCTGGTGAAGATAACTGGGTGTTTGGAGGATTCGACGAGACTCGGACTTTCTCAAGTGATATTGGCGTTTTTGGTTTGTTTTCACATCCCTTGGGTTATTCGTTCTTTTAAATTTTAATTGCATGATAGACATCGTTGCTGGTGATGCAAAGCTCTCGCTGCAACTTACTGAGCAGAGTTTGGTGCGAAGGCACATTACCTTTCCGAGGTTGCTCTCGAACGCGCTCTTGGTATACACACTCACTCCAAAATCAGTCCGTCCCACGGCGTCTTGTGCACGTACGTTTATGGTGTTTCAGTGATCGAGAATATTGCTGATGATTTTTTTGATGTAGGTTCCCCGCCCTTGCTTCCCCCGCTTTTGGTGCACAAGTCCCATCCAGCAGAAAGTCATTATTATCGCCTGAAACATGAGACATCAGTTGCTCTCCATACACATGCATCAGCGCCGTACATACCCCTCTCAAGGTTTTCTCCGTCCTATAGTTCAGAGCTCTGGATGTACTCGATCGGCACTGGCTGTGAAGATGTCAACGAATTTACTTTGACTATCGACTGGTGGACGACCATTGGGAGGGTTACTACTAGGTATCCTACTACCCTAATAAGCTGGGGTGTAGGTGTGGTTGCGCTGTTGATATTTCAGGCATGGAGCGAGAGTGGGAAGGGTGCGATGCCAAGTGTGTCACAATCGTTGGTCGCCTTCATCTGTCGCCTTCTGCCAAAACTGCTTGCCGCATCCTTTGTTGTAGCCCTGTTGCCCTTGAGCCCTGATTACTACTTAGGAACTCGAGGAGAACCGTTTCTCGGATTTCTTGCGCCAATCCTGCTGGTTGTCGCCACAGGTCTTGTATGTGTTAGCTGGTGGCTCATATTACTCCTCATGTGGCCTTTGAGATTCTTCACTCGATTGCTACCACCGAAGTGAGTTATTATCAGCCAAAGGGACAGACTTACTGAAACAATCCGCTCCACAGGAGCAGGCGATACGATGACCTGGCAATGCCACGAAGCACCGTTGTCTCTCTTGTTTTCATCTCTTTTCTGGTGTTTCTGGTGGTCCCATGGCAAATTGCATTTATGGGATGCTGGTTGATTCATTTACACACATGTGCGAGCTCAGCACATCGAAAGCCTTACCCTGGCTCTGTGCCTTCTCTCCGAAGCACACCCGTCGAATCGCTTCCTCTGCGCGAGCGCTTCGATGGCCGCGAGCAGGACACGCAGAATACGCAGGACACTGAATCCAAAGAGATAGAGCCCTCCGAAGAACCTGAAATTCAGGACGTGAGCCGGGCTCAGAGTTTGGTCACTGTCACCGATACTCTGGATGCCACCCAAGCTTATCATGAGAACACGCATCTCCTGTTGCTGATGACTTGGCTTCTGCCATTGTCAATGCCTGTGCTTGCGGTTTGGGTGAGAACCCTGATGACCGCCGGGTATACGGCCCCGTTCAACGGCGATCACAATGTCTTCAAGGTTGCACCGTTCCTTGTACTTGTTGAGTTCACAAGTCGCAGAAAAAGTGCTTTGCTATCGTACGGAAAGTGAGTGTTGTTTGTTGCGGTTGAGATCGAGATTCATTGGTATACACCACAGTACGGGATCATACCTTCACTGGGGATACATCATCGTCGCCTGTGTGTCGTTCTTGCTTGGCTCCCGGGAGGCATACAAGGTGTTCGATGTTGCGAGTTTGTGCATCGGGTGCGCATTAGTCGTAAAATTCAGCCCTGTCCGTTTTGGTAGACGCATTGCTACATGATGATTTGAAGGCTACCTGTTTGCATTGTGCAGATATTCACTTTTCGCTGCTAATGAAATAATTACGTGGAGGCAGCTCACACCATGGAGAAGACACACCGTCCGCTTCTATGGTATGAGCTGGCTTGGATATGAGCGCCTGTGATCCGGCCCACCAAAGCCCGCTATGTCGCAAGAATTCCTTCCGTCATAATTCAAAGAACTTCTTTTGCTATTGTGAATTATATATTAAGTGTTCGCTACCGCCCTTGTATTCTTTCCCTCCCAGTGTTGTACTATCACCATCACCATTTCTCCAGGATAGTCTACACGGGGGGATTGCTCCACAGTCATAGGTGTTGGGCGAGGGCATCAAGATTAGGTGCGAGGACGCGGATCAGTAAAAGATCGTCGTTTCTTGGTATGGAGACTTCGCGTGGTTGAGATGGTGCATTGTATACTGCATCTATATGTGCGACTTGAACATGACCAGAGGGTCACCAGTCACCGACCTCCGGCATCAACACGAATTTACGTAACAAAATTTGTTATCGTTTATGTTACGAACAAAAAGGTTGATGGTTGTTGTTTGGTTCCGAAAACGATTGTGCAAATAAAGGGATGAACGCAAAAGGCAAATCGAGCAACTGGTTCATTTTTCAACCTGTTTCTTCCCTTCCTTCCAACCACCTTGCGCTGCCCCCCAAACTCCAGCATTTCAATTGCACTTCTAGAACCTGATTGCCGTTGTCATCTAGACGGCAACCCTTTTTGAATTTACCCACCTTTTTTTCAAGACGTCCAACCTGCGCGCACCAACCCATACCACCGTTTCGCCTTCTAGCTCAATTAGCGTACGAAACGGTGCAGCAAGAATGGCAAACCCTTCTTCATCACACCATGAGCGTGACCGCGAACGTGAACGTGAGCGAGAGCATCGTCACCGCTCAGAGCGACACCACCATCACCGAACCATTTCTTCAACAACCCTTCTACTCGTCCTTTCCCTAGTTCTTGCAGTTCTCGCAGTCATGCTTTCGCTACCCGCATCCAGTGGTACAAAGGCAGCAGCAGGAGGAGCAGAAGACCCTGCTGCATCTGGACTCTGGGGTTATCTAACTCCCAAACGATCGCAAGCGCTTGTAGCTCGCGAGAGCTCTGTTGCTGGTCGTGAAGCTGAAGTAGCGCGTCGCGAAGCAGAGCTTCTTGTCGGCGCGCCTGGTGGCGTGCTTCCTGCTCAACAGTCCCCGATCATTTGCCCTGTTTGCCCTACCGCCACGGTCGTAGATTTCGCACCTGCTCAGACTATCATTAAAGAAGTCGTAAAGGAAGCAGACCTTGCACCTCCAGGGTGGTGGAAGGAGGCCAATGCCCGTGCCGAGGAGATTCTAGATCGCGAGCTTAGAGTTAGCGAACGAGAACGCGAGATTACTCGCCGCGAGGAGAGTGTTAACAGGAGAGAGCATGATTCTTCCAGACGCGAGGCTTGGATAATGGAACAGCTCGTGTATGTTCCTCCATTATAATCAGTTACGATTGAATTACTCACCGAGCTCTTGTACAGTCTCATCAACAACGATGGAGCCTCTCTTGAGGAAGAAGTTTTCTATGAGCCTGCTGGTGGCAAGCGGAAACTCAAGGTACCACCAATCGTCCCGCGCCGTCCCGAGCTCTGAGACGAAGGAGGATTTTCCGTTTATTTATGTCGATCAATAAATTCGGAAAATCTTTCTACTTCATCTTGTGTAACAGTCTGTATCTCCTCCTTCGTCCGGGCTTGGGGGACAACGGTTTCATCTCGTCCCCCTTGTCATCTTGCGGTAAAGTGGAGACCAGTTGGTGGTGATGGCTGCTTTTAGATACGACGCGATCGAAACACGGTACACGTGACGGCTAATGGCCATATCTTGATTTAATTTTGGGGTTATTTTCCATGCCGCCAACTGGATCTCTCGTTGCCGCGAAAGAACAGTTTTGCTGACCATGTTTTTTTCTTGTTCCACAGGAGCTCTCTCCCATGATAATTGCTGAAACTGAAACAAAAACCATTATTCAATATGAAACTTTACCTGCTTCGACTGTCACAGTTCCCCCACCTGCCAACACCCGGTTTGCTGCATTCCCTACGCCTGAAGTCTTTTCATCGTTCTACACCACTCAAATTCCCAGAACCACGGCCATCACTGTTGAAGAAGATATCATTCGTGAGCCCCTGCAGGTTGAGGAGATGGATGAATACGAGGTGGAAGAGTTCGAGGATGATGATGTGAGAGCAGTCACACTTCGCCGCGGTGCCCGGCCGAATCGGCGACCGCCACCAAATTCACGTGGCTGGTTGTGGTAAATGGACCCTTTTCGCTAGCTTTGCTCTTTTCTTTATTCTTTTAACCACCTGCTTCATCTTTATTCTGTTTCTTTTTCTTCATCGCTGCGTGGTTTCCTGTGACTTCATTCTACTCCAGCCTTGCCATCTCCCTTTACACACGACACGACAACTCACGGTTCACGGACTGCGTTTGATACGTACGGATTGAGACGGCCTATGACATGACGATGGGATTCACTGCTTTCTTGAGTATGTAGTATAGGTTACGCTACAATCTTTTGACTACTTATAGCCCCTGTTCTTGGAAATATACAATTTAACGGCGGGCCTTCGCTGTGCATACTTTCTATGGCTGTGGGAAATTTTCGTAAACCTCGTGTTAAGCTTTAGTTCTTTGTATTTTATACCCTTTGTGTTTAGACCAATTGATAAGTTCAGGTGGAAACTCCTGAACTGGGTCGCCGCCTACATATCGCGTTATAGATCACTTCAAAACAGTCTCTCTCCAGCCATTCTTAGTTTTTGCAATCACCAACTAGCAATTGTCTGCACCTGTCAGAACTCATCAGGGGTTTTGCGAGCCTAGGCAATTCCAGCGATGGCTCAGACACGCTGTCTAGTGAGTCAATTAACGTGCCACTTCCTCCGTAGCATTCCAGCATCACCTCATTTCCCCTGAGACTCCTGTCGTGTCAACGCGCGCGTTTTTACTTACAGTCACAATTTAGTACTTCGATGAAAGTGGTAATAGTCGCAATGGAGGTTGTTACACGGGCGATCAATGCAAGTATGTTCATCCTGGAAACCCCGCTTGGGATACAGCCCAGGTTCGTGCTCCAAGAGGTCGCGGAATGGGCAGAGGTGAAAGTTTTGTGAGTGAACATTGGTATGCTTTCAATGATCGTTTTCACTGACCTTTTCACTTCTTTTAGGGAGAATCGAGAGGATCGTTTGGTCGTGGAAGAGGGCGCGGATCTGGATCTGTTAATATGTCTAGATCATCTTCGGCGCAGGGATGGGATACTGGAGGAGGACATGACAATAATGCACCAAGCTCGAACTCGGGCTGGGCGATAACAAGTACAAGTGCAAAAGGTAGACTGGGCTCCTTTATGTAACTTGGTACATCTAACGTATCATGCATCTCAGATTCCAGTAAACAAGCCAATGTTGCTACTGCTTCTCTGTGGGACACTGCCGATCCATGGGGTATGGAACCAGCCTCGGGAACAAAGGAATCTTCCTCTAAAGGCGGATGGGGTGAGAGCGACACATGGGGCGGCAACTCCGGTACAAAGGAACCCTCTGAAGGCGGATGGGGTAATGCTCCCGGTGGCGACAAGTCTTCTAGTGCATGGGGCGCAGCAGAGACGATGAACACGACATCACGCGCACAGGAGAAACCTAGGAGCTCAGAAGCAATGGAAATTTATGGCACATGGGGTGACACCTCCAATAACGGGTGGGGTAATCCTCCTGGTGGCGACAAATTTGCTAGTGGATGGGGCGCGTTGGACACGACTGAAATGGCGTCGCTTGCACAGCCGAAACGTAATGATGCCGACCAAGAGAATCACAGATTTAAACCATCACCAGTCCCTCCACCGCCACGGCCTCCGCGCCGTGGCTCGCGTGCACAAGACGACGAGGAAGACACGCGTCCTTTGAAGATGACCGGGACGAATGACGTCCCAATGATAAATACTAGATGGAACAAGAAAGTGGATACGGCGGCGCCCCCGCATGCAGCGCCTTCTGAGAAACCTCGCCTTCCACCACTCCAGACGAGCGCATTAAACAACGCGACTCTCAGAGAGCCGCCAGCTCCAATGTCTACCAACCGCTCTGAGGACGACCGTATGGACGTGGAGAGCTGGAGGCAGGATGCGATAGCGATACCAGAGAAAGCTTGTGATAGGTCACCTTCCCTATTGACAGTGACAGGATCAGTTGTCAATCGCAAGAGGAAACACGGAGGCTCAGACCTCGAGAAGAAGCAGGAGATATGGAAGGATTTTATCAGGTGCGTGGAGTCGAACGTTCAAGTCAAGAGCTTCGCTGAATCAAATAATGCAGAATATGCGACCGCGCCGTTCGAGCAAAGGTAGATCTCGCAAAAGCAGAGGCAGAGCGTCAAAACTGGAGAAGGATGCAGAAGTCTACGAACTATTCCCGCATCGGCGAAGCTGGCCGCAACCGCCTGGATGGACATCGGGCAGAGCTCGAGAAGATTTGCGCCGGTCACTCAGATAAACTATCGCAGGCGATCAGTGAGCTCGCGGAGATTGGAGACAAGTTGAAATCTGGCATAGATTACGAGCAGCGTTACAATATTGGAACTGAGGTGACGCGCTACTCAGAGGAAGTCGGGGCTTGGTTATCAGATATCCGCCCACTGCTTATTGCTAACGCCACCCAACACCCTCCGAATACCGAGCAACCTACTCCTCATGAAGATGAACCATCTGAAGAACCATCAGCTATTCCAGATGGTCTGGATCCCTTGCGATCTCGTTTAGACAAACAGGAGGAGATACTCGAGGAACTGCGAACAGTGCTGACGCTCGAGTCTTCAAATAATCCTCTCGCTACTATTAACAACACCATCGACCAGAAGATAGATACCCTGCGCAAAGATCGAGCAGAGGCCAAGGCCCAACGTGCTAAGCTTCCTCCACCGAAGGTTATCTTACCACCCGAGGCGACGGGCGCTATAGAAGATGTTTCTCGTAAAGCGGCGGAACTAAGCGCGGCCATGGAAGCGCCTGTCAATGACGTCGCAGAGCTACTCATTCGTCAAAATGACACACAGAAAACGCAGGCTTCTTTCAAAACTGAGAACGAGGAACTCAAAGAATTGATAGCCAAGGTAACTCATTTAGCAGTTATGTTTAATATGTCTCATTATGTCTCTCCTTTAGCTCACCGAGACGTCCGCTGCTAATAGAAAACTGATCCAAGAACAGACCGAAGCCATTCAACGTCTCAGGGTTTCACTCGAGGCAGCTTCTGAATTGCAACGCACTCCTCCACCCCCTGCCGAACCCCCAGTCCAAGTCATGCTCGACGACCTTCGTGCAGCAGTTGATGGTGTGCTACACGGTATTGTATCACGCGAAGTCGTTCCTACGATAAATAGATTACGCGACGATTGCTGGTCAGAAAACCAGCACTTTCACAAGGAGGTGTTTGAGATAATCTGGGATAAGATTGAACCCAGCTTAAAGATCGCCGAAGCCGTCAACCGTTGGGCGTCGAGGTTAGAACTCTCTGCATCCTAATGCGTACCTCGTCAAACCATCCGTCTATCACATTATCTACTTGCATGTAAACAACCATCTTACCTGTTCAGCCTACACTAGTTAAGGATTAGTCGGTCACTTCCCTTAATAGTAAACTTGTACTTACATGATGAGTCGGTGTGTCGGTCAAAACCTCCGGCTGGATGCTCCATTGTTGCAGTTCACTGTCTCCAACGCTCTAGAAACCATCATCGTACTGAAACAACTGAAATGAAGCAACGTCCTTGGAAAACAAAGCGCTGTAACGTGCGTGTTGGCGGAACGCCCAGATTTTGCCTGAAGAACTTACTACATTTACGTTTCTTTGTTCCACTCTAGCTCTGGGATGACGACAAGAAACCAAGGCGGGTCAAAGGGGGATTGACTGGTTGCTGGAGAAATGACAATGATTGTTTCTTTGTGCATCCGACAGAAAGAGAATGGGACACGGCTGAACCGTCCTTCCCTCCGCCGGCACACGAGGTTATTGACAACGACAACGAATTCCGCTACGAGTTGGGCAGCAGACATAGAAGACCAAGCGATTTTTCCTTATTATCAGAATCTCGTCGCGATCCCCTTCGATACACTAGCCCACCCAAAAGTCCCCGAGCATATCGGCAGGACAGTAGAAACGACAAACGGTCACGTTCACCTGCCACATCAGTGGCTGAATCTGACAAACTCGAAAAGCTACGAAGGGACGACGGCTATCACCGACGCACGAGCATAGCAGGATCGTCGTCGTCTTTCTCTAGACGTCGTACTCCCCCTTTGGATGATCGCGGGAAGCGTGGCGACCGAGCTCGCTCACCAGGACCATTATCTCCACCGCGGCCTCAAATGTCCATAACAAAGACCGTCATGCCTCCGCCTCCGCCCCCTCCTCAAGGAACTCCGCCAACAAGACCACTACCTCCCGTCCCTATACCTCCATCCTTCCTTTCTCTAGACAAAGACATATCACAAAAGCCGCCCGGAAACTTCCGAGCATTATCAGGAGATGATCTACGCAAAGTCTGGCATGAAAGAGTAGAGTGCGTTTTCTCCGTGTTATACTTATTGACTCGCGAGCTAATCGATCGCCTTAGTCTCCTTTTCGCATCCGTAAAGGCGCGCGAACAGTTGAGCTATGCAGAGGCAGACTTGAAATTGAATAAACTGGGCGAGTCGTCGCGCATGGCCGACGTGTCGAACGCTCGTGCCAGAGCTCAGACGGAGTTGCGGTGCGAGGCGAAGAAGAACGAGATATCTGATAGCATCCAAAAACTCACCGCATCAGATTTCTGGCCGGCTCTGAAGCCACCTGACTTGCAGAGCGTGGAGGCCAAGTTTGTCGGCATGAAGCAACAAATATCAGAACTGAAAGATTCAGTCAGCGAGCTCAGTACATCTTTCTCTGCACTCCTCCGGTTAAAAGACCCTGGCACCGCCTCCAGATCAGGTGAACCCCCGCTGAAGAAGCGAAGGTTAGGGGGAGAGAACCCCACGGCTGGCTCTAGTGAAGTCACTTTCTCACTCAGTGCCTTGGATGGCATTCAAGCACGCCTGAGCGGTGTTAACAGCCAGCTACTTGATCTCCAGAATGACGTCTTACAACGCAACACGATCATGGGGGATGAGATTGAGTCTCGTATCAATGCTCGGCTGGAAGAGGTGGAGATATTCCCTGATGAAGATGATATGAATCCTTCGTCAGCTGTTGTGACTGCTGTGGTGCAAGCTGAGACTGCCAAGGCCCTGGACATAATCAATATGACCGGCCAACAGCTGGGAGAAGTGGCGCAGGAGGTTGGGAATTTGATGATACAGAGCAAAGGCACTGACGACGAAGCTACGCGGTTAAGGCAGGAAAACGAGCAACTCAAAACTGAGATCGTCAAGGTAAGGAATGGCTCTGGAACGGCAAAAGTCAAGCTGACTAGTTTGCATTCAAGCTCAAGTCGTCAGCCGAGGCTGACGCCAAAGTGGTCCAGCAAAATAACGAACAAGTAGAGGCTTTAGCAGCAGCTCTACAAGCTTACATCTCACAAGCTCCGCCACCACCTCCACAACCAGTGATTCCAACCCACGAATATCTCATGGAAGAGCTCGAAGAGCACATTCTTTCCAGCTGCATGAAGGCCATCAAGCCTCTCTTGCAGGAGATGAAGGACGAGGTCTCCAAGATGTTAAATGACGAGAATAATGCTATGTATCAAACTCTCTGGCCGAAGATCGAACTTGTGTTACGCATGGTGGACACGGTCAAAAAGGGCAGCAATATCATTCTCGAGTCGGACGAGTGAGAATGTGCCAGGGTTCGCTGGAAGCTATGCATCCAACAGAATAATATAGTCATATATCCCTACCATAGCACGGAGAACATCCATTCGAACCCTTGTTGGCATTCAATGGTAATGATATAGATATATCCACATAGTGCAACATTCAAATGCAGACGTATAAACGCTCAGTCGTATTCATCTTCCTGTCTGAACGCTGCTGAATATGCCAATATGGTACCATACACCAGTCTACACCAGAAACAATCAGCCTTGAGAATGGTGCAATCGAAAGGAACGTACCCTCCGCCGATGATGGACATTACACAAGCGCCCGGTTTTACAACCTCGGAATGGGTGAGGACGACGGGGAGCGCAAATCCAGTAACGACAACGATTGAAGTCAAGAAGCGGCCAAGGTCCACAGCACCCGTAGCGCCGTCACTTGATGAAAACTCGTCCCCTCCGCAGTGGGCAAAGAGGGCATTTGGCAGTGGAGCAAGTACGAAAGTCAACGCTGAGAATGCCTAGATAAGAATACTAGCGAAAAAATATACGCAAGCCGTACGCACCAACTAACAATGGCAGCCAGTTGGCCCATAGTGCACATGAGAGTATGATTAACAGGAATCCGACAGCGAGCACGAATGATAGCAATATTACAGCTGCACAAGATTTAGCCACCACATTCCAATTTTGTCTGTGATAGCGATACGCACTCTTGAGCCCCGCTGGCATCGTGAATATGAGGACAAGAATGAGAGTGTTGGAGGGAAGCCTGCAAGCGTACTAGCACTAATTCTTACCCGTAGTGATGCTGACATAATCACGATACAGCATGCCGATTAAAATCTTGCTGCAAGTCTGAAGTAATGGCGAAAGGAGGTTTGTGGCATTGATCAATGATATAGAACTTGCATAGAGTATTGGAACATCCGAAGTACGACGAATGCGTGGCATTGCAATTGATAATATATAGAAATGCATGAACTACTGAAGTATAATGAATGAATGCCTGACATGGATTGATGATATATAGAATGGACTGCTGAAACATCTGAACGAATGTATATGTGAGGTGTCGTATCGATTGATGATACATGGAAAGCGAGGAATACCGGAGCATCTGAAGTATAATGAATGAATAAAGATATAACACGTAATACTATCTGATTCTTCTGGACGGGTTTCGGAGAGTATTTGGCGGTCTATCTACCAACGCTCCCATCGTCGGCAGTCCGGATTTCAGAGTAGCAGGTTTCTTTAAGACTCTGAGAACTGCTGGAGGCGCGACTGGTATTTCAGCGAGGGTGGCAGTAGAGGACGTTAATGATGACAGCGAGACTGTAGGAGGTGAGGGTGGGACTGGAGCTTGTGGTTCGTCTGACCACTCGCTGACTGGCGTGTCGACTTCCATTTGCTCTGGAAGGGTTTCTACGGGGTGCTGCGAAGAAGGAGGTTCGGAAGTGTGTCTGACTGGCCCTCCTTGCCTCCGCGGCTGAAGGATAGTATCTCGACTCTCCGTCAGCTCCCACTCATCTGCGTATTCCCATGCCCGTTTTCGCGGTGTCATTCCAGTCGGAATGTCCTCACGGGTACCTTGGTCAAGTAGTGACCGGGCTGTCTGGTGTAGTGAGGTGAGCCTTGAAGTCGTATTATTGCCGTGCTTTTCAATCATGTCTGATAAGTTTGTGCTCTGTAAGAGATCAACGTCAGTTGGTAAGGGTACCTCATGGATAATGATAATTCTACTCGCCTCCGAAACCATACGACCGCCGAAGCCTTCAACATTTCTTGAGCTGGAAGCAATGCCTCGCTGCAGGTGCCGTAACTCGGTCTGTACGTCAGTCGCCAACCCATTGGTAGTCTCGATGCGTGCTCTCTTGGCACGATCATGGCGATCAAGACCTCAAGGAACATGAGAGTCAAATGCGGCACGGATAAAGAGGGTCACTTACTTGCGCCAAAGGAGGTCTGGAAGGTCTGGCTTTGTCTCTGCAGCTCGCCAGTATAAGTTGTGGTGGCTGTTGTGATTGAGTTTTGCGTAGCCAACAAACTGTCCTTGAAGGCAACTTGAACAGATCCGACGGTCTGAGTACCTTGCGATCAGCAGGGCCAAATTCACCAAGCCAGAAATCACCGACCTTAAGAGCACTATCTCGTGTCCTCTTTCCTTCCGTACCTCTCCGCTCAAACGAAGTTATGGCTTCCGAGCCGTGTACAACAGCCTCATTTATCAATTGTTCGTGACGCTGGCCAAACTCGCTGAATTCCTCTTCATGTGTGGCGTTGGCATCGGCGGCGGCGCCAAATGCTTCTCGCAGGTCACGATCGCGGGAAGCTACGAACTCCCCGAGTAGGCCTGATATGCGTTGCAGGAGCACGTCATTAGCCTTCGCAGACCTCACCTTCTCTGCTTCCACTAATTGAACAAAAAGCGCATTTTGCGTCTGGAGATGAGCGTTCTCCGCCCTTGATATGTCATCCACAAGGGACTTTGACTGCGAAAATAACTCTCCATCAGCCTTGGCGAAGTCAATTGCTTGATTGACGGCGGAGTCGACAAGCGTCCCCATAGCCCTCAAAACATTCTCTAACTGCGTCATGTCAGTTGGATGATTCAATTATGAATAGAACAATAATTACCGATGCGAAGTTACTCTGATTCGCAGTATACACCTCGTTGTACATCATTTGAGATGTAGTTCGTAAGCTATCGGACCAGGCACTAAATGAGCTCTTCATCGTCTCTTGCGATTCCTTGACCGAGTTCTGCATAGTTGTAATGGCCTCTGCAGATACATCATCCTTCGCGTTGATAATCCGAAGAGAGTCTTGAATGCGCTGGAGTTGCTGGTCAATACGCTCGGAGTGACTTGTAAGGATCTCGAATTCCTTCGTTTGGAACTGCTTCGTCTCTGCGCGCAGTGTCTGCGTACTGTGGCTTGCGGTCTTCATGAAGTCCTCGAGTTTTGTCGAGAGCGATTGCACTTCAGAGGAGATAGACCTTCCATGAGAGGATACAGCTTTGATGTTCGACGTAAACGTCTTGTTCTTCCGTTCTTGCGACTATCGTTAGTTTGACGGACCAACAAGGAATGATGAAGCAACACATACGAAGCTTCTCAAAAAGCGCGCCAATATCATCAATGCTTTCAGCGGCAACCTGTTTCAGTCCTAAGGCCACCCCATCCAGCCTTTCTTCAGTGACCTGGTACGCCTGACGCACGACAATCTCCTCCTCGAGAGCTCCTTTCGCCACCTTCAGTTGGCCCTCCTTGACTTCCAGCTCTTCTTCGACTTCTTTCAGTTGTCCCTTCACCTGTTTCAACTCCCCATCCGTCTTCATCAACAAAGCAATGCTTTGCTCAAACTCTTCCCTGACGCTCTTTAACTGGCTCTCTCCAATCTCCACTTGCTTCTTAGCCTCTTCCATCTCCGTCTGTCTGAGCTCCTGTTCCGTCGTGAGCTGGTTCCAGGTCTCTTCAGAGAAGAAGATGCCGTTCTTCTCGCGTGCGGCCAGGACGTCAGCCTTAAGACGCTCGATCTCGGCCACGTATTCTTTGAGCAAGGAGTTTCTGGTCATCCGCTGGTTGATCTCCGGCTTGTTGCGGATGGACTTCGCGCGGATGGCATAGTCTAGGGTAGAGAGGGTCTCTTCCATATTAGAACGTGCAGGAGAGATAGTGGCGATTATGTACGTCTTTGTACGACCACCAAGTGAGTCTTGTAAAAGGCGGGTGAGCTTGGATTCCCTGCGATTTAAACCTATTATTATGACTCCATAACTTGCGAATCGAATACACTTACCGATAAGGGACATGCGTCGAACGCTCGACGAGGGCGTTTATAACACGGCCCAAAGTCAGCAAACTTTGATTAATCATACCCGCTTCCCGAGCCCTCTTGTTCTCTGCTCCAGAGCGTCCGATGTTCTCTGAGCCTGCAAGGTCAACGAGGTTGAACTTCCCAACCTTTAGGAGGTCATCTCCCATGGAAGACGTCTCTTTAATATGAATAGTGATCGCGAATACGGAGTGCGAACGACTGGAGTGGTCGTTGAATTTAGTGGCTGCAATCTGCCGACGATGGCTACCTTTTGTGAGGAGGGCAAGTGCATCCGCAGCGTCTTTGACAGGTATCTCTTCGAGGCCCTGAATAAAAACACCTTTCTTGCTAGTGTCGTCAAAGATCTTGAGGCCAGCTTGGTTGTCTGCGGGGCCACCTTTTCCCATAGGCTGCGTGGATCCTGCAGGAGCGGACAGTTCGCTTGCGAGCAAGTCTCGAAGCTCCTCGTTGTAGAGCTCGACGAAGGATATTTTGACACTATAATCGGTAGCAGATGTCTCGAGTTGGTGGAACAACCGGAAAAGGACCCTCGGTATCATGCCTGCTTGGGAAGATGGGTTTCCCATCGGCGTGGGCGTCAGGTCGCCTTGCATAGTGTAACTGTAAACTCGTCAACAATGATAACATAAGTAATTAGGAAGGGAACGTACGTTTTTCCAGTTCCTGTTTGTCCATACGCAAACAGAGTACAGTTGTAGCCCATGAGGACTTCGTCTAACATGGGGTTAACAACTTCATGGTAAATCATAGCTTGGTCTGCTTCTGGGCCAAAGACGAGATCGAACGGATATGTTCTTGTAGGTGGCAAAGTAATGATGCCTAGGCTAGAGACAGGCGTGGAGGTCTCGATGGTGACTTCCTGACTCTTTGCCCCATTGGAACTGACGATGATGGGGGAGTTCTCCTGGATCTCGCGATCGGAACGTCTACGACAACGAATGGCAACATGGATGTGAGTCTCCGAGTCATCCTGGCCATTGGACTTAGAGCCCTTCAAGGATGATGAGATTGCGAGTGCGTGCTCTGGGCGCTCTTCTGTTGGTGACGTGATTGTAGACAACGCAGATCTGGACTTTGACATAGAAGATTGGGGTTTTGTATTAACTGTAGGTGCCCTTGGGCGGGAAGTGAGCGGTCTTCTCGTAGCCATCGAGGATGTTGTCGACAGCAGCGGGAAGACGGTGTTAAGTGATCAAGCTTAAGGCCCAAAACGCGTCTACTTGAAGAATCAACAACGCGACTGTGTCACGTGCATTCGTGGGAAGTGACCACAATTCTATTCCACTGTCCGAATTTTCACAAAGTTTATCTTACGCTTGAGCGGCCATGGGAAAACGCAAGAAATCCTCTAGAAAACCAGCTGCGGCCACAGCGGCAAGGAGGAGGGAACCATTAGGTGCGTTAGATGCCTCTTGATCTATTTGTCATAGCTGAATTGTCCAATAGATACCGCCTTCACTTGCTTGTTTTGTCATCATGACAAGTCTGTGACAGTCAGAGTCGACAGAAAAGAGGGCATCGCCCAGCTGGTGTGCAGAGTATGCGACCAGCGGTATCAGAGCAAAGTTAACCGTGCGTACCAGTCGGATTACCCCAGTTCCTACCTCCTGATTATGATCCCGTTCTTCAACAGACTTGACCGAGCCCGTGGATATCTATTCAGAATGGCTAGATGCTGCTGATGCTGCACAGAAAGAAGATCACGGCACTCACAGACCAGCTGCTTCATCAAGCAGACCAGCTCCCGCACCACCTTCTGTCGGGAGTGATGACGATTGATCTGGGACTTGTAACTATCTTATCTTTTCCTCACACTGTACAACAGCAATTGCAAGACAGGTTATAAACTTAGAATTTCGCCGAGGCATCCGGCCTTAAGCTCTGTGACGCACCTAAATTCATTTGCGAAAATATTGGAAGATAGGGATTCCAGGGTAGATCCTGAGCGGGTAGCCTTTGTCGACATGCGATGAGTTGCTTAAGGGGAGGAATTTGAGTTTACAAGCCTATCAATTAGTAGACTGCAGACATAGTCACAGTGATTTGGCAAATGCAACACGTGCTTTATAACCTTTGGCCAGTTTCTCTCATTTAGCGTTCACGACCGTCAGGTAGGACCCGAGTTGTGTCCAAAACCATTTCTTAGACTTCGAACCATTCATCGATACCACAACCACTGGCCACACAAGTACCTTAGATTTTCTTTCTTTCTTCCTCAGACGCACTATCCATTATGGCGTCCTCGACCAATATTAAGGTTGTTTGTCGGTGCGTCTTAACCTAGCTTCGGGATTCAATCAAGATGCACGAAGTATCTCCTTAATCGCCTACTGACGCGACTGAATAGGTTTCGGCCCCCAAATGCTCTCGAACTCAGAGAGGGCGGCGATATCGTAGTCGCCTTCGATGAGAATCTCCAGACCGTGCAGATGAAGAACTCACAGGCCGTTTCTGGGCCAGAGAAGGATGGATTCACATTCGACAGAGTTTTTCCGATGGGCACGAAACAACACGAAGTATTCGATTACGGTGTTAAAGAGTGAGTGGCTCCGAGAACCACGCGTCTTTGTCGTGTACCTCATCTGATTACCTCCTAATGCAGCATTGTGAAAGGTGAGAAATGGCACCCCGTCTTGTGATATCGAGTGCCTTTCATACATCGTTAAATCATTTCGTGGAAGGATGGTATTGCTAATACGGTAATCAGATGTCTTGGATGGCTACAATGGCACGGTCTTTGCATATGGCCAGACTGGTAGTGGAAAAACATTCACCATGATGGCACGTTCAATTCATATCATCTTAAATTTCACTCCTGATTTTTGTTCCCTAGGGCGCGGACATTGACTCATCGGATCTCAAGGGAATTATACCCCGCATCACGGAACAGATTTTTAAATCAATCGTAGAATCGGACTCTCACCTTGAATATGTCGTCAAGGTATCCTACTTGGAGATCTACCTTGAACGCATACGCGACCTCCTTGCCCGTAAGATCTCGAATTCTTCCCTGTGAATCCAGTGATGAAATCCACTTCAGCCCAAAATGACAACCTCCAGGTACACGAAGAAAAATCAAGAGGCGTGTATGTAAAGAATCTTTCGGATTATTATGTTAGCAGTGCTCGTGAGGTCTACGAGATAATGAGACAGGGAGGGGCCGCGAGAGTCGTCACTTCGACCAGTAAGTGTCTCCTCATGTCGTGGCGTTAACTTCTAAGCCACTCGTAACGGCAGACATGAACGCTGAATCTTCGCGGTCGCATTCCATTTTTCTCATCACGATCCAGCAACGCAATACCGAAACTGGGGCTCAGAAGAGTGGCAACCTGTACCTTGTCGACCTTGCCGGATCCGAGAAAGTGGGAAAGACAGGTGCTTCGGGACAAACTCTGGAAGAAGCAAAGAAGATCAACAAGTCACTTTCTGCTCTCGGCATGGTCATAAATGCCCTGACGGACTCGAAGGTACGTAAGAGCGCGTACAAGAGGATCCTTCTTCCCCCTTTTTGTGGTAGGAGTTCATGATAATTAATTTACCTCCTAGGTTAAACACATTCCGTATCGTGATTCGAAACTCACCCGTATACTGCAAGAGTCTCTCGGTGGTAACTCGCGCACGACGTTGATCATCAACTGCTCGCCTTCACAATACAACGAGTCTGAAACGCTTTCGACTCTCCGTTTTGGTATTCGAGCCAAGTCAATCAAGAACACTGCTCGCGTCAATGCGGAGCTTTCTCCGTTGGAGCTCAAGGGTCTTCTATCAAAAGCTCAGCTTGCGAACACTAGACATCTGTCATATATTCAGTCATTAGAAGCAGAGCTTGCTATCTGGCGTGCTGGTGGCCATGTCGAACCGAGCGAGTGGACTTCCGCTGACAAGCCGACCACTGGCGCTGCTGCGGCAAAGAAAGCGACTTCATCCCCGACGCTTTCTACCACAAGAAGCATGACTCCAGTGAACCCTGTATTGGAGGGTCTCCGATCAGAGATGATCATCGATAGTCGACCGCAGACACCGACGGCCGTAGGCTTAGACAAGGATGAGCGAGAAGAATTCCTCAGGAGAGAGAACGAGCTTAGCGACCAACTTGCAGAGAGGGAGAGCCTGCTCAATGCCGCAGAGAAGCTCACCAAGGAACTTCGCGAAGAATTGGCATACCTCAAGGAGCAGGAGGCGGCAGCTTCGAAGGAGAATAAATCGATGTCGACTCAACTCAACGAGCTTCGCCTGCAAGTCGAACGTCTGGATTACGACAACAAGGAGGGCATCATAACCATAGACATCCTGAAGGAGCAGAATCAGGATGCGAAGAGTGAGTTGGAAGAGCTCAAGAAGGTCATTACCGATCTGCGCTCGACTCAAAGAGATGCATCGGCGGAGGACAAGGAGAAGCGCAAACAGGAGAAGATGGCGTTAATGATGGCTAAATTCGATGCCGTATGTTTTCGTTACTTGAAAAGTGCACGCCGCTCATTCATTAATTTGTTCATAGCAAGGCACATTTTCCGAAAAAGACGAGCAACTTCGTCAGCTTCTTGCTAAGCTTGATACTATCGACACTGCAGGCGCTCTCTCGACATTGAGCGTTGACGATGTTGTTGCTGCAAGGAGGCAGCTTACAGAAAGCCATTCACTTGTACGCGAGACGGTCGATCGCCTCCGGCAAAGCCAAGAAGAGAATGAGATGGTTACTCGTCGCAGAGACGAGCTCGAGGCTCGGTTCTTATCGCTGGAAGCTGATTATGAGGAGCTTCTTGGTGAGTGGTGAAACATTCGGGGTATCTAAACCTTACGACTATTCCTTAACAGAGAAAACCATCCATGATGAGGAGACAAGCAATGCTGACATCGTGGAGTCCATGGCCGAGTTCAAGGTGAGCTATACATGCGTCAAGAATAACCGTGTCCATTGAATGCAATCTATCGCGCAGAACAAGCTAGAGATGCAATACGCGGCTAAACGCGACGCAAACATCAGCGAAGTGGCTGATCTTAAGCAGCAATTGGAGTTGAAATCGAACGAGATTCGCACTCTTAATGCATCCATTGACAGTCTGAAGAGCGTCAATGAAGAGCTCAAGGTATGACATTTCCCGCTCTTATCCTAGCTGTGAGTTGAGCGGTCCTTTGTGTAGCGTGCGTTTGCAGTGACTTCTGCGGGCATTGAGGGAGGGAAGAATCTGGCTGAGAGCGCGCAGGACCTCGAGCGAACCCGGAAAGCAATTAACGTACAGCTGGCAGAGTTCGATGGCGTCAAGAAATCTCTCGTACGGGATCTGCAGAACCGTTGCGAGAAGGTTTGTTTTGAGATATTAAGCTTTTCTTATCTTTCTACTTATCATGCACGTGCTAGGTCGTCGAGCTTGAGATTCAATTGGATGAGATCAAAGAACAGTACAACAACGTCATTCGAAACAGTAATAGTAAAGCGCAGCAGAAGAAGATGGCATTCCTGGAGCGGAACTTGGAGCAATTAACGTTAGTTCAGAAACAGGTGGGTCCAGATCTCACCCCAGGTACATATTTTGCGAGCTCAATTACTTTCGCAGCTCGTCGACCAGAACTCGGCGTTGAAAAAGGAGGCTGGAATCGCTGAGCGAAAATTACTCGCGCGAAATGAGCGGATACAGAACTTGGAAACTCTCTTACAGGACGCTGACCGTCGGCTAGCTATCCAAAACCAGAAGTTTGAAACACAGCTGCAATCAGTTAAGGAGCGACTAGAGCAGGCACGAGGTAAGCCGAATAACGACATGGTTGCGTTGATGCCATCTCAACGCCAGCATATGTAGCCCAGAAGACTTCAAGTCCAATAAACTTTGGGCGTATTGCCAAGCCACTGCGGGGTGGCGGGGGTTCTGCAGCAACGCCTGGACCTGTTGCCACACCTGTACCTGTTTCAAGCGGTGCACCGTCAGGAAACTCTTTAACTCGCATCCAGAACGAGGACGGAAGGTAAATTTTGATACTGTAATGGTTGTCTCAGATTGCTAACTTGGCGTCTAATCTTGCGTTCGCGGTGCCGACAGTGGAGGTTAGTACCATCAATTAGGTCACTGCTTGGCACTTAAGATACTAACGGATCATTTGCAGCAAAGCGTGCATCATGGTTCTTCAATCCTCGGGGGAGTTAGACGCTTTGGATTTATACCTCGACTGTTTTGTATCTGTTTCACATTGCATCTATCATCTCATCGTTTTTAATAATGCATTCTTTGCCTGACCTAAAGTTGTCAGTTAAATATCGAAAGATAAGCTATATACATCTATATACTTTTCTGGCTGTGCATGCGAAGACGTCAATAGTGTCAGGTGGCTGTCCCTGGGGAGGAAGAAAAGTTGCGTGTGCAGGGCTGTGGTGTGTCACGCTTTGCAGCACTCAATCGAACTGCCCTCGCAGCTAATGAACACCGAGTAGTACGCTGGGGGGCACAACTTATTCTGGTCGGTTACCACGGTCCGTTTGTAACGGAACCGATCGATGATAGTTGTGGAGGTTCAGTAAGCGGAATGGAGGTATTCTGGCGCTTCTTTCGCAAGAAGCAGGGATGTGATTGTCAAAGGAAGTCAAGAACGATCAGAATTTGGGACGGTGCCGTTGAGTTCTACTCAAAAAAATTTCATCGGGAATAGGCGAATGAGCGGGGACCTGTGATGGCTGTGTGTAAATGTTCCATTATGAGGGTCCATTCGTCGTGAATCACGCTAATATTTTATTTGCCCTAGATTTTTGGATAAACAGGTAGAAGCCCTACAGCTGTGCAAGTGAGCCTGCCGAGCGGAACCATTTGCCCGTTGTAAGTAACGGAACCAAAAATCACCAGCCTACCCCTTCAGTATTAGTCGTGGTAGAAATAAACTATCCCTGAGCGCATCTCGATCGTTCGGTTTTTCGTCTTACGCGCGCCTGACTTTAACGGGGGACGTGTCTTCTTCTCGTTCTCTTCATCTACTAGCTTACCTGGGGTTTTGGAGTAGACCATACCTGCTGCTGTCGTATATCTTTTGGTAGGTTGTTGATCCGCACTCGTTCATTGATTCACGCGTCATGTTCAAATGGTTCACATCGTGGCCTATTTACGACAAATATCCTGCACTCGCGACTCATACAGGCGCGTTTGTCCCGTTCTCCGTTCCGGTTTTTTACTTGTAACTGGGTCGAAACGTGTTTCATTGCATAACTGAAGCCTTTTTCAGCTAATTCGTTTGCACAATTCCACTTAAAACTCTATAATCTGCTCTTCGCTGTTTTCTGCTTCTTCTGTGAGTTACCACCTCGGTTTTCTACCATCATCCCTTTAACTTACCGGACCTAGCACGCAAATCATTTTCCTCCTGCAGTCTGTCATGTCAACTCATCCCGGAGACACTTCTCGGAAGCCATCAGGTTCATCCACGCGCTCCTCTGGGCACTCTCCTTCAGCTTCCCCGAATAACGTATGCTCATAGCTTTCTGGCTTGATTGATTCTTACCAAGGCACAGTCACAGAGGAACCTGACTCCGACAACAGCAAACATGTTTGGCGTCACGATAGCCGGGGCCTCCGGTCTCAAGGGTCTCAACTCAGGTTGGCAGGTGGGCGGAACAACCTGCGAAGCTGTCCCTTTTACTTACGTGATGTCATTCTAGGTATGGGGATCAACGACACCAGCGTCCAAGAGGAATGCGTCGATATCCTCCGCTGCTAGTGTGACCGATCTCTCACCATCCCAGGCTGAGAGTGGTTACCGTGGAAATCTGGGAGAAAGCTGGAGTGCACCAAGGCCGACCAGCGGAACCTGGGATGAGCTGAGTGGAAGCCCTCAAAAGAAAGAGTTCTCGCAGTTGGTTAGTCAGTTCTTTCACAGCATTTTTTTGCCATTCAGCATTCAATAGGACACTAATTCCCCCTTGTCTCTGCATCATGCTCGGCAGAGGCAAGCAACCGCAGCGCAAGCAGCCGCGTTGTCAGGCCCAAGAATTGTATGTGTTCCTAATCAATCTCAAGGGCGTGCTAACAGATCTCTCAAGGACGATCGCTCCTCGGCAAAGCCCGGACAATTCTCTCCTCAAAGGTTCGACAATGCTCTCGGAAAGGAAACTGGAGTCTCCAATAGATATGCAGCTTCTTCGAATGCATCGGGCTATGGATCGTCTGCCTTCGGTGGTCAAAATGGTGGCTTTGACTCCATGCAGGTGTCTTCAGTTGTTGAAAACGAATTGTCTATGGGTCTGAGAGGGATGGCAGTCGAGGACGATCACGTCAGCGGCCAATACCGTCACCAAACCGCCTCTTCACCGTCCAACGCTGTTGCTTCTCATTCCCCTGCTGCTCCCCAGGTGCGACCACCCCCACAGATGGTTCAAGGACGTCCCCCGTATGGTAGTTACCCCCAGGCCGATTATTCGTCGTATTATACCAACGGCGCCACACGCGACCCTTACATGGATTATGGATATGGATACAGTACCCCGACGGACCCTTCACTCTACCCTTCATCTGCTGGGATGAATAATACTTCCGCGGCAAGCCTATACCCTGGCGTATCACCACAGCCGTTACACCATAATGCTCCCACTGGCCAACAGTCCAGTATATACTACGACTATTCAGCCTCCGCGCGAACTCCCTCGCAATATTACTACCCCGCGCATCAACCAATAATGTATCCAACCATGCCTCCGCTCTCTCCGATGCCAACTCCTCAGCTCAGCGCTGCCGCGCCCGCCAGTGGTATGCCCGACAAGAAACAGGTAGGTTTTTTTATTTACGTTAGATTGTATCTAGGGCGCTGCTGACCCTTCAACCTTAGTATGGACTGCAACAACAGGTGGCCTTTCAAAACATTCTGCGCCCCGCCATGATCTCATATACTCCCCATCAGGGTTATGCTGCTGATTATGGTGCCCAGCTCCCCTTCATGATTCCTAATGGCGCTATGTATAGTCATACTGCTCACGGAATACCGTTTTATCATCAAAACTTACGCCCCGGGCGGCGCCAGGATGCAAATGACGTTGGTTCGGCTTTGCGCAGTCCTTTGTTGGACGAGTTCAGAGCGAACAAAGCGCGCAAATGGGAGCTTAGGGTGTGTTCGATTTAATCATGGCGATCAGCAAACTGATCAAATCTTAGGATATCTATAGCTATATTGTCGAGTTTAGTGGTGATCAACATGGATCTCGCTTCATTCAACAGAAGCTTGAGACAGCTACCTCGGAGGAGAAACAAGGTGTCTTCGATGAAATCGTCCCTGACAATGCCTTGCAGCTCATTCAGGATGTATTTGGTAACTATGTATGTTCATGGCACTATATTTCGCTTGCTATCACATCTGACGGTCTCTATAGGTCATCCAAAAGCTATTTGAGCACGGGACGCAAGTTCAAAAGACTGTTCTCGCCAACACGATGGAGGGTCATATTCTACCACTGTCACTACAGATGTATGGCTGTCGTGTTGTGCAGAAGGTCTGCATACACGTTCGCAGATTCTTGCCGTGTCTAATTCAAATTTGTTAGGCGGTAGAATTCATCCTCCCAGATCAGCAGGCGTCATTCGTCAGGGAACTGGATCCGCATGTACTTAAATGCGTAAAGGATGCGAACGGCAACCACGTTAGCACGCGCCTTACATTTTAAATGCTTTAGGCTAATGTATCCGCAGGTCATCCAAAAGTTGATCGAACGCGTGTCGCACGAGCGACTGGGCTTCGTCAACTCATTCAGGGGTAACGTTTATGACCTCTCCACGCATCCATATGGGTGTCGTGTATTGCAACGATGCTTTGAGCACCTACCTGAAGAGACAACACGTCCTCTCATGGATGAACTGCATAAGTATATGATCAATCTGATGCAGGATCAATTCGGGGTATGTCCTCGCCATTGTTAGATTTTTGCCTGTTGCTCATGAGTTATGAAAGAACTACGTTGTTCAATTTGTGCTCGAGCAAGGCAAGCCTCAAGATCGGAATCAAGTCATTGCCAAACTTCGTGGTCAGATGTTGAATATGGCTCGCCATAAGTTCGCATCAAACGTCTGTGAGAAGGCTCTCGTTACCGCCGGTATTGAGGAACGTCGTATCCTTATCGATGAGATCATCATGCCGAAGACCGATGGTGTCAGCCCAATTGTGTCCATGATGAAGGACCAATTTGCCAGTACGTTGCTATGTTGGTATATTAAAATTCTAATTACTGACCGCTCATGTAGACTACGTCCTTCAGCGGGCACTAACTGTGGCAGAACCCGATCAGAAGGAGATTCTGATTGCTAAGATCCGTCCTCAGCTCGTTAGCATGCGCAGATACTCGAGCGCTTACAGCAAGCATCTTATTTCCAGTATGTTGATGAAATACAACCGAGATAAATGAAATATTATCTGACCAACGCCCAATAGTTGAACGTCTTCTAGAGCGCACGATTAATGCCTCAAAGGCCTCGGATAAACCTGCGGACTACCCCTCACTATTGCACAAGCCAGTCAACTAATAGCGTGCTCTACGACCATTTTTTTTCTTCTTGCTTTACTCCCTATTTCCTCTTCGCTCCACTCGCAATGCTATGGTATATTCGCATCAATTTTTCCTCATTCCGCAATCACTCACCACGATTATCCACGCAATCAACATTATTAATTGCACACTCTTTACATTCATTCAGTATGATATTTGCATTCACTGCTTCTTCGCTGTCGATATTCAAACTTTCATGTCGCTATCATCTTTGTCGTCATTTTTTCCCAGCCGTGGTACATATCGATCGTATAGATACCTGAGCACACCAGTTATAATCATCATGGATTTTGTCTTGTTACTCGGATGAACTAATGATCCCGCGGATAGGTTGAAAGTAAACGGTGACAAACAGGAGTATTATTAGTCGTGCTAAAGTAGGCACTACCGTCACGTCGCCAAGCGCAAAAGCTTTCAGTCAGTACCCTGCCTTTCTCAAGACCACGAGCTCTACTGGCCTGCAGGACAGAAACGTTGCAAACATGAGTACTGTGGAAGCTGCAGCTTCGCTATTTGGTTCAGATGGCGATTCTGGGCCGGATCCGTTTGCGGTTATTGGCAATGAGGAGACTGACACGACACCACCTGCCGGGTTGACGGTACATGAGCATGGACAGCATGATTCTGCTTCTTATTCATCTGACATGGGCCAGGACGCTTCCAGCTTGTTCGCTGAAGAAATTCCCCAGGGCGTTCAGCCTTTTGAACAAGATCCTTGGTCAGTTGCTGTGGACCACGATGTCAGTGTTCCCGTAGACCAGGTTCCTGACAACTCGCAATACTCTGCTACCGGTTACGAACAGTCTCAAGAGCGGTCCTCTCCGTCTGGTTACTCCACAACTCAACCGCAGGCCTCATATGTCCAACAACCAGGTGTGTCGGCTGTGTAAATTTATTGCGTCTGCAGTGTTAATTTGTTACAGTACAAGGAAGTCATAGTGCCAGCGGTGCAGCGAGTGCTTATCACCAGTACACACCAGAATCAACTGCCAATTCCTCACAATACGGCGGGAGTCAATATCTGAGCCAACCATATGCGCCGGTACATGGCAGCTACGATCATTACAAGCTCACCGCTAATACCGCACCAACTCGCGCATCGCAACCACCTGCTGCACCCGCCGACTCTCAAACAGCATACGAGCCCTATAACCCTATGACACGTTCGGTTTCTCAACCTTATTCGTCGTCTGCGTACGCTGCACCTCCTAAACCAGCTTCTCCTAGCATCCCTCCCCCTCCTGCACAGGTTCCTCCCGCGATGTCGGCTGCATCTTATCGTCCACAGAAGTCGAATGCGTATGACCCCCCTCTTCCTCCTCCGAAGGTGTCAAAGCGTGCTGTGAGCGCACGCGCACCGGCCTTGGGACAGTATCCATCGTATGGCCAGCCCTCGCCAGTCCCCCCTGTACCCGCTGTACCCGCTGCTCTCCCTCCCCCCTCTGACAGTACTCGGTACGGCAGCCTCTCCGGTAACGTGACACAACCTCCAATTTCCCATGCACCTCCGCGAGCGCAAGTGACACGTCAGCTTACAGGCGCCTTGGGTGTTACCTCGCCACCCGAGTTTTCACAACAGCTCCCTCAACCGTCTGCTGATCATTACGCGCAACGTGGGATATCACACACGGACGCTCACACATCCCCATTGGTTGCCCCTCCTCCACACAGGAATTCCCCGACACTTCCACAAAACTCTTATACACAGGAATTACTTGATGAAGCACCTACTCCTAAACAAGGTTCATCCAGCTCATTTACGGAGTGTATGCCAGTTGCATCCCCTTCCACTGAGACATATCCGCTGCCAAGTCATGACCTGCACTTAGAGAGTCGTGCTTACACATCTGATGATATGCCCTGGGACGACCCGGAAAGTCTGCAGACTGAGGCTATTGAGACGACATCATCTTCTCTCCATGCCGTTCAAGATCCTTATACGCCTCCACTTCCTGCAGAGCACGGAGGTTTGGATGGTTCCACGAAGCCGCATAGCAGCCCACCTTCTTCCTCACCTAGAGGCAAGGTGCATCAACACCAAGACACGATGATAATACGAGGCTCAATGCTACGACGATCCCCTTCTCATTCCAGAGATGGATCTAACGGTTCAAATGTATCATCCCTGCGTAGTCCGGTAAAGAGGGTTTCCTCTCCTTTACGCAACGCTTTCAATTCCGGTGAACAGGATATGTATCCTGGTCCTCCCCATCCGGCTTCTGCATATGAGCCATCACAATATACCGCGCCCAACAGAGCGACATCTCCTAGTTCGGTTCGCTCGTTCGCAAGCCATGCAGGATCTGTCAAGAGTGCCTACAGCTCGACAGCTCCAACTGCAGTGAGCAGTTACGAGCCCAGATTGCATGCCACGTATGAGAGGACTTCATCCCCCGTCTTCCATCATTCGCGTCAGACCTCTCCGGCCCCTGATCCATATGCGCTTACCAAGAATGTTGTGGCTCTGGTTCAGTCCGAAAATCGTGATCGTTCGGGTTCTAATGGATCCTTGCATTCCACGGCCTCCATGTCTATGGGAATCCCCTCTCAGCGCGAAGTTAACGGGTTTGTTTCTAAGCCTCGTCCTGGTGAACCAAGCTCGTACGGCGCAGTGTCTGCGTATAGTCAGGAGCTTCTCATTTCACCTGCGGTTCGCCCTCCATATGCACCCTCCCCTTCTCTCTTAGGCTCAAACGATCCTTTGGGTCGGACATCTACGCGAGCTCCAGTGATCAGTTTTGGTTTTGGTGGCAAGATGATTACGTGTTTCCACAGCTCCCCTGACCTTATCACTGGATATGACGTTGCGTTGTCGTCTCGTCATTCGACAGATGTGCGTGTACGCGTGTTGCACAAACTTCTCCCCGAATTTGCGCTTGAACCTTCTGCCGCTACTTATCCTGGTCCTTTGTTTTCTGACCCTGGTACACCTGTCAGTATCGTGCGCACTGGGGCGTCATCTCAGGTGAAAACGAAGAAGGCACGCGTCGTCAAGTATCTGGAGGATCGGATTGGAGAAATTTCACGTGGGACAACGTATATGTCAGACGGAACCGAGAAACAGCGTACTGAGGGAAAGTTGGTTCTGGTCAAGCTGCTCAAGATCATGGTTGAGAATGATGGTGCACTGTCGGGAAGGTCTGTCACCAAACCATGGATAGGCAACCTTAACTAATATTTCATTTCAGTACTCACATTGACTCAGCTGTAAGAACGGCACTGCTTCCTCGCATTGCCGCATCTGAGGGTGGTGAGATCTCGACGCCGGGTTTTGCTTCTTGTATGCCCAATACCCTTGGTACGATTCCTGGCTCCAACGGTGGTCACCCTGGCACGAGTGAGACACCCATCTCAGTTTCTGTGGTCCTTCCATCCGCATTAGACAAGATACAGGAATTCCTTGTGAGAGGTGAAAGGAGACAAGCTTATCACTATGCGCTGGATGAGAAACTGTGGGCACACGCGATGGTCATCGCAAGCAGCATCGACAAGGAGGCTTGGAAGGATGTTGTCAATGAATTCCTCAAGGGAGAGTTAGGCGTTCATGATGCACAGCGGACGGTCTTTGTTGGACGAGGAAAAGAACCAGTTCCTCCTCCCAGTAACGGAAGGGAATGGCTTCGTGTAGTCTACAGTCTATTCTCTGGTCAGGGACCAACTGCTGGTTAGTGATCATTTTCCGAGCTGAATCTTCTGATATGAAACTACTTGATAAACAGTCCAGGAACTGATTCCCACCAATCTACTCGCGAGAACGACGGCTACATTGCAAGTCCCTACACCGGCTGTTGTGCACACCACGCCAATGTCGCCTAGTTTTCCTTCACCAGCGATGGCAGCACAGATCCCTGCCAATGCTTTGTTGAAGTGGCCAGAGCTTGTGGCATCAATGATCTCCAGTCCTCTGTCTCCTGAGTGGTCGGCAACCCTGACAGCACTGGGTGACTACCTTGTATCGCATCAACAGATCGAAGCTGCGCATGTATGGTAATTGTATAATTCTTGCACCTGTCTTTCCTGCGCTAAGATCATTTGTCAGTTACTTGCTCTCTCCTCAGACTTCCCCAATAGGGGGCATTGGGAGTCCATCGGGTCGAATTGTCCTTATTGGCTCGAGGAATCCACACGCGTGGCTCTCATTCTATAAAGACACTGACCCCATCATTCTGTCCGAAATCGCCGAGTTCGCCTTCTCGCTGAAGAGCGTCACGAAGGGACAAGAACCATTCCACGGTCTGCCGCATTTACAGGCATACAAGCTTATCAGGGCCTCGTACCTCGCAGAGATCGGCGAGATACAGGCAGCTAGTAGGTGGGTCGGATCTTCTAGCGCGATTCTGCATCTTCTTGATCAATGAACTACAGATATTGCGAGGCAATTACCGCTGCAATGACACATCCATCACACTATCTCAATTCCGTCCTTATCGAGCAGTTGAAAGGCTTAACGGATCGCTTGATCGGTACTCCACAAATGGCAAAGAGCGGATCTTGGATAGGTGGGAAGGTGAACAAACCTAGTCTTGACAGTATCGGTAGTTGGCTTGAGGGACGCTTGACAAAGTTCATCGCTGGAGAAGGGGACGAACCCCCGCCTCCGCCAGTACCGTCTAAGAGTCAGGTGTCATCTCTAGGACCTTTCTCTCACTTTAGCGAGATTTCATCAGCGACAACCTCTGCCAGTCCGTCGCCTCCCCCGGGGGTGATGAACCAGTATTCGATGTCAGGTGTACCGCCTCCCCGCAGACCCGGTTCCGCAATGGCAGTTTCCACTTCTCATTCTCATGTGCCTATTGATCGTGCCTCATCTGCCATGGACTATTACACACGGAAGTCGTCGTCGCCAGCTCCTCCCTTGACTGCGCCTTTGCACCCACCACGATCAGCATACCCTTACTCCGCACATGGCTCAGGTATGAATGGGCATCCGATGACAAATGGCTATGCCCCTGCCTATGGAGAACCGTTGTCACGAAAACCCTCGTTGGAGATGACTGCCGAGGAGGGCCCCGAGCAACAACAGCAGGAGGCAGGATGGTGGTCTGCCCTCAACAATTCGGACTCTGGCCCCACACCGACCACGGCCACTTTTCACTCAGTCGATCATTTCCGGGCTTCGTCTGATGGTTTCATCTCCTTGATGGACGACCCCGGGTTGGCTGCGGCTCCCAGCACATCCATGTCGAATCGCCAGCCGCAACCAAGCTTAGAGGATGGGGACGATGACGAGGATTTGGGCTTTGGCAACAACGCCAACAGACGTGAACGTCGTCAGGAAGCAACTGAATCTGGAAGCAGTGAAAAACTTGCCACGCCTGCAGAGGACATCAAGAAAACGGAGGAAACGAAAGGTCAGTTGTGGTTACCTCTTCGTCACAACATTGTTAATAACTGTTGTTGCCAGCCAACAATCCGCCAGCGACGGCTTCAGCGGCACCAAGCTCTTGGCTGGGTCGGTTCTGGAGGCGTTCTGAAACAGCCCCTGGTCCTATCAAGGCCAGTCTTGGGCAAGAGTCGGCTTTCTATTACGACAAAGACCTCAAGCGTTGGGTAAACAAGAAGGTATGTGACCAGTGCTATTAAGATGTATAATGTCACTCAAACACTTGTCAGGCTGGTGCTGAAACCACACAGCCAGCTGCACCACCCCCACCTCCTTCAAGAGCACAGACAGCCTCACCAGCGCGAGCAAGTGCTCCACTTCCTCATGCCAACGGTGCAAGTTCAGCACCTCAGCCAGCCCGATCTGCTTCGGCTATTGATTTGAGCACATCTCCTACTGCTAAGCCACCCATGCGGGTGCGTTCGAATCTTGCTCCCGCTGAAGCAACATCTCTCCCCAATACACCAGCGCCATCGACTCCCACGACACCTCTTCCACCACCTAGTCGCCCACGCTCGCAAGCCACCAAACGCAATGTACGAAACCGCTATGTTGATGTTTTCCAACAGCAAGAGAATGCTTCGTAGATCACTCATACGGATCTTATCATAGAAATCATTACATCAATTTATTCTGGATATCTTGTGGCTTTTATTGTTCGTCGCCTCATTTCTCCTCATGCATGTACATTTTTATTTGCTTTTTATAATTCAAGTGCATGTGTGACTGCCATTGCAAAATGAACTACAAAATTCTATAGAATGAGCTTGAATGGATAGCCTAACAGAAATGTTAGCGCTGTGGGTGGATGCTTGCCGGTGACATAGACCAACCTGGGTTTTTGATGCGGAACAGCGATACTAAAATGCTGAACATGAGGAAGTTTACTGCAGTCCAGAGGTATGCCTGGGTTCTTTGACGGGTGGCCGACAATTGGCGCGGTGTGACGACAATCAACATCAAGAAGGATCCAGCCAAGATTCCATCTACGAGTAATTAGTACCAGCCTGATGTGCAAGGTGCGAGACGACGTACAAACCATGGCGATGACTTGAACTTCTTGTCCATACTGATTTTGGTAGCCTTGAGCGATCCAAGCGCCGTTAGGGCCAGTATAGGGTGCACCTCTGATGCGAGTGAACATGTAGCCAGAGGTCATGATTAGAGAGGTAGCGATTGTGCCAGTGGCCCAGACCCAGCGGTTTTGTAGTACTGGTTTGATAAAGCGGAAGATAAGGCTAATGATTGGAATGAGTGAAACGATGCTGCCCGCGCGCGCCCAGTCAAAGGGAGCCTTGTATGGGATAGGGATTGGGGTGTGAACAGAGAGTTGCTCAGCGAGGGGTCCAGCTTCGAAACCACTGTAGAGTCTACTGAGGGTTGTAAATTAAGGGTTTAGTGAAAATCCTACTTTTGGAAATCGTATTTGAAGGGGGCCTTTTTTGCAGACGCGTCTGGTCCTTCGGTCGGGGGATACACGTGAACACCTGGCGCGGAAGCCATGCCAAGCTAATGGGTGCGTTAATTCTCGCGCGTAGCTTCGTAGGATATGGTGGGGCAATCACCTTTTGGAAGACAGCGTGCCCATCATCGAAGTCAAGAGTAGCGAAGAAGTGCTTGTCCCGATGTTCTTTCGGAGCGTTCGCCCATGCTTTGGCTACGGCAGTGAACGATGGTTCGAACTCTCTGTAAAGATCGCAATTAGCTTCCGATGCGTGTTTAGAATCTTGTCACTGACTTGCAAGGAGCACAGCGCCGCTGGGGATTGAGTGCAGTAAAGTGCACGGCAGCCGACCAGTTGCGCCTTGGGGAGGCAAGTAAATCATAAGTCTGTTCGTTGAGCTGTATGAGGCCATTTCCGGCTGCTGCGAGGTCAACCAGCTGCTCGTGCGCTGATTTTTCGGCCGCTAATGATAAGGGCAAGAGTGAAAGAACGAGCAGGGGCCAGAGCATAATGAAAGTGAATCGCTGTTAAGAGTCAGGGTTGGACCAAAGTTGTCAACGTGTAACAAGGAATAAGTAGCAGCCGTGGGAACTGCCACTGAACAGCTTTGAATCAGTCTCTGTGTTCACCGTCCTAGACGGCGACCAGCCCTGTTAGACATGTCCCATGCCCTCCTCCTACGACTGTTTTTATCACCGTCTTTCTTCTCTGTTCATGTGGCTCTACAATATCTGATGTTGTATGCCGACAACATAGGCATCACATACTACCTCACCCGAAGGTTGAAAGAGCTCGACACGCAAGAATTACGCGAAGTATGGGGTTTCATATGGTATTTACCAGTGTTCATCGTGTCGGAGAACCATACTAATAGTCTCGCTAGTCATTTGCTCGTCACACGGCCTTCTAAATCACGGGCACTGGAATGCTTTGTAGTAGACATCTTACAACGGTCCACTCATATAGCCATGATTGTACGTAGGCAACAGCCCCGTAGCTTTAAGCTTACAGCTGATTCCTGTGGAGACCCTCTGGCTTATGCAAGCTTCTTTGCAAGATCTCTCCTCATCACGTAGTTCTCCATCTTTTCAGGTATGCCAACGGACGTTGCAAAGATGTCATGAAATCATCTTCGGTGATCTTCCAACTCTAGTCTCTAGTCCGTACTCTGGCTTGGACCTGCCGTTCCAGCGCTTCTCACGTCGGAAGGTTAAAACCCATGTCGAACCAGCACTCATTGGACTCGGTCTGATGTTAGCTGGAACTCCTGCCATGCCTGAGCTTACTGAGATCATGGGTGAGGTTGCATTACAGCAGGGCCGTGCTGACGAGGACGGGTCAGACCTGAAAAGCGTCCAGACCAATGACAATGACGTTGCTTCGGGATCAGGGAAAACCACTCGTAATGACTCTGGGGATGATGACGACAATGGTTCAGATGGAAAAAATGAAGATGACCGTACGGCTAGTTCTCATGAACGCTCTTCTAATGATATTTGTGCCCCCCATGGTCCTGCAGTCTCAAAGAAGCGAACGATTCTCAAACGTCGTCGGACGATTATTGCCGCACAGACAAGTCCCGCTCTGGTTCATTTGCAAAACATGCATCGGTCAACATTATCTGACGATCCACTCGATCAGCTTGATCCCTCACAACAAGCACGCGTTACCAGCCCATACCAATCCTCTCCCTCGATACCAACTACCCAGCATCCTTTTCGGCAGAGTACACTGAACTTCGGCGATAACCTCCTTCAACGGTATGATTTGGATTCACAAGCACATCTCCTTCGAAGTCACTATTATCATTCAGAAGTAAGCAGTTTCCGCTATCATTATGACTTTGGTTTTACATAAGCATAACAGGTCCAATTCCTAATAACGCTCGAATATATCTCTAATCGCCTACTTGTCGTGCCAAAACCTGCGCGAGTAAGCGCCCTTAGAGCCGAATTAACTGCTCTTAACCACAAGCTTCCCGCAGAGGTAATATCTTCCTCTCTGTTCCTACCCAGTTCATGATGTAGGATCTCAGGTGTGCATGCCTATGTGGTGCTCTTCATCCGATAATCCTGCGTCTCGGAATGCCTCTCAACCGCACCACAAGATCGTTCGAATTCCCCCTGGTGAAAGTGTTGTGCTCAATTCTGCAGAGCGAGCACCTTATTTGCTCATCATCGAGATACTGCACGACGACCTCGACTTCGATCCAACAAAGAGAAGCAATAAGGAGACGCTGAAGCGTATAGTAACAAAGGAGAACGAACGCAAAGGTGCTTCGAGAGAACTTATTGCTTTCACCAGGTCACCTCTTTCCTTCAAACACAAGCCCCTTGGGGATCCTGTTGTGGGCTCGGAAAATGCCTTGGGAAAGGAGTCCGCTGAGGAGGCAGGAGCTTCGTTGGTCCCTATAGCTTCCGCTACCAGCAGTACAAGTTCTCTCATCGGTGAAGATGAGGAGATGGACCTCGTCGAGCAACTGTACGGGATCGGCGAGTCTCTCCGCGGGCCAATAGACCTCACCGAGTCCATTGTGCTTCCACCTGTGCTAAAGAACAAGGAGCTGGATATGGCCGCGTGGTCTCGAACTTCCTCATTGTCTTCACCCAACCCAGAAGGGATATTGTCGGTGTCTTCTTCACCCGCCTTTCCATCCACTGGTGGCCGGTTTTCGACACCATCTTCAGCTACCCAACTACCCGATCCACCACCCAATAGTAATAGCGATAGTCGTATACTCTCGCTCGACGATTACTCCGAACGCATGCGTACGGCAGCTGTCATGCTTTCGCAGCTCAATGCAAACCTTGTTCGCGAGACAGTAACCACATTGCCTTCTTCCGATTCAACTGCGACGCTTGATAGTTCAGGTTCCCCGTCTGGCCCTCTGAGTTGGCTCCCTGGTTCTGGCTGGTTAGGCGGTCCACATCACCAGGTAAACAGCGGGCCACTACATCCCTCGCTCGCTGGAAGGGCTGGCGATTCACCAGCGACCACCCGGATGCGTGTGCAGCATGCAGAGGCAGCCGCCATCAGGGACCGTATCATGAAGGAGATGATTGCGCTTGAAGAAGAGCGAATGGAACGCATGCGAGAACACAGGGAAGGAGAAGGGATAATGCGCATTGGTGATGTGGGCGATAACTTGAAGACTGCTGAAGACGAAACCATTATCAAGCGTGAGCTAAACAAGGCCGATCCTTCCGCCTTAATATTCAGCGAATCTTGGGCGACGAAGAAGGTTAGTTTGACCAATTTTGCTATTGTATGACTGCAATTTCAGCCTTTTCAGAGTCGAATACAGCACGGATCACCTTATGGTCATCTAGGTAAAGTTATAGCCTTACTATGAAAATTTGCATTCGGTCGTTGAACTCATCATCGCCAGCGAACTGGGATTGTGTTTCTGTGATCGTTAAAACTGGCGGCGACCTTCGCCAAGAACAGGTCGCCGTTCAGCTTATACAGCAGTTTGAGCAAATTTGGCAAGAAGAGGGCTGTCAATGCTGGGTCCGCTAGTGAGTTCGCTTCACCAAGTTACGTTAGTGGCATAAACTCAACTTTCTTCAGCTTCCAAATTTTAATCACTGGCGCATCATCGGGCTTGGTGGAGACCATAACAGACGCCGTGTCAATACACTCCATCAAGAAGTCCGAATACGCAAGACGGTTGGCGGAGGGCCGTTTTGGATATGTCACTCTCCTAGATCACTTCAAGTCGGTTGGTTCCTCGTTTCATCGTTTTGCGCAAGCGGTGACGTGCTGAAATACGTGTCAAGACTTATGGTGATCCATCTACGGCCAAGTTCGTCCGAGCGCAACGCAACTTTGCGAAGTCACTCGCAGGTTTGTTCTGTTCTCAGCACCTCAATTCCCATATTCAACCCATTTTGTAGGTTATTCCATCGTAACGTACCTGTTGCAAAGTAAAGGATCGGCATAATGGGAACATATTGCTGGACCGAGAGGGGCACCTCATTCACATAGACTTTGGGTTCATGTTGTCCAATTCTCCGGGTAACATAGGTTTTGAGGCTGCGCCATTCAAGCTGCCACCGGAATATGTCGAAGTGTTGGGGGGTGTGGATGGGGAGTCTTTTTTGGAATTTAAGCGTCTGTTTCGTGAGGGGTTCGAGGCAGCGAGAAAGCACTGCGATCGAATCATAAGTCAGTGCCTTATGTTTGATCAGTCCCGTGCATGCCACTGATATCTATCATCCGCAGCTCTAGTAGAACTGATGCAAAAAGGTGAGAGATCCGCAGTCGGTGGAATCGGTTGGTCTCAATGACCTGTGTTAGACTCCAAGCTGCCGTGTTTCGCTGCGTTCGGCGAATATACTGCGGCTCAGTTGCGTGATCGCTTTCAACCCGCCTTGACTCATTCCCTTGTGGGTGAATATATCGACCGTCTCATCGATACCTCCTTGGGCTCCAACTGGACACGTCTTTACGATTCCGTGAGTAGAGAGACCAAGGCGATTCTGCATTCCAAGCTGATCTCTACTTGTAGTATCAATATTATTCGCAATCCATTCTGTAGCCTTAGTCAAACTCCCACCTGAGGTATACAGATTGCAGAGGTATCTATAGTGTTGTATATAGGAGCATACCGCCCACTGCTGGGTACACACGCTATCATGGGGTAATCTACCATTCACAGTACGCTTTTTGTGTTTTCCGAGCACGACCGGTTCGAACAGAGCTGAGGCTTGTTTAGTAGAACTTCGAAGAAGCTCGTGGCCATGCAATGTGAAGAAGTGATCCCTCACAGCTTGAAATTCAAATTCTGCCCACAACGTCACATCTCGAGGCCCCTGAAGCTCAGTGCGCAGCGCTGATGACGTTAAAAATATATATATCAGCAAGAAAATGGAAACTGCTCGCCGTCTGCAAGAACCTCCCCGCGCCTCCGATCTATTGAATGACTGACGTTAGCTTCGGCTGACATGGAGATTCGTGAGGGTATATTAATGACAGATACGTGAACGTGTTGTTTATGTTTATTTACCCACTTTGAATCCACTGCTCAGCCTTAACTTATATATTAAGTAATCAATTAGTCACGATCTTGCTCTTCCCCGGCGACATAAGCTCCCTATGAGACGAGTCACTCCAAATTCCATGATGCATATCGTGCTGCTGTCATGTATGTATGGATCGACCTATTTTCTTCAAAACCCACCTTGACTCAAACTAAATGCGTCTTCACGATTCCGTGACTAGCGACCGGGGCAGTTGTGCATTCCAAGTTCATATCTTGCAGTACCGATATTACTCGCAATACATTCTGTAGCCTCAGTCGAACACCGCAACTTTGACTAGGTGCAATACGGCCCATCGTAAATATGCCTGAGTATACAGATCGTGAAGTGCGGTATCTATAGTGTCGTAGGAACACGTCGTCCACTGCTAAGAACATACGCTATGACGGCACTGATGTCTCGGTCTACGAGAATATCTTATCGTATCGGTTCAGGCATGAATACCACTCATAGTCTGAAGAAATGAGCTTCAGTAGTGGTCCAACATTTGCAAAGATACTTACCGAAATTTTGATTAGGGTCGCACCAACATTTTCCTTTTGCGTGCAAATCTCCCTGTGGACAGTGCTGGAAGGGCTCATGTCGATACCCGATGTCATTGAAGAAGTGAATTTGCTCCTTCTTCGCGAACAGGGCGGCTCCGATGCTATGGACTGGTGCATCTCCCCAACGCTATTCCAAATAAAACTACGTCCCAAAATGTAAAGACAAAAGACTCACCTCGTAATAGAATCCACCCTGCTCATCAAGGTATTCGAAGAATTTGGAATATGCCTCGCCTCGCCAGAAGTCAAGATCCGCGATCTCAAAGTTGCTCCAGACTGGCCACGTAATTTTATTAGCACGGGAAGACGTGTGATGCGCAGTAACCTACAGTGACACAGATTGTAGGACTCTCCTGCGTCGTCAGAGAGAAATCCCATGGCGTTGCCGGGAGCCACGAGGTCAGGATTAGCATTAATAAAAGCTATAGGAAGGTAAGATTGACATCATAGTGAATGCCAAATACACTTACATTTTACAGCATTCCATAGTGTTGGGATAGTAGCTTGGTATTCGTATAGTGATATGGTGAAGCCTGCTGATGTTTGAGACAGTGTATAATTGAAGGCATCATTGATTTACCATACACCTTATTTTGGTCTTGCATCACGAGAAAGGGATCATAGTCCACGTCGCAGAAAAGCTTGATGTCTGGCCTGATTGGGGAAGATAAAATAAGCCGAACTACATCGCATCTCCTTCGGATCTACTCACTCGACTCTCCAATAGTATCGGTACTGTTGTAAGAGTTCATGTCGGTAGAAGAACTAAGAACTGGTTAGACGACCTCGTCAAAACGCACTAGAACCACGTACACCAGAGTTAAAACGACACATATTCCGGTATCTAGGAGCAGTCAGCCAGAAGCACCGATGATGGCTTAGCATACGCACGGAACGCTACCTGGGAAGTCGTCAGACTACATGCACGCCGTTAGGCTTGAAACTGTAAGATGACGTACCTCCGTAAATCACATTATCCCTAACCATGTCATCACGAGATTTGCTTGCTCGGTCTTCATCAACCCACGATGGTTGGTGCCAATGGTCGGGCGGGATGACACCGAATTCGACTTTGGTATTGGTCAGGGCCAGTATGTGACTTCATGGCCTGTCAGCAGCTTCAAGAATTCAAGCGTAAAAAGCGCACTCCTTGAAGCTCTGCGTAAAGGGCTCATCGTTGAGGAAGACATAAGGATACTGGAACTTCCTGTTGAACCTATCCTCGATTTGCTTCATACTGCTCATGATTCCTATAAGGTCAGAGTTCCGTACAAGCATGACGAATGAGGCGTTCGCTTTGCGGTCTTGCAAGTCCATGGGTGCATCAGGCTTGTAGTACCCATCCGGCACGGGTGTTTTGTAGGGAGGGTCTGACTTCGAACCGGTCCATTGCTCTGCTATATTTGAGATGGATGTTGCTTTTCCGTATTCTTCATGCGTGAAGCTCAGAATGTAGTGAATTGAAATCTGTTTCATCGTCAAGCCAGCCAAATTTTCAAGTTGGCATGAACACGCACAATAGTACCCAAGAAAAGCAAGATATAACGCATGGGCGTCATCATCTTTACAGAGTCGCTAGTCCCTTTGGAACCTTATTAACACAAAGAAGTTACTGGATGGTAAATGCAAGAGAATGAATGAAGAGGATGTAAGACCGCTGTTAGTCGCACTGGAAGGATTGTCAGCCGCGCCAAGCCAACTCACGCCTATAATGAACTGCGCTTTGCGGCGTGGGCCGGTTCTAAAGCTCCACGTGGTTCGTTCTCTGGATGTACATTCGGTCCAGGAAAAATATCAACAGACATATCGTTACCATATCGTCCCTGTTGACCGTGCCTGGTCAATATATGTGGTCATGATCATAAAAATATGCATTGCTAGGGTCAAGCAACTTAGATTAGTTTATCCTGTAGTAGTCTACAGCAGCCTATGGTAGAAATACACGTATGAAGTTGTAACGTCTACTTTCAATCATCTAATCGGTCAACCGCATAAAGTGCCTGAGGCACGAATTTTGCGCAAAATCTGTGCCGTCGTTAGTCTCACAAGGAGAATTACGGAGTATTATCGCACCAAAGTTATCATTTGGATCACACGAACAATGTCCTTCCCGCCACAGTCTACCTTGCGGACAATGAGCGAATTCAGCGTGTTTATAACCTGCGAAAGGATCAGTTATGAACACCAAACAACATGAACAAAGCTTGCCTATATCCTTAAAGAAATGTATTTGATCCCTGCGCGTGAATAAGGCTGCGGCGATGCTATGAACAGGTGCGTCTCCCCATCTCTGTATGGCAGTCAGCGAATGCGAAAAGAAAGACAGATAAAGCTTACCTCATAGTAGAACCCTCCTGTGTTCTCAAGGTACTCGAAAAATTTCGTGTAGGCTTCGCTCCTCCAGAAATCCATATCTGCAATCTCGAAGTTCGACCAAACTGAGCGGGCGTCAATGACCATTTTTAAACATGAATCGAACGACTCTTACAGTGACACATGTTGTAGGAATCGCCCGCATTGTCAGATAGAAAGTCCATTGAGTTGTCTGGTGACACATATTGAGGATGCTCCGTGATGAAGTCTGCCAAATAAGTTCACTCTCAAGTCACCGTACATGATTTTTGGTACTTACCTTTCACTGTGGACCACAGCGAGGGTATAGTTGGTTCCCATTCTGTTGAGAGCGTGATTCATGTGTTAATTAATGCAGCGGAGATGGGAATTTACCTGGCATGGATATCGTGAAGCCTGCCCTTGCGTAAATTTAGCAGCTCAACCAGCTATAATGAGAATAACTCACCATAAACTTTGTCATGTTCTTCCATGAATAGAAAGGGGTCATAATCCAGGTCACAGTAGTATCTAACGTCAGGCCTACAGAATAGGTCAGAACCCAATTCATCTATATAGTGAACAACCGACTCTACTCTCCAGTACCACTTATATGGCGTTAAGAGCTCATGGCGGAAAAAGAACTGTAGAAAGAAGGTCAGCCAACGAAAATACTTTCTAAACTAGCGAAGCGGGGCGCTCACCCCTGAGTTAAAGCGGCACATATTGCGGTAACTAATGACTGAGGATGAGAGAGTACCTGAATGAGTTACAAGGACATACGTACGAAACGCTGCCTATGATTTCAATGGTAAGATAGCAAAGAAGGCATGACGAATGATAAACTTGCCGCCATAAATTACACCTTGTCGCACTAACTTATTGCGTCCCTCCTGAGCTCGTCCTTCATCTATCCAGTCCGGCTGGACCCAGTTCTCACGAGGGATCACACCAAAAGATACATCTGCGTCGGTTAACACGCTGACACGCCTAACAAAGCATGAGAAACCAACTGCGCAAGATAGTAACACGGTATACCTTTTGAAGTCGGTGGTGAAGGGCACGTCGTTCAAAAAGACCCAGGGGTAATTGAACTTGCGATTAAACCTCGCCTCTAGCTGTTCTACACTTGATATCACGCCATTGAGATCGGTATTACGAGCCAGCATTACCAATGTAGCATTGGCTCTGTGGGGGTGGGGAGGGGGAGGGATTTGTGAAATTACATGTCCAAGGGAGGGTGACGGCTTGCTCTTCGATGAAGAAGACAACTCGGATGGTGTCTCGTTTGTCGGTTTGACATCCGGAACCACCACAGGGTCCTCCCGTATCGACCATTGTGCGGACAGAGTTTTGGAAAATGCGTAGTCGTCTTCGCGACCAATAGTCATAAAATAGCACACAATCAGCTATGTGTGAAGCTGAGTATAAGGTGGCAGAACGAGATGTCTTTGACATACCACAGTTGCGAACGCAATGACGATAGATCTACGATGTGCTGCAGTTAACGGGAGAGCCATACTTCGCCCTGATGCTAGTCAGCGAGCGAGTATCGTCAGCTTAGGGAGGAAAAACTGTTGAGATAACAAGCACTTATGTATTATATTAATATGAAGCTGGGAACAGAAGGGAAAAGAATAAATACTAACGATGCACTTTTGTGCCAAAAGATGTACTATCACGCAGCCACGCTTCCCATTAATGGAGTTGCGCAGCAATGACGCAGCAGCGGCGATACCTGGTGATACCTGGTGATACGGCAACGGGTGTGAAACTAGAGCTGGTATCCGGTCACCTGCCAGTGTTTCCACGGTACTGCCTTAAGCGCTTCTGTCAGGACACACAAGTCAAGTTCGACGTTAGTCGATGGTGTGGCGCCGCGACAAAGTACAGACTTCTGAAATACTTACTCAGAATTAGGACTAGTGTCTCGCTGTGCTGCATCTAGGGATTTTGCATTGCATTGTCTGAGCCAACCTCACCGCCCTAACAGGCTATATAAAGATCGGATAACGGTATCTGCGCGGGGACACGCTAACTCATGACATGACATACTGGACAGGCCGGTCAGCGCAAGCATGCTGGCGTCCCTTGCTGGGAGATGTCACGGTAAAATATTAACGCGTGACAACTAACACCTTTGGCCAAAAAGAGAAACAGCCTTCAAGCTCAGCGCTCAACCCGAGGAACATAGAGATCAGCTGGATGAAAAGCGTGATCATAACTCACATGGTATAGTCCAATAGTGCACTTCCTGGGCTGAACTCGGAGAATTGTTGCTTTACAGTCTTCTCGGACGCAGGCGGCCAGGACAGGCCTTCCCGTCGCGTGAAAACATAGAAGCCGCGATAAAACTCTCGTTCAGAAGTTCGTGAACTATAACTTGAAAATCACAACCGGGCGCACCTGTCGTAGCTTCGAAGATGGCACGAGCATACGTTGTGCATCACAACTAACTGCTGATGATGCCGCAAAAAAGCCTATATGCCTAGCAGTACTAGACTAGGGTGATCTGTCTTACTCTTGAGAACAAGTGGCAGTTCGCGCCGCGATATCATGATGGATGGACCTGGTCTTAGCCTAATTTTCAAGGTAGGAGTAGCATCATAACGAGACTGAACTAGCTGCATCCGTATGAAGTGTGGCTCCAATACTCTGAGACGCGGAACTGAACTGCTACCGCCTGGGTAAACTTTTGAAATTCAAATTAGTATTTAGCGGCCCTCAACTTATCATTGAACGCTTCATTGACATCGTACAATGCACCGTCCTTGCAGCTCGTTCATGTGTGAGAACTTGAAGAAGCGTCGAAGAGTAATAGAATGATTATAAGCAAATTACAATTGGACGTGTCTGCAAAATGCTAAGGCCGAATTTGTTAGTGTTTGTTCCACTTGATTTTTTTGAAGCTTTCGTCACTTCGGTTTGCAGACGTGTTGTTTTGCTCTATGGCGTCTCCCGCATTTCCCCCTGCAAAAGATGCCTCTACTGACCCATCGCCGTCGTCCGTGCCGCAGGCACCAAAGTCACTGTACACGTCTGCCCTTTCTCCTCTGACTAGCGCTTTCAGTCGCTTTTCACAATGGCGCAAGTCATTGGATCTCCCGAATCCGGGTACGGTCGAGAATTTGCAGAAGGAGGTCAAGTGTACGCGTTTTCCTTGTGTCGTCTGATCTCTCAGTCATATCTGACGTTTTGTAGCGACTCACCTGACGAATTTCATGTTCGATGGTGCTAGAGCTGATCTCACGAAGAGTTTGTCGATGAACCCGGCATTTCAGGTTACACACTCTTTCATTCTCGGGTCGCAAGTCTCGACACCATCGTATAACTTTGGCGCTGTCTTCGCCAACAACGATGTTAGCCAATTTGTCTTGCTCGCCTTTGTTACTCTGCTTGACCCTTTCCCCCCAGATGTTCCTCCAAGGCAGTGTTGACCATGAGGGTAATGTGAGCGCACGTATGAATCAAGGGTGGGCCGAGAACTCCATCACAAAGATACAGACGCAGGTTTGTTTCCTATCCCATTGTCACATGTGTTCGTTCTCACATCCTCATCCATAGCTTTCATCACAAGCTGGCCATAGCATGATCCAACTGGAGCACGATTACCAGGGCCAAGATTACTCCCTGAACGCGAAAGCTGTCAATCCATGGCCTGCAGACCTCACTGGCATATACATTGGAAATTACTTCCAGTCTGTGACAAAAAACCTTGCGTTGGGCGTGGAGACACTTTACCAACGGCCAACTCCTGATATGTCCGAGTTCACAACGTCATATCTAGCCAAGATCACGAGCAATGACAAAAATTGGATTGCAACCGCACAAGTTCAACCATCGGGTATTCTACAAGCTACGTACTGGCAGAAGCTCCACGAGAAAGTGGAGGTCGCAGCAGATCTTCAGCTTATGGCTTCTCCTCAACGAAGAGATGCCATTGCCACTCTCGGTGCAAAATACGACCTCCGGATGGCGACCTTCAGAGCACAGTTGGACTCCACAGGCAAGGTTTCTGCTTTGCTTGAACAACGCTTTGCTCCAACCTTTGCGTTCTTGGTGGCGGGTGAGATCGATCACTTCAAGGAAAGTGTCTCCCACTTCACTGCGATGTTATCCAAACTGACATTCCGCAAATTTAGAACGCTGCCAAGGTTGGCGTTGGTGTGATGATCGAGAGCTCTACTTTGACCCCGGAAGAGATGGGTATGCCCCCTCAACATTGAATTAATTATACTTAGACACGTACTTTCGGACCCTATTAACGGCATACATCTCTTCTCATGGATTTCTGCAGTACCAGTGTGGTTGTCAGCTAGTCCGGCAGCATCCCCATCTCCGCAGAACATCTGGTTTAATGAGAGTACATTACGTAGCACTGATAGAGTGTGCACCAATCCGAACACGCACAAAGATGTGGTGTGCTGCTTAGTGATATTAAGGTGGCGAACGCCTTCCGAATGGTATACCAACAACCCTCAACTGAAGTCATACCAAAAGACTTTGGTGAAAACTCACCATGGCAAAGTTGATTGAAGCCCGCAACGTTGCCTGCAGGAAGGACAAAGAGCATACCATCTTCTCTCAATTGGACTTCGATGTCAACGAGAGGGATATTATTGTTCTACAGGGCAAGAGTGGTGCAGGGTACATCAACTTTCTCTCCCTGTGGTATTTCGTTTGGAGGCTCAACTTATGCATCATGGCTCAGGAAAACTACACTTTTAAAGTGCATCGCCCACTTGAACGTTTATGACGGAGAGATCTTATACAGAGGACGGTGCGCTTCTTAGACCTTCAAGCCGACTTCTCTCATGCCTGACATGCGATGTTCGCCATCGCCAGGACAGCTAAGGCACACGGTATGCATGACTCCTGACTAGTCATGAAACACTCGCACAGGAAGCTCATGAAGATGTCCCGTAATTCCAGGCGTGCCTGCGTTTAGAACGCGGATATTCTACGTGCCTCAAAGGCCTGCTTTGCTGCCAGGCACGCCACACGATTTTATGGCAACGGTCACATCCTTTCAGTCTCGTAAATCGACTTCAGAATCTGATCTCGCCCTCGCTAAGGACATCTCCAAGGGGTGGGGGATCGATGATGAGCTATGGGACAGGAATTGGACTAGCTTGAGTGGTGGTGAGGCGCAAAGGATAGCATTGGCTGCTGCAATGGGATTGAACACTGCTGAAGTCCTTTTACTTGACGGTCAGACTCAATTTCTATTGCATTGTTTGTATTATGACTGAGACGTGCTCTGACTTGTTTCTCTCTAGAGCCAACTTCAGCTCTCGACCATCACTCGACTAAGCTTGTGGAAGAGTTCATTCTGAATAACCTCAGGTCCCCGCAAACCGGGTTGAAGGCGATAGTCTGGATTACCCATTCTGAGGAGCAAGCAAGAAGAGTAGGAACTAGATTCCTTCAGATCTCACGATCTGGTTGTGTGGAAGAGCCACTTATGCCTGAACCGTAGACATTGCAACAAGAGTTGGATTATTAAAATCTGGATATGCAGTGTTCTGCATAATAACACACACTACGCCATCACTAATCGATAGTCCCATAGCTCAGTGGTCAGAGCGTTGTACTTATGAGGTTACATTCCATGCAAGGGTCCCGAGTTCAATCCTCGGTGGGACTAATTTTTTCATTTCGTTTGTTGATATCCATATATGGGAAATCGCGCTTTCTACCCAACCATCCCGCTGACAGCTTGCGGCTTTATCCACACTCCTCCGCACCGCGGCCCGCCCACCATTTTTCTTCGCCTTCACTAGCATCGTTGACACCGCCGGCGACAATGGCTTCGTCTATGCTCTTCCGCTCAACGCTGCCCCGAACCTTTGCTTCCTGCGACTGGACGTAATGTCTTGCGATCTGCATTGCAAGGTAAGGACAATTTGAACCTTGCCTACTCCTCACTTATGTTACATATCAAAGTGAGAGCAAGCTCGACCGCCCAATATGTGCCAGGTGGACGTATGTTTAATGAATCCTTCTGTATGATACCTGGCAAGCTTATGCTCACTTGGCAGCTATCATAAAGGGCACAGTCAACGACCCTATCGAGTTCCCTCCCTCATCAAGAACGCATGGCTCGTATCACTGGGCATTCGAGCGACTTCTTGCGGCCTCCCTCGTACCCATGACCGCAGCAGCTTTTGTGACCTCCGGGTCATCCTACCCAGTCCTCGACGGATTGCTTGGTCTCAGCTTAGTGATGCACTCTCATATTGGGGTGCGTGGGCCGTAGAGGTAGTATTCTGCGAGTGTCTGACGTTACTTTCTTTATGCTAGTTCGACTCAATGATTGTGGACTACCTGCACAAACGCAAATTTCCCATCCTTAGCCCTATCACGACCTGGACACTGAGGACAATGACAGTTGGCGTACTTGTCGGCATTTATCAGTTCAATACAAATGATATTGGTGCGACAAATTATTCTTGTCTTCGTTCCTCATCTGACTTAGATTCCTGTAGGTTTGACGGAGCTGATTGCGAAGGTCTGGACAGCGTAAGATTATATACAGATTACATCGAGAGACAAGAAATCGCGAATTAAGTGTAATCGTACTATCCATCCTCTCTAACAGAGATGCAAATTCTACTAGTACCTACTCGACTGTCCTTCAAAGCTCCCATTATCCGAGCTTCCACCCCAATCTCAAAACGACCAGTGCAGAGGAAGCACAGTGGCACTTCCACAGCCTTGGTCTCGCCGGGTTTCAGCTTCCCTACTGCTATGTTAGATGAAACGCCTTCCGAAAGGACCTGTTCAGCTGGATCAAAAATCAAGTCCAGTGTCATCACAAGAGGCGATACTGTGGGCAAATTTAGAGCTGAGTGAGAAAAATTCTCGAGAAATGACGAACATGATGGATTGACAACCTCGACACGAAGGTAGAGCATCTCGTTTGGACTGGCGATATATTTGCCTCCACTATAATCGAGTTCTTGGGGTGAACCATCCGGGCTGTCCACTATTAGCGTCAAGTCCATTTGCACCACGTCTGTTCGCAAGGCCTTTAACATCGGGAGCGTCAACCGTTGTTGTCGCAGCGAGAGATCTCCGTGTCTATCACCATTCGTCTGAACCGATAAATATCAACGACAAATATAATTTGAGTGAAGAATGACTGACCTCTTTCCATCGAGCGGAAACGATCTTGAGGAGCTCCTCACGATACCAGAACAGCTCTCGTTGAGCTTGTTCCTCTTCTATCGACAACTTGGACTTTCCGACGACGAACTGACGGTCTGATAATGTCGGTATGGGTTGCGAAATATGATTATCTGGTAGCCTGAACTTCCTAACCGGAAGCATGATACTTGATATACCTGGCGTGAGGCCACGTGTGTAAATGTTTCGTGAACGACTTACCGCGACATTGACCCTGGAGGGACGGTTGATGAAACAGCTGCACTTTCCGTTTCTGTGGAACTTCAGCATCAGGAAGGAGTTTAGAACGATATAGAAGTCCCGCGCTTACCAGCTTGTTCGCGTTCGAATGTAACTTCAAATGGGAGCCCATACGTGTTGCGGACATCAATTGCAAACAAGCACCATTCCGCCGGATCATCAACTTCTGGAAGGAGGTGTATCACGGAATTGCTAGCTCGGAGACTAATGTCATCGTAGTCCACATCAACCATTGGCATAAGGCTCAGATCATGACACTCCAGCATATGGTAAACAGTCACTGTTACCGGATACGATAACTGTCGAGTGTAGAACACCTCGGATGCAGGCATCTGTTCCTCGTGCTCTCGACTGACCTGGGAATATGATATATGGACGGTACCATGTGCACTAACAATGATTTCAGTGCCCGCTAAAGGTCGAGGAATCAGTAGAAACATACCATCCAACTTTCCCTACACATGTAACAGAAAGAACCACCTTTTGGTTTGGCAAAATGTTGGTGATCTCCCTTTCATTGCGCCATGAAAATGCCTTGCGGTGCAGAAGATCGTATTCTGTCTCATACGTTTCGAAGACGGAAAGTTCTCCTTCGGACAGAGCTTCCTGTGCGGGACCAATGGTGGAGTCTTCGAAAGATAACCGAAGGAAATCAATCGGCAATGCGGAAATATTCTCCAAAGTCAAGCGAATGGTCGATCTGCAGCGCATCAATCAATAAAAATATTTAAGAGAACAAGCACACATACTCTTCGCCGTTGTACAGCATAACTGCTCCGTGCGTAAGCGACGTCCATCTGATTCGGAGGAGGGGCTGCTCAGGAACAACGACACATTGTAAAAATTGAGGTGGTTTCTTGAGGGATGGGAGTAAGGTACTGAGTCGCCTCCCATCCTTCTCCCACGGACGAGAGTCGAGGCCCCAATACTTAGTGCGACCGCTTTCGCATTTCACAGCACTTCGACGGCGTGCAAAAAGATTCTGGTCGGCATCAGTCGGGACAGGCAATAGAAACTCCCTCGGAGCTCCCCAAGGGGCTTGAACAATGCAACCTCGGAAAACCAAAGTTCCTCGCGTTTTCGCAGTGCCAATGATGGTAATTGGATAGAGTGTATTGGGAGGGATGACGAGTGCTGAGATAGGACTGGATTCAAATTCCACTCCGGTTGTGCTAAGGATCCCAAGGTTAACTCATTGGTCAACTGACATAGCAAATGCTATACCTGAGCGAAATACTTTGGATTTCCAGATCGAACACATAAGGATTTCGTAAGGTGATCGTGAGTTCAATAGGTTCACCTTGAACAATTAAGTTCTTGCTCTATGAACATCCCAAAAATGCGGTGAAAATACGTCTCACTGTCGGTAACAAGGGACTGACCTGTGGTCCTGATGATTTCCTGGGATTATATAGGAAAGGGTCAATGATACCGCTAAGCAGCGAATTCGTGGCAGAAGATTTTGCAGTCAATATGGAACATGGATTTTCAATTGGCAGGCGGTGCAAGGCCAACCTGTAAGGGCGGGAGTTAACATGGTTGTACCGTTTGTAACAATCACATACGGCAGTAATACAAGACTCGCGATAGGGTTCCCGGCCCAGTACTCAACTGCAGGTGCGTCACCGCGCCGACGCATAGCAGCAAGAGCACGTCCAGCAGTTTGATACAGATGGTATTGATCAGTACTGGCCAACACGGAATGCATTGTTCTCAACGCAGACAGTGATATTCGCGCCACAGCGAGCGGATCTGGGGCTTCCTCAGAGGCTGTTGTCTTGTCAAAAATACTACTGACCGGGAAGTGCCTCTGCCACAGCAATGGCCTCGCGAATAACTCCAACTTGAAGCTCTGGCCACCCGAAGGATTCCTTTGCTGCATCTGCTGAGCCATCTAAGTCCTCCACGGCAGAGCCATTATTATCCTCACCCCCTACTTCGCTGCTGGTATCGTCTGTTGCTTTTGCCACGCAGACCGCTTCCAGATCAATACCAAGAACCTTGCAGGCACGGACGAGGAGTTTCAGGATGCTCTGATTGCCTTCCAGAACCTCGTTTCGTCGCACACCAACAGCCCCCTTCCCGACTATGCTCACTTCGTCACCATTCTCGGAGCGATTGCCCATGCCTGCGCTTCCAACGTCAGATTTCCGCAGGAGGTCATTTTCTTCCCGGCCGCAAACAATGAGATCCATGATGCAGCTGATGACTTCGCGCAGAATGAAGGCTTCCTTCCGCCTGTATCCAAGGGATGAATAAATGCTCGCCATAGATTGCAAAATAGTGAGCCGCTCATGAGAACCAAGATGCAGTAGCCAAGGTCCGTGTGCTTGCGATACAGTGTTCGCTATCTGTGAACGAGACACGCCTGACACAGTACTTATGCGCTCCAGATTTGTCCAGGAGCTATCAGACGTTGTTTTCTGCATATATGAGGTCGACCCTGGCTGTAGCATTGAAGCAAAAGCTAATGCACCCCACCCCTTGGTAGACCAAGTGCAGAAAAGGAGGGATGTTTGGCGCATAACAGCTGTGCAGTATGTCAAGGCCAGAAGTGAATGATCCTGGCTAAGCTCAGAAGACACAGGAGCCTTGTGATAGAGAGCTATAGCCTGAGTCAATTGCTCGTATATGTCGGCCCAAGGTTCCTTGACACCGCTGTTACTAACAGAGGATTGCTGCATACGATTTCAACATCGCTCATCAAGAGTGATAGCTGACTTACCAGGCCTTGGCCAGCCGACCATGCATCTAGAACAAAAACCGTCGCCATCCCTTCTAACACGGAGGCATGCCATACAGGGTCCTGCCCGGTCTTAAACAGCACGATAGCTTCTGCATACCTTAGGCGAATTCAACTACGATGAACTGACGAGATGAATAGAGGACACGGACCACAACGATGCATCTTCTGTCCTGCCAGCCAACAGGAAGAAATCACCGAGAACCTTGTAAAGTCTTCCATGTGACGAAACGGCACCGACTGCACTAGCGCGTTTCCTGACCCCTGGGGGACCAAGTGTGGATGGCCGTTGGATAAGGGATGCTGTGTGACTGACACCAGGTCCGGCAGTCGAACTACGCTTGATCTGGATGCCGGGCATCGCGAGGCTCGATGAATCGAGTTCTGGCTGGCTCGAGTACGAAGGATATCCAAGATTTCCGAAACTGAGAGAAAGCGGTATCTCAGATGGAGAAGGGAGTGTCGGGAAAAGAGCCGAATTCAAATACTCATTTCCTACAGGACTCTCCAGAACATGATACTATAAATCCGTCAGTAAGGTCCTTAGGACTCTGTATGAAAAGTTGATCCATACCACACGACCAAGTTCAGCTAGAATGTGAGAGCACAGATCAGCGAGCAGAGTACCGATATAAAGTTTCTTATTCCCCATCACACTCGGAATTGAAACAATCCCAGGTAACGCGTGTCCGAGACCAGTGCTTCCAACACTTTCTTCATCCTCAAAGGCAAAGCAGACTTTGGCCAAGGGAAATGTCGAGCCTTCCGGAGAGATGTCGAGCACAGTATTCTCGAATTGCTCAAGGGCAGAAGCAAGGGAATATGAGGATGAACACGCAGCGACACCGATTATGCCTAGCGTAAAGTGAGACGGTCGGAATAGGGACAGCGATATATGGCGAGGAGGAGCAGGATGGGATGGGTAGCTCAGATATAGATAACCACTGGAAAGTGGACTTGGCATGAAACGAGCTGACTCGGATCCATGAGCAACTGTCGTGTAAGCAAAAAGGACTCGCATACCTCGTTCATCCTTCATGCCAGTAGGTATGTCACCTAAGCGAATTGAATCGAATGTCCTGATCTCCGCCGCATACTTCTCAAAGGCAGCACGGGGTATTGGGCCCACTGGGAGGACAAGGATTTGGATGTGCGCAAGCGCTGCGAATGCATAAGAGTTCATGGAATGCCTTGAGCTGTTCGTTACAAGCTCAAATCATCAAGTACGAAAGTCGGATTCTTTTGGTGCTCAGCTGCTCGCAAACGTTGATAATGAGCTGGCATGATTTTGACTCAGAAACAAATTACGCACTCGTGTTATGTATGTAGGTCGTGTTGTCCGCCGGTCCGCCAACCCACCAACCTCAACTTCAACTTTTGGCCGACTCCGGAGTCGCACTGCTCTATTCTTTATAATCACACTCGACCTCAGCTTCAACTTCCAAGTAGGTTTGACAGACTTTGCGATGGTGAGCGGTAAATCTATGTGATGTTTTAAGGTTGGCTGATGGGAGCAACTATCCAAGGGTGCAAGCGACAAGTTTCTTGGAGGAGTGATGCTGCTAGTTGCCGGCTTCGTATTCACGTACTACACGACATGGGCCATCTTACTCGTCAGTTCGCTTGGCTTACGTTGGACGGGCCATATAGCTGATAGTTACTCGCCCATTTTTCAGCCTTTCTTTGACGCATCCAGCCCCATACACAACTATTTTCCTGCACGTGAATGGGCAATACGGCTGCCAGCATTTGCGCTCGTAGTTGGACTTTCGGGTATCGGTTTCTTCATTGGCTCCACAATCATGAAGGAGAATAGAAAGAAGTCACAAAAAGCGAAACTCAGGGCAGCCTGATACCCAGAGATATGCATATCCGTCGCCTCTCCTTTTGTCGACCTTTCCTCAGATTCATTAATTTCCTGTACCTAGAATCTATTGCGAAACTGATGTTGTATTGGGGCTACGTAGGAATCCGCATGTCCCTTCTACGTTCCACGGGTCGTTGCACACTTTCCAACACTCGCAACTTCTCTGCATTCACAACATCCTGCTTTGCTTGAGCAATGACCACGCTCGGCAGCAATTCGGGTAGAAGCTCTCCATCTAGAGCTCGGGACAGCTACATACGAATAAAATAAGCATGGTTCAAAGACAAGACAGGAGAACATGCCTTGCCAAGTGCGGAGTTTCGTCTTCCAGAGTCACACAGGCGATTCAGCATTGCCGCACACGGTACAGTGTCCAACCCTACAGGTGAGCGTGATTGGAGCACAAAGAGAAATAAGTTTGCTACAGAAGCCCATATTGTTGTGGCCAGTGGCTGATGACACTGCGTCAGCGCAGGATTCTTGGGCAGAAGTCAGATATCTTACCAAGAGATCTTCTGGGACATTGTCAACTTTGAAGAGATTTACCAGCGCTTCGAATGGAGGCCACAACTCGTTCCAGATGGCCTTGACGCTGGGTGACTCTCGCGTTAAGTTGGCAAGTGGCATTTGTGCAAGCAGCAGCCACAACTTGAGAGCTATGAAAGCGTGTTCTACATCTGCCACAGCAGATTCGGAAGGCGTCGTCCCTTCGAGCACATATGTGCCCAAGCACTTGTAATATGCCGGTGTGAAGACATTCAACTGCGGCAATAAGACTCGGATGTGCGTGTCAGCAGAGTCGCTAAGTACACCGAGCAGTAGAATATTCCAAGCACGGACGACTGTGCCAGCTTGTGTGGATTTCTGGTGAGGTTCGTTGAGTTCGGGTCCACGATATGCATCGAGCGCGTACCTCGAAACCTTCGGAAATCATCTCTGAAAGCGACGCGTGCCCAACACCTACAGCATGGAGGACCAATCGCGCAACAGAAATCGAGGCAGATAACTCCACGCTTGACTCAGAAATTACCCAGACATGAGTGTGTAGAAAGTAAAGCCCACTGCACGCCACTTGTCGTAGTCCAACAATTCGGACATCAGTGCAAAGAATCGTCTAAGGCAATGATCAGATGATGAAACACATCTTTTGAGAGAAAATAATTACCTCGACGATCGCACTCAAAGTGGAAGGCGTGACTCGTGCTCTGGCTCGAAAAACATCCTCCAGTACTTCCAGCAAGATATGCGTTACGTGGTTCGTGTTAGAAGACACCAAGTCCTGCTTTGAACTCAGAGATGTGTCACTGAGCGAACTGACAGCGTGTGATGCTCGAATTAGACTCTGTTTCTCCACATTGGACCTCGATAATGCGACCCTCAGTACCGTTTTTGTACACTCCAGGAGATCCTAAAGGAAATGTCAGGAATGATCATCGATTGGTTTGGGTCAAAAACGTTGTATATCTTACCTCGGCATGCACTTTGTTATACTGCAAAAGAGTTGCGGAAATATACAGCAGGAGATTGGGGTCAAATCCGGCGTTGTTTCCCAGAGCCGATGCTCGGCGTGCCGTCACCGTAAGCCAACTTATGAGGTCTGCCAATCCAATTGGCACGAGTGGTAGAAGTGGGAGAGATATCTCTTACCTTTGATTAACCATTTGCTGAGTCCTTCAAAGTAGACCAACTCTGTATATTCCTTCACGTTCAAAGCAATATTATGATTGATCTTCCAATCAGCGTCTGGAGGCTGTGTCACGACGCTCTGCAAAAGAACTTCTCGGAGGCTTTCCTGTGACGAGGGTGCCCTGCGGAATTCATCTTCTACGATGGATTGTATTACAATGAAAAAATCCGAGCTCAGCGGGCGCTTGAATACATGCTGATCAGTTTGAGACACTCCCACCATGCGGATAACATACTTTGCACAAACTGCAGAACACTCCACTTGGTGCTAATCTGAGCCAGAGGTTATCAACGGGCAGGGAACGAGCAGTGAAAGCCACCTTACGTGACAAGCGTGTTTTCGATGAATGATTTTGCTTGAGTAACCAACATATCTTCGGTGTTATGTTTCAATAATGCAATCAGTGCAACAGCACGTTCAATTGATTCACTATAGGCAACTTTAGATCAGTTAACAACGAAGTTGAAAGGTATACCATCCTCACGTCACTAGCGCGCCAGATATGGCAGAGCCTCTCTTGATGTATGTCTCTATCACAAATAATGCCACTTGACGCAAGTCATGGCTCAGGTCAATTAACAACATATCTAAGGTCTTCTTCAATGCCTTGCGGAGCAGAACATCGAGATGTCTGAGCGCGGGGCTATCGAAGTCATGCTTAAAAATCATTGCCATTAGTGCTTCCAGCAAGCTCTTCAAGGTAAGAGCTGGGAGCTCGAGTGGTTCGTCTATGGCGCAGAAAACACCCAGCACGACATCCATCCAAATGGACCCAATAAGCACGCGACAGGGTTTATCGTCTTCGGTAAACGGACTGCTCATAAGGGAAGGCGGCAGGTCAAATGGATGGGGGGCATCCAAGACGCGTGCAAATTCGTTCACACACGGCAAAGACTGTTGTGGAATGCCACTGAAGCCATCCAAGTGGATTGAGAACGCCCGCCCATTGAATGCAGAGACCATCTGCGCCCCACTAAAGCCAACCATTTTGGCCAGATACAGCTTGAGCTTCAGGCATGACGTGAGGTCGATCTCGACTCCATTTTTCATCATGCGCAACCCAAGCAACGCAATCGATAGCTGTTCGAGGAGTCAAACAGAAACATTGATGACACAGCAGCCCCTCGCACCTGAATGGAGTGAATTTCTGGGTCTAAATCTCGCGGGTGGGCATCATTTTGAGTCTTCAACCCGTACATTTCCTGTCGGTATGTATGGTTAGCGGAGTGCTTGATTCATTAACAGAAATTTTGACGAACAAGGTGAGCAGCGGCAGGGCCATCTTCATCGTTGCTGTTGTGTTGTAAGTAATCGTATTCGAGCAGTGTCTCGATAACTGTGCTCCAGGAAAGCACTACGATAAATTCACACTTAATATCAGTAGAATTAGGATGTTTAATGAATGTTACCTCTCCACGTCGGGAAATGTGATTGGAGCTGGAGCAGAAAGGAGACCAGCCGGAGACGCTTTGACATAGGTAGGTAAGGAAAGGCATCATTCCAACATGATGCAATGGCATCCAAATGGGCCGAAAGCAATGTCTGCAACCAGGTGTCAACTGCTGTCCTGACTTCTTCCTATTGGCAAGGGTTGCATCAGTCAGGTGCTGACAAAATAAATTACTGTCGGCATACCTTCTCGTCGATCCAGAGCGGTTCAAATGCATGGTAGAAGAGGTCAACGACGCTGTGTTTCCAGGGCCGATCTTTAACCACAAAGTCAGGACTAGTAATGTCTAGTACCATGCGAAAGAATCTGTCCAGGGCCAGGAGTCTAGTTGCCAGCACGTTATTCGCATCTCAAAGGCGACAAGAATGTAGATACCTGATGTCCCATGCAACTGTTGGTCCGCTCATCGAGGACATAAACTCGTGAAACGATTGTGGATCGACAATCAATATTCTAAGGAATAAGGTGGTCCTAATACTTGCGATCTCATGATGCTGAATCCCATAAAAATGCCAGATACTGTGATAAGGAAGAGTTGCCTGGCCGATCACAAACTTAAGAGATGATTGTGCATACCATGAATATAGGGTGCTTCCATTGCGTAACACGAAGTTATCGACCTCATGTGCCTCAAGAAGCGAAGCATGCATAATAAAAGAATGTAGGAATTTCGCAATGAGACAAACGACTTGTTCTGTGCCGGTGGTGACGAGAGTACTGAGAACAAGTATCAGTTCGCCGTTGATGATAATGGGGTCGGGAGCATGACCCGTGCGTGTGTTCTGCTTTCTCCTGATGTTCGGTCAGCTTTGGACCACGAGCTGAACGTGGTTGATCTAACTTGCCTTGAAGGAAGATTTTTGATATCTTCTTCTGTTATCATTTCGTTTGAAGTAAGTATGGCGCGATCACATCCGTAAAGCAACAAGCAAGTAGTGAGGGATTGCCTGATGAACGTCGATGCACTTCAATCACGTTGTCAGCAATGAGGCAGCATAAGCAGTGGTATCCGGAAACCCCACCATAAAGCATCGTCACTTGAGGATCGGAGGGCACTCTCGATAGCAGGCTGTAGGCTAGCGATCATAGTTGAGATCAATTTCTGTAGATCTTGTCGACCCATCGACCTCGTCCACACGGACACTAAGGTGGCTTCAGCGAAGACCGAGGCCTGCTTCAAGGTTACAAGCCCTTTCCGCGACAGTTTGCTGTACTCAGCAAATATTGGAACGTCAATATCAACACCCGAACGGGCAAATAACCTCAGCCAGCGGAGGCTGTCCAAAAGGCCGTTGTCCTTGGCCGCCCGTCGAACCATGCCCCATGGATCAGATATCTTCACTGCGTGCCCATCGACTTGCGCAAAAATCTGGTCAACAAATGTGGTGTGGCGAGATGTGTTCTCAGCTGAATCTCGATTGAGGAGACGTTGCAGAACTGGAAGAGACTTTGGATTAATGAACATCGGTCATTGAGTCAACAAGTATCACATCCCGTACCGCTGTATCGAGCACCTCAGGTTTGAGTGTCTGAAGCCACATGAGAAATAAATCATCAAGCACTGTGAAGTCGACTGAAGCCCTGCACAATCTTATCATAAAGCGCAGTGACCTTTCCGCGGTCGACAGTGACTGTCAGGCCTCCAAATCAGTTTGCAAACTATACGTTCATAGGAGTGGCACGGACTTCGTGTACATTGAGACATGAGCTTTCATAATGCGAAGCAATATCCTGGATATTATCAGACAATAATCGGACATAAGCGACAAAATCTTGATCATGTAGTGCTAGAAGCCACCGGGCAGCATATCTTGAAAGCAGAGAACGCCTGGCTGCGACATAGTCACCGCCATTATTGACGGAACTACTTGGTGCGCGACGCGCGTGATAAGTTATTGGCCACACAGGAGCATCGGATCCGCTCCTAACACCTGGGAGATCAATCCCTTGTGGGATGAAGTCACGGAGAATCTTTGCCAAATTGTCATCCTAGAAAACAAAGTGAACCAAGTACCAGTCATCAAAGAAATATATTACCTCTGCAAAGATCCATGATAACACAGCATGAGATAACCTGCGCAGGGCATAATCTGATGCCAGCCCGCTAGGCCAGAAGCGCCTCACCAGGAGCAAGAAGCCGTATTCGTTAACCGAAAGGTCCAAATCGGAAAGGCAAGCCTCAATAGCTGACACTAGCGTCTCCACATTAGCGGACAAGTCAAAGCCAAGCGGCAGTGGAAAGTAGCAGTGTTGGCCTGATTTTCCAGGCTCGGGTACACACGTAGGCAAATCTGCACATGTGAAGAAGCCAAGTTTGTGAAGATGAGAAAGACAGTGACGCGCAGGACCCTCGGACAACATATTAAATTCGTATCCCAGGGAATTACGGAGATGCCCTAACGTGACGACCTCGAACGGATGACGTGCTGCATCATTGCCATCCTGTGTCGTCATATTTTCGCCAGGCACACACAAGTCTGGCCAAGCACCTAGCAGTGGAGTTTGTACATCGTGCGATGTCCTGATAGTGGAGGAGATGTAAGCTAAAGTTGACCAATCAAACATAATCGCCGAAGAGGATGGGTTGTGTCGGTTGGCTTCAAGGTATTCTCCGAGAGTCGCAGAGACGGGAAGCTTTCCAGAAGATAAGTAAGCTTCGTAAAGTTCAACCAGAAATTGCAGCTCGAATCCCTTGGTTGTATCTTCATGACTGTCTGATGCCAGAACAAATGAACCAAGGGCAAGTCCATTGTTATAGATTTGCAGTTGCGTCCAGAGCATGGCAGATGATACAGAGATATCCTCAAAACTCCGCTTCCCCAGGTCTTCAGATGAGAGGAAGAGATCCCCGTAGTAATCCGCAAATGTGCGGCTGATGCTATCCAATGATACCGTCGTGTGAACGGAACTGGTATCTACAATTCCACAGATCGCGAGCGGTCTATCGAGGCACGTGAGATGCATAAAAAGCTTGCATGTCGTACAGTGGAACGCCTGACAACCCCATATCGGCAGAAAACAATGAAAGCAAATGGGCAGGGTAAAGAGATTGACGTATCTGAAAATATGTTGAGCTCGTTTCACAGTAATGAGGTCGGCGTCCCGCTTATATGGGGGAATGAGGCAGAAGCGGTGAACGGCCAATTTCCGTGTTTCCGAATTGGACGCCGCAGCGTACTGATGATGAACATTGCCTTCCGGGTAGTTGTAGCAATCGAAGTGCACGGCGCACATACATCCACAGCAGAGAAGTCCAAACCCCATGATGGAGGAAGCACATGATTGACAGGAACTTGAACAGGCTTCGTCAAATACCGAAGGCCGCTGTGACTGCCGAAATCTCCATGGTACAAAATCGTGCGCACAGGAAGTGCTTGATTGCAGTGGAGGGTTGGGCATACTCCCTGTCCAAGGTTGCTCCCCCTGACCAAGGACAGGCAGAGACTTGCTAATGACGACATGTCCAAGAGCTCGTGGCCAAAAAGTTGCCAGCAGGCATAGAGCAGCGCGGCGACTCTGAGGTACATGATATGCTATCACTTCCAATACATCCAAACATGAGTCTGGCTTGGAGTTGACTATGGTATCAAGCAGCCGGCATAAACTATACGTGGGTAGCAGCGTAGTATCGATGTTTTCTAGAATGGCAGCCAACAGCGGAGGGGTTATGGAGGCCAGGTAGTATACAGGCAGAGGCTGGAGAGGTGCACTTGTGGCCTGGATACGGGTATAACTCGCAGAGGCGAGAGACGTCCAAGGCTGCCACGAAGCTGTCTGGCGAGATGAACTCTCTTCGTCGTCGAGGGCCATTTCAACTTGAATAGAAACGGGGTTTCCTTGGCCAAGACTATCGATAACTACGTCTTTTGCTGTCGGTAAATTTCCCATTATCCGAACTCATCTAACTGAACGTACCCGACATAGCTGCAGGCATGTATCCCCTGATTCGATTTAGATCCTCAAGCACTCCCCTAAGTATTACATTGTCGAAAAAGGACAGTAAACGCGGATGCATCTCGCTTCGAAATGTCCCGAACGCAGGAAGAACCGCAAACGCGATACGGGAGATTATTGATGGTTCATTGGAGTGGACATGTGCAAGAAATTGGGCAATGTCAAGGCACGCTGATTGCAGCGCGTTTGGAGGTTTCGATGGTCTGGGCGAAGAAATTTGAAAACGACAGTCTTCCGATATCACTGAGGAAAGGATGGAGATGCACAGTGTTATAAGCGAAGGAGCCTGCGAGTGTCCCTTCGACGAAGGCGAACGAGATCTCGAGCGCCTTTCACTAATGCTACGTCTCATAGAGCTGCGAATGGTGAATTGTTTGGTATCTGTACCCAGTCCAGAAGCTCTGTGCGAGTTTCAGCGATGCTTTGACTAGCGCTGAGACAATGATTTCATACCCTTGATCAAACACCTGCCAGCCCTGCGAAGCAGAAAATTGCAATACCTCTTTCAATTGGACCATGAGGTCAAAAGTGGTTTCAGAAGAGAAAACAACACAGTCACTTCCTTCATCGTCACTATCTTCCTTCATGGATTGCAAGCGTTTGTGTGACTTCTGTTTAACTACATTGCGTACTGCTCCAATTATGTGGCCAAGACCTGCCTCAGTCGATGGAGTAGCATGAACATTTAACGCATCGAAAATTGGGGGAGGACGCGTTCTAGAAGAGAGCTGGTCAAGAAGCAACCCCACGAGCTTTTTCGACTCCTCTCTGGCGTGATTCATGGAGTCATGTTGCGACAGTGCCATTCTGGCTAATTGTGCTGAAGGCGAATGTTTGTCTACATTGGGTGAAAGCGGGATGTAAAATGACGGTGAAGGAGTAAGGCTGGCACTACTCGTCCCGCCAGGAGAGCCATCATAACCTGACTTGATATGGGATGGAGGTGTGAGAGACTCAGTGTCAACGCGAAGTAGTGGTGTAGACTTCATAGAGGCTCGAGTCGGTGTGGCCATGGCGGCTTAGATTATTGGTCACGTCAGAAACTCGTCCAGAGTTTTCATGAGCCGACTGCACGAAAGCGCTTACTATTCGAAGTGAGTCGATTAGTCATCATAATCTGTGGGTCAAGACCACACCTCCACATTCACAGCCACAGCATTAAGTATTTAGTCCCCTGGCGAATCTATTGACTGTATCTAAGCACCCCATTTATGAATCACGCGCACGGCTCGATAAAACATCATCTCCCAGCAAGATGAAGCAGAAAACTTTGGGCGATTTTCTATTTCCATCCTCTCCAGCACCAATTTCACCCCCAGCACCTGTGAAGAAGAGACAGGCGAAGCGGAAGCATAAGGTTATCGCTCTTGACTCGGACACAAGTGACGATCTTGCACAGGATAGCGATGTCGGCGCTATAAAGTTTGAACCAGAAGTTATTGATGTCAGCGATGAAGACGATTCTCCACGCCGACCGAGTACTAGACGGCTCAAGAAATCACTCGTTGTCACAGACAGTCTGCCAGATGTGGCAGCAAGCGATGACTCTCTGGAGGATCGTATTGGCATACCTATGCGATGGAAAAGGAGCAATAAAGGGAAGAGGAAGAGGAAAGCAATAGCAGATTCTGATGATGAATCTCAACCGCGCAAACGAAAGTTGGTCAAGGGCGCCAGACCTCCAAGTCCTGAAGGAAGTGTTATCGATGAAGTCGACGAGAATGGTAAGCTCTACCTACTTTCCTTCTTACAGTGCTACATCGCTGCCTCCACAGACATCATTGAGTCACGTCTCCGCGCTCGCGACAAGAAAACAACATTTCAAAAACATCTTGAGAAGTTGAAGAGTGGGTCAATACCTCTGACTCATGAAATTTCTTCTCATCGAATATTCTGTAAGGTCTCAAGGGCAAGAAACGCTCAGAGATAGACCTTGAGCTCGAATCCTCAGAGTCGGACGCCGAGTCACCGGAAGTGGCGAGCATGGTGTTTTGACTACACAGCTACCCATCGCTTTTAGTATGAACACCCATCAAGATCTTGCCCATCAATTCAAGATTGTCTGCCAGTTATTTGTCCACATGGCTGTTCGTTCTCCTTCTGACAGACGCTCATTCATGAAGAAGATGTTGGAAAGTATGCATATTCATTGTCATTCGAAGGACAGTGCTAATACGGACTGCAGCGGATACATATTTCTCTGTCCCACTTCAGGTAGCACGACGAAAATTATCTGGGATGAAGGACTCTCTTGTCACATCCTCGGTCTGGAAACCTCAATTCAAGAGGCCGCTCGAAAGATACCCCACATTCGAATTAGTACGAATGAAGTTCAGTGCTCCTCAGTGTGATGCTTGCAATCTGGGTGGGAGAATATCCACACTAATGGGCCGAGTGAGCGGCAAGCCATATGATAAATACGATTTCGAGGTATGTTCTAGCTCGTCCAGTTATGTTTTACACAACTGATTGCGAGTAGTCAGAGGATGAGGATGAGTCATCGAGCTCATCAGACACTGATTCTGATGATATTGGTCACAAATCTTCTGACAATCAATTTTATCTCGGCCGCTTCTGCGCTGCTCGGACACGAGTTTTCCACGAGTTCAGTCATTGGGAGGTAAGCTATCTTCGAAGTATTTTGTTCATTGCTCGACGACTTTGAAACTAGTATCACTTGTATCACTCTTTGCTGAGGCAAATCGACGAAGTCCTCGATGACAATCGTAGTTTTGTCCGAGTCGCTTTCGCGGGGGGCATTGAACCTCCCAAAAATATGCGAGATGCAGATAAAGTGATGGACTGGTTTGATCAGCGTGGATTAATCGAGTTCGAGTGGCAGAGAGTTCGGGAGTTGATGGATAAAGCCAGGAATCTCGAAACGCACGCGAAGAGAGGAGGCGATCAGGACGACCAGGATATGTAATCTGTATATTAGTATTCATTATCTTTGTTGTATAATTTGTACCAAGGTCGTTGTCTACTCGGATCCTATGTACAGTCACTACTCGCATAGGGGCAGCCCACAAAATAGGAACGTGTCCCACGGCTTGTCCTTTGCATCTTCGACTTGTAAACAAACGCGTTCAATGTTCATGTCGTACTCACATTACCAGCCAGGGCAGCATCCAGCGGGAACAACATATCCTTATTATCACCCAGGTGCACCAGGCGCATATGCTCACCCTCAGACTCCGGGTTATCCAGCCTACCACCAAGGCTACGCCACAGGTGTGACTGGCTACGGTGCATGGCCATATCCATACACCTATATCCCACAGCAGCCTGCACAAGCTCCCTCTCAACAGGCAGTGCGGCCCACAGTACAGACAACGGCGCCGCCAGCTGCGACACCCATCCCCACTCCAGTCGCTGCCACTCCGAAGACGACCACATTTACGTCCTATACCCCAACCTATGCCCGAGAAACTGCTCCTGCTGCCACTGCAGGGAGGTACTGGGCGAGGTAGAAAACAGGCGAATTTCAAGGGCCTCTTTTCCAAAGAGCGTGCGTTCTGTTAGGTCATTTCTATAGGAAACTTTTCAGCCAGATTTCTCCAGTGAAAAACCTCATGTATGGTTTCGGCGATGATCGGAATCCTGCCAACGACACAGTGAATGTCATGGAAGAAATACTTGTCGAGTTCATTGCAGATATTGTGCGTGTCTTCGTTTCTTGGTATTACATTATACAGACATGTGAGTGCCGAAACTCAAACAAACATTACTTGGGGCATAGTGTCAAACTGCTGGTGGTCCACAACGGAAAACACGATTGTCTATTGAAGATCTTCGTCGAGCTTTGTCGAGGTTAGCAGATGCGAAAAAGCTGGCTCGTATGGAAGAATTGTTATTTATGCAGGAGGATATCAAACGTGCTCGGGCTCAGTTCGAGGAATCCGACATCACGCAGTCAAAGGAGTACTAGGAGAATTACTTTAGTAGCACTGTCTTATTTTCTACTACATCTGTATTTTTATATCTTGGCATCACAGACCACCCACCGATGCCAACATCATACCGCGTCTCCGCTCTCGCAACATCAAGTACTATCGTGCAGGCATGAGGAAGCTGCCGAGAACAACAAGGTAGTGGGTTTTCGTTGAAACTGTTTGCTCCACTTGCCATGAAATGGCGACTGAGGCTGCCGTGGCCTGGTTACTCTTCCATTGCATCCGGCTCTTCATCGTTGGCTTGTTCTTCGGCTTCTGCAGAAGAGGCTCGTTGGGCCGTACGACCTTGCACACCTGGAGAATATCAGTGAAACAATACGAATATGCGCAAAATTGCTAACCTCCACTTTGTGCCAATGGCTTTGCGTGCTCTTTCAGCCATTCTTCTGATTCCCAGACTGTTGGAAGGAAAGACTGAGAGGGGGTCGCAGTAACTTGTATAAGTAGTACGTACTAGCTCTATTCCCATCTGGAGGTTGCAAGCCTTTCATAGGCTTAGCTTGGTTGACTTTCAACACCCTGCCTCGTAACTCATTGAGATCCATGTTGTCGATTGCATCCTGAGCATCTGTAGGAGAAGAGTATGTCACAAATGCGAAACCACGATGTTTGAATTCTACGGATAGTCGGCATATGAATGACTGTTCAAATTTGTCTGCTTGCCTGTTGGCTTTGATGGATTAGCTGGTGCTGGAGGTAGTTGGACTTCAATGATGTCACCTGCGGTTTCGAAGCGTTCAGTGTGAAGTTGTCGCGAAACAAAACACCTACCGAAAGCCGCAAAATGCTCGTAGATCACCGTCTCATCGACATCATCCCCAATACCCCCAATGAAAATGGTCTTCTTACCCTTGGTGCCTTCTTCCATCGACTACTAACAGTTTAGTGTTGGGCCAAATTGTGATGCTATTCAATTTCTTAGTCAGCGGCTTCAGAATTCAATACAAGTAAACAACTCTAATACTGTAGAAGTAAGACATCCATCCATCCGTCATCCGAGGATGTTGTCACACTTAATGGCGACGGCTTTCACTTCCTTCATTTATACGTCCTTGTTCACAAACGCTGATGCAGGATATCGATAACATATCATTTTTGGGATCACACTCGACTTTCCTGTCACTCTATCATTTCCTTTGGCAGAAACAGGACCAGTCTGTTATAAAGCAAGGGGTGAAATGTTATGCTCTAGATGTGGAGGGCTTCAATGGGTCAGTTGGTTTCCTTTCTTTTGGTCTTGTAATGATATTGAGGTTAATACAGGATACATCTACTCACCTTCGACGCCGTTAATCTATCTGGATGCCCTGATGCCAAGTTACCAAACGGAGCAACTTCCATGGTCATCCGTTCAGAGTATGAATTGCTCTTTGAACATATCTCCGCAATCGAGCGCAATTTCATAGTGCATGAATCGGCAGGTATTGGTAAGTCGAGTTCCTTCCAGAGGCGCTTCTACTCAATACAACTAATTATCCTTAGGAAAGTCTCATTTTTTAGCATATATCCTCGTGAAGCGTCTTCTCGCTCGTCAACCGGTGACGTATCAAATTGACCAACTACACTCATCCGTCATGTGCTTCACTGCAGACGGGTTCTTCACCCTCCCGCAGGAGGGCAGCGAGTATCACCCCCTATTCCAACGCGAAGATGTGTGGCACCTCGTCGACAGCACGCATGAAGACCCCACCACGCACCCGAACACCACACACACTCAGGCATTGATGTGGGGCACGCGCGGCAAGGCCATCTTCACCACGTTTTGGCTGGATAGTTTTGGCTTCAAAATCGACTGGTCACCTGGATATGAAGTTTCTCTTCAGCGGTGGATGAAACCATGCACTTGGGACGAGATCGTTGCCATGAGGTAAAATGACATATTAGCATTCTTCATGATGGCTGACCATCTTCCCAAGTGCTCTTACTGCAAACACGCACGAACAGCACAATCCAGAGGCTCTGCGATGGTCTTACACCCATTTTGGGTCCAACGCGCATGCCTGCCTGCAAGTGTCTCGCCACCCCAGCCATGCTGATTATTACCTCCACAAATTGGAGTGTGCTCGCGATAATTTCTGGTTCCAGCATCCCGTATTGCGCGAACATGAAGCCCTATACAGCCGTAACCTTTTCGCCGTACAACCAGGAGATACTCGCACAGAGCCGCTACCCTACCCGGTTTCACAGGTAGCCAGTAGGCTCCTCGCAGACGGGATCGCCTCCTTAGACCCCTCCATTGCCAAGGACGCTGTCTGCAGCTTGCTTAACTCAGAGGACGCCGAGGAGTCAGGCAAGATATTTTATCGTCAGGCTGTGATAGCGCTTATGTCTAGGTTCGGAGGGACTTTCGAGCTTGGGTGTCTCGACTCACAGGGGCATTGCCAGCCAGCACACAAAGACCTGAACTTGTGTGCCAAACTTGACCTCGCCGGCAAGGAAGAGCAGGCCATACTTCCCTCAAGCTATACATACTCTACCCAAGGCGAACTTGCGGCGCTAGCCGAGAATCATCCGCACGTTCTTCATTCCCCGACGCATGCCCTCGTGCACCCTGGAATTGACGCGATCATGTTCGACGATAGCACCTCCACAGTCTGGCTTATGCAGGTGACGTATGGACACTCGCGCCCAATATCTCCCCAGGGTCTGCTCTTCCTGCTCAATACTGCGAGAGGCACCACCTACGAGCCGTCCCCCATCCGCCCCTGGAATCTCGTATTCATATCACGCGAGCAGGCGACCACGGACTCCTTCCAGTTAAGTGGGTCAAAAGAGACGGAGTTCTTTTGTTCTGTATTCTGGGACCCACGCATTAAACTGTACGTCATGCGACTTCGTGACACGGGCAGCTCTTCAAGTGACCCATACGAGCAGTGGGGTTTCCCCTACAAGACACCACGGAAATACTCAATCAGCCTCTCACGGCGCCTCACAAATCGACTGTTGCATCTATTGCACAGGCCTCGGCGGGAAACTGGACTAGACAAAGCAGATCAGGTGACTGCGAGGATTCAGGGTACGATTATACAGGCGTCGGGGGTGCCGGGAGCTCAACTACTTGGGGAAATGACGAGCGAACAGCCGGTTGGCCCCAATAGGTTTCATATGCGAATTCCTACTATGAGTAACGCAAAGGAAGACTAATGAGTCTATCCTGTAGAACTATTGTAACGATGTACATGATCAATACACTTGGTATCCCAACATTTATGCTCTGCAGCCTCCTGCCCAGAGCACATCACTGTTATTAATAACGACGGTGCACAGCAACACTCCTCAATGGCTTCAAATCGGCTGTTAGTCAGAGCTGGTCAGTTCAGATAATCTGCGGCACGCATGGATTGGACGCGTACGCGTGTGATATATGTAAAGACCTACTGATCGGACTTAAATAAATCCGAGACATCGACCCAGCCAACATACCCCAAACCGGTAACTGCTTTTGGTAGTGCATTTCCCCCAGCTGCCATCAAGGCGTGTTTAGATTTTGATATCTGGCGGCGAGGTCCGCTCGCAGAGGCTCGCTTCACTATTCAAATTCGGGCTACTACGAGGTGAAAACACTGCCTAATTAGATGTGGTTACAAGATCATTCATTCTTTGTAGACCGGAAGTTATGGAGCAGGTGTCATATAATGTACGGATTTGTGGTGAGAAGTCACACCTCCTCTATCCGCCTGAGAAGATACATCCTCGAAAATAAAATCATGTTGACTCTATTCCCCTGCAATCATCGCACGCCCAGGTTTTTGCATCTCTTTTGGCAGTGGTTTCCTGTCGCCTGTTCTCTTCGACCGTGCCCGTCGAACCGTTCTCCCCGTGAAATGCCAATTGACATGCCGTATTCCGTCAGGGAGACTCTTGACCTCGTCTTATATCACCCACGGCATTGAGTTTTAATCGTGCGTGCAGGTGCATGGTTCGACACTTTCCTGTGTTTTCGTGACAGTTACAATTTCTCATCCTTCACAAAAAAATCCACTCTTATCTGATCATGGCTTCATCCACTGAATGGGACCTTGAATCCTTGGCGTCCGGCACGTCCTCGTCTCCATCTTCCTGTGACGAAGATGAAGTCAATGCTCGTGTTTCGCCTGACTGGGCGAAATACCGTGGCCGCATCGAACACAGGGGCTACCGTCTGGACACTGTCCGTGATGTAAAAGATTATTATCGCCACCATTGCAACAAAATAGAGAAGGAAGGGTTACACCTGTATTTGTCTGGCTATCACCGCGCCCTTGCCAGGAGCGACGAAGATGCTCTTTGCAGAGACGTTGGTCTGGTAAGTCCTACAAGCTGTCAGGTGCCATGCACAATGTCACTGATCAAACAAGCGAGAAGGCTTGTTCAGAGCCACCCGCTGTCTTGATGGGACGAAGGTGATGGTCAAGGCAGTCCATCGGGATAGCAGGGAGCTTGATATCGTCCGGTATCTGTCTGCGCCAGCTCAACAACGGGATCCCACGAATCACTGTATACGTGAGCTTCCCCAACAGACAGTTGAACTCTATTCACCATCCAAAAAATATAGCTATTCTTGACCTCATTGATGCACCCCAGGATGATCTATGTTTCATCGTTATGGAGGAATGGTCGGCAAATATGTTCCCAGAGGCTCCAGCTAGTCTCGGTTGCCTCATGGAATCTTTGCGCCATTGCATGGAGGTACGGAGAGGATTTATCGAGTTTGTATACCGTATTAAAAGGTTCCCTCCAGCATATTGCATTCATGCATCGTCATCGCATCGCGCACTTGGACATCTCGCCGCGTAACTTCCTCACGGACTATAACGGGCGTTATGCTTGCATAGATTACGAGCTCAGTCGTCGAGTAGATGAGATATCTTGTCCGCGGATATTATACTCTCGGGGGACGGAGATCCCACCAGAAGCTGAACGTGGTCAGCTAAGTAACCCGTTTATGATCGATGTATGGGCATTAGGAGTTCTAATTTTCAGAGCGTGTGAGGTTTGTACTATAGCAGACTTCTTCACAGAACTATGACTGATGCATGACTCAAATAGCTCGCTGAACTTCACGTTCCCGAACTTATGCGTCTAGCCAAACCGATGCTTCATGGAAACCCTGACAAGCGGCCATCAGCCGCTTCAGCACTGAAAGAATTTCAACGAATACAAGCGACGATGAGAACAACTCTGCATGGCCGTCACATCTCTCCCTAGCATACTATTCTTTAATCACGTATTTGGGACTCAACATCAGACTTGGCATCGGGCATTGACATCGGGCAGGGGCGATCGTTGCAAGTATGTAGTACTGTCATATAAGCACTTCAAGACCCATCTCTACGCTTATGATACCGGATCGTCACTTCCGCTAGCTACCACTGCGTCCTCCAATTTCCGTCTTTTCCTTTCTAGGTAACGTGCACGGATATTCTCCACGTCCTCTTGTGTGTTCCGCTTTAATATTGTTCGCCTTCTTGCCTCTTCCTCATGTGTCTCTTTCTGTTTTGACACCCGTTCACGCTCCTCTTCTAGTTGTTGCCTAATTTCTCGTGCGCGGCGTTCATTGATTTCTCTCCGGCTTGCTGCTGTTCCTACTGCCTGGTGGGTTTGTACCTCACTCGTGCTGGCAGTTTGTTTTGTGATCTGGAGCCCAAGCCGTCGGGTGTTGGGAGCAGACAAGTTCAAGCCTGCAGAAAGCAATTCTCGCTTGTCGACAATTTGATTGTCGTCGTTGAGCTCAACATCTTTGCCTTGTTCTTTAGCTATTTGCGCAAGCTCGAGGTCCGATTTTGGTGTCAGTTCCGGAGGCTTGGTGATAGTTAGATTCGGAGCAGGCCCTCGTGGGCCAATGACGCGTTTAGTCTCTGTTGCTGCCACTGCCTCTTCGTGCTGTTGCTCTGAGTCTTCCAGGAGTTTACGGTAAAAATGGGCCATGCCAGTTGGTGCTCCCTTCTGTTTCCTTTTCTCAGCCTCTAAAACAGAAATAAGCAATAAGTTGTTATCGTCGCGATTTAATATACCTTCTCTCTGTCGTTCCTCCTCCTCTGCTCTCCGGACCTCAGCCATTTGGTCCTTGTATGCCTGAGTGACGAAGGCTTCCTTGTCAGCGAATTCGTCTCCTTCGGCTTCCCGTTCTAGTTGCATCATCTTCTCCTCTGCACGCAAATGATCTAGACGTCGCGTAGGCAGCCGACGTTAGAAGGCCTTCGATGTACTTGGGCTATATAACACTATTGGCAAATAGTTCCAGCGGCACGGATAATTAGAAGCGCACCTTTCGTCGTTTGGAGTCAACCTCTTTCGCCTCTTTCTGCTTGAGCTTGACCTCCTGCATCCTATCCCAAACTTCATCATACTGATACACCGTAGCATCAACCTTCATCTCTTGCTCCATGCGTTTCCTCGCGGCCTTCGAAGATTCGACATTCTGAGCTAATAGCTTTTTGTTCGCCGCTGTGCCCTTATTGTCGGACAGAGTTGGAGCAGCATCCACAGGGTCATCATCACCGAGTGATGCAAACACTGCCGGTTTCTTGAGAGGTGGTGCTGCACCGACTGGTTTTGCAGTCTTGGGGAGGGAAAAGGAGAGCTTCATGAGATCGTGGGTTATGTAAGCCTGTTAGAGCTGTTTGTTTCTTCGACTTGAATGCAACGTTATGGCTCAAAGTGCGAACGACCGCCGGCGGATAAATGGACCAGAAGAAAGCTTTCCGCCCATATTCGATGACGATGGCGAGGATATCAAGTTGAAAATGCAACGCAGTCGGGCACCTGGTGATATCAGGCCGATATGTCGGTGCCTTCTCTGCGTCTTTGTCGAATGATGTGCTGAATTTTTGACAGTCCTACAGCCAGGTCTTATAAGCCAGGCCAATGGATCTGCATACATCGAGACAGAAAAAACTAAAATTGCATGCGCTGTGTACGTTTGAGGCTACTTTTGCCTTCATCAGGCGCACCTTTTTTAAGTACCGTCATAGGTACGGACCACGGCAGTCTAAAACTACTACCTACAGCGAAAAGGGCCGGCTGAATGTCGAAGTCAAGTTTGCTCCTTTCTCGTGTACGCGTCGAAGGGCACCGATGCGCGTAAGTATTACCTGAACCATGCACGTAGCGTATTGAATGTCATAGGCCCCTCAAGGACGCCGAGGATAGATCTATTGGTGTAGCAATACATCAAGCAATCGTATCATCAATACGCCTGGAGTTATTCCCAAAGTCGACCATTGATGTTTTTATCACGATCATCGAGAACGATGGAATTGAAGGTTGCATTGCATCTGGATCATTGGCTGCAAGCACTGCACTTGCTGATGCTGGAATCGAAATGCTGGGACTAGTTGCATCATGCTCCGCTGTACGTGATTCTATTGTTTGTTTATAATTAAGTTTATATCTGGGTTTTCAGGCTATTGTCGGAGATGACATTCAACTTGATCCAAGCGAAGCTGAAGCACGAGCATCCAGCGGTACTGTGATACTTGCTTGCATGCCGGCTTTGGATAGTATCACTAGCATCTGGCAGTCGGGACAGGTGTCCGCTGACTTGTCTTTGAAGGTAATACTTTCCGACTGACCGCAGTAAACGCTAACAAGGGACCACAGTGCATGGAACAATGTCATGAGCGGTGTATTGATATTCATTCGATAGTCGCACAGTCTCTACTTGAACACAGGAGAACCGATTGACATTGTTTTCGGTCTCCGAGGTGCATTGTCACCGTTGGCCGTTGTACATGATCTTGGAACTAGTTTAGTAATTAACCGATGACACAAGTGTGAACTAGTACACACCCCTGGTGGATTTTTTCTACATGAGGTCCTTGACGCCCAATTATCTTCGGCACTGTGTTAAAGTTGTTACTTGTGACGAGCTCAAGTACTTATTTTTATTGCATATGGGGTCTACACGAGTTAACGAGGCCCGTTTACGTCACGAGCTCGTGGTTCTTTCTCAACCGTGGCGTTGAACGATTCTGAAGGCTTCACGACTTGTCTTAGACAGCAGTTTTTCCTGTCCACACTCACTAACAACTGAACCCTCATTTGATGCAGGAATTGTTCTATGCCGATGATCTTTCCCCACCTGCCTCTCTCGAATTATCGGGGGAGCACGACCGTCTCACCCTCGCTTCAGCACGCGATTCTAATGACTCGTCAGACTCACTACGCAACCTGGAACTCTCGGAGGGACCTATGTCAGAGAGAGGGCGGTCAAGATCCTACTCAATAACGGGCTTTGACTTCCAGCGCGACCTATTACCCTTGAGCTCGAGTTTGAGTGAACCGGATACTACCTCTTTCGGGGAAAGTGGGGAGAAGAACATCACATTACTGCATGGTAAGTTATTCTCCTGGCAGTCTGACGTGATACAAGCGGTTCACAGTGCACAAAAGGTATTGGACTCATCGTCGGTCTTCAAGTAAGTCCATTTATCTAATTCCATACCCGCATACCTGATATATTCTCTGGAAGATTGGATCAGGAATCTTGTGAGTAGACCAACCAGACAAGCTCAAACTCCAATTTGCAACTGTTGGTTAGCTCCTCACCAGGAGTCGTAGTTGCGAATACCCAGAGCGTGGGGGCTAGCTTGGTTGTATGGCTTGTCTCTGGATTGCTTGGTTGGACGGGAGCCAGCAGCTTTGCAGAACTAGGGTTCGTCTATCCCACGTATCATGTTACTGGTGATCGATAAACACTTTGGTTTATAGCTCCAGTATACCACTGAACGGTGGAGCCCAGGCGTATCTCGCGTATGCGTATGGACCACTTTTATCCTACCTGTTCACTTGGACAGCGATCTCAGCATTGAAACCTGGTTTGTTTTCTATCTGACTTCCTGTGAGATTGGTAGATATACATCCAGTTGCATTACAGGTGGAAATGCGGTCATAAGCCTCATCTTTGCCGAATACCTGAACCGGCTCGTATGGCACGCTGCTCACGACGAGGTAGCACCAGATGACATTCCCCAATGGGCCATCAAACTTACTGCGGTGGCAGCAGTGCTCAGCGTTACCATGATTTGCGCAGCTACGCGGAATTTGGGCACTAGGGCTTCTGTGGTGTTCACCTCGGTGAAGGTGCGTTCGTTTATAGTTGATCTCGCTTCTATCTAATAACGGCCCGGCCTCAGATCGCCGCCCTCGTGAGTGTTATGGTACGAGTACTGAGTTGAGGCTCATTCCTTGCGAGATATTTGTGATCGTACTAGGGATGGTACAACTTATTCGGGGGAAAGCATCGGAATCATTCTCTCGACCACTATTCGAGGACTCGAGCCATAGTCCGTCGGCATATTCATTAGCTCTTTACTCTGGGCTATGGGCATTTGATGGATGGGATCAGGCCAACTACGTCGGAGGTGAGATGAAGAACCCCGGTAAAGATATCCCAAGAGCCATACATTCAAGTATGGTGGTTGTGATGGTAAGCAATAGAGGTATCATTCGAGATGCATAGACATTAAACCCTTTCAGACACTTTTCTTATTAGCGAATATCTCGTATTTCGTGGTGCTAGACAAAGTTACTGTTGGTATGAGCAACACGGTTGCCTTGGACTTTGGTCGAGCGCTCTTTGGACCAGCAGGCGGTGTAGTTTTTGCTGTGATGGTTGCCATCTCTTGCTTCGGAGCATTGAATGGTAGATATTTCCTGCATAGTTTCCAGGTACTCGTATTTATCTCCTATAGGGAGTACCTTCACTTCTGCGCGCCTCATCTGCGTTGCCGGACGAGAGGGATACCTTCCTGCAATGTTTGGTCGCCTGAACAAGTCGAGGCAAACACCAGTCAATGCGATCCTCCTCCAAGCGGCCATCACTATTGTGTTTATCGTCATAGGAGGTGGTTTTCGGTCGCTGATCAACTTCTCCGTTGTGGCGTCCTGGTCATTTTTCTTCCTTACTGTACGTTTGGGTGCTCTACGGACGTTATGTTTTGATTTACTTTTTAAAGGTTCTGGGCCTTGTCATACTTCGCGTGAAGGAACCAATGCTGGAAAGGTGAGTCATTGGAACCTACTGTGCTACAAAGTTAAAGTTAACCTTGAGATCAGACCTTATAAAGCATGGATTGTGACCCCGCTGGTGTTTTGTGCTGTAAGGTTTATGATTATTTCCAGGTGGACTCATTGACTATGACACATAATAACAGGTTGCGCTATTTTTGTTATGCATGCCAATTATCGCAGCACCGCTAGAAGCTATGGCAGTTCTAGGTGATTGATGGGTCCTCCTATACCCACTGTGAAACTTCTGATTTCGTCATCTGCAGGCTTCGTGTTGGCAGGAATACCAGTGTATTATTTGACGAATCCGAATCGTGATCAGGCCAGTTTGCCTGCCTTTCTTGGTGAGTAACTAGTTTTCTCCTGACATCAAATGATGACATGGATGTGTTCTTCAGGCTTCTTCAGTACTTGCGTTGCTAGAATTAGAGGCCAACCGTCCGCGGGCACGGGATGGGTGGCAGTATCCACGGAGGGTGACGAGGTGGAGATGCTTGATAATCGGACTTCACGTGCACGCCTGAACAGACAATGATCAGTGATGACTAGTGTTGCACAATCTTAATGATATTGACCATCGCTTCTTGTGTGTACACGACAAACACTTGTTTCAGTACTAGGTCATGCGCTGGCTATGCAGGTACTGCGCAGTGTGCGTGAGACTTAGGACAAATGTCGGCAAGCTCCGTCGAGTCAGTGGGCGACAACAGCGATTGCGCGATTTGGGTCCGCCATATATAAGAGCCTTTGTTGTGAAACAGGGACCTACACGTTATCATTGACGAGCCTTCATCCGCATTCTTAATTATCTATTTTTATAACATCAAGTATGGCAAGCGAAGTCGTCGAGCACAAGTATCAGCTCAATGTTAAGGTCTGTTGCGGATAGATCTGTTTGATCTGATACGAACCGCCGATTGCATAGATGACATGCGGAGGTTGTTCTGGAGCTGTTACTCGTGTATTGACCAAGGCGCAGCAGGAAGGTGCGATGGTTACGACGAATGATCAGGGCAAGGCTGACCGAATGAAACACGTTGATAGGATCAGTTTCGAGTTTTGATGTTAGTTTGGAGACCCAGCTCGTGAACGTTAAAGGTCCTATCGAAAAAGACGCCCTGGTAGAGAAGATCCGGAAGACGGGTAAAGAGGTGAGGCCGAGATCATGGTTTTCTGGACCTCGGATGACTTATCGATGGTATGGCTTCTAGATTATCTCGGTCACGTCTCAGGATGACTTGGAGGCCGAAGTAGCGGTTTAAGTTATGAATCAGAGAAGGATTTCATGCCCGTCACTTATCCTTGTCCATCTCGAGGCTTCCGGATAATTCCCCTGGCGACTACTAAGTATATAGAAACTAAACTGTTTTGGCGTCTGTACTATTTAAATCTGAATTCGAATACATAGTTAAATCCTTATGGTTGTGGGTCTGACGTCCGCGTCAGGGTCGTACACGTGGGATAGTGGATTACAACGATGACGGTGGCCGAAACCGTGTGTCTGGTTTGAACCGATATTAATTAGCAAGTCTCTGAAAGGCTGTCATCAGGCTTCTGACCGAGTGAATACCTGGTCTTACTTTCACTGCCATGAATCACACTCCTTTCTGTGCCATCCCCTTGTAAACTTGGTCTGAATCCTTACCCGGTTCCGAGCCAGTTCAACCGACCCTGGTGGCCTCGTCTCTTCTTACGGCCTAATTCTTCTTTCTTTTCACCCCCACGACTAGTACTGGTCTTGCCTGCGAATTCGCGAATTCGCGATTTCGGAGGAGCCTAGAGCCAACTTCATGTCCTCGCCTAGTACTGCGACGGCATCCAGCACCGCGTTTCTTACTGATCCTACCTACCCCTGCATTCTCGGACGACCTTGAATGGATCACGGCATACCTTACAATTCACTCCCTTAGTGTCCCAAGTCGACGCTACTCCTTTCTTATCTGGATTGTTGTGGTTCTCTTTTTTCTTGCCTTTGCCATCCTTCACTGGACAGGTTCAAGAGGTGGTTTTCTCGGAGCCCATTGGACAAAATGGACTCTCCGTCGGCGAACTTGGAGAAAAAAGCATAACATCGCACTTGCTCTCAAAAGAAATGAGCCGCAACGCCAACCCAGTTCTTTGCCTTCCAATGCCCAACTTCTTTGTTTGGCACTGCTCCTGGGAGGATCCTTAGCCCTTGCATTTGTCGGCCCAGACTATATTTCTCCCACTCTCAAAGTGTGGCAAGTTCGCCGAGACATTACCTTCGTAGAGCCCCAGCGTCGTAGTTTTATTCCGAACATCACTCCCTATCTGCCACTTCAACCACAATACACTATCGATAAAGCATGGTGGACTTCATCAGCACGCGTAGGACAAATTGCGTTTGCTCTCTTTCCTCTTTGCGTGCTTTTCGCCCTCAAAGCGCCCCCTTTCGCAGTCTTCGCCATTCCTTTCATGATACAGTTCTTCTTCGACAAACTCGGTTGGCTTCATCGTTGGACAGGCAGGCTAATATGGTTTCTTACATCAATTCATGTTGCTCTCTGGAGCGTCCAGCTCGTTCGAGATCACAAACCCAGTACTGGTCGTGTCGCATACGTTTACGCTTTCTCATACACACCCTTCATCTTTGGCTGGATCGTGAGTAGGATTTCCCTTTCATGCTGATAGTCTGACAAATTAGCCAGGCGTTTGCATTGCTGACATCCATAATCGTTCTGTCCATGAACTCCATTCGAAGGAACTTCTACGAAGCCTTCTATTTCTTGCATGTTTTGCTTGTCCCACTCATGCTCGCCTCTGCCGCATTCCATCATCCCACACTCTGGTGGTGGTGTTGGGGTGCTCTCGCAATTTGGGTGGGTGAACGTCTTTGGCGGTGGACTTGGTGGTTTGCCACCAATGCCCCCATTCTAAATAGCAGTTCGTCGCGACCGGCGATGTCTAAGCGTTCACACCCTGCAATAACTGCTACTGACACGCTCGAGATGGAACGTCTTCGCCTCCAGTCACTGCATACACTCGTTGATTCGCAATCCTTCCGTTCACCGAGCCCTTTGAACCCATATTATCAGTCTGACAAACAAATAGTTAGTCCACATTCACCATTGCTTCCCACTCGTCGTCTGCTCGCAGGATCGCTCGAACCGGACACTGCTAGGTCCGCAATATACCATCCCTCTCCATATATTCCCCCTCCAGGGTATGCCCACGCCGAGCTCCTCTCTGGTCATACAGTGCGGCTGCGTCTTATAACTCCTGGATTCCTACCTTGGGCTCCGGGTCAACATTTCCTCATCAAAATCCCCAGCGTCTCCCGATTCACCACCCATCCTTTCACCTGTGCCTCCATATGTGACTATGAGTCACCTACAGGTGAGGGCCGCTTGATCGTTATGCTCATCCGTACAAGAACCGGCTGGACTCGAGATTTATGGGATTTGGTTTCACGTATGACCGCTGAGCGGTCACCTGGTGACATTCCAATTTCCGCCGCAGAAAATCTTCCCAAGTATGGTGTCTTGTTGAGGACATATGTGGACGGACCTTTTGGTAGTTCGATTCGCGCTCGTTGGGGCAACTACTCGACAGTGCTGATCATCGCTGGTGGCTCAGGAGTGAGCTTCGGCTTGTCTGTGCTGCAGTACATTTGTATGTGCCTTTCTGGCCGGGATGGGAAGAGTCTGGGTGGCCATCCTGGAGGTTGGGGGAAGAAATCCTTCCTGACCAAACGAGTACGCTTCGTATGGCTTGTCCGTGAATATTGTGAGTTCTCGAAAACTTTCATTTGATCATTATAAACTAACGTTACCCTTGTATAGCTCATATACAGTGGTGTGCTTCTGTTGTTCGCCGCTGTCTTTCCTTGGTACCATCGTCTGCATTGCAAATCGACATCTTTATTACCAACTTCAAACCCATCGCTCTCAAGGAATCCGATCTGCTTCCTTTGCAGGTTCCTCAGCGGTCATTCTTTACTTCTGAACCTGTTCATTCTAAGGAACTGCAGCCTCCTCACCCGTCCTTTGCACGCGGCGGTCCTACATCCCTCCGCTCTGATTCCAGCGACTCCACCGAGAATTACGAGAGTGATGTTGACCTGGGCTACTACACTGGAGAACCTGGGGACCCAGTGGCACCAGAGGAAGATATTGGCTTTGCACATGAGTCCCACATGCTCGAGTTGACTAACTTCGATGGTGACGATGACGCCGCTCTGCCCGGGGAACACAATTTATCCCGCAAGGTGAAGAAGGAAGGCAAGTTGCGACGAGCTCAGTCGCGGAAGGTCACCAATCAGAGAACGGTGCGGTTGTTGGAGCCTCCCAGTCGTCCTAACAGCATGCAACTCGCTGCGAATAGAGTGTCTGCTATCTCTGCCACATCGGGACTTTCTACGGACAGACTACTTCCTTTATCTATAAATACGGACAGGAGGTGGTCTGAGATATCAATGGACACCTTCGCGTCTCCGACTTCCATGTACGGCGATTCGCCGACGCGCGGTCAGCAGTTGACGTACCCCGAGTCTGCCTTCTCTCTCGGTGGTCGTCCTTCTCCAGCGGGTCGTACAGGGGCATCAATATCCATGTATTCCGCCGGTAGCTGGGAAGGCAAATCAGATGCTGGCAGTTCTCGGGGTCTGTTATCATCTTCCGCACCCGATGGATTGCTCGATCTGGGCCAGTTCGACATCAGCGAGGAAGAAGCGTTGGATATCGATGTTGTGGCAGAGCATGCACGACCTGGTAAACCCAAGCTTGACAGGATCCTTGCAGATGAAGTCGAGCAGTCGGAAGGTCCTGTGATGGTTGCATGTAAGGTCTATTTCTCGTTAGTTTTTCGACGGTGCTCATTTGTTCTGCCCAGGTTGCGGTCCCACCTCACTCAATGCGATGGTTCGCAAAATCATTGCCGCGCAGATCGACCCTGGGCGAGTGTGGCGAGGTGATATGCGCGGGTCGATATCACTCGTTTCCGAGGAATTTGAGTATTGAAATATTGACGATTTACCGTGACATTTTATTTCACTCTTCATCCGCACATTCCCCTGGATTCTTTTCTGAACACTGATGATTCATCAGAATATTTCACTGCACTCTTCATCGAACCATATTGTTATTACCACGTACTATCTTAGACTTTCTCCGGTATTTTTCTTCTCGCATTTTGCATCTCATCCTAGCATAGTTATCGTCGCTGTCCGGACATGAGTCCACTAGAATCTTTGGCCAATGTATCCTTCGTCCGTTGACGTACAGATAGACCCATCAGTTAGATACTCCTGTTCACTGAAGTCTAACCACGGCTAATGAAACGTGCCAGAACGCCTTAAACTGGTGGCTTGACGATTCCCTGGCTGATCTTGTAATAGACTGTCGACGTGTCTTCTGAGGTAATGGCCACATAAATCTCTGAGGGTGAAGGATCAAGGCTAGTAAAAGCGGCGCGAAGCCTAGGGATGCGCTGAATACAAGTAGATCCAGAGATGGTCTACCGGACGTACCACGATGTAGAAATTGACTCAGACAACGAGCAGGGTACTACAACGCAGATGAATGGTCCTCGGTCTGTGTCCTGTCGTGCACATCAATAAATTTCATACGCTGGCGCGAGAAGATGCTAACAGGAGTTGGTCGTTGGCCTTTGATCGCGGCTCGTTTGCAAGCTGGAAAGTCGAGAACTTCGACATCGGTCCATCTTTGTGCTGAAAAGGAGTCTACGTCAACCGGAATGGGTCATGGCCCACAAAGGCTGCGTACCGAGAGTTAGGTCATTGTATACCTGGAACAGCGCGCCTCCGGTTGCAGGATATTTTGCGAGCAGCTGCGAAAGCACCGGGTACTACACGCAAAAGGGGTGAGGATCCAGTCTTGTAGTGAACAACTTGTCACTTGCAGATGGATGATTCTGCATGAGAGCAGATAATGGTCAAGGTTACCTTGAACGTAAAAAATGACGCGAATTACGCGGTGGTAAATATTATCGAGGTCTTCATCAAGTCATTGTGAGTTAACCAGATATCATCTTGGTAATCGCTAGCATCGTGAGGTCTCTACTCCTTGCTGTCAGCAGGCCTCTGCGCCTCGGATTCAGCACTTCAAATTGTCGTACACAACGGTTTGCATTGCAGATATCACGCAAGAAGAGCACTATGTCAGACGTTGGTAGCTCGTCCATCACGGTGCCCGAAGGGTTCACGCTCCACACGGAAAACACGTCCCACATCCTGATTTCATCGAAGGAGGAGGCATTTCTGAATCCAGTTCAGGAATTCAATCGGGATCTCAGCGTCGCGTGCATCAGAGTATGGAGCGAAGAACTAAATAGGGAGAAGGAAGCAAAGTGGAAGCAGGCTCAGGAGAGACGAGCGAAAAGGGAGGCGGGAGGAGAAGCGGAGACGGGGCAGCAGAAGAAGGCAAAAAGTGAGTATCTCTTGTGAGGTATTCAAAGTCTTGTTAATGAATGATTATTACCAGCGGAATCTACTGAACTGAGCAATGATCCGGGTGATGGTTTACCAGGAGATGTTCCTACCACCGGAAGTACATCTGAAGGCAACAAACGAGAGATACTGGTGGGTTGCTTCATATTTTGCAATGACAGTACTGAATCATCGTCTAAAGTACCGACCCCATAAGTTCGTGCTACTGGAAGCATTGTCGGCAACTGGTCTTCGGTCCATCCGCTATGCAAAAGAGATCCCTCTTGTGAGGTTTGTGTCTGAGTTTTGTGAGCAAGCATACATTTCATCACCCTTCAAGATTCGTCATTGCGAACGACTTGTCTGCATCTGCTACGGCTGCCATGAAGAGAAATGTAGAACTCAATGGTCTTGGACCTTCATCTGATCCAGCTGACAGCACGTTATCATCGGACCACCAGGCCCCTTCCTGATCGTGGAAAGGTGAGAATTAACGAGGGGGATGCATGGTAAGTCCCTGGTTATCGAGCTATGGTTTTGTCTGAGGTACATACTATGTAAGTGCACTCATGTACAACCATCGCACAGAGAAGACACGTGTCGATGTTATCGACCTCGATCCATATGGCACTGCTGCGCCTTTTATCGATGGTGCTGTCCAATGTGTCAACGATGGAGGCAAGTAAACTAAAATACGTGCCTCATGTCCAGGACTCATTTAGCTACCTCACAGGACTTCTGTGCGTCACATGCACAGACTTGTCAGTTCTAGCGACGACAAATTACCATGAGAAGTGGTACGTACTTGGGCCCGCATGCAACTGATGAATGAATGTTCAACGGATGGCCGTAAAGCTTCTCAAATTACGGTGGTATTCCTGTCAAAGCGGAATACTGTCACGAGGCGGTATGGGCATCCCCATGATCAAGTCATACCTCACTGACGTCCCTGAAGGCTCTCAGACTCGTGTTAAACACACTGTCAACTTCTGCAGGCCGGTACGGAAGATACATCGAGCCGCTTCTATGTCTATCTATCGACTTTTACGTTCGCCTCTTCGTACGCGTTCACTCTGCGCCCATAGAGGTCAAAAAGATTGCCAGGCAAGTTGCGTTATGTCATGATGTTGACACATTGTCACGCTTCCCGTTCCTAGCAAAACAGCAATATATTACATATGCCAGGGCTGCCAGTCATTCTACCAGCAGCCGTTGGGCCGGATCGTGGAAAAAGTTCACGAACGAACCGGTAATGCAAACCTCCAGTTCAAGACTCAAGCGGGCCCCCCTGTGCCACAAAAATGCACAGAGTGTGGTTCTGCGTTGCATGTGAGTAGTCGGATCAAGGGTTAGATGTTAGATTCATGTTATGGCAAGGTCGCAGGTCCGATGTGGTCCGGTCCATTACACAACAACAGTTTCATTTCACAAGTGCTTGAGCACTTGGAGAGCAACCAAGATAAATATGGTACAGCAGTCCGCATGAAAGGGATGCTGACAGTAGCCAATGAGGTACGATCAGAGAACCGTATCTCCATCACAGACAGACGACCGATCTCCGACCTTTTAGGAGTTACACGTCCCGTTCTACTTTACCCCATCCCGGATAGCTGGCTTCTTCCACTCGGTTTGTCCCCCTTTGGATGACGTGGCGTATGTCGTTATCTCTGATATTACACATGTGCTGAAACGTCATTTCAGGTCAGCTCTCCTCAACGCCGGTCACACCGTATCACGTTCACATGCTTCACCAGGCTCTTTGAAGACTGGCGCAACACGTCAAGATGTGCATGATATCTTCAGGTCTTGGGTGAAGAAACATCCCGTGAGAATGGATAAGGTCTCTGAGACATCTCTCGCGAGGCAATTACTCGCAAAGGAAGCAAGGCATGTGCCAGTCTGAGAAACAGACTGCCAGCTGATCACAATCTGCAGGGAGGAGGCTAATTTCACCAGACACCCTCGATCAGTCACGCAAGCGTCAAAAGTAAAACTGGTTCGCTATCAGCAGAACCCAGCTCCCAACTGGGGCCCCGGTATGAAAGCAGACTCCGGAACGAAACGTAAACGCGAAGAGGAAAATGAATAGCGTAAAAAATCTAGCCTGTACCTCATCGATACAGCAAATATGCATTGTAACAAGGTACATGTGTGTGCGTGTATGGTAATGCTAATGACATTAGGTAGACATCCGAATAGAGAAAGGGGTATCATGCCGATATTTCGATAGTTGGAATAGACCTGGGCGCTGCATTCTTACTCGAAAATCCTGTGTGCTTCTTGACGGCAACCCAGGGGTGCTGAAGCAGCTCACCAGCGCTTGGACGAGCTGAATGGTTGAGATCAAAAGTCTTGGTAAGGAAATCCTGAGCCTCTGAAGAGATATCCGATGGTATAGCAGGTTTCGCGGATTGACCGATCTGCACGAACGTCCATTAGAGCAAAACCAAGCCCCAAAAGAAACCACCAACCTTGAAAATCGCCTGCATCTGGGTCAGCTGCGCCCATGGATGTTCCCCAGTCAACATCTCCACAACCAAGCATCCCACACTCCATATATCGGCAGCCGAAGTATGAGCGGTTTGCTTCACGACCTCAGGTGCCATCCAAAAAACTGATCCTTGCAACGACGGGCGGTTCATTCTTTTTCCTGTGAGAAGATCTTACAAACACAAGCACACGCATGTCAACGGAACGCCAAGAAGCCGATATGAAACAACCATCTACTCACTACCATCAACTTTCTTTGAGATGCCAAAGTCTGAGATTTTGATGCCGCCTTTGTTGTCAACGAGGATGTTGGCACCTTTAATATCGCGATGTATGATGTCGCGTTCATGGAGATAGTTGAGGCCTTGCAAGATTTGTCGTACAAAGTTCTTGACGAGAGGTTCTTCAAAAGCGCCGTAGCTACGCAACAATGCAGTGACAGAACCTCCAGGAACATATTCCAGAAAGATGTTGAGAAAATCGTCGTCGACCGAGGAATCTTTTATTTTGTCCGAGGGTAAGTTTTTTGATGATTATTTGAAATAGCGTGGAATGCGCGGACTTACAGAGGTATTGGACAATATTTGGGTGAGATAGATCTTTGAGAAGGTCGATCTCTCGCTCTAACGCGCTGAGCATATTCTTCTTCCGCTCTTCATTTGGAGCTGAGCCCCTTGGCAGCTCGACTTGCTTCACAGCCATCAGGAGACCGTTTACAGCATCCATCCCGAGATAGACTTTTCCAAATGACCCTGCACCGATGAGTGCGCCTTTAATCCACTTGCCTAAAATAACTCAAGTTATCGCGCATACATTCGAAATTGTTTTGAGCTTACCACCGCAAGAGTTCATAGCCTGACCAGTCTCGTCTTCCTCCTCAACATCCTCACTCTCATCATCCTCGTCATCATCATCGTCCTCGAGCACAGCATCGCCCTCCGAAAAACCGATGACATCATCAATATCAGGCTCCACCTTTGTCCAGTCTTCAGCGCCCTCAACACCCATATCAACCGCCATACTCTGTCTCCGATTCTCCACTTCAGCAGTGATCTCATCCACGGTCAATAAACTGGCAGTATCCGACCGATCACGCTTGCTCCTCAATTCAGTCATGAAACTCATCCGTTTAGATGCATTCGAGTTCGACCTCGGACGGAGAGGACCTGTAAGGTCTTCCATAGACTCCGAAAGCGATATCGAAGGGAAGGTCACAGGAGGGAGTAATTGCGGTTTCGAATCGAGTGAAGAGAGCTTCTCAACATCATCTCCAGTCAGGATCACCGATCGTCCGTCCTCAGTAGATATCGATACTCGTGGAGGGTCCTCCCCGATCGAAGGTGCTGCCAAAGACCGGGTGTCTGGTATCGTCGAACTAGTAGAGATAGTAGAGTTCCGTTTGGAAGATATCGTCCGTGAGGGTGACATCGAGCGCTGTGCTGATCCTGAACCTTGCGTGCTCGTGCTGAATCGCGAAGGAAGAGGTGGCGTGAGGGATATTGTACTGTTCCTCTTCTCCCCGCTTACGCTCGAAGCCCGGAGCATCATGCTGTGCCGTGCATTCCGCAACATTTTCCTGTCTGTAAACGGGAAGTATTCCGTCAAGTGCGTCGTGATCAACTCGCTCGGCGGACGCTGGCCGAAGAAGTTGCGTAGCTTTGAAGGCTTCTTTCCGGAATTTACGGATGGGAGCGGGTGTTTCAGCTGGCCTTGAGTAGGCGATGCACCAGGGTCGAGAGCTTTTTCCGGGTCGCGCACGCCAAGGCCGCTGAGGACGCTGATCGTACTTGCCCGTTTGATCGCGCGTGCTTTCTGACCCTGCGAGTCATCAATGTTTAGGATCATGTCAGCATCAGGCTCGTGATCGGATTCGGACGGTCTTGGTTGGATGTTGGGAGAGGTGGGACTGATGTTCCTTGGAGGGTTCTCTCCGAATATTCGCTGCAGATCTTTAGAACGTTTTGTGCGCCCGCTTTTGCGGAGCGTTAGACCGCGTCCTTTGACTGGTTCATCAGAGGAGCTGTGGCATACTGCTAGAAGTTCTGCTTCGGAGAGTGGCTTGCCTGTCCATAAATGTCAGATTTCGAAACTTTCAAAGAGGGATGAATCAAACCCGAGTCGTTGGTCTCGTCCCACTCGAGGTATACGGACCACCCGTCTACGCTAAGTCCACCATCATCCGTCTCGACGCGGCTCATGACGTCATTCCTCCGCGCCGAGCCCACTTTGTCAGCTTTCTTGAGTACCTTCTCCATCACCTCTATACCGCCCGCACAATCAGCGACATCAACGGTATAAGACCGCTGTTCTTCTGGCATGGAAAACCTGACGAGTTTACGGCGGGGGGCATCCAATGTGGTATTATGAGCAGGAGGGTTGAAGGGACCGCGTCCGACTGCGAATGAAGGGGGTGACGATGATCCTGATGACGAACTTGATGTTTGCCCTTGGAACGACTCCACGATTGGGGAAAGCGCCAACCCATTCTGAGTGGGAGCCTGTAAAGATGCGGGAGCTTGTACAGACGCATACGGATGAGTACTCGTTCCAGTCGTGGAAGGCCTAGGAGGAAGCTTGGAATTGGAGGGATTAGGGGCAAGAGGTGAAGGAACGCCATTGAAGGAGATGTTCCTGTTGTGGGCAATGTTAATGGAACGTGGGGATGATCGTGAGCCCAAGGGAGAGGGTGATTTGATTGGGGACGGGCCTGATCGAGGATCTGGGGGGAGGCCAAAGGACCAGCTGTTGGATTGAGTAGGAGTTGTGAGCATGGTGGAGGGGGTGGGTGTGGGTGCTGGTGGGAGGGGTGAATTGGCATAGTTGGTTGCGTCTGCTTGGTTTGGAGTGCGGGTGCGTGGGCCGATGACTGGATGGAGATTGCGGGAGCTTGCGCGTGGAGGTTGAGGTGGTTGACCCCTTGGCGGGGGAGGAAGAGGTGGCAAGGAGGGGCGGGGAGTGTAGCTGTTTGGTGTGGTGGACTGGGGTGGCTGGCCGATTTGGGGAAGTGGGCGTATGGAGGGAGGGTTGCGTATGTCGCCAGACTGAGGTTCTCGAATGATGCGGGGAAGATCAGGGCGTCCTGAACTAGGAGACAGGACCAATGGAGCGGGCCTGTTGCTATCGAGACGCTTATGGGTGCGAGAAGTTGGTGATGAATCTCTAGAACTGGATACTTCTAGCGAGTTTGAGCGTGAGTGGGAGTGATCGGCGGCGTTTGTTCTGGGATATTCGAGGGGACGCATGTCAAGAGAGCCCAAGAAGGCCCTCGTATGGGCGATGGCAGACATGGAAGGGACTGTAGTGCGCTGTGAACATTTTATCCTTAAATTCTTGACGCCATTGACTATGCGAAGCCTGTCTCCGATACTGGCGATGCCCATTTCTTTGAGAGTGTCCTGGTCTAGCTCTAATAGTATATCACCGCGAATGTCATTATTCTTGAAGGTTGGGATATGTGTAGCACATTTATTATCAGCGAGCCATCGCGCGACGTGGGCGTCATTCCAGGTGCGCATGAAATCTGAAAATGATGTACCGTGTGGCGGGTCTAGGACGGAGGTAGATGACATTTGAGTTGGTGAAGTCAGTGTGATGAATGAGCGGGAGTTTGTGAGTTGATGATGATGTGAAGAGCGAGTAGGAGTTGAGGATTTAGAATGGAGAATGTCTAGTGTAGGCAGGTTACTGGCGGTAATGGCAGCCATCAAGTGAGGTGCTATTTCAAGGTGGGTGACCAGGTCCGTGCAACCAAAGTGTAACTGACCGGAGTAGCACTGACCAAGGACGTCGGGCAGTACTATGCGCGCCAGAGAACGTAGTTGAACGTACCGGCTGTGAAAGCGCTGTGTGTCACTCTTCGGTTTGTAAGATTGCCGTATGTGAAATACTCGAGGACTCGGTCAGCGCTATATTGCAATTGCAATGTCTACATATTGTGGCTGTGCGATCCACTATTGTCTCATTTTTTTTGTAGTATCTCTGACGGGGCCCGCATACATCAATTTGATCATACAATGGGAGTAAATCTTGGCACGATCGGGGTCTAGGTTGATAGTACCTGACATTACGTTGAAACCAAACGAACCAAGTTGATTCGGGGCAGTGCTCGGTCAGGACTCACCACCCCGTCAACTTAAATTTGTGTACTTACGCATATGGGAAACAGTTGCACGCCGTGCTTCCGGTCCCGCTTCGAACTCGCGTGGTTCGCGTATAACGTTCCTTTTCCCCTTCTTTTCCCTGCGAATACTGTTTCTTCTTGAAACCCCCAACTTCCAACTCAAAATAATATATTTTTCTCTTTCTTCGGTACAACATCTTCCTCCCCTCCTCCGCCCTGAAGTCCAAGATGCGGTTCCTAACCGCTCTGGCTTCCTCGCTATGTTTTTCTTCCTTTGCATTGGCTTCCCCTTATCGTCCAGACCTTACATCTTACAACCTCAATGTAAATCAATCAGCCCAGGACCCTACAGATTACTCTACCACAAGGTCAAATACCACCTACACCCCTTCCCCACAGAACTGGCGCTCAGTCCCCATGTACACCGTCCTAATGGATAAGTTTGCTGATGGTGACCCTACAAACAACCAGTACTTTAACTCTCCATACGAATGGGATTGGAGAGAGACACAACTCCGTTTCGGTGGCGACCTCGCAGGTTTAACCACAAAATTGGACTACATCCAAGGTATGGGCATGAAGGGTATATACCTCTCGGGTACAATATTCGTAAATATGATATGGCAAGCCGATAGTATGTCCATCTCTCTATTTCATTGACCACTCTTATTCACTTCCTTTAGGTTATTCTCCTCTCGACTTTTCCGTCTTGGATCCTCATTGGGGTACTATTGCTGATTGGGTAAACTTCATCGACACCGTGCACGCCCGCGGCATGTACATCATGTTGGATTTCACCATTGGCACTTTATCCGACCTTATCGGCTTCGAAGGGTATGATCACACTATCTAACCACTACACTCACTCACACCCAACATCACTCAGTTTTCTCAATGTCAGCGCCCCATTCTCTCTCGATGAATATGCTGCCATCTACAAAAACCCAAATTACCTTCCATGGGGATTCGAGGAGTACGTTGATTTTTCCGTAAGTAGTTATTTTAGTCTGCCTCGTGCCCGAACCCGGCTCAACCAAGTTCCCTTCCATCTCCTCCTAGGTCATCAATCAGCGTAACAACTCTTGTGTACTTCCTGTCTTTTGGCAAGATGATGGCACAATTCAGCCCGTCACAGGCTATGATGGTTGTTACGAGTCTGATTTTGATCAGTATGGTGATATGGAGGCCTTTGGTGTTCACCCGGATTGGCAGCGTGAACTTTCCAAATTCGCATCTGTCCAGGATCGTCTCCGTGAATGGAAGCCTTCCGTTATGGCCAAACTCACTACCTTTTCCTGCATGACCATCACAGCCCTTGATATCGATGCCATTCGTGTCGACAAGTCCACACAGCTCACCGTGGACGGTATGACCGATTGGGCAACAGCAACTCGAGCTTGCGCCACTAATCTTGGAAAGAAGAACTTTTATATCACCGGTGAAGTTACCGGCGGTGACACCTTTGGGTCCCTATACATGTCAGTTCCTCGCCACTTCACTCACCACTCACATCAATTCAATGCCTTTACAGGGGACGTGGTCGTACCCCGACTATGCTGCCGCCGGGATTCCTCCAGGCAGCCAACTTGACAGAAGCGGACAACCAGTATTTCTTGCGCTCACAGTCGGACAACGGCCTCGACGGCTACGCCTTCCATTACTCAATCTACCGCTCCCTCACCCGTTTCCTCGGAATGGACGGAAACTTGGCAGTAGCGTACGATCTTGACACCAACTTTATCACCGCTTGGAATGAAATGTTCGTGAACAACGACTTCTTGAATCCAAACACCGGCCAATTCGACCCGAAGCATTTGTTCGGAGCGAGCAATTTTGATGTTTTCCGCTGGCCCAGTTTGGCGAATGGCACATTGAGATCCGCCTTGGCCTCTTATATAGCATACCTGGTTATGCCAGGCGTTCCACTGGTAGGAGCTATACTCGAACGTTTTTCGCCGCAGTACTTACCCTTTTCAGGTCTACTATGGCGAGGAGCAGGGTTTCTATCTCTATGACTCCACAGCTTCAAACTATCTCTTCGGGTGGGTCACTAACGCCTTGAAGTCATTACTTTTCTCACTGCTACTTTAAGCCGTCAAGCTATGATGAGCAACAAGGCCTGGCAGCGCCACGGGTGCTACAAACTTGGATCCGCCCAGTACTTTAACATGCCGCTTGAGTCCGCCTTAACGGGATGTGATGACGATTGGAACTCGCTCGATCATTTTGATCCCACGATGGACATGCGTCTTCTCTTCAAACATTTCATGTACCTCCGAACAACCTACAATGCCCTCCAAGACGGCTATGACCTCGTACAGCGTGGAAACTGGACCTACTTTGTCGAATTCCCAGGTTCGAACAACACCGCAACCGAAATGGGCCTCTGGTCTGTGTCACGTGCGGGTATCCCGAACGTGCAAAACCTGACGGGGGGACACACCGATCAGATCTGGCTGTTGTACACCAACGAGAACAGCTCGCAGACGTTTTCGTACGATTGCAGCGGCCAGCTGTGGATATCCTCGCCGTATATAGCTGGGACGACGGTGAAGAATTTGCTTTCTCCGTATGAGAACTATACGCTCGCGAACTCGGGGTCGTCGTATTATGGTAATGGTACGGCACCCTGGTATGGCTGTCTCGAGTCGGTGAACATGAACACGTATGGCATGAAGGCTTTGGTCCCTATCGATGAGTGGGTCGCTCCTCCCCCTATGCTCACAAGGTTCCTACCTGGGCATGACGCGCGCATCGAAGTCACGCGGGGGCAAACGAATGCCACGGTTGTGGACATAGAACTGGAGTTCAATACGGCAATGTCGTGTGAAAACGTCACGGGGAGTTTATCCTTCAACATGACGTCTTCTGGCATCGGTGGGCAGCCTGTGCTCGACCTCAATTCGGTGGCGTGCAATACTGTCACAAATCCTGTCATGTCGCCCATTGTGGGAACTCCGTACTCACAGTGGTCGTGGTCTGGTACGTTGACCAATGTTACGGATGGGATTTTGGAGATTATCCTTAATAATCCGTCAACGCTCGATGGGACAATGTCTACTGGAGTATGTCTATTTTTTTTTCTGTATTATGTCGCGTTTTGCTCATGGTTTGTAGAGCATCGATCATCTGCTGCTGCGGAAGGGCGAAGCCAACAATGTCATGGTCTTCCCCGAGTCCGATTACGATAGCGCCGATTTCAAGTACACTGACGGCCAGTATACGTTCACACACCGTGCCTATGGGGCAGATATGTTCAGGTACTCGGGCAACTACGCACAGAGTTGGTCTAATTGGACGAACTGGGAGAATGTGACAACCATACCCACTGACATCCTTAGTAATCCTGATACTTTCTGGACGGGACAACATCTCATAGTACAATGTGAGTGCTCGTAGTGTTGCTACTTTTTCCTGGCGTTGACGGTGCGGTAGATTGGAGTAGTATGGCGACTACCGCCAGCGTCGTCGTGCATGCAGATCTGAACTATAAGCAGCAACGTCGCGTTCCCCAGTTCCTCGCTCGGGGTCCTTTCAATGACTGGGGTTATGACCAGGGTATCACCAATGAGATGAGCCTAATCGGCGATGGAACTTGGGAGCTCGAAATCATGGCTGCGTGGCCAACGTACCTGCAACTCAATGTATTCGGATATGATGACTACTACTACGGCGATGTCGACGCGGACGGCGTTATGGATCGGCTACCACCAAACAGCATTGCGCCCAACTACCTGAACCTTTCAGCGCCCCCTTATCCTGCGCTCGCATGGGCTCTCGTCGTTGATGATTCCACGTTGGCCTGGTCCCTTGAGCCTCGTGGCCAGGCTTCTGTGGGCGCCATCATGTACGGGCTTCTCTGCTCTATCTCCCTTATTACCGCCATTCTCGCAGTCTTCATTTTCATGTATACTTTCTACGGTATCCGCCATAACCGGTACGGTGTGAAGACGAATACCGGTGCAAGCAAGTATTTCCCTATCATCGGATCGCTCGGGAACAAGTCTACCGCGGATTTCAAAGAGAGCGTGACGCCGATCACGGAGAAGATCTTCGGGAGCAAGCCGAATGCGGAAATCATAGGATGGCCGGAGGATAAGACCAAGCGGCGCAAAGTCCTCATCGCCACGCTCGAGTATGAGATCATTGACTGGAAGCTCAAAGTCAAGATCGGAGGTCTTGGTGTGATGTCGTCGCTCATGGGAAAAGCCATGACGGACGTTGACTTGATCTGGGTCATTCCAAAAGTCAAGGATCTTGATTATCCCGCTGGTGAACCTGCAGAGCCTATCGAGGTTGTCATCTTCAATGAGCCTTACCTCATCGAAGTGGAGACGCACGTGTTGGACAATATCACCTATGTTATCCTTGACAGCCCCGTTTTCCGTGCACAGACCAAGTCAGACCCGTACCCAGCCCGCATGGACGATCTCAGTTCCGCCATCTTCTACTCTACATGGAACCAAGCCATCGCAACCACTATCCGCCGATTCCCCGTCGTCGACATATACCACGTCAATGATTACCACGGCGCGCTCGCTCCGATCTACCTCCTGCCCAAAGTAGTACCCGTCTGTCTCTCGCTGCACAATGCTGAGTTCCAGGGTCTATGGCCGCTCCGAACAAAGGAAGAAATGAAAGAAGTCTGCTCCGCGTTCAACATCAGCAAAGAGCACTGTACGAAATATGTCCAGTTCGGAAACACGTTTAACCTGCTCCACGCCGCTGCATCATTTATCAGCGTTCATCAAAAGAGTATCGGTGTCGCTGGTGTGTCGGACAAGTATGGGAAGCGCAGTTGGGCGCGGTACCCTGCTCTGTGGACCCTGAAGCATGTTGATTCGCTGCCCAATCCTGATCCTACGGATATTGCGGCTTTGGACGAGAATCCAGTGGTTATGCGTGATGTGCAGATTGATCAAGCTGCTGAGGCGCAGCGTCCGGAGATGAAGAGGCAGGCTCAGGAATGGGCGAATATTAAGCAGGATCCCAACTCAGATCTGTTTGTGTTCGTTGGTCGGTGGTCTAAGCAGAAAGGTGTCGATCTGATTGCGGATATCATGCCATCGCTGTGAGTCCGTTTTTTTAGATTTTATGGAACTCGGTTCTGATCAGACCTTTCGCAGCCTGGAGAAACGCCCTTCCATACAGTTGATTTGCGTCGGACCTGTCATCGATCTTTATGGTCGGTTCGCTGCGGAGAAACTTGCTCGGTTGATGGAGATGTACCCTGATCGTGTTTTCTCCAAACCGGAGTTTACTGCGTTGCCGCCTTATCTGTTTAGTGGTGCTGATTTTGCTCTGATTCCTTCCCGTGATGAACCGTTTGGATTGGTCGCTGTCGAATTCGGGAGGAAAGGTGCTCTTGGTGTTGGTAGTCGGCTCGGTGGTCTTGGGTTGATGCCTGGATGGGTGAGTGCCCAACACCATCTTTTTCGGACACGATCTGACAAGATTTTTGGTAGTGGTTCCCTGTGGAATCTACTTCGACAGCCCACATGTTGTCTCAGCTTTCAAAGACGATCAAGTTGGCGTTGAAATCCACGGAGGAAGAAAGAGCCATACTTCGTGCTCGGTCAGCCGTTCAGCGTTTCCCAGTCGTCGAATGGCGCCAGCGGATGGAAGATATGCACCGAAGGAGTATATTCGCCAGCCGAAGGATAGCTGGTTCAAATGCTTGGCGGGAGGCGGACTGCGGAGCTGTGCCCTCTCAACATGCGATTGCTGAAACAGAAGATTGGAACCCTGTAAATCAAGGACTACCTGTTCAACCTGACTGGGATGCCCAGAGTACCATGTCATCCCCGAGATTGATGCCTAGTTCTCCAGGACAGTGGAGTCAGGTTTCAACGCCTAACGATGAGAGCTTCTTGACGGCGCCACCTCGTTTCAACTTCAGCCGCGACTCTTCATATACATCGGACACTTCTGACGAGGAACACTCACGGCATAGTGTCGCGACTAGCAGTCGGCCTGGGTACAGTGACTTTTTGGAGAAAGCGAACAGGACAATTGCACAAGATCATCGAAATGCGCCAGATCCTTTCTTGAGTCCGACACCCCCTGCAAGGCCGTTTGGGTCACATTCTCGGGTGGCTTCGATGGAGTCTATTGGTAGCATTGTGGAAGAAAAGACCAACTCACCGTTGAACAAGTCTATTGCGGCGGTGCGTATCTCGACAATTTTGGTGACCACCATTATCTCATTCTCTCTTTTTAAAACATTTAGTTCACGGATTCCGATGGCGGCGTTGCCTCGGAGTTCGTACAGAAGCTGCAAGCGTTGAACTCGAATAACTCCAAGGGTGAACTCTCTATCGAGAAGTACCTCGTCAAGTCTGAGGAAGCCTTCTTTGAACGTGTGAGACGAGACAAGCTGTCCAGTGCAGCCAGTTACATTTCCTCGCACCGGGAGTCTATCTGGAGTATGCCTGGTACTCTCACGATCAACGAGCACTCTACACTTAATGAGCATTCACGTCCAACATGTAACTATACCCTTCTTGTGGACGTGAATCGTTACTGACGCCACGCGTACAGCCCCAAGAACACCTAGCTCTAACCCATTCAATCCAGAGCCAGAATTTGATGGTAACATGGTTGTCATGAACAGAATCCAAATTGCCATGGCTCGACAAATTGGAGGCTGGCCATTGTATACTCTCATCATTGCTCTCGGCCAGGTAAGACCTTTTGATTTTTGATCCTCATCCATTAGCTCACGTTTGTTCTCAAGATGCTTGCTGCAAACAGCTACCAGATGACCCTGCTCACTGGTCAAAACTACCAGAACAACCTCCAGCTATATGTTCTCAGCGCTGTATTCTTAGCTGCATCCTTCGTTTGGTATACGATGTTCCGCTTGAAGCCTTCTGTCTATGTTCTTTCTGCTCCCTGGCTCTTCTACGGCATAGCATTCTTTTTGATTGGCCTTCCCTCATTGTCGCCGAAACTTCAAGGGACTCATAGCATCTTGTCGGACATTGCCACTTGGTCATATGCTGTTGCTTCTGCTGCTGCTTTCATTTTCTTCGGTTTGAACTTTGGAGAGGAAGCGGTATGTCATTTCCTAGAGTCCTTTTGATGTAGCTGATTTTTGTTCTTTAGGGTGCCGCCACTGAAGTCTGGATCCTGCGCGCTTGCGTTGTGCAAGGTTCTCAACAGATCTGGATCGCTGCTCTGTGGTACTGGGGTAGCACATTGAATACTGCGACGCCTGGGAACACTACGCCTTGGTGGATTGTCATTGTCTTGTGGCCGCTCTCAATAATGTCGTTTGCGTTCGGATACTTGATGTTGTACGGACTGCCAGGTAAGTCCTATCCGAGTTATCGAGTAGGAGGATACCAACTATGAAACAGAGTACTACCGACAAACTCCTCCGAAAGTTCCAAACTTCCTCAGAACCCTCTTCCGAAGGAAACTAGTTCTTTGGTTAGTCTTTTCTTGCTTACGGTAAAGTTGATGATACTGATACTCCACACAAGGTTCCTCGCATCTGAAGTTTTACGTGATTATTGGCTCAGTGGGGTATGTTAGGTCCTGTGCTTTGACATCCTTATGTTCTAACATTATTGCAGCCCTACGGTCGCAACTGGAGTTTCCTGTGGAGTGTTCCAATCCCGAAGTGGGCGATCATGCTTCTCATCATCCTCTTTTTCATCGGTGTCTGGGCTCTCATGCTGTATATCCTCACGTCTTTGAGTAAGACGCACACTTGGTTGTTGCCCGTGTTCGCTGTCGGCCTCGGTGCTCCAAGATGGTGTCAGGTATGATCTTGTCAATGTTGTATCGATCTTCAGTCATCTAACATGTGTCGCAGACATTGTGGGGCACCTCGTCTCTTGCACTCTATATCCCGTGGGCCGGCTCAGGGGGACCGTACCTTGGTCTTTCCCTGTGGCTTTGGCTCGGCGTTTTGGACGCTATACAGGGTGTCGGTTTGGGAATGATTCTTTTGCAGACGTTGTCAAGATTACACGTCTGTGCCACGCTCGCTTTCGCTCAGGTCATTGGGTCTATCTGTGTCATGGCCGCCCGCGCAACTGCACCAAACCGCATCGGTCCAGGGAGCGTATTCCCTGATGTCGGAACATGGACTTTTCGCAGGGTCTCAAAGGCAGTCCGATGGCCTCCGCTCCATTTTGGATAGCGCTGATCTGCCAGATCGTCATTGTACTAGGTTACTTCTGGTTCTACCGCAAAGAACAACTTGGTGAGTCGTCGTGCAACTTGGCCGTGGAGAAACTTGATTTGGCTAATCACTGTTTACTTCAGCTCGACCATAATCACGCTATTGCTATTCACCGTTATCAATCATGCACATGCTAGAACCATCACTCCATTCAAGGACTTGCTTGTTTTCATGGACACTTTCATTCACTCGGGATTTTTTTGTTCGCTGTTGGATCATAGGTGCCATCTGAACTTTATACTCGCACATCACAGGTTATTGACACTTGGTCAACTAAAAAATCATTTTACATACTCTAACTCCAGTGCCTCATACAAGTGCACAATGTACTTCGAATATTTTTTATAGATCTGTGTTTTGGTGTTGTCAAAATCATGGACTTTACATATATATCACTCGAATTTCAGTTCACTACGATGACTTACAACTCGGATAAGCTCTCCAACAGGTACTCCAAGTCTGTTTTTGTATGGTCAAAGGAATATGAATTGAAGCATGTTATAGGCAGCTCATTTTTGAGCCATGCGATGAAAGTACTGTGGAGGTATCTCTAATAACGAAAGGTACACGGTATGGTAACGATACACGGTGAAATATGCAGAAAGATTACTTGGAACCGGCAGAGAATTCTGAAGAACAATGATCAATATCATCACCTAACTTAAATGAGAGTGCTTACTGGTGACAGACTTAGTTCCCTCGGAAATGGCGTGCTTTGCCAGCTCTCCTGGAAGAATAAGGCGAACAGATGTTTGAATCTCACGCGATGAGATCGTCGACTTCTTGGAGTAAGCCGCAAGCTCTGAGGTAAAGTATAAGTACCTGGTTTACGACAAGTGATGGAAACATACTGGATGCCTCGGTAGCAATACGCTCAAAGATATCGTTGACAAATGAGTTCAGGATAGCCATGGCTTTGTTTGAGATACCAGTATCGGGGTGAACCTGCTTGAGGACTTCACAACAAACAAAGTCAGTCGCCCATAATTGCTGCCATGACCTATGAACGCACCCTTGTAGATGTACGAGCTGTATGTCTCCTTGCGGACCTTTCGGCGCTTCTTCTTCTCACCCTCGGCGGGAGCCTGGGGCTTAGCAGCAGTTTTCTTCGCAGCCTTTGCTCCAGAGTCAGCCTTAGCTGGTGCCTTGGAGGCGGTGGATGCAGGGGCTTTGGCAGCGGTGGATGCGGGCTAAAATGGGTCCTCGAATTGACACATGAGAACTATATGAATCACGAATCAACTTACTTTAGGTGCCATTGCTTTAATTTACAGAGTATACAGGTATGCGACTGTGAACGTGAGTCAGTTTGCATTTACAGTGCGATATCGCAAACGTATACACACCAGATATATTGCCTGTACAAGTGGCGGCGGTGGGTGGTGGTTAAGGGAAGAGTGTTGAGGGGACGCGACGTCTGTGTACTGAGCTTATGAAGGGTTGGATTCAAAGTCCGATCCCGTGAGGGACACCACGTGATTCAACGACCGCGCTTGTCACGCGTCGAGGCACGCACCATCACACCCGTCACGCCTCCATCGCCGCCGCTGAGCTGCATCTTGTATTAGGCAAATGGTAAGTGAGATCTAACAAAGTTGGACAATCCCAACAGTTCACCATCGCACTTACAACCAATGTAGGCTGCTGAGGACGAATTTTTGCGTCCAGAAGACCTGTACTATGCTGATGGCAGTGTAGTCCTTTTAGCCGCCCATGCTGGTAAAACCCATGCGTTCCGAGTTCACAAATCCGTGCTTGGATCACACTCTAAAGTATTTGCGGACATGTTTGCGCTACCCTCTGCCGCAGAAAGAGAAACGTATGATGGTGTAGATTTGGTACGGATGCCGGATGATGCAAAAGATCTTGAAGACCTTCTTCGAGCACTTTACTACCCGCGGTAAGCACTGTGCTTGTATGGGCCCTCTTGGCTCTCAAGCAAAATACTTTTAGCACCATATTATCTATGTTGGAGAACCGAAACCCTCTTGCTGCAATCAAGTTCAAGGGGATCCTTCTGCTATCACAGAAATATTTCGTGCGCGTCCTGCAGAAGTTGCTCAGGGCTCGCTTCCATGCAGACTGGCCATCCACTCTCCCTGAATGGGACAAACTTATGGAGCACTACGCTGGTCTTTCTGCATCCGTAGTACCGCAACATGATGCAGCCAGTCAGTTCATCGACAATCGTATGTTAGAACCTGCTTCTGCCATACGCTTGGCCAGGGAGGCCAATATTCCAGAAATTTTACCAGCCGCGTTTTATATGCTATCTACAATTAGTCCTTTCATGGACTTTGATGCCCTCCGCAGTTCCCACCCCCCTCCGCTTACTGATTCTCAAGGGAACGTTCTTATGTGGCAGCCTGGAGAACGCAGCGCACGATGGGGGCTCCTAACGCCCGATGATTGGCTTTGCCTGGCACGAGGCAGGCATTCTATGATGGACTTCGCTCGGATGTTCGAGCAACAGGAAGGCCAATGCATATGCGACTCGCAGATTTGTATTCAACAAAACAACAAGAAAAAGTTGTTGAACGAACACCCTCAAGATCTTCTACGTGTCCTGAAGGAAATTGGCTCCCAGCAGGCTCCCCCACAGTATCCCTGCTACAATGCCCTGCAGGCGCTGGCGTCCCGCAGTATGGAAACACGGTCTATTTTGTGGGATAACCTGTGTTACTACTTCGGTTTACCGGAGGCAGGCGATGATCAGAATGATGGTGACTCTGATGATATTGCACTTGTGGAAAGTGAGATTATGGACGGATGAGGGGTAGATTGGTGCACTGGGTCACTGGTCATTCCGCTTTTCTGTCCGCCTTGGACTACATGAGTCAAACAATACGCTCGCAAACCATGGGACATACATCTAGACTCAGGAACATGGCTAGATTGCCATCAGTTTAACCCAAGAGTAATGACGAAATTGCTAACAACTCTGTATTCACGGATAAAGTAGTCAGTAAGGCATAGGCATCACAACCACCGTCGATAGCCAATTCCAATGTACAAAAAGGGTATCATTGAAATTATAATCGTACACTGGTCCCCTAGGTTTTCCCTTGGATGTCTCGTACAAGGAACTCCGGCGCATAATAAGGATACGGAGCTAAAAAGGTGCCAAGCCTGCTGAGGACGTCTACCTGGAACGCTTCGAAGGGAACCTGCTCGCCATCCACCACGAGCGTGCCCTTGGAGGCGAGCGGCTTTGCGCGGTAAGCAGACGCTTTGAAGTACCGGTTCTATTATACCTGGTGAGTCATACGCACGAACGAAAATATAAGGAATTTACCGTATTTATCCAGTACGTTCGGCCTTCTTCGGCACCGTCCATGGCCCATAAGAGGGCCCTCCGACTAGTCTTCGAACAAGGTGTCAGATGGCATCAAAAGAACAAATCATAACGTACTTACTATTTCTTGTATGGAAATATCAATAAGCCCGTCATCAGCTAAAGAGACGGGAAACTGCATCAAAGCCCTAATCGGGCTCGTGAGTTAATCGATCTCTTAATGCAGTAGACTGCTACTTACCGACTAACGAACGGCCCTTGGCCGGCGTACATCCACAGGATAGGTCTTTTAAATTGGGTCCACTCCTCCTCATGTGAAGAGCTTGCACTATCAGGTTTCTTGTCGTCACTGAGGAGCGAACTAGGAAGGCTAGATGGGATAGGTGATTCGCCCACTCGTCGTGCATGAAGAGCATCCATCATGCGTGATTTGTCTTGATCGACGACCTTCATTGATAACTCGATCGGACACGATTTGCGGGCAATAACTGAGTTAAAGGAGTCAGCAAGATGATAGGGGAGTACAGCAAAGACTGACTAGCACGGATATAGCCTACGATGAATCGGATATCGCCCATCCATCGTAAGTGTTCAGTCTCAATATCGAGATCTGCTGTTATTCCGATAGTTTGTGACATGAATGATACCCGGCAACGATCTCCTTGGGTGAAAGCGAATAGATCAGTTTTCAATGGTTGTCCTGATTCCAATGCTCAGCAACTCTGGCGTTTAGAACGACCAACGGAACACACCTTTAAGGACATTCAGAGCTGCTGCACAAACGTCGAGCCCATCCTTCAGGCCCAATAGATTAAGAGACATCCCGTTACCGGAGCCAGTTGGTATAGGTGCTATTGGTATACAAAATGCCTGGTCACGGTGTTCATGCTGGTTTATCCCATTGAGAACCTCGTGGATCAAACCGTCACCGGATACAGTAACTAGGGCGTCATATCCCAGCTTCATTTCGCGAGCAATTTCAATAGCGTGACCGCTATGGGTGGTGTCTGTATGGGAATACACCAGTGAGTATGAAGCAAGCGTGCCATGAAAGTATGACGTGCATGTTACATCCAATGTACATCCAGCTGCAAGGAATATGGGTTCTACTTTACTGACATATAATGCTCTTCCCTTCCCCTGAGAATGACGGTCATGAAAGCATACGATTGAGTTTGGATGAAGCTAACCTTTCCGCCATGAGGGTTAACGAGCACCTTGAGATTCTTGAATGGATTCGCGCCTAATAAACCAGATAAGTAAACACGCCATGTGCCATGGAGCCTGACAAACCCTGATATGCAACCAGAAGTAGTGCCTCACACCACTTTTTGGCACGCGCGCTATCTTCGTTCTGAACTGTGCCGCTTGTCATTACAAGGTTCAAACGGCTCTCCTTGCCCTTGCGAACCAGGTATTGTACTTCAATGGCGCCAGATGCAACTTTGGCAGAAATGACATTGCGAAGAGGCACCTCTGTGCACTCAACTGTTCTGTATATGCCTGCGCAGCAAGAGGATTTGTGATCGTCGGGATTGTTAGGTTCGATGAAGAATGACACATCAGTAAAGCGAAGCGAAGTGGAGACTCCGCAGCTGTCGATTAGAACTTGGTTCATGGAGGTTGACGTAGATACGATCCGTATACGATAAGCGATGATTTAATGGTGGGAAGAGCATGTGTATTGTGCTGCGGGAACTGAACTGTCTTATAATATGGCCCTTGGCAGTTTTAGCACGACAGGTTTAATTTAAGGTTGACGGAACTGCGGCAATTCTATCAGTCCCCATTACAAATCCAGCTCAACTTAAAAGATTTGTTGCGTAGTACCATGGCACACCCTGCGGGACATTCCTTGCTCCTTGCACAGGCTGCCCCCCTTTTCAAAAGACACTTGATAAGTCGACCCCAGCCTATCTGAGATCCCGGGGCCCGGCTAGCCCAACTAGCGTTAGTGGAGGAGGACTCTTGTCAAACACGATCGGTTTCCCATTTGTTTCCCGTGTTTGGGCCTTTTCGATTGAAAGTTTCTAGTGAAATGTCCGGTTTGGGATGAAGCCTGTCAGAGACACGGCACGCTCATCGGCACCTCCAAACGGAGTATGAAAGTTGCTTTGAGTCATTTGACACCTTCAAGTTGTCTTGGCCCGGGCCGTGACGCTGTCGTTCCGCTGAGCCCCTATGCATACCTCGGCGGGCCTACGGGGTGTTCTAGAGCTTCGCGTTGATCATCTCTCTGTTGGTGTCCGGTTGCCAACTAGCAATGGAAAATATGATCAGCACTCATCGCAGGAATATAACGGACTTGGGCGGATAAAAAAATTTCGTGGTTTTCCTTGAAACCTTTCATCTCCAAATAAAGAGTTCACATTGCTTTGTAAGAGTTTTGACTTCGGCTTTCGCTTTCGGCGTTGAAACGTTGACTTTCGACTTTCCCTTGCGACTTTCATTTTCACATTTCTCAGCGCCTGATCGGGAAGTTCCGGGCAGTCTCTTACATCATCACGACCAACCTGCCAACCCCACCATAAGGTCAGTTTTTGCTGAGGGCCATGCCTGAGGCAATTCAACTAGCAAACATCTATGATTCTTTCATGCAACTGGGTGAGAGAGTCCATGTCACACTCAGAACGCAGCTTGGTGATATTGGTCATTTGAATGCTCAAAAGGCTGTCTGCCTTCAATTCCTCGAAGCTATTGAACAGGTGTAGTTACTTGTGGTATCATTAGAACTTAGGACATGATCTGATAGCTATCCCAGCATTTGAACATCATCCCACCTGCAGAAAGACATGTTATTGAAGCCAGTGTGGATCACATGATTCAAGAGCTAGATATTGCCACCATGATATCATCTGATCCACCAGATGCCAGCCCTGTCAACTTAGGAAGTCATACCCATACAGGCACTGTTGGAAGACCCACCATTCACATTCTTCCATCTGATCTTGCTGTACTCTCATCAGGAAGGGTATCAAGGAGGCGCCTAGCTGAACTCTATCAATGTCATCCCCACACCATACATCATCGACTACTCGAATTCAACCTTTCTTCTCCTGGACCTCCAGTATATGTGGATGAGCAGCAGCCTGATGGTAGTATCAACTGAATATACCACCAAGGATCTTTGAGTGATCTATCCATGATTTCAGATGCTGAACTTGATAGATTGATACTGGAACTCCATCAGCAGTTTCCATCCTTTGGACGACAGATGCATGATGGCTATCTTTTGCAACTTGGCTACCACATCCCTCACAGTTGTATAGAAGTATCATATCTGCGAGTTGTTGGTCCATCTCCTGCAATGTTTGGTCCACAGCAAATCCAACATTGTAACTATTCTGCCCCAGGCCCCATGGCCCTGGTTCATCATGATGGACAGCATGGTGTGTTGTGTACAGGTAGTGTAGTAAAACTACTAATTTACTTGCAGGACTCATCCACTGGAAGCTAGTCATCCATGGCTTCATTGATGGATTCTCTTGTTATGTTCTAGGAATCTGTGTCAGTAATAACAACTGCTCCATGACTGTGCTCTCTTTATTTGAAGATATTGCTATGATTCATGGGTACCCAAGCCAAGTGAGAGGTGACCATGGGATGGAAAATTTACTTGTTGCTGCCTGGATGGAAGAAGTATGTGGAATTGAGCATGGCTCATACATATGGGGCAAGTAAGTAGTATTGAGCTCTCCACATGGTAGCCTGTTCTAATTATATCTGCAGGAGTGTTCACAACATCCAGATTGAATGTCTTTGGGTGGATGTGACAAATGGCCTAGGGCAGAAGTGGAAGGATTTTTTCCAGACTCTCAAAGCCTACGACAACCTCAATGTGAACAATGATTCACACCTGTGGCTACTTCATTTCCTATTCCTCCCTTTGATCAATGATGATGCAGGCCAGTGGGCAGCCTCATGGAATCACCATGTTCTTGGGCATTGCGGAGAGCCCCATTGGTCACCCCATGACATGCTCATCCAAGGTATCATTGAGCATGGGCATCAAGGGGTGTTTGTTGAGTCGGCTGAGGACCAGGAGGTAGAAGATATTGCCAGCTATGGCATTGACTGGAATGACTTGGATGACCAGCATCTACTGGCTCATCACAATACTCATAATCCTGAGGACAGTGATTCAACCAATCCATTTGTATCAAATCATCCTGATTCTGATCTATCCCATGTCAAGGTTCCTGAGTCCCATTGTCCATTTACCAACACTCGACTTCAAACTTTCTCTCAGATATCCAGCCCCTTCTTGATTCTAGTCTCTATATCAATATGCACTCATGCTGTCTACTTTGGATTCAAACATTAGCATTGGCTTCTTCTAGAGCTGACCCTAATACTTGAAACTTGTATATATCAATCTGTGGGGGTGCTGAAGAGAATGAGACTGAGTTAGTGTGCCCCCACAAGGGCTCAGTGGCTGGCTTCCCTGTCACTGCATCCCACAGCCAAACAGTGTTATCCCAAAACCAGTAATGATGCGAGTGGCATCTGGTGAGAACAAGACTGAGTTAACAAAAGAAGTATGCTCCCACAAGGGCTCGCTGACTGGCTGCCCTGTCACAGCATCCCACAGCCAAATAGTGTTATCCCAAGAACCAGTTATGATGTGTGTTCCATCCAGCAAGAACGAAACCAAAGTAATTCTATCAGTGTGCCCCTGCAAGGGTTCCCTGACTGGCTCCCCCATCCCTGCATCCCACAATCAAACAGTCTCATCCCTTGAACCAGTGACAATACAAGTGCCGTCCAGTGAGAACAAGACCAAAGTAACTGGTTTTATGTGCCCCCTGAGCACAGTCTGAACAGCTGGCCAGTTCATATCACATCCAAATGCTACATGAAGAATATTTGGAAATTGTGCAGAAAACTATCTGGATAGCAGAGAGTTGGCAGGTAAGAATGGGAGTGTTGATACATACAGATGTGACATGCTGTGGAAAATGATGCTGTGTCATATCCCACAATCTGGACCCACATTCCATAATATTCCCACGCCTTCCAAGCCTATGTCTGGACCCCATATCCAACTCATTGCCAGATCCCCTTCCACTGTGTGCTCCACACCTCAGTAGGATCGACTCTACTCCAGATTTACCCCTGAGCTCCAGACCTCCGGATCCTCACTGCTAGCCTGATCCATACCACCCTATCCTATCCACCCTATGCATGCTCCATCCAGCAAAACATCTGGACTTCACCTTGTCTTGGATTTTGGACTATATCCACCTTCTCATATCCTGGTCCTATATCCACCTTGTCTTCTGGATCCCCAGACCTCCGGATATTAACTCTGGACCTATTCCCACCCTCTGTCCGATATCCTGCGCCTATCCCCATTTAGGCATCTCTGCCTTTCTGGCTTTCAGTTACCTCCTGTTCTGTCTTGCTGATTGATCCTTGTACAAATCTTCATCTCTGAGTTCATTTAGTTATGTTCCATCTTACTTACTAATGTGTTTCCACATGCTCGTACATAGCCTTGCTCCTTTGCTTACTGATCCTCTCAGATAGTCTCCAGTATATAACCCCTGTAGATACTCCTGTAGTTTTCTCAGTTTGAATATCAACTTAGACTTGCCTAATCCTCTCTCGGACTTTGGTCCACCTAAGTCTGTCCTACTTATCAGGCCTAGGGATTGATTCCCTAGGCCGGAGCTTTGCCCTTCTGGCACTTACCCTCTTTCTGGACTTAGGTCCAATCCCTGTTCTCTCTGACTCTACCTTAGGGTAGTCTACCTCTGTTTGCTTCTACATTGGACTTCATCTGATGTAGCCCCTATTCCTTCTGGACCTCTGGACCTCATGTTCCCTCATACCTTTGGACGTTCTGCCCTCCATACCTTCAGATGTTCTGCCCTCCATACCTTCAGATGTTCTGCCCTCCATACCTTCAGACATTCCACCCTCCTAACCCTTGGATGTCCTATCCTCCTGTCCTTCAGACATCCTGCCCTCTGTACCTTTGGACATCCTGTCATCCTGTCCTCCTGTCCTCTGGACCTTCGGACCTCCTATCCTTCCATCCTGTTTCCTGTAGAAGTATTACCCTGCAGTGGGAACTCTCCTGAACACTTCCTGCGTTCCTCCAGAACTCACCCACACTCCTCTGGACGTTTCCTGCTGTGGGAAACACAACAAGAAGAGAACTGGAAAGTAGACTTCTAATGTTGGGCTAAATGTGCTATGCCTAGCTGCTATTCAACCCTAAAGGGTTTCTGGACTAAGCTCAGTGCTCAGAGAGGATAGGAAATCATGCTAAAAACTCTCAGTCTCAGACTGGTACTGGTAGATGGTGAAAACTATGATGATTACATAAGCACCAAAAGTGCGAACATAACACTAAGTAATATCTGCCTATACAAGCCCACAGAATATGAAATTCCTACACCACACTCCTCCAGAAGTCCTCTAGCACTCCACCAGAGTAGCCAGCCTCTGGAAGTCCTCCAGACTTCATTGGACCATCATTGGACCTCATATGAAATGAAGGGCACATACTTGGGTAAGGGGCACAGCATATGAGCTGAGGCCAAGCCCCTCTGAGTCAGTCTCTCTCCCCCTTGAGCAACACAGTTCTTAACATGCTGCCAAAGACTTGAATGAACTTCTGTACATCCATTGCAGTCAATGCAACATCTTTGAATTTGGAATGGCCCTCCAAATCCATGGAGCATTGTTTTTTTGTGTTGTTTGTGATTGTCACCTTCAAAAGTTAACATTCCATGTTTCAATTTGGTGGCTAGAGACCTACCATCTACTGAGAAAATTCCCTTTCCATTCATCATCTGGGAGAAGGCATGGCGATCATGCAGTTTGGGAAACCGATAGCCTGACTTTGCAAGTATGTATTGCAGGGTGGCTGGGTTGGAAACCATCAATTGGTCTTCATATGAGTTGGCAGAGGATCAGGAAGTGTATGCTGCTAGTGTGGATTTCATTACATATGCCAAAAGACCCCTTGAAGTGAACAATATTCCTGAACTGAGCTTGAAGTCAGCCTCCACTGCCTGACCTTGGTAGAGTTCCTTCAGATTCCCTGGTGGTCATATCAGCAGTGGGATCCAGCAAGAGATAATATAGACATACCCATGATAAATGATGCAGACTCTGGGCCAGGAACGTCTGCCAAAGAGATATGAGAGTATCGACAGTACACCCCATAGACAATCACTAGAGTCACAAAACCAGCAGTGATAAAGACAGGGTCCATGGTTACAAGAAATACAATTTCAAAAGCATATGAAGGTGCTTGACACAACTTCTTGAGAGTTTGTGTACTGCTTGTTGCAATCCACTTGCACTAGAATAATCTGCACAAATGATTGCTGAGCAGTGGGAAATAGGGAGAGAAAAAATGAAAACACACATTGGCTGCAGAAGATAACATGCCCAGTGCGATCTTTGCATGTGGATATACCTGTGGAACTAGATTAGTACAGTTCTGATTGAGAGGAGGGCCTGCATACATCTGCAATCTTCCCAATAACTTTGTCAAATATCTTGAGGGGTTAGAGATAGGTGTCCTGGAAACTGTTAGGAGCATCAAGATCCACTTGTGTGTCTTGGCCAACAGATGCCACAGTTATTGCAAGTCCAGAAAGTGGATGCATGTGTTTTGCAACCATCCGGTCCTGACACAGATTCAGACTGAATACTGCAGAGTGTATCATACAATCTATTAAAGTTTGCTTTGGAGCATCATACAAGACAATACTTTTTGTTCTACAAAATTACTGGATTTGATGGTATGAATGCGATAAGACAGAGCTGCTGCAATATGAGTCATGACTGGTACTGACAGATTAGTAAAAGAAAGCATTAGCTATGACAATGAACATCTGTGATGGTGAAGAACATTTAGCATTATTGATAATGTAAAGAGTCTGCAACATGAACAGAGAAATGTATGAATGTGCAGTGAAATTATATCTGGTTATAGGAGTCAGAGGAATTTCCTCTGATGACAGAGTGGATCCATTGATCGAAATCAGTTGCGGAGTCATCACCTGGGATTGATTGGTTGATAAGGTTGGCAGTAGTTTCATTCAGCAGTACATCTAATGTGTAAAAACATGTATGGGTGTGTATGCCCTATTGTAAATTTAATGATACATAATGAGTTTGTGAAGGAAATAAAACCTATGACTGCAGACCCCCAGTTGTGTTGCCAATGCAAATCAAACTTGATCTGTGCAGTGAAGTCAATAACTTGATTCTTTAGACTTTTTGCTGGGGGACACATACAGTGGCTCAAAAAACTGTCCACATGTTTTTGCATTTTTTACTATTTACAATATTGTGTGAGAATACATAAAGACCTCAGTGACATGCTGATACCATATTGTGGTGCTGCTTCAGGGCTTTGGATTGAGCACCACATCATGAGAATCAGAGGAGACATGGTGGAGATACAAGGCTTACAAAATCATGACTCATGTGGACAGTTTTTTGAGCACATATTAAAACTATATAAATCATCATTTATGACACCATAACAATCATGCCACCATTAAATAAATTATAAAGTGGTGTCATTATGTCATTTTAAAACCATATCTAACTATACAAACCAAAAATTTCCATATGTCATGGTTATATTCACCATGAAAGCCACCCCCCCTGCTCAAAGGGATAATATCCTCTCTCTTTCCTATTCTGGCCTCTCTGCTTGTCAAATTTCCTCTAGAACTGGAGTATCCAAGTCCACTGTGGCCAAGTTCATCAAAGAAAGTCACACAGACAAGGAAAACTTCTGTGAAGGGCATCCATCCAAGCTCACCTCTACTGATAGGAGGGCTATTATTCAACATATCACTACAGGAAAGGCTGATAATGCTGTCCAGGTCACCTATTACATCAATTCCACCATCACATTCCCTGTCTCTTCACACACTGTGAGAAACATTCTCAAGACAGCTCATCTCAGGTCAGTAACAAGGAAGAAAAGGCTCTTCTCTCTATCAAACATAGGCAGAGAAGACTAGCCTTTGCCTTAGCTCATCAACACTGGACTGTAGAGGACTGGAAGCATGTTATATGGTCAGATGAGACCACAATAAATAGGATTGGGTCAGATGGCAAGGTATATATGTGAAAAAAGAAGGGTGCTAGTCCCCTCTGCATATGTGTGATAGAGAGGAGAACCTTTTCTTCCTTGTTACTGACCTGAGATGAGCTGTCTTGAGAATGTTTCTCACAGTGTGTGAAGAGACAGGGAATGTGATGGTGGAATTGATGTAATAGGTGACCTGGACAGCATTATCAGCCTTTCCTGTAGTGATATGTTGAATAATAGCCCTCCTATCAGTAGAGGTGAGCTTGGATGGATGCCCTTCACAGAAGTTTTCCTTGTCTGTGTGACTTTCTTTGATGAACTTGGCCACAGTGGACTTGGATACTCCAGTTCTAGAGGAAATTTGACAAGCAGAGAGGCCAGAATAGGAAAGAGAGAGGATATTATCCCTTTGAGCAGGGGGGGTGGCTTTCATGGTGAATATAACCATGACATATGGAAATTTTTGGTTTGTATAGTTAGATATGGTTTTAAAATGACATAATGACACCACTTTATAATTTATTTAATGGTGGCATGATTGTTATGGTGTCATAAATGATGATTTATATAGTTTTAATATGTGCTCAAAAAACTGTCCACATGAGTCATGATTTTGTAAGCCTTGTATCTCCACCATGTCTCCTCTGATTCTCATGATGTGGTGCTCAATCCAAAGCCCTGAAGCAGCACCACAATATGGTATCAGCATGTCACTGAGGTCTTTATGTATTCTCACACAATATTGTAAATAGTAAAAAATGCAAAAACATGTGGACAGTTTTTTGAGCCACTGTACATTGATTGTTTGTGCTGGATTAATCAGAAGATATTCATGTGCAGTGGAGCTTCACAAGAACAGGTGGGATCTCAACAAAGTGTCGTTACTGTGAGATGGCTCCTCAAAGAGAGCACTACCATCTAAAGCATAAGGGGCACCATGGCCACACAAGTAGCACTTCAGATGCTCCATGAACTGTTCAGCTAAGGTAGTATAGTCCAGATCTGGAATATATCCCATGCACAAATGGATTGAGCACTGCTCAATGGGCTGATAGGAAATGAGGTTGATGACTTGCTCAGGGGAGGTTAGTGTATGACCAGCAAACATCCCTTGTATGATAGATTGGGTGGAGCCAGGGCCATTGATGTGAAAGTACTGATAGTAGATTAGAAATATCCAAATGCTAAATCACTGACTCATGTCACAAAATTTCATGTCATTGTGGATGACATGATCAAATGCAGACCCTAGAGCAGCATAGACTGGGTGCAGTCCATGTACAAGAGGCATCTCATTCCCAAAGATCATATGTCATACCAGCTGCTGTCCAAGGCTTTCCTGCACTGCTTCAGACAGCTGGCATAATTGACTGATCTGAAATGTAGATAGGTTAGATGTGTATCATCTGTTCAGTGATCAGTGATCTACCTGTACTGTACCATCTATTTCCAGGATCATTGTGTATGGGTCACAGGCAAATGTGACATTGAGTTCCCTGTGGCCTGTGGAAAGATTGACAGTGATGAGTGGTGGCCATGAACAAAGATGTTGACTTGTCACAGGAGACACAACATCTAAAAATGGTTGTGCTATGGAGGTTTGATATGTGTCCAGCAGGTATACAAGTACATGGGGCAAGATAGGAAGAAGCTCCATCTCCAGTATGAATCCAGTGCAGATGATGAGACTATAGGCACAGAACAAAATAATGTCATCATCTGATGGGCGAAGTGATGTTACTGTTGGCACATAATACCCAGTATCAGAAATGAGTTGCCAATGACCAGAATACTGTGTTATGAGTGTGATTAAGGTGCCCCAAAAGGTATGCATAGGACCATTTCCAACACCATGCCCTCTGTTACAAGTTGATTAGCAGTTATGACAATGATAACAAGGTTGAACCTACATATTTGCAGTTATCAAGCCTATGACCATGTTCAAGGCCATGCAGTCAGTTATCTCCACATCCTCCGGCAAAATTGGCTCATCACTGGTGCCTACTTGACAAAAAGTCTTGCACACTGCCAAGAAGCCTTGAGCAGCTAGCATAGTGCTGGGGGCAGTGATATCTATAACACAGTTTTGAAGTCCAGCAGCAACTCTACTGGAGTCAAGATTGTGTCTGAGTGAGGTGCACCATGCACGCCATACTGCACAAGCAGCTACCACAGACACTGATGATGAGGAGGCTGATGAAGAGGAGGTCAATGGAGAGGAGGTTGATGGAGAGGAGGCCAATGGAGAGGAGGCCAATGAAGTCAAAGAGACTGGTGATGTCAGTGCCAATGATGGTATAGATGCAGGTATAGATGAAGGTTCACCAGTCGCTGGCAGCAGAGTAGAATTAGAAAGTGATGGCAGAGATGCAGATGCAACAAGGAGGGCATCTAAAAGACTTGATTGCCTGGTCTGATCAGCCACTGGAACATCAGGTAGCTGTAGCAAATGTAATGCTCTCCTGAGTATTGTTCCTGTTATCAAATATAAGTGCATACCTCCTTGGAGTCAGTGATACACAAAGAAGAGCAGTTGATCTCCTCAAGGTCTTCATGGAGCTCTGAGGCACCAGACAGCAGTGCATGCCATGGCCATTGACTGGCCCAGCAATGATATCCCACAAAGGGACTGTAAATATAATGTCAGCAGGATAGCACTTGAGTAAGGATTGACTCACGGATGAATACAAGCTGATGCTCATGGTATGGTGCTGATGGCACGGGGAGTCTAGATCCATTCTTTTGAAGGTCTCTATGCATCACATGTTCAGGTGATGATCTTGAAGGAAGAAGCTTAGCCCCATGTGCAGAACATTGCCCTTTTCCTGTCATCATGAATGACCAAGGGAACTGAGAGGTTGGTGTTAGTCGGCCAGTTGATGATGAAGGTGAACTTGATCCAGAAAGTATGAGGCTGGCAGTCTCAAAGTGTGAACAGAGGTAGTGATGGAATGAAAAACCTACTGTGTCATCTTTCTGGAAGTTGCCTTCAATCTGAAACATGAGGCCCAAGTTGCGAGCCTGCAAGATAAAACTTCCAATTTTTTGTGGAATCAGTGCATGCATCTCTCTGAACAGCTGCTCATATTCTGTGTGAACAGTGCCATGCATCTAGGACAGATAAGCAAAGATCAGGACAACAGGTGGACAACTCACAGGCTCAGGATGTACCACCACTAGGTACTTTGTGACTTCACGCTGTTGGATGACATTTGATGACCTGAAGTTTTGACTGATATGACATGTCAAAGAAGAGGCAACAGCATTAACAGACTATGCTGCCTGATGTCTGCGAAGGGTTGGGATCACTGAGAGGGGTGATGGAGAAACACTAGGTCCATGAGTTGATAGATGTCAGTCATTGGTGGTTCCTGGTACTGGTGGTCCAGGTGGACTCCATGGAGTGAGGGGGACAGCAGGCCATCTGGTGCCAGTTGCTGACATATTTGCTGGTGCAAGAAGTAGGCCAGTATTGGTTGAAACTGATGCTAATGGTGAGGCTGGAGGCTGAAGGTAGCTGTGCATGGGATTGGGAAAAGCGACTGGAGTTGAAAGTGAAGGCAAGGAGAGATTTGTGGAAGTGCTTGTGGTGAGTTGGTGGCTGCTGGAAAAGGAGGGTGTGCTGGGTTCTTGATGGAGTGGTGCAAGTGGCAGATGCTCATAATATGGACTAGCACACAGCAAACACATTGCTCAAGGGTCTGCAGGAGAATCATTCTGACAACATTTCAGTCTGAAGCTAGAATGCATAAATATTGAATATGCACTGTCACAAATTGTTGTCCTGCTGAATCTGAACAACGATGGGGAGGAAGGGCCAGCACTTCCATGACCACATGATCCTGCTCAGAATGTGAGCAGGCACATGTCTAACAAGATCATCAGCTTCACATCAAAGATGGATTCAGAAACTTACCCCCAACATCTCAATGTACCCAGTGCAGTGACACCCACTTCCATGACAGCACTGGGACATTTGTAGACTTGGCATGCTGCACACTTAAATGAGGTTGATTGGATGTGGTCAGAAGAGAACATGAGTTGTTCAAGTTTTCGCACTTTTTGGCACTGGCCTGTGCACTTTACCATCATTCCATGAAAACTAAGGTCGAAGGATGAGGAACTCAAGTCGTCGTTGCACATGTGCAGATATCAGAGGCATAAGCTATCATCAAAGAGATAAGTTTATGATCTATCCTGAAATGGAAACATAATCATGCGTTCCGGAAAGTGAAAGTTCGTTTTGCGAAAGCAAACTCACAATATCCCGAAACGGAAACATAATCATATGTTCCGGAAAGTGAAAGTTGGTTTTGCGAAAGCAAACTCGCACGACCGGAAAGTGAAAGCGTTGATAATCAAACCCATACAAATTTTGTCCGCTGGCGCCCTTCATACAGGAAGCAGGCGAACCCTTTTTTGTTCGAAGTCCGTTTCGTCGTGGTACTTATCTTGATGGTTGCATAATTGATGTTCCACATACTACTGGAAGTTCGGAACACAGCGTTGCACTGCTCGGTGATACCCAGCAGCAAGTTAAAATCATGTACTTCCGGCTCTCGCGTCCATGCTCCTTGTTGCTCGAATAGGCTCGAGTCAATTCATTTGCTGTCGTTTATGCAGCGATGCCTTCAAGACCACTGACTCTGGCACATTGCTGTAGTCGCCTCAGTTTGCCTGTCGAGTCAATATTCGACGTTTTGTTATTGCTCTCGTTCGCGACGTTAAAACATCCGTTGTTTGTAGTAAATTCGTCAGTGGAGTGCTCATTGAATAGTATGCCTGCCGAGTTCACGATAGTCGATGGAGATCTCAGTGATTCTCATGGAGTAGCATGCGCAATGATTCACAGGTGTTCTTTCATGTCTCATCGTCCCTTAGCTTAAGGGAAGTTTTCTGTTATATTTGCTTAATGGGCCCGGGTGTCCGAGTCCAGTACCTTAACTCCCAAGTCCTGTCTTCTATAGCCATACTACCTCCGATAGCGACGCGTCCGCCATTCTACCATCTCCGTCGATGACGCACTCGCGGAGACCGCCTTCTTTCCGGCAGGTTGCAGTGGTATCTGGCCCTACAGCCCCACTACTTCTAGGTCCCTCGCAGGAATTCAGCCCATGCCATGTAGGAGACCAAAAAAATATGCAGAATCCTTCAATTGTTGAACTCGAGCGCTTCATCACAGCTATGGATTATGTTCTTGGAGTACTGGAGAAGCAAGGTTCAGAGCAGAGAGATGGGTCTCTTGTGCTGAAGGGGCTCAGGACTGCAACCAGCGATATGCTTGGGAGACGTTAAGTCAATAGTTATCGAATTATTAGCTCCCTAGTTTTCACGATTCAGTTAGTCCCCTGGTAGTCAAGCAAGCACTACATCGTGGAAGATGGCATCTATAGCCTCTCCACGTCACTCCATGTCACATTTCGCACCAATCACCTCAAACATGTGCGATCATTAAGTAGCTTACCATGGTGCGATGTCTCTCATGCCGCAAGACGCATCATGTATTATACTGATGAGGGAAAGGGAGGTCGATCGTATCCTCCATGCGAGTAACTTCGGATCGATCAGCATGTTGGACAGCCCAGTCCATGACGTTGTCAAATTTCCTGCATGCATGACGGGTGTTGAAGTTAGGGTAGGGTTTCGTGTGGTTCTTTACCCAGTCCCACGTGATCATAGCGACCTCGGCATCACACATAATAGACTGCCTGATCAGTTCGATGCAGTCGTCTTAGGTGTTTGCCATGAGCAGGACGTATGTCGGGTAAGGAGGAAAATTTACCGAGATGCATTCGAACTACTGAGGGGTCCCGCTGGAACCAGGGATCCAACTTGTAATGGTCGGGCCAAGAGGATTTGCGAAGGAAGTTCTACAGAGTTATCAGCCAAACATGACCAGGCTCTACGTGTAGCATAGTTCACCAGACAACGCAGTTGGTGATTGACTTCCAACGATGCCATGAAACCTCCACCGTTACTTTGTGGATACTTGACCTTCGCTGGTAGATCTACTTCTCCAGCTTTACGTAGGTCATCAATCGTAACCCGGATTGGTGGCACTGTGATTTTATGGAAGTGAATAACGACCGACAGTGCAATGGAATAAGATTGAATGCCACACCATCGTCAGAAATCCTGGCCCAAGCAGCATCGAGTTCTGGGGGAGGAGGGCCATGATAATCGGGAGCTTCGAGAGGTCCACCGTTAATACGATAGATAGAAGGGAAATCGATGGTTCCATTGAACCTTACAACAACAGGCTCGACGGCAGCACTCGCTGGAGCTGTAATTGGTCAACATTTTGACCATCTAGTGCCATCTGACTACTCACAGTATATAGCAAGATGAGCAGAAGGGGTGGTTATCCATAGCGTGAAGGAGAACACAGATGTGACTATAAGTGAACCAATGCTTAACCAAGGCCACAGGCAAAGAATGCGAGATTTGAGATGAGGTTTTGCACCGGGCCTGTCTACGTCACCAAAGATTGTCTCCTCATCAACATCAACAGGAGAGTGTGGAGAATCTTGAGTCATGTTAGCAGCTGCGTCTACTGCTCAGAGCTGAATACGACAGCCGGCGAGATATAGTCAAGAAAACTACGTGCAAATGCTTCACTGTGATTCTTTGATGTGGAGGATGGATATCAAGATATCATGTTGTGAACGCGCTGCAGCCTGTTTTGAGAGCTAGTGATGACTACACAACAACTTGAAACGTGTAATCAAGGAATCTGGCACGCTTCTCAAGATCGTTACTCACCAAACGAGTCGATCAATATTGAAATGTCATTTCGATCATATTGTCTGGGAAGGGGATTTGCTGGCAACTTCCCATATCCTGGAAGTTGGATCACGATATTAATTAAAGGTCATCCACTCGGATCAAAAAGTTCACATATGCACTGGATGTTATACTTGCTATGACAAAATAATGAAGTTCGGGAGGAGATCATGATGGAACTTATTAAAGGCACCTTCAACTTGAAGTTGGCCTGTATCTATAACTTTCTCACAGTATAAATCATTTGTATCGATACCCTTTGTAGTTCACATGGCTGCATACTCTGCCAGCCGCGGCAAATGATCTAGGTTTTCTCAGAAGACCGACCAGTGCCTCCCGTCAGAATACAAGGCAGCCGAAAAGTGATATGACAGCTCGACGTAGCGGAATCCCTAATCCATGGACTCAGGACTAGCCTAACTGCTCAGTGATAATCGATTGTCCTTCATCTGGTTCTGCTTATTCTGATTGGTATAGAATCTATAGATACATCCTCCTGTGCTTCATATATACATATTTTCACCACCTCTCGGGACTGCCAATCTCGGACTGCACCTCACCCATTATTGGACCCATCAATTTTTACACGAAGTGCCAAGATTACAAGCAAAAACATACCAATATCGAGTATGCATATATGAGCAAATACTGGAACGAATATGGACAGCAGAAGCACTCACTCGGGCTTGCCTGGGACGTCTTTCTCCTGAAAATGGTCCGTCTACCATATCTACCACTGTGCCCGTCCCGTCGTCGGCGATCCAAGGCCACTAATGCGAGTGAAATAGCCATGAGCTGACATCTCCAGGGAATGTTCTTCGAGCACAATGAATTCGAAATTTCAACGTATACTGAGCAACCCAAAAGCTGATTCTCCGTCAACACTAGTGCCCAGAATCTGGTACCGAGATCTACTTGTCATAATGTGTCGATTCGAAAAGGTTGCACGTATGTTATGCCAGCTCAATGAGATCTGATGGCACAGGATAGCCGAAATTTTAAGCAGGGTCTTAGTTCAGATCCAATTGTTGGCACTTCCGGGTCTCCGAGGTCCACAGGCCGTATGTTGCAAGTGCTTCAAAGTTTCGTCCTGCCTGTCCGATTCATGTGTCCATCTGATCCCTCCTCTTCCTCCGTACGGTATGGGCAAAGAATATTTTGCTCAGTATTCTCCTGTCCATGGAGCGGACGACGAGGATGCGAAGCTTCTCCATAGGGGTATAGAAACCGGATCTCATTCAAAGTCCCGCTGCCTTCACGTATCGCTATGGCTCATACATGGTGTACTGATATCCACAACGTTTCTCTTTTTCACGCTATGGGCACGGGCACCTTTGAAGGGTGACATACTCCTGTACTGTAGGTGGACATACGGCATGACTGAAATGCCTTCCTGACCCATCACAGCTCCAGCAAACGAGGCTATTGAATCTAAAGGCATTGTGAGGTTCAATGGAAGTTGGGATCATCGTTCGGCATATCGCGGCAGTCCGTCTCCAGATCTCGAAGTAGCTTGGGATAGAGTGACTGCCGATGGTTGCATATCTTTCTTACTATCGAGGTCATTACTGATTGACAATCTTTTCAGGGCGCCTATTGGCTATGACGCTCGAACAACTACTCAGAACAGGGGAAGAACCTGCCCAATTCATGGCTAGGTTTCCGGAAGAGTACGGCGGAAATTATCTGGCGACAGTAGAGGTCATTCACCAGCTCCATTGCATAGTCAGTCGTAACAGGAGGCTACTCGATCTTTACTCACCCCTTATAGAACATGGTTCGCCAATCCACTTGGGGTGACCATTACACGGCACACGATCCTGACTTCGTCCGATCACCTGACGGATGGCGCATCCATCTTGGTTAGCATACTGTCGCCTCCCAGCCTACATCCTGCCTGCTAATGTTGTACATCAGATCACTGCGTCGAAATTCTCAGACAGGTCATTATGTGCCGCTCTGATGTAACAATAGTTACTTACGATTGGGTTGAGGGACTCGATAATCCTTACCCAAACTTCAACGTTCCTCATCAATGTAGGGACCTCGAGAAAATCTTGGATTGGGTAGATGGACACCGTGTTTACGTTCCTCATTCGACGTTGATCCGCCAAGAGGGTAATGTTGACCTTCCTTCCCCCCCTTGATTGTATTCTCGACCCATAGAGGACCCACAGGGAGCATAGTATCACACCACGAATGTAAAATGTAACCACGAAGACGCATAACTTTGCTATAAGTTGAGTTCCATAGTACTTACAGGCTGTCGCACAATAAACTGCCCTTCAATATCGTGTAAAGTCGACGACTTCACCGAACAAGGTAGTTCTACGATCATCGGGAGAACTCTTGACAGCGGTTGCGATCAACATTTATGTCTGCTGATATAATTATACACAGTAGCTAGCCTGACATACGGTTCGCAGGTGTGGTTTATTATCTTCTTGTAGAATATGCACAGTACCAGAGAGAGACACATTCCTCAATATTATTTAATGTGTTTCAGGTCGTAATACCTTTTCTATACCCATACCCAATCTCAGATCCTGAAGCCACTGCCCATCTTATCCGATTTGTCATCGCCACGCGCCGTTTGAGAAACACCTTTGGCCCAGGTGAGGTACCCTTGTCAGGGAAACGAACGAACTGATTTGCTCTGCAGTAACGTCCCATATTATACATTTCACGTGCATATTCATGCCAAGGCATCAAGATCTCGGCTTGATCAAATCATACCTCCATTAATATTATAATTCCGCCCTAAACCTCGCCTACACGGAATCTCGCCCATCACAAGGATATAATAAGTATAGTCAAATATGAAGAATAGTCTGACAACCACCAAGTACTGATCCATTCTTCCCAGAAATACTTCGCACCTTAATGGATTCCTGTAACACTCTGCATAAGTGTACGAGAACACGCTCTGGCATCCTGCATATGGTGTGCGTCACTTAGCCACCACTACCTTTGAACAGTGGCCAAATCAATCTGAGAAAAATTTAAACCCTAACCCTACGTAGTTCTGCGCGTGCAACTCCAACGGATGCTTCGATATTAGTTTGAAACATGTAGCGCTACAGTAGACAACGACAATTTATCAGTGCAGATGTTGTTTTTACCAGTCTCTGATGCCCAAGAACCACAGGAAGGTAGCAGCTGCTCACGCTAGGGCCGCGCGATGGTCAGCTCCAACTGCCGAGCACAGTAACTCCATTCTTCAAGCCACCCCCACACAAACCTATTCCGAGTTGCAGGAACAAACATCGGAGCCGTCCAAACTCAGTGGCAGGGAGCTTAACCCAATAGAGCTGGACTCCGAGTATGAGTGTGGTTATACTGGGGGTGTCAGTTGTTATTGGTCAGATACAGGTGATGAATATGAAACAGACTCGAATGCTGATAGCGAAAGGTCGGAGTGCGATAGCCTCTGCGAGCTGGAGGGCAGCGAGCTTGAGGAAAATTTGAGGGAGCTCCACTGCTGGATGGAGGCATATCGGACAGGTCTGAGCACAAAGGATGCCCAGTTTCAGGTTAAGCAATTCAGCTCTACAAAGTACAAGTCTCACAGACGTATTCCAGAGACATTGGCTCGCATTTTCGATTGATGGGGAGTCATAGTACTTTAGGTGGCCAAATCATCCCTTTTGTTTTTATAAAACTCGCTCAGATTTGATTCAATCAAAAATTCCTCTTGTAGCTTTACTCTACTCATTGAAAGGATCATTTTTACAAGAGGAAATAAAAATCAGATTTTTTTTCAAGAGGGTGAGAACATTGTTCAAAAGTAGTGGTGGCTAAGTGACGCGCACCATAGAGTACCTCTCCCAATGGACACAAATCGGATCTACATAAAGGGGGTATACATTGCGTACTACGGGGCATGACAGGGCATGAGTCGCACGACCCTCGGCAACTGACCAAAGACATGAAAAATGACCATCATGATCACGGCCTGGGTCCACTGCTTCGGTATGAAAGCAAATGCATACGCATTCAAATGCCCGTACTCGTGACGGGCTGGAGTGGAGTACCAGTATGACTTCATTCGCACTCACGCTTAGTATTCCCAGGCGATGGCCCTATCTCCGAGTCGTATGACCTGATTCTGACATGAGAGGATCTGAGAAATTGAAAATGTGCGTTGCACAGTTCATTAAGCGTCGACACGTCAAGATTCCAGGTCTATATTCCAAAGCTCCAAAGTTGATCAATCACGCGCCATACGTTTACCTGTAAGACGGTCACCTGTTACAGTTTTGTACTGTCACTGACAACCCATCTCGACTCAGCTTGATGCACAGTTATCATTATCAGTTCGGGGACATGGGCCAGGTCCTGAGGCAATCGTTAGTTTCACGGGCTATGCTATATGACTGCCCTGAACCTTTGTTACTGCAGAAATGGCAGACGAGTCGTAGTGACTCAGTGGGCCAAGCTGCTCATTATTATTATCAATTAATAAAAGTCTTGCCAATTTGGCCCTTGGTATGTTTTAACGCTGTCAGATACCGGTTGCCGCTGTCTGTGACATGCTCATGCATAGCTCGATAATTGCGTCACAAACAGCACGTCATGCACCCGTATAATAAACAAATGAAGGTGCAAGGTGCTTCCTGGAGTAGGTCAGTTGAACGTCGTGCCACGTCGTATTCCAGCAAGGTCCGACAGGTTAAGCGAACCTACGAAAAGGTATAAGACAGACCTCTGAACTTTTAACGTAGGCACTGACGAAGGGAGCCCTTCCTCTAACCTTGATTTCAAACATGCAGCGTTCTCTCTTGCTTAATGCACTCGTCTCCATGGTGGCTCTTGCGGTAGCATACCCCATGCCAGGAGTGATTACGGGTTCCTGCGAGTATTCACGACATCAGTAGCATTGTAGTTATTAACATATCATGCAGCCGTAGCAAAGCGCAAAAATGAGGCGGCCAGTGGTGTGTACTTCCCGATTAGCTACGACGATGACAAGAAGCGCTGCAAGTATTCATGACCATTTGTATCACAAAAATGTTGACATACCTATTTAGCCGAGGATGAGGCTCTTGGGGTCTACTTCCCGATTAGCTATGACGACGACAAGAAGCGCTGCGAGTATTCATGACCGTCAGTTAACACCATAATGCTGACGTACCTATTCAGCCGAGGATGAGGCTCTTGGGGTCTACTTCCCAATTAGCTATGACGACGACGATAAGAAGCGCTGCAAGTATTCATGACCATTTGTAACACGAAAATGCTGACGTACCTATTCAGCCGAGGATGAGGCTCTTGGGGTCTACTTCCCAATTAGCTACGACGACGACAAATAGGCCATGAGCACCAGGAATGTTCCGGCAAGTATTCATCTAATTGACGATGACATATCTTTACTAACATGCTAATGCAGTATTACACAGCAGTGGCAGAGAAGATGCAGCACTAACACAAGTTGGGGAGAACCGGAAGGTATCCACTATTGTTGAGCGAAAGTGGGGCCACCCTAGCAAATGTTGAGAACGCACGAGGGAAAATTTACTGCGTCGAGTTTGACAATATTATTGAGTCATCCCATAATTGTGGCTGATATTCTTTTTCAAAATAAAATAAAATCACTTATTTTCCTTTGGGGTCGAAGACCATATGTCGGACATACTTAGCCTGAAGTGTAGCCAAATATTGGCGGTGTGGGAGTTAAAAGATAAATCGCCGCTGCCATGCCAGACGGCAGTCGTATGTGTCGCTTCGACTCCAGATGAGGTTCAGAGCAGGGAGAGGGGGTCACCGTTGCCGCGAATGAGTTAAGGGCTGTAGCCAGCAGCATGCTTCAGCGATGAAATCAACAGGTATTAAACTATTGATCACCTAATTATCACGATTCCTTCATGTTGTGCTAAGTGGCAGACTGGCACTAGAGGAAGGGCAGTGGAAGTATGGAAGGGGATGATTGATGAATAACTTAACTTACGGTAGTCTCTTTTAGCAATGTACATCGGCTAGCGAGTCGAATTACTGGTATTTGAGACCTCAATTGAGCTCCCCAGTGGTTAGGCAAGAAATTTGGAAGTCACCAACCTTGGACCTACAAACATTCCAGACAAAAGTAATGACATGAAAGAGAGCCCCTCGGATAGAGGGTACCCATCGATATACTGTTCCAGTACATATGACGAGATAGCAAGGCGCGCAGGCCGACGACGTATCACGCCACAGGTGGTCAGGATGCAATCTCGTAAGCTGTGTCACGAAGAGTACATAAACCTGGCGGCCCGTTGAAGGCCCGCTCCTGATATTCCAAGTTCGGTAGAGGTCCCCACCCTGGACTTTAAATTGGTGACTCGATTACATCTTCGGACGAATGGTAGTAATTACTAATAGTACAGCTGTTAGACTTACTTTCAGGAGCTTTCGGCAGTTCGGCGACCTCACCGTTTTGCTGTCACACGCTTTTAGATCGTACGGGTTTCCGACATGCCATGCACATAAATAACGCCTCTGCACTGGCTCTCGGGCCCCATCCATGATCACTGGCCTCGTATCTCTGCGAGCTCAGCAATTCGTTTTCGCGTCTTCTACGTTAAGTTTAAGGCTCACGCACACCATGTCGACAAAGGTCCATACTATTGCACAGACAGGATTCGGCACTGGGACGAATGAGCTATATGATCGGTGAGTTAACTACCATCTGCGTGGTCCACACTGCGCTAATACATAAGCTGTGCGTAGGGCTCGTCCTTCGTACCCAGCTGAGTGCCTTTCGTACATTCGTCAAGTATCAAAGAGCACAGCACCTTTGAACATTGTCGAGTGAGTCACACACGTTACTTGTACTTCCTCCCTTCAATTGGCTTTCAGAATCGGGGCAGGGACAGGTATTTTCACCCGTGCCTTGTTAGCTCACTCTGAGTGGGCTACGAGCATTGGTACGCTGAGAGCTATCGAACCTAGCGACGGCATGCGTGATGTATGGACGAAGACTGTCGATGATAATCGCAGTTCTATTGTCAAAGGGACATTTGATAACACCGGTGTGGAAGACGGATGGGCAGATCTTATCATTATCGCACAGGTGAGTAGTATTATCAATATAAAGGTAGGTGCAGGTATTAACTCATCGGACGTATAGGCATTCCATTGGTGCCCCGATTATGGGAAAGCATCGGCTGAATTCGGTCGTATTTTGAAGAAGGACGGCGCAGTTGTGTTTATATGGAACCTTGAAGACAGGTCCGCTTCTGCTATTTTCTTTGTATCAATTCTTCTGACAGCATTGAAGAGACGGTGCAGGCTGGGTTGCTCAACTCCGTGACCGCATCGAGGCCCATGAGAAAGGGACGCCCCAGTTTCGTCTCGGTCTCTGGAGGGAGACGTTCTCTACACCTGAGTATGTCTCCTTGTTCCATCCTCAGGAGGAAGAAGAGTGGGCATATCATCTTCTCGCTAGCGAGCAAATTGTTACGGATCGCGCTCAGAGTAAAAGTTACATTGCTGTACTCCCTCCAGATGAAAAGGCCAAGGTAGTGGAGGACGTCAAAGGTATCCTCGAGCGAGGAGATGGTAGAGTTTGGATTAACAAGAAGGAGGGCACGTATCAATATCCATACAAGACTTACATAGTGGTGTCTAGGAAGAAGTAGACTTGGAGGAAACAGTCGAGTAGTCATAACTCCGAGTCAGAATAGACGTTGTATAGAAAACCTTACTCGCGACACGGGACTGCAGTGGTAAAGCTACAAATATCTGCCAGTTATACATTAGATCTTTCAGTTGACATCAATCGAGCTGTCCTCTACAAGCCTGACAGCTTCTTCTAAAGCATCGTCTAGCTCGGTCAGCCATGCCCACTCCCAATTTTTGGTGATTGTGTCACCGAGCTCGTGCAAAGGGACGTCCTCTTGAAACGCGCATAGTTGGCCACTGCGCATTGAACGCCGAGCCACTTCCGATGAGAATGGCCTTCTCAACTTGTCGTAGATGGCGAGGGCCCTAGGTACCGTTTCTAGGGTCGTAGATTTGTGACCAAGAACGGTCATGAGTAAGTAAGCATCCTGTCAAATCAAATCAGCACGGTGTAAATTTCTCGGAGTGTAGTCGTGCAGAACTGACCTCGATACTCTGGCCAGCACCGGAGCCTTGGAACGGAGTCATTGCATGTGCGGCATCTCCCATGATCGCGACTCGCCCGAAATTAGTGGATGGTAAATTTTTCGTGGTGTGCACGGCCCAAAGCGTGCCCTTTTCAACACACTGGAGATCGTCAGTAATGAATAGCAACTTGATACGAGTGACAGACCTCGAGAATGTGCTGTGCATCCTCTTCAAAGTCTTTGAAAGGCTCAATAAACTGCTGAGCAGTGAGTTCACTAACCCACTCGTCATTCGTCTTTCCTTTGAAAGATGGACGAGGAATATCTGTATCAGCTTCATATGCCGAGCCAGCGAGGTCACGATCAAGTGTGAAACCCGCAAAATTGACGTATTGCCCAAGAGAAATTGGGTATGCAAGGAAGTACTACGATGCATCAGCCTCAGCACAGTGTACACCACTGATTCGAGAGTCTCACAGCATCTTTTCCCATGTACTGTGGATGAAAGCGCCGCGCCAAATTAATGGTATGAAATACAACTGGAATTAGGCTTACCTGGGTAAACTCCCTTAAGACACGATGGTCAGGGCAACGCGCGCGCAGCTTCTGTGCGGAAACTAGTGTTCTGTATGCAGCGACGCCGCTCCAAATTGGGTTCATGTAAGATAGCACAGATTGCTTTTCATCGGGATCCATACCCTCAGCCAGTTCACGAAACATGTAGGGCCGGACTGTAGATTTGATCCCATCAGCACCGATTAGAACATCGCATGTTGCAGTCGATCCATCCTTGAATGTTAGTGTAATTGGTGAATTTCTTGAACAGTCTTCCAAGGGCTGAGTATATGATACTAGTCGCTTGGCGTTGTGCGCTGTGCAGGACGGTGGAATAAATGAAAGTAGTACGCCATGGAAGTCAGCTCGATGGAAACGCATAAGTTTGCCTGTTCTACCAGCGGTGTTCAGGGTGGGATGCATTTGAATACAGAGGAAAGTTGACCTTTCGTCATCAAGTCAAACAGCTCAATACCGACGGCTTGATCACTTTTACGGCTCTTAACAGCTGGGACTAAATTTCTCTCAGTGGATTCGAACATGTATGGTATACGATTTCTACTGACCATACTCCTCTGTGTATTCGTAACCGCAACGTTGAAGCAGTTGCTGTTCGAAATCGGGTCCCAATTTCCGTAAGACCTGAATGATTGTCTCAGGCTAGCATGTCTTTTATTTTCCAAGATCCATACCCTGAATGCCCTGGGCCAGACACCAACACCAGCCCCAATTTCACAAAAGCTCTGCGCGGCTTCATACACGTCGACGGCAATATCCTGGTGCCGGGACAAAGCAACAGCTAATGTCAAACCGCCTACCCCTCCTCCGCTAGGGCAGTATTGTAATGAGCTTGACTACGACAACAAGCTGAAGGCACCTTACCAGATAGCGATCCTAAATTTTGGGTTAGACATGGTATCGTGGTTCGATAAGCCCCAATGGTTGATTATACATCAGTGCTGTCGTTGCGCGGCCGTTAGGTGGATCTAGGTGAGAAAATGTACAATTTTGTATTGCAACGTAGCACGAGGAACATTGTTCTCTTGAGGACTAGTATGTCCGATTGAACTATGTCGGGTATCATCAGGGGGAGGCTTCACTTATGTGATTGAAATCTGAATCATGCATGAAAACAACATGAAAATCTATGAACGAAGGTGTAACAAAGTGTCCTGAAACTATTACCAGTGTCAATGTTGGATAACATATAGAGCCTGTCAGAAAACTTGAATGGGCGTTGCCGCACATGCGGAATGAATGGTTGGAACTCAACTTGCAGCTCCGAAGCCTGCTGATAGTCCTGATTTGGAAAAATCAATCAACGATCGAACAGGTTCAATTGAGTTACGGTAAAGCAAAACTTGAATATACATATGTGCTCGTGGACCCGACCTACTCGTCGGTTCCTTTCAACATCCTCTCCAAACCTGCAGGCTCTCGATGCCTGGATAGCATCCCCGAAATCACTTGTGCTCACTGATACCTTTCATTCTGGTCACCTTTCGGACCTCTACATCACTCTACCCACTCGCGACGGCACACGTGGTCGCCCGTTTGCATCCCCTGTAGAAGGTACACCTCTCGGATATGGACACCACCTTGTCTTCTTCCACCCACGTAATTCCGAAGCATTACTGCGCACAGATGGGACCGACGCTGACTTTTGTCCGCCTGAACCATTCACACGCCGGATGTGGGCGGGTGGTACCATGACATGGAATAAGGAACGAGCATTGAAAGTAGGAGAGAAAGCGACTGCAGTGTCTACTGTAGCCAAGGTAGAGAAGAAAGGATTTGAGGTCGGGAAACCGATGATATTCGTCAAACAGAGAATTGAAGTGACTGTGGAAGGACGAAGTGAACCTGGGATGGTGGAGGAACGAGCACATGTCTACCAAGCATCTGTAGCTGGTGTAGGGAGCCGCGTACCCCGTCAAGGCGAGTCCTCGAAACAACTAGTGACTTACCTGGGTGCTGATACAGACACCTCTAATCAGTAAAGGATCTCCCAAAGTCTGAATTCTCGTTGTCCTACACTCCGACCCTGACGACGTTATTCCGCTTTTCAGCTCTCACATTCAATGGGCATCATATACACTTGGACAAGGATTATGCGCAGAAAGTTGAAGGATATCCAGGTGAGTTCGAACTTTATTTCTCGGCCAATATCATATAAATCCTGTCCCTAGAAAGACTCGTTCATGGGCCCCTGACAGCCCTTTTACTTTTAGAGAGCCTTATTTACTACCGCCCAAGGGCTCAACTGCGCACCTTTAGCTATCGCGCACACAATCCTATTTTCGTGAATTGTGCTGCGACGATACATGGTGCTATTGTGGCAAAGGACAGAGCGGAATTGTGGTGCGAAAACGATGAAGGGGTTGTTGGCATGACTGGCGTTATTCAGTTCGATGAATAGATCTGCGATGTCGTCGCATCAAACCTCCGTTCGCAGTCTTCTCGGGACATCGACAACGTCAAACTCGTACGACACCGACGCTCGTAGCTGTTTGTGCAGGCAATGATGTTGGAACAGAATTTCAGACGATATCAGATGAGTAATGTGTTTGTGTTGGTTCGATAGTACATACTCTTGCACTACGGACACAATCACATACCGCCCATGTATGCATTACTGACCACGACAATAAGCTATTGAAGGACATCTCATGCCTCCCTTAGTGCGTACCTGAAGCAAGTAAGCACGAGATAGGAGTTCGGCGAGAGCGAACGTACATTTTCACAGGAAACAGCCCTTCGGGAAGTCCGTGTTGGATTTTCTCTTGGATCATCTTGAGACCAGCAGTCCCGGAAAACATTTTTGAACGCCAGGTCTGACCTGCATAGCAAAGATAAGATTTTGTATAACAAAATCGCTCCTTACGAACCGGGTGAAAGTCGAGTCTTGCTCGTCAAAAACGGTCACTGGCTCATTTTGCTCGCGGCATATATTCTCCTTCACTATGATGAGACTCCTCGCATCACGCAGAGCCTTCTTGCTCCTCTGCAGGAAATGCACAAGATCATCATCTTTCAAGTGGCCTAGGCACCATTGGCACCATATCACGTCGAATTTCGATTCTGTATCATCAACACCATCTTGCGGCAGATACCCAACACGATCCAGAGGTGTCCCTGGCGCAACTGGGTCAAACGATTGCAAAGCACCTTTGAAGAACGTAACGCTCTTCGATCGATCAGCGATACCCTTCCATAAAACTCTATACCCGCTGTCATTGGTTTCTAAACCGGATTCGCTAGCTTTTCCGCGTGATCGGGCTTCGTTGATAAAAGGCTCTACAGGCTCGAGCAGGACGACGTCTGAAACAAGAGGAAGGAGAACGTCTGACGTGACGCGTCCGACACCTGCACCGACATCAAGAGCTCTCACACGTCTGGTGTCGGACAGAGGGGCAGAGAGACTCCGAAATGGCGATGGGACTGTGGATAGCTCTGGGAGGAGATCGAGGAGGAAGCGACGTGATCCAAGAGAATCGACACGAGGAAGTGACTGTCACCAATGTTTCAGTACAGAGTTTCGGCGAGGGGTGAGATTTGAGTCACCCCCGTTCCATATCCACCTGAATGTGATGTTAGCCGATGTTCGATAGCAGAGTGGCTAGCAATGAAGCAGACCAAGCACGCCGTCGTAGTTTGCGGGCTGGGTGGCCCAGTATTGGATACCTGCTTCAAGGTCTGGAACTGGATTGGTTGAAGACATTATCTATCGTTACTGTGATCATGATGCACATCCGAGATCTGTGTATGAAGACTAGGGTCACGTGATTTCAACTGAACTACAACATCCTTATGCTGTTGATCTCGAGTTAGCCAAACCTTTATAGACGAATGAAGATAGACATTCCTTCTAATATCGAGGAGTATGTCTACATTGGTTGGAATCGGAAGACGAACGTGATGAACGAAGACGCTCGGCTATTGTATTCAACGACAAGATTATAATATATGGCATTCGCTCATTTACGTACCATCTGAATCTACGCATATATATCATCAAAGTCTTCGTCATTTGTCCCGAGAGACGTGTTAACGTTCCCTGCCGAAGGCGTGCTCAACACGGATGACACAGAAAGTTGCTTCGATATTGTATATTCTTCTCTCTCCAGTTCCCGCACCATATCCCACATCTCTTCATCCTGGTCATCGACCAAGAGGCTTGGTTTACTGCTCTTTGGAGGCGGCGGAGCAGGGTTGGGGATTGGGTCATCAAATGTTTCGAGGTCATTCCACATTGCCTCTTCGTCGATGTCCATCCCATCTGCGATCTCGGGTGGCAAAGTTTTATATTTGGCTTTTGGTGCGGGAGGTGCAGGGGAAACAGAACGTTGTGCTCTGAACGCAGCGAGACGTTTCTCTTCCTCTCTAACGACAGCATCGATATCGAAATCATCGTCTTCGGCCTCTGACGACGAGGGTGGAAGAGACGGGGCACGTAAAGAAGACGAATCGTCATTCACGTCTGCACCCTCAAAGTTTGGATCGGTGAGGTCGATAACGTTGTCGCCACCGTTTCCTCCTGGTTCCTTGCCATTGACAAGGCCTTTCGCCTCATCACGCCATACGCTCAATCGGACCTTCATTGATGTGTGATTGTGACATACGAACAGCGATTGATATTCGGCCGTACCTGCATTCGTTTCGAATGGACATAACTTTTCAACGCGCTCAACGGTGTCCTTGAACGGTGTCTTTGGATATAATCTATGAGACCAAAACTGGTACACTTGGAGAATTCGTTGGAGGTCTGAATGCTAAACAGATATCCAGACATCTGCATCAGTGCCCAAGCCCGCTGTCAGTGTAACTCACCTCATGACCTTTCCCTTTAACCTTAAAATCCTTGATATTCTGAATGAGCTGTGGAAACCCCGATGCTCCTATCAAACTTGTTTCATCGAGTAATACAACCTTCTTTCTCTCCTTTTTCCCTTCTTTTCCTTTTTCCTTGCTATCCTTTCCCCCCTCATTTTCTTCGTCGGGACCTAAATCTCTTGGTGGGGAACTACTAGGCAAGATTTGATGGGGTGTCAACGCGTGTTTTGCCTCGGCCTGTTTGCGGAGTGCCTTAAGGTCAAGGGCAGGTGCAAGGGGCTTATATCTTAGGTCATCCTCCTCTGTGTCATCATTATCAATGTCGGCGAAAAGCGCATCTACGTCTGGTCTCGGCGCCGAGCTAGTAGGTCTCTTCGGCGCTGGTTGCTCGTCTTCGTTGTCTGAGTCGGAAAGAAATAATGTTTCTCTAGGGCGTTTCTGAGAGCTGACTGTATCCGAATGCGGCGTAACAGCGCGAGCAGGAGAAATCGGCTCGTCCCAGATGTCGTCAAGAGACATGACTGTTCTGGTGTAAAGACGCGTTATTTTGATTTGTTTGTCCGACGCGCGTTATGTTTTCCCCCTCCACGGTTTACAGTCAAGCCAGAAATCCCACAGCTTTCTCTTCCGGATTCACCGCGTATGCCGTGCCTTCCTCTGCAACCATCATTCGTCAACCATACGGTAGTGCAAGGATGGCTATTTCACGTTGTAGCTGTTGAGCTTGAATGTGTGATGATTATCCATGAGCATTCAAGTTGGGCAAGGGTAGGTCGCTGCTACAGCCTGGGACCATGTAACACATCAAGCGACGATTACAAAGGTTCAGCAGTCAATTAATCACCATTCACTGTTTGAGAAGGTCAGCCTTGGATACTAGCCCCCGAAAACGTCGATTGATGTATTACTTTATATCACTTGCTGCGACAGTGTCTCGCGATTTTGTCTGCATAAATTTTCGAGCACAACGTTATTTTGCACCCGCGTGACAACCATGTGCGCACGACAGAATCTGGAATCGCTGTCAGGAAATCGATATCAAAACCCTGCTGCAACCAGGTCTCATCCAGACTCCAGACCTTCAGATGGCTATTACTAAGTACGGAAAACCTAATTACAAGATAATAGGTAGGTGCAAGTGAAGTCACAATCGAGTGACATAACAATTAACCTATCGGACTCCCTCACCTCCCAGCTCGCACAATTACTCGTACCAGGTATTCATTTCCCTCAGGAACCTATCACATCCGCCATAGACGATATTACAGCCATCTGGATGGAAGAGATCGAGAGGAAGGAAGCAGTCATGTGTGTCTTTTGTGTTTGAGATATGAAATGTGATGCAGAAGACAGTTCGAGGTTCCAAGAGAGGTTCAGGTATTCGCAAGTCAGGAGTAGACTAAGCCCACATCGACACCCTTTGAGGCCTGATGCACATTGCAAACGTCTGCATTCAACGTTGAACGACTTGTGAGTCGTTGAAGTAGGCGACTGCGAGACATCCCTTTGAAACTCAAATGATTCATACACTTCCTGGTATTCATAACCCCACGACGGACGGGCTTTTCACCGTTTGTAGTGACAGAATCAATTCACCCAGGAGCTATAAAAGGCAGAGTAAATAACATACAACAGTGTGAACTAGATACTGTCACTCTACATCCGGTGGTGCCCAGAGTACACAACGCCCACTTGCGTTTCCTGTTGCACATCTTTCGACAACGCTTGGGTGGGAGCATGTTACAGCTTGTGTAGCAGTGAGCCTGATATGACAAAGTTATTCATGGTCACCGAAGACTCAGATCACTTACCGGCTGTCCTTGAGTCTCGCAATCAAGTGTCCCTGAAATTAAAAATATCAGAACTAGTTAAACTGGTCCAGCTAGTGTATGTGTGAGTACCTTGCATGAATATATATCTAGAGCGTAGTTCATATTCCCGATCTACGATGACATCAGTCAGACGATAGGCTGCGCCCGGTTGTAACAAATCACTGACTGTGAAGTGGGGAAATACGTCTGGGTTGGGATTCCAGACCGCACGAAGAATAGTCACCCATTTGCCCTGGAAAGCGTCAGTGAGGGAGAAGAGAGTACGATGATGAGGCTAATCCTTACCGTCTGACAGTTGTGTTTTATCCCGCGGAATGGCGTGAAGGAGGGGAAAGCGGGTGATGAGTTGTACTTCGCGACATCCAAATCCCACACTGCAAAACCGTCAGTTTGTCTTGACGCACGCAAATATATCACTCACATCTTATTGAATCGTCGTAACTCGTACTAACGATACTTCTCCCTCTCGGGTCCCAGTATGCTGAGCTCACCGACTTTCCATGTTGGAATATACCGCGAACGGTACCCTTTCCCTTCTTTGAACAGACTAAGTCTTCGACAGTGTTTTGGCTGAGTTGATATGGGCCAGTTGCAGAGGTCAATTTCTGTAGTTTCCTGCCGTCCCACACCCTTGGAAACCTACTATTAGAAAAGGGCATAGATGATGATCATATCTTACTTCAATACACGACTGTTCGACGCCGTGAGCAAGAAATGCGGACTTGTCGGGTTGATACTAACGGTGCCAATTTTCGCAGCTGACAAACCATACCAACAGGCCTTGTCCTTTGGTTCCCGAAGATCAAGGTGAGTGAGGCCGCCGGAAGCGTCAGATATCCACATCTCGTGGCCACCAACTGGAAGGTCCATACTTGTGATCAGGTGTTCTGAAGAGAATATTTCTTGCGAAATTCCCGAGACGAAAGACAAGCGGCGTATTGTGCTATCGTATGAGGTCGTAAATAGCTATAAAAATGCTCTTAGTGCAACCGTTCTATGAATAAGTTAGGTCCTCACACTATGCGCATCAACTGGGTCGAATTTTATAGATGATATTGACGATATCGAAGAAGCAGGCCAGTGACACTGGAGGCGCCAATGTTTCCCGCCTTCTCTATGGTCTGCAGAGATGTCGCCGTCTTCATCTTCAACCTCGTCTACGGGAGCTCTGGCATCCCATATTCCAATTTGACCGTGTTTGTCTACATGCATGTTAGCAACTTGCCAATAACTTGACCACGGTACCTTACCGCCAAAGAACACTAGATCCTTGGTAGCCTCGGGGTGGTAGGCAGCGCTGTAGACTCTGTCCACAGTCACCTTGGCGCGAGACACTACCCTCATCTTCTGAAGTTTATTTGTCAATTCTTTTATTTCAGTTTCATTCTTCTGGTCTTCATGAAATACAAATGCATCCGCATCTGCGGCACGTTTTGGTAGCGGAACATTCGTGACTGCTTGCAGAGACGATCGGAGTGAGCTGAGTTCTGACTCCTCTAGTTTGTCACCCAACGTAGTGAGATCCAATTCCTGATGTCTGGGGCGTTTTGCAAGACGAGCTTTCTCCTCAGCCTCAAGGCGCTCTTGCTCTTCAATTTGGCGCCTCTTCTTCTGTTCTTCCTGCAATGTGATCAATCGTAAATGCTGGAAGACTACAATCATACTGACACTCACCTCCCGCTGCTTCTTCTGGGCGGCGGTTTCGTTTGGGTCCACGACCTCCTTCTTAAGACGTGCGCTCTGCCTACGAGGCGCCTCTACAACTTCACGTTCTCGTTTCACCTTCTTCGCAGATTGGATGGGCTTCGCTCTTATTTTTGGGACAGGCTTGGGTTTGGGGGGAATGCCGAGTTGAGTGACAGCGTCCTTGAGATCAAGCTCCTCTAGGAGTGCGCGGTTGCGCGCGATGTTGGCTTCACGCTCGAGTTCACTTGAGTTGAATGTTCAGCACTGGACTGTGCGCAAAAAATGAAGTGGACTTACTATGCTGTTAACTCGGACATCGTGTACGTTTGGTGTATGTAGGTAATTGAGGACAAGATCAAGCCATCGGTGAGGTGAGACCAATCAAACGCGTCGCGTGACGTCACGGTCATGCGCTTTTGCGTCACGGCCCCTGTCTTGCTTACTAGGTGACCATGCATTACCGTGTGCAATACAATCTCATCCTTCACTGTTACAATTTCGATATCGACTACAGTACAAAAACTGCGGATACAACGACATGATCATAAGGAGAAATCGCTAAAAGAAACATGTAGGTAAGCCAGGGTCGTCAGAATGATGTAAGACCAGGGAAATATAAAGTTGCGCAGGGGGAGCAGATATCGAATAGATATAATAGCTGCGGACGTGACAAGAAAGCATGTGCAGGACAGCAATTGTATAGCCCGATAATGTTCTAAGATATCAAATGCAGAGACGTTTCAAAAAAAAGTGGGGCGTCGCAAAACAGAAAAAGAAGAATGCTAGTCGCTGACAAGCGACAAGGAATCACCAGTGAAATGAAGGACACGTCTGGAGGCAGGAAGACCAGCTAACACACCTCGGCTCAAAGGTATCTCCCTCCTACGAAACTTCAAACACAGAAGTTTCAAGAAGCCTAAACTGAGTTGTGTCCTTCGAATTCTCGCTCCATCCCACAATCTCCCTCCAGTTGACCGAATTCGCCTCCTTTTCTCCTGCACCTGCGAACAGTCCCACATCATCGTCCGATAACCCGCGGAAGATGAGAAATAGGCGCGTGAAGACGCAGGGGTCAGAGGTAACTGAAATGTCAATTGCGGCAGCTATCTTCGAGGGGGAGAGAAAGCGGTAGGCAATGTTTTTGTGGGCTGAAAATGCGGAGATGTTGTTGCTATGTGCGTCAATGTCAGTGTCAGGCATGTCAGACGAATGGCATGGGAACACGCACTTGATGAAGTTGGTTCGCGCATGCATAGACATGCCTAGCTGGTCTAGGACGCTCATAAGGTGGGGCACGAAATCTCGGAAAGACATAGCGTATCCGTTTCGTGGTGCAATAAAATCATTAGGGTCGACCATCGCTGGGTCGGGTCTGCGCAGTATAAGGATCAATGATCTAGGGATGAGAGGCACAGCACTTACACAGCTTCGTAATATAACGACGTTGTGACCATCTCACTCTCAAAATGCTCGAGCGCACCACCAGGGTGAACACGTAGAAAATACTTCACTTTGGTTTCGTTAACTGGCTGCGCAGGGGGCCATGTAAGTTCAAGCCTCCATAGCGGGTTGACTGAGAGAATGACATCGCAATACTGCTGGGCGGGTGAAAGGATGCTCAGGTGGCATTTGACAGAAGAAGGCCTGGCAGCAGTCGTGAGCTTACTCATGACACGCGAGTCGAAGAGCATGTCGGGTGGGACGTCAGGATTGACTATACGGGTGCCTGTGAAGTCAACAGTGTGGGTGTCGCCGTCATGTACTATGTTCAGCTTGCCCCAGAACTGGCCATCGACGACGGTACCGTCTTCCATGCGGGCCATATCGACGTCGTCGGCAGAAGCAACTGTTGTTTCTAGGACCACGTGTTGGCCGGGCACGAGCTCCAGGTTAAACGTGGCAGGCATTTCCGTGACCGGCGGCGGACTGAAGACATCTCAAGCAGTGCACGACTACCTCAAAAGTGTACTTACGGTGGTGGCCTATGACACAGTTAGCTTAGACTAGTTTATGACCACGACATTAAACTTACGGTGGTTCATCAGGTGGCGGAGGGGCGTCGCTTACAATCTCCACCCGCAGCCCCTGCACGCCCATTATCGCAATTTGGTATGAATCCTCGCCGGTCAACTACTCGTATCTGCCATGAGCCATCTATATCAGAAATAGATCTCGATCACCCACATAGATATAGGGCCCGGAAACCAGCCGCTGGCAATGACGTCAGAATATATCATCCAACCCGACGACGCCAACTTACAGAGGCATGAAGGGATGCGAATTCAACTGGAACACGCAGGCCGAAGATGGCATCTGGGGGAGGTTTTGTCCAATCTCTAGCTACCGCTTCGAGTTCCTGTGCAGAAACAAATCAGCCGGAAACGGGCAACGACCACCGCCACTTACGGGGAAACTATTGGGCAGCTGCGGCGGAAGGAAGATATTACAAGAGAATATAAGGGCGAAGGGAAAATGTTCGTACCACTCTGACTGTCTCCATATCCTCGTAGGCAAGTGTGAGGAGTCGCTGTCGTGCAAGCGCCATTTGGGCTTGCCTCTCGCGGAACTCGCTTTCCTTGTCTTTTTTCTTGAACTTTCCCCAGAAAGATTGAGAGGGGAGACTGGCGCTGGTTGATCTGCATGAAGAAAACATTTGAAGGCTAATAATTGGAAGATCTGTGGCCTTTTCTTACGCTGGAGAGAGAAGCATAGCTGAAATAACGGAGGGCTTGGGATTAGAGTATGAGGAAAAGAGTCATGCCAAACTGAAAAGGGATTTTTGATTATTAGCAGGTCGAGAACACGCGATAGAAACACGAGGCAAGGAGTCAATTGCTGCAAAAGATAGATCAAGTCATCAAGCGCTCAAACCAATCCCAGGACCCGGACTCACGAGAACTTTCTTTAGCCAGTTTGATGATAATCAATATCCACAGTAGGTAACCCTTGGCCCGACGTCGATACGAGCCTGACAAAGGTCTTCCAATGTCAAACCAATCATTCGATAATCACTTCAGATGTGACTCGAGCGCACATCAAGCTGTGTAGATGCGTGGCACGTGGTAACAGCGCGGAGCATGTTACATGCTCCAAACTGTGCAACCAAACCAAACATCAGAATCATGTTTCGAGCTGTCGTGCGCCAGAAAAATCTAACAAATGCTTCACGCTTCACAGTAAACCACAGGAATTTTGTTTCTACGGTTCTTCTCTCCCGAACTTGGGAAAATGAGACTCTGGTCACTTTGCGTCATGAAGCGAAAACTCGAGGTCTTTCGACGTGAGTGACTTTCGGCTCCTACGGTTTACTTCTTTCGCTTTGTTCTCTTCATTTTATTCGCATTAGAATCCGAACTGATTTTACTATCAGCAAGGGCAACAAATCTGACATCATAAACCGAATTCAGGTGTTTGAGGAATCTAGAGCTCTCCCTTTTTCGCAGCCTACACCCGCCGCATCTCGCAATGCGTCTTCGTCTGCCACTCCATCACAGGCTGTATCTCCAGGCATACCGCCTGCATCCCAGCCCGCGAGTGCTTCAAAGACGCCCGACCTTTTCATGGTCAGATTGCCCAATCTCTCTCAAGATGGGCCAAACGAACCCGTTCAAGCAGTGAGTATTTCCCCTCTTTCCTTGATCGATGAGGCGGTTCGATTTTAAATACGTGTCTAACGGTTTTATTCCCTATCGACCATATCGAGTCTTTGCCACATGCAAACTCTTTGATATGACCTTGTATTTTCACATCTGATTATCATCCCCTCAGCCCTTCGTTCCCGATTTTTGGGATTCCTCCAGTCCGAAACCCGAGTCCATAGAGCCTTCTCACCCAAAATTACACGTCGTTTCGGGGTCTGCGACGCATCCTGATGGTGGTCCCACCTACAAGCTTGAGAAGCCTCAGGATACGGTGGTTATTGAGGAAGTGGTGGTTATTGAGCCCGAGGGTCAAGCCAAACCCGCGATTGAATCTGGTTTTTTCCGTGACTTGGCCAACGACCTTGGGCTGCAGCCGGGTTTTCGAGTTGGCGAGGCGGTCTCGAATGTGGTGCGGGCTGCCAAGGAGCAAGGGCCTGATGTACAAGCAAAGTCTAGGCCCTTCAATAATGAACAAACCAGAGGAGTTTGGGTCTTGCTCGGTTTACTCGCAGGATCATGGATCGTTGGAGGGTGGGTGAATCGTAATCGGTCGGTGCCTGAAGTGCACAGCATGGAGGAAGGCAAGCACTAGAATCATTTTTGAGTGATATGTATCGCAACATCCTCTTACATCAAGACTCTCCTATCTGGTTGTCAGATTCCCGACGTCAAGCGTCTGTCTCAAAAATATTATTCTGATCATACGTTTACTTCGCTGAAGATGGACTGTGGATTGCTTCAAGATAATCTCCTCCGTTCATTTTCTGTGATGAATTTTCGAACCACAATGTGTTTGACAGGTCTAGTTTCGCCAAGTCCAAGTCGGACCAATCAAAGGGATACAGGCATTCCTCCGTATTCCGCATCGTTTATTTCAGGCCACACTCGGCCATGCGTTAACCGCGAGGCAGAGAATGCATCATTGCTCAAATATCAAGATGTTGAAAAGACTAGGTTAGTAAGTCATCATCTTAATATATGCTATCTTCATTCATCTATTAGTCTGTCTAGGGGAGACTACTCTAATACTAGCACTGGTGCACGCAATTCCATAAAGAACATAACGGACAACCCACTAGCAGAAGTGAATAAACGACCCGTTCCAACACATTACCGACATTACTACTAGCTGGTTCGTCAGATCTGTATTCATCATGGACCTTCCTTCGTCCGAAATATCCTCGGGACAGAACTAAGTTAGTAGTTCCGGCCGTTGGGCGTTAATGTCATAGTATTTTGGGCCACTCCCTTTTTGCTCTAGTCGACCGGGCCCAACGAAGGGCCTGCTACCGCCACGACCTCATGCCAGTCGACGAGGCAGGAAGCAGACCGGCACAAAAAGAAGATGAACCGTTCGATGCGAAGTTCTGACGAGGTTGACAATGAGTTCGGGAAATTAGTCACTGTTCTATGGATCATGAGTGATGGAAGTTAGCTGATATCAATTCCCCAAAGTAAAAACATACTTTTAGATGTATTCGAGAAAGTGATTCCATGATCAGTGGAGTGGCACTGGTTGTACAAAAGTCATCTGCACGGTTCAAAAAGCAAAAGAGAACAATAGCCCACCGCGAGGGTCGAACTCGCAGCCTTCAGATTACGTCAGATAGAACCGACAGTCGTAAAAGTCTGACGCTCTATCCGATTGAGCTAGGCGGGCGCCCGAAAAGCAAGACCGCCACAGCGCTTTAGACTCCGCTTGGTTGGAGCGCGTCGCTTGATATAAAGCGCGACGCGTCTTCGTAGGGGCATTTACGTGTTTTGTATTTCTTTCACTCTGCCCTGAGAAAGCATGCCGGTCAAGGTATCTTCGTTGGTTAACGCTCGAACTTACAACTCGCTCATCTTTGACGCAGCCTAACTCAGTTGCCTCCAAGGCGCCCGCTTCCAAAGCTGCCAAAGCACCCGTGTCGTCAGCGGGACAGCAGAGAGCAGCTAGGAAGGCACCTTCTAAAGAGGATGGGGACATGAAAAAGAAGCGCAAGAAGGCAAGGAGGGAGACGTACAGCAGTTATATTTACAAGGGTGTGTTCGCCTATTCGCTTTCGCTTGCATTGCGATGTGATAACTAGCTAATGTGTTTTCTCTTTTAGTGCTGAGGCAGGTCCACCCCGATACTGGTATATCGAACAAGGGAATGGGCGTTTTGAATTCATTCGTGAATGACCTGTTCGAAAGGATCGCCACGGAGGCAAGCAGTACGTCATTTTGGTCGGTTTTGTTTTGTTTTGGCAGTGACTGATACCTTTCCATTGTGCAGAACTCGCATCTTATACGAAGAAATCTACCATCTCCTCGCGTGAGATTCAGACAGCAGTGAGGCTCATTCTTCCCGGAGAGCTCGCGAAGCATGCGATTAGTGAGGGAACGAAGAGCGTTACAAGTGCGTGTTCTTTTCCCTTGTGGGTGCAAACGATAACATTTGTTACTGGGTAGAATTCTCTGCTGCCAGGTGAGACATGCAGTCATGCAAGCCACGGCAGTGAGGAGAGCCGGGTCTGACCTTGGCGCGTTAAGCATGGTAAATGGACAGATATGGATCTATTAAATATGTAGCATAGTCCATCTCGTAGATATTATACATACCCTCCTAGTAGCAACAGCATATCATCTAACATGACGCATAATCGTTTCCAAGAACTTAGAAACCTGCAGGATTGATGAGTTGTGTAACGGAGACGCTACGGAAAGGAAAAGACACGTACCATATTTGTTTCCCGCCTCTTTCCGGTTCCTGCGTGCCTGTGCGATCTTCTCCTCCAGTGCCTCCCGGTTGTGGTAAGCATCTGTGAGGAGGGTTGTCAATTGGTGTCGTGAGCGGGCCGTGGAGCCTAGTTTTGCGCCCTGTGGAGAGTAGCATTGTGAGGACTAGTCTACCACACAGCGGAAACATCAAGAACAGCATACAGACCTGTACGTTCATCCGTGGTTTTTCTGGCTCCCCGGTCTTGACGCCCGTAAGAGCCTTTCTATCCTCCCTCTCCTTTATCTCTTTCCGTGCTTTCTCCATCTCTGTCTGCATGTTGACCTCCGCTGCTTGTTCTGCCTCTCTCTCCACCTCACCTTTCTCGAGCGCGCGGACATGGGCATCATATTCTTTCTGCCATTTATTGACAAATGCGGCGTAGTATGCCTGGTCGTAGGCGGCCCAGGCACCGGAGGGGAGGAGGTAGTACCCAGGGTAGGTGTCGGTAGGTGTTGGAGGCGGGGGAGTGAATGAGGCCACCTCAGGAGCAGATGAGACGGTTGGTGTGAATGTGCTCGCTGCCATGGATGTAGAGGATACTGTAGAATTGGGTCTCGAAGAGGAACCTGTAGGGGATTAGGATGAGAGACGCAGAGTTGTAGGGAACACACCAAGAGAGAAGAAGTCCACAGAGGACGCCTTTGGCAGTGCTTGTGGCTTGTAGTCCTCACGATCTAGGTCGACGCTGGATTTGCCCTTCTTGATTGAAGGGGGTAGGAAAGACGTGGATGCCTCCTCGCCATCCTCTTGCATGCTCACTGGTGCATGGAACACTAGCCCTGGACCATTTCCTCCTCCAAGTGCCCGTTCAGCCTTCTTGGATTTGACGGGCAGAGGTTGGGTAGGCGCGGGTAGCATGTTAAGAAGAGATGATGCGCCTGCCCCTTTGCTAGATGTGATTCGGAGTTTCTTGGCTGGTGGTCGGTCGTCTGTATCAGACTCATTGGAAGGAAGTGAGGGGAGCGTGATTTCTATCTTCTTTGTGCGTTTTGTTTTGGCTGGTGGTGGAAGTGAGAGACTTGATGATTTGGGCGGAGGGAGGGAGAGACCAGAGGGTTTCGACGACGCTAGTAGTGGTGCTTTTGCTTTAGGTAACGATGCGGACGGCACTTCGTTGTCACTGTCGACATCGCTGCCGTAGTCTTCTATGCCTAGCATACTGTCTTGTTCGTCGTGGTGAGCGATGAGCAGGTGTTGATGGTTGTTTGTATCACTTCCTCCTTAGTATTGTATTGAGGACCTCACTGTAAGCTTAGGCAAGGATGGCGTCGCCTGCACCACGAAAAACGCACAGATACGCTACGCCGCGTCAATCAGTGACGCCGCCTAGACAGCGCCGCATGGTCAGTGCACGCCCCGCTGGTACACCCTCCAGGCGCACCGAGGACATCGCTGCAGTACAAGACGTCATGGACGTCGACGACGTGCAAATGTATAATGAACGTGTGCTAGGGTCAGGGAGGGAGACCATCTATGCGCGCACGGACGAGATCAGCGTTGCTTTTCATGCTGCACTTCCGTTTGAAGTCAGGCGCGAGTTAAAGGGTGCTGGTACGTCTATTCTGTTCAACTCAACTCATCCAAACGCTGAAAACAAGCCTCGCCATACACAGATTTCTATTCTCAATCTTGGACCGGTGCAGTTGATGCCATCACGGGGTATGCCCTTGCTGCGTCCTCGAACACCTGCTTCGTCTGGCATCACCCCAAACCAACTACATGCTACATCCTCCCGTGTCCACCTTCCTCTCAAGATTATGCACAACCGCTGTCTGCACCATTCCATGCCCTCGTCCCTTCCAGGTCACGCTCAGAACCTGGTCTCGTTCTTCTTTCCATTCGCGGTGACATCCGTTTCTGGGACAGCATAACTAGCGGTCTGGCAGGCGGCGGCAGCTTCGAAAGCATCAATCTCGAGCTCGGAGAGGGAGAGTATACGTCTGGATTACTTAGGGTTGACGTATGTGCCTCAGCACGCTCATATCTTTTGTGTTGACGTACACTTGCAGGGTCAAATTTACATTGCGTCTACCTCACATGGACGTCTATTTAGACTCACGCTCACATCTCAAAGCGGGCGGCATACGCTCTCAGCAAGGCTCTTTGCACCGCCACCCGCACCTGGGCTCTCTCTTGCGCGTCTTCTCTGGTCCACGCCTGCTCCCAGCCTACACTGGGGAATATATCTGCTCTTGCTCTTGGTTCTGGTAGTGGCGAAGTTGGAAGGGGTATAACAGCAGATAAGGAACTATGGACGCTCAGCGAGACCCGCGTGCAGAGGTGGAGCTTGAATAAGGAGGTGTTACTGAGTGAAGTGGATGTCCGAGAGGCAGTGGGAAACGTGGAGGATCTGGAGGGTGTTGATTTTGGCGTGGAGAGGTGCGTTTTGATCATGCTGTGTTAAGATTTTAGCTAATTACCGCATCTACAGCGATGGGACGCTTGTTGTCCTCGTCTCATATGCCGGGTCCGAGCAAGAGACAGCTGCAATGGCGCTTGACCAGTACGGCGGGTTTGGTATGGGCGCACCAGTACCGAGAAGGATATATGCGCTCGTCAGACTTAGTGCTAGCACGAAGCGGGGTGAGGTGGCCAAGTTTGAGGTGGGAGGTGGGGATGGAGGTGTGATAGAGGGCATAGGTGGAGGCATGAAGATAGATGGTGTTACGGGAGTGCCATATGCTACGGTGGGACTCTATCCTGGCTCTGCATGAGATCTAGCTAAAAGGCGTGCTCATAGACAGCCGTATCGGCACCCTCGCATCCTCGTCTGACACTCCTTGGGGGAGGTGCAGTGGTAGCGATTAGATTCGTAGATGTGGTCGTGTTTTGTGCTCGGGGTACGTCCTCGTCTCTGCTTGTCACAATCCAGCGAACAACCCTGACCTCCTTCTGGCATAGACTCTCCCTACCAGGATCGTCTCACCCTAAAAGCCCCCAACACAGATCAGATACTCGGACTAGGTGTGCTCCCACCAGCCCAACCTCCAATGCACTCTTTTCCTGCAGAACAGGAACAAGGGGAGGGAGCAGGGCCCGAGGACGTGCTCATACTAACAGCTGGCGTGCTCATACGTGCTCGAGTGGATTTGGGGAGGGTCAGAACATTCGATGAGGCGTAAGTCGCGCTCCTCTCCCTCTATTTCTTTACTCTAATGACTGAGCCTATCTGGCTCCACAGAACCGGCCGCGCGATCCTCATAAGAGCACTCCTCACACAAGCCATACTTTACGGAAGCAACCCTGACAACCCCCTACATTTCTCGTTCCCGCCCGAGGTTGATCCAGAGGCGCTCATGACAGGTGCAGAGGGGTTAAGCAGGGCCGTCCTCGAGAGCGGTACGTGCATTTTATTCTCCCGGCCACTCTGGAGACGCTGATGTCTCCTACTATGATCTCTGTCGGTGATTCCCATCATTGGCGTGACATCTTTATTCCAACCGAAAAGACCCAGAGATCATCCGCCCAAATCATGACCTTACCTCTCAACTCACCTCTCGAAAAGATAGGCTCAGTTGGCTCATACGTTTCATCAACGATAATGCAGCACTCAGGAAGATGTCGCAGCGCAGCCGCCAGCGTCTTGCTACGGATGCGGAGAAGCTTTATGCGTGTCATCAGCTTTGGTTGAAGATGAATGAACATTTAGAGTGCGTCCGCACTTTATTTCTTCCTTTATTTACTCCCCTGATTATATATCTACACAGCGCTGGGGCCTCCCACTCTCTCGTCACTGATGCCATTCACGCATTCACAGCCGCCCACCCTCTTTTGCACCCCTCCGCTTCGCACGATGTCATCCGAGATTTCTTCAGATACAGAGTAACAGAGATTGGCCGGCTGATTCCGTTCATGGTGGAACGGGTTGAGAGAACTGGAGAAGGAGCCATGAGAGAAGTTGGAGGGGCTGTTGTTGTGAGTTTTTATACTCTCACTCTCTCGTGTTTTGTATGTGCTTGGAATAGTTCTGATGTGGGCCCTAGACGATTCTGCAAGCAGGGCTCTCGTATAGAGCGTATAATCTTGCTGTGTATGGTGTCGAGCTGCCTATGATTAAGCCGTGGACGAGCCGTCCGAGTGCCATCGATGGTGTGTTGAAGCTTGTCGATACAGCCACGAGGTGCGTAGTTTTGGAATGCGTTTATATTATGTATCGTAACTCTCCTTTGCTATAGGTTCGCGCTCGATCCGAGTAAAGCAAACACTAAAAGCGCATCGAGAGAGCTTCTCCCGGAACTCGCGACAGTATTTTTTGCATGTGTACAAGAGAGATTGGATTGGCTCGACAGGCAAGTGGCTTGTCTTAATACATAACACGAGAGAAGAAAGCTAATCGACGCATAGCCCCATAGCAGCAGACGAACCCGGTTCCGAGAGGGACCATATAGAGCTCAAAGAACGCTTCGACCAACTCCGCCCCGAGATCCTCGAAACTCTCCGTACGCCTTCCCTTCTTTCCATCTTCCTACTTTCATCTCCCTAACTACCCCATGAATTTACAGGCCTGACATCCCACCTACTGAACGCTCTTACGCTTGCCGCATCCCACGCCGACTTCCGCTCTCTTGCCGCGCTGTTACACCAAGACACCGTCTACCCACCGTCTTCCAATCCGCACGCGCACACGATCGAAGAATATGTCGACCGCTTTGGCGGAATGTTTGCAAGGGAGGTGGTACGGTGGTGTATGGTGCATGGGGAAGCGAGAGTAGTGTTTGCGATGGAGGAAAGCGGGAGAGGTGAGTGGGGGAAGTATATGGATGAGTACTGGGCAGAGGAGGAGCAGGGAGGCAAATGCGACGCGGTGGCGTGGTTGAGGGATTTGGGGCAGGGGCGGTGGAGTGTTGCTGGCACAAGGTTGTTGAGAGAAGCGAATGGCGCCGGGGATGTGGGTGTTAAGCATGTGAGTGATTTTGGATTTCGGTGCTTGGATTGGGGCAGGTGTTGATCGGTGTGCGTTGTAGTTTATGCTTAGCGTGGGCAAGCTTGCGCATTTGGCGCAGATGCAGGAGGGTACAGGTGCGGATGAGACTGTATTGGATGGTACGTCTTTCAATTTCTTTTCATATCGATGTGCTTGACTAAATGCTGTCCAGCGTTCCATGATAGCCTGGATTTCATATCGGTGCAGGAGAAAATGCTTCAGGAGTTCCGGGAACCTGCCAGCAGTTTGCGGGGCAAACAAAAACAGAGCTTGGACGCGCAAGTGGATGCTGTAATAAAGGCGAAAGGGACGAGACTGAGAGCAGAACGGAGGCACGGGCTGCTTGGGGTGCGTGGATTTCTATTGTTTCTCTTGATTCGTGGTGCTGATTTCCATGAGCAGATAATGAAGATTTTTGTGAGGCAAGTACTCCAGGGCAAGGCGCTCAGCTTGGAAGATGCGGTAGACATGCTCACATTGCAAGATAATGTGGAGGGCGTGGAGAATTATGCTACTGCGCTGCATTTGCTTGCGCATGCTGAGGTAGGTCGTGCGTATCATGGCTTTTTGTCATTGTAATGACGACTATCATACAAGGATATTCCAGACGCGAGGAGACAATCCTCGTTCAGAAGAGTATGGTGTAGAATATACAATCACGATGAGTATGTTCCATTTCCGTATCCTATTTGCCAGCTTTAATTGTCACTTCAGCTGGGACTCTATCCGCGAAACTGCCAACATCACTGACGCCCAACTAACCTCCCGCTTCCGCGCAACCGCGCTTTACACTACGTTCAATGTTATTCTGCTCTCGCCCCAATTATGTCAAATACCAGGTGTCGACCTTGACCCGAACGAATGCTTGCCGGTGCCTTTGATGCCCGAAATCAAGTCACGTTTCCCAGGCATACAGGAGGACATGGTGGGTGACCTAGCGAGAGATTACAGAGCTGAAAGCTCAGGAGTCGAGGGACTGAGACTGGGAGACGTGTATCATCGTGTCAGGGAGCTGGTGATGCTGGACCTGGGGTACACAAGAGAAGGATTTTAAGTATAGTATCGTACGAGTCCTGCAGTTGCAAAATCTATACAAAATATAGAAATCTCCAACTTGCTAGCCTCTTTTTTGCCCTCTGAAATTCGACTTTAGCAGAAAGTGAGAGATCCTCAAATGTCCGTTTCCTGAGCTCTATGGCATACTCATCCTGGCGCGCTCGTTCCTGGACCACCCACTTCTTGTAAAGGTCAGACAAGGCGTGTTCGTGTGCTTCGGTAGGCGCATTGGGTGGGAGGGCAGCAAGGACTGAGGATTTGGCAGCCTCGAAGCGAGTGTTACTCTGATAGTGATCAATTCGGATCGCTGGTTCTGAATCACGCTAATGTAGAACATACCTCTGCCCAGTATGCGTGGTTGAACGCGTCGAGCTGTTCTCGATGGAGTTTCCACTGCAGTTCGTGGTCTACCGTATCGTCTGAGAATTCTCTGAGAGAGTATGGGTGCTGTTTAGACTCGGAAGGGGAAGATGAAGAGATGGCAGTGGTGTATATGATAGGCCGGAGGTTGGAAGTTGGGTCTGGAAGCCCGATGAAGTTAGATGATGGCCTGGACGTGTGGATAAGACGTTTGTGCACGGAAAGATGGGCGAGAGCTCGAGGTATCCGTGGTGACATGGTGGTGGTGGCTTGAGACAAAGCTTTCCCTTACATGGACGCATTTCGTTACAGTTTCAATTCTTGTTCGTCCAACGCATAACGGAAGGAACGATGGTCTGGCCACCATGTGGTGTAGGTACCAGGAACATCTTCCCCGACTACCTCCAATATATACGTGTCAAGGTTCTAGACAGTCAGGCAGTCGCCTGGTAACCAATTGCAACGATTCAACTGTTGCATGCAGCATACCAGACTTCCTATCGGTTTAATTGCAAGGGTAAAAATACAAGTGATAAAAAAACATGGTGATGTCGACAAATATTTAAAAGACGTAGTGGAAACGTAGGTAGAACAAAAAATGCAACATCAACTCGGACAAGTTGCAACCGGAGAAATGGTGAAAACGAACAGCAAAACTCAACTACGAAACACAGCTAATTCAAAAAATTAGATGGATTAGACCCATCAACAGCCGCTGCTCGCTTGATCGCTCGCTTTTCTTGCTCCATTGTAAATGGGTCACTGAGACTATACCGCCGCTGGGCAATACTTGAAGCGCGCTCCCGGATGCCGGGGAACAACCTCCGCACAACGGCGTCTAGCTGAGGCCAAATCTCGTCCGACGTCTCACCTTGCAAAGCAACAAGTCGTGCCGACTTGTTAGCCGGCGATGCGTAATATGCGAGCAGGGGCGACGTAGGAATCATAAAACTTGCTTGAGACGGCGAGAGAAAACCTCCTGATTAATCACCCGTCGGGACTTGTTATGCAAACATTTAGGCTTTGAATCCACGTACGGGGTTATCATCAGGGCGCCTCGTCAAGGGTTCACCTGTCTCGTCATCGAAGCCATCCACTTTGGGTCGGTTGTATGACATGTTGTACACGCGGCCAGATGGCAAATGAACCCAGCGGTCAGATATCCGACTCAGGATTACATTATCTGCGACATCCAAGTTGACTACAAGACTTAATGGGGTATTCTGGATCCTGAGGCCGTAGTCAGTATGCAGGGCCCGACAGCACAAAATTAAGTTACGAACTGGAGATGGGCGTCAAGCAGTTTACCTTGACCTAACGTTCGTGGAAAACCATCCAAAATCCAATGCTGTAAATACGGAGCACTAATTCAGGCCCGTAGCCATGTCGAAGGGAATTATGATAAACTAACCCTGTTGTTGAGTGACTCAAGTTTACTTGCGACAACTTTTAGCATGACGTCATCAGGAAGTAAGTTTCCCTGTGCAACAATTTCTTCTGCCTGTCTGCCAACTTCAGTTCTAATACCATGGGTCAGCACCGCAGCACCATGTACCGTAATCACATATGTGACACGTTGAAATTGACCTCACCTCTCTGCGATGTGCTGCCGCAAAAGGTCTCCAGTGGAAAGGGACAGTATGTCATACTTCTTCACGAGGCGGGCTGAGAGTGTTCCCTTGCCAGCACCGGGTTTACCGAACATGAGCATACGCAAGACCTTGCCGTCATTTTGCTCTGTTGAGCGCAAATTGTTGAGATAGAATGGGAGTGCTTTTGAAACTGATACAGAATGGGAGATAGAGCGGGCAGTTGAAATGGGGGCGATTCGTATTGACGGTGCGCGAGCGAACAGAAAGGTCATGAGGGAAGCGAGTGGGATTAGAGACTTATGCTAGGTATATATTCCGTTGGGAGATATCGAATGATGTGTTTATTTTAATGTCGTCCGATACGGTTTGGATAATAAATTTTGTTTCGTTGGGGATACGTACGCGGATAGACGCCGGTCAGTTACAGTACTTGCGAGATACGAACAAGTATCCGCTTTCTCGCTTCACCAACAAGTTGAAAACTGCACAACGGCAAGTTGAGAGGAGTACTAGAGTGGTGGGGTGTTACGTGGTGATGGGGAGAAGGTGGGGAAGAAGCCTGGATCCCCCATTTCAATGATATAAGGAGACTTTGTTGTCAGGTGTCATACCAAAGTAAGTAAGGGCAAATCACGCAATTGAGTCTGGACTTGATACACGTTCGCAGTACTTTGTCGACGAGTCACCATCAACCTCAACGACGTCCCCCTCAGTGGTTCGATCGCTCAGTAGAGATGGCATGTCTTGCCCCTCGACGTCGAGTCTTTACTCGCTATAACCACTCACTTAAGTCTATCTCGTAATTATCTGTGATTTTGGCTAGTCACGCGTCATGTTCAAACTCACACCAACATGCATGTGATCCATGAGCGTGAGCTTGTACCTTCATTGCGCCCGATTACGAGGAATTGGCGAACAATGTGCTTTCCTGTACGGCGATGATGACTGTCAGTGAGGTGAAATCCCTTTTACTTACAAAATAGTTATTTGATATACCTGGAAAATTTGCAGATGGGTCAATCTAGGTCTCAGGAATCCCGTAGTACCTGGCTTGGAGACCTCGTCATGAGTTAAGTGCCCGATCTTTTCAAATCCGAAGTCCGGCATCTCCTGTGCGTATGCGCGTGAGATCTCAAGTGGGGTGAGGGTTGAATTTACGAAAGTATGTCAGCAAACCCCCTAAAACGTTTCTTGCTCTACTTATCAGAAGTTGAGCGCTGGACGTTAACTTCAGAGCAATGTATCATTGATCGCTATAGTGGGAATATGCAATCATATCTCCGGTCGAGATGTCGTGCATTGCCGTTACATATGCATAATAACAGTACGGCAGGATTGTGTCTTCTTCTCAATCAGTGACCGAGGTACAAAGTTTTCAAGCGAGGTTCGGACATGAGCTAATATTGCCTCTTGGTGCATCCCTTTCCGAGCGAGTGCTAGCCAGCGTCTTATTCGGACTCTCGAGTACTTCTACTCGCCAGAAGACTCTACCGTAATACTATATCTCCCGGAAGCCTCAAACGTTCAGTTCTTGACGAGAACAGGTTTGAAGCTCCCCGAGTCTTGTCCGAGTCATTAATATTTTTATACCAACTAAAACACTCAAAGTGCTATCAATTTGCATGAAGCCAACTTCCTCAATCTCTCCAAGTTCTCTTCATGAAACTAGTGTGTAGTAATCGATCGACAAAGAATTCACTACAAGGAAACAAAATAATGTACGGTATGACATCAAGGGGATTCGCAAGGTATATATACATCGAGGTAATATTTTAGGTGTTTGCTGCCGAGTCCACTGGTCCTGTCTGGGATAAACCGATCAGCTGGCGCATATCGCGTACACCGACGACACCACGTATGTCCCTAGCTGGATCCAAGGAAATACAAATGGCCTCGCCTAAGTGATCGACATTGATTGGCGGAATCGAGAGCAAGTTTGCCATGGAATTCAGGGCGGAAGGCGTTTTTTCGGTGGCATTGGGGAATACCGATGTGGCTAACCACCGAAGAACCGAAGCAGGCATCGGGATATACGATGGCACTGCGGTATGGATCCGTGCCGATACATCGAATATTGTAGCTGGAATAACGGTCATTGGTCGGATATGCGGATGGTATATTAAACCTAGTACGGTTCGTCATTCACTGGATCGAATTATTAATGGTATATACTTACTGGGGCGGATATACACCCCCTTGTATTGAGGGTGATCTCGGACAATTTCTTCAATTTGCTTCTCAGCCTCTCGTTTCGTTTCGAGATAGCGCACAGGGACGACAGGTCGGCTGAAGTCCTCCGCGGAGACGTAGACGAAGGGACGAACACGTGTAAGTCCGGATACGGGCTCGCTCGCGACGAATGCTTCACACACGCGCACGGCTGACAACGCGTGAACACCGCGCCCAGTAAAGCGAGGCTGTTCAGGATCACGCACCTGATTCATAATTAAGGATATCGTAAGCGCTCCGCTGACCTTCTGCTGACGGACCGCTGCCCTGGCCCGCAAAGAATTTGATAAAGCCCATTATATCACCTTCTTGTATCTTCTGCTTGTACTGCGTATTGTCCAGAAGCGTACCAACAGTGTGGACAACGGCGTCAACACCGGGGAGGATGTCCGCATATGACTCTGGATTCAAGGCGTCGGCTTTCCGCCATTCTACCTGTTGGGGTTTGAGCGGGCTGATCGGCGGTTGGGTGGGGAACGCGAGGCACGCACCCTTTCCACCCATGCAGGGGTATGGCCTTGTGGGGTTTTGTAAGGTTTTCCGGAAGAGCTGCCATGCCATGGATGGCAGAATTGTAATACTCTCTGCACAAATGACTTACCTTATGCTGGTAACCTCCATGCCTCGGCCAAGAGCCATTTTACAAACCGCGGAGCCTGGAAGTCATAAATGGTTTAATACGACATAAAGGGTTAGAAGCTCATACCAACGAAACCATTGCCACCAACAACTAGAATTTTTTGAGCAAGAGATGACATGGAGTCTAGTTTAAAGCTCGTTGTTCGTACAAAACGGGGCAACAACGAGGTAATGTTTGATACTTATAAAACTTGGCTGTTGACAACGTTGACACGTCGGTTAAGTCTGCAAAACCCTACGTATAACGGTATTTGCAACTGTTTGGTAAGTACTTGGATAGCTATGATACGTCATGTGATGCGATGACTGGCATGTGGCTCGTGCCCGAGTGTATGCCTGGCCTACTGATAGTGATCCTGTCACTGATTAGTGTGATCATCTAAGCCTAATCGTGTATAACCCTCCAAATATTTTTCAAATCCTTTCACACCCAGCCCTCATGCAACAATCAAACTTTTTTGTTGTTGTTTTTTTGCTTGTAAACAATATCTTGATTGCTAATTTTTTGAGATCTATGTTTACACTCGATGATGATCAAACGGACCTTATTGTGTCTGGCAGTGCAGATATTGTAATATGGTTAGGCATACAAGAGATTTAGTACAAGTTTCGAGGACTGTATTGACCATCACGGTGTGTGACGACATCGTCACGCGTCACGCGTCACTGCTCACGAGGGTTTAGTACTTTTAGTACTAGTGCGCTGTTCCTCGCCGATCAACAAGGATAGCTTCTTGTCGATAATTTGCTACAATATCGCCGTAAGGTTTAGACACGAGTCCCATTTAGGTCAGATTTAGCAACGCTTAGCAGTGTTCGGATCCCAAGTGAACGCAAACTCTTGGCGAGCTGAATGAATTGAGCAGCGCTATTAAGTGCTTAGAACAATATTGTGTTCTAAAATCCTCATGCCAACATGACGCACCGTGAAACGTCACGTTGTTCCTCGAACAATTAATAACGGGCGACCAAAATTTAGAATCCTTAGATTTTGATTCAAACCTTAATTACAAGTCGGAGTGCCTCGTACCTCGTTGTAATTTAAAAATTGTTTTCCAAACTGCAGACCAATTGTCTAGATCATTCTAATGTACAATATTGAAGCGTCAAAAGGCATGTGTTACAACACAGTCACGGTGCTTGAAAGGCGTGTACAGAACATGTTTTGAGCACCAGAAAGAGGCCTTGCAGTCGTGCGGACTTGCAAAATACTGACGAGTGACAGCAGCACGTCGGCACGAGGACATATATTTAAATTTAGAACGACGTTTAGGCCCGAGGCTTGCCATGACGCTGCCTGCGGGAAGTCACCATCATGTGACACTGCTCGGATGCCAGACGCTGACAACATCATACTCCTATCCCCATGAGGAACAACTATAGGGAGCATTGAAATTTTACCGTGATCTGATGTCGAACGGTCACCATCGACAACCTTCCACAATACAGAAGTGACAAGGTCCTAATAATAAGTCATAAATCGACACGTTGTCGCTAAAGTTCAGCAACCTTTTAACCAACCAGGACTTCCCTTTGTTCTTTTAGTGCAGTGACAGCGGCGTCAATCGAATGATTTAATATCTGTCATTGCGCGCTGCGTTGTCTATGTGAATATGACATGACCAAACATCCAACACTACTGTAGCTAGCTATCAACAATGTATGGAACATATTGCATGCCCTGAATATGATAAAAACTCGATAACAAATGAAATTCGTGAATATGCGTGATTCCGAGTGATTGCAAAGCCATATAAACAAGAACAATGAGCATGTGTTGCCAGTGGAGGGAATGGGCATTTGATCGTGGGCGTGGAGACCAAGAGCTACCAGGGTCATTGGTCTCCTGAACGCCAAGTCAGCTACCGCGCTCCAACGGGACTAGCCCGTCAAAACAAACGCATCAATGCGACAAAGAAAGGACTGAAAACAGTGGATGATGGAAGGTGCAACCAGTGCTTGCTAAAGGACAATTAGGTGAAACTCCATGTAACTATTAAGGGTCAGGTCAGCCAGGAACGTCAAGTGTCATGAGACAAGACGTACTGGGAATATCGCCGACGGAGAGGCTGTCGAGAGCTTGAAAGGCAGCAACCGAGAGGTCGATGGAGTTTTCATTTGCACAAGTCGGGCAATCATCAGCAATGGTTACTACAACGGTGTTGCCGTTGTCAGTGTTTGTAATTCGGACCTGTTGGCCACAAAGAGGGGAAGTATTGCCAGAGTTGCCATAACGGGTCTGATCGATAGCGCAGATGAAGTCAGAATCAGAGTGAACTGTTCCACATGCACCTGCGACGCCGTTCTGGTAGAAGTAGGTTGCACTGTAACCCAAATTTGAGTATTTGAGTGATAGTAAGACAAAACATATTTACAATCCGCCATAGTTGAGACTGCCGTCGCTAGAACCAGTCGATGGCGCGGTTGTCGATGCTACGTTCGAGGCAGAGGAAGTGTACGTGGAAGTGTGCTTTGTAGTCGGAGGAGGGGCAACGTTCACGGGGGCTGAGCTACTGCTCGTAGTGGGAGCAGGAGTAAAGTTCACAGTGGTGCTGCTCGTGAAGGATGCAGAAGCAGAAGCTGTTGGAGTCGATGAGGGACCATCATCACAACCGTCGTCACTCCCACCAGTCGATACAAGTTCACCACTGCTGCAGCTGGAGCCAGAGGGTAACTGGCACTGAGCGGGAAGAGCGCTAGCACTCTCGCCAGCCTAGATGGCTGATGAGCAAAATCAATCCAAGACATGTAACGTGACACAAACCGCAAGGGGGTGGCAGCAATCAGAAAAGAATTGCGTGTTGTGCTGGTTTTGGCACTGGAGTGCGATATACCTGCAATGATAGGTGTCATAGGACTGGAAAGTGACATCAGGAGACAAGACCATAGTCACAGTGTATAGATTGACAAACCTCAAGAGCTGCGGTGTCCCAGCCTTGGGGGGCAGTCGCGCGAGGAACGGCGAGCGCAGATACTGCAGACGTAGCAATGAGGGACAGGACGACTGTTGCAAACGTGGAGATCATGGTGAATATTATGATCTAAATAGGAGAAAAAGAGTGCAGATGTGGAGAGAGCGGGGGTGAAGACGAGTCGTTCGTGATCAACGAGTGGCAGGACACTTGCAAAGGTCCAACTATTTAAGTCAAAGAATGGTGTTAGCACGCACGAACAGCATGAATCGGTTGCGAAGAACCGACCTTGTGAAAAAGCGCAAGGAATGCGTTTACCTGACGGTAATTGAAGGGAGAAAGAAAGTGGTAGGAGGAGAGACACGGTTATTACTTCCGAATCAGTCTTTCAGACTTTATCCCTTGTATATCCAGATCAATGGAATTCATTTCCCACGTCATGATCGCAAGGTAAAACGTTGTCCTCCATTGTCAATTGGACATGTGCAATCACTTTATTTTTATTGTTCCATACTATGGAGCCTTGCATACTGTGGATGGACAACTCCAGGCTTGACTGGGCTCCTCAACTTGTGCTGGAACCACATGATATCCAATGAGTGACGAAATCTTGCTGTAAGATGATCTTTTCATTCGCAATTTTTTTTTTCGATTACTTCAACCCCGCAGCAGTGCATGGCTACGCACAAGTCGGCCGCTTAAATGTCCACGAATCAGAAGTTCCTGGGCGGGCATTAATGGTCGAATAATAATAATAATTACATTAAAAAATAATAATTCTGAAAAAGGGGATTATCCCGGCATATTCCGATGCCCAGCTAGTTGTGTCACTCCTCTACGACGGACGATTACTTTCAGGAACATAGCTAAAGCGAAGTAGCTACACCAGCGAAAAATCTCTCAAGTCATGAGTGCGTTTTCATTGAAAATTCATACCTATCCCCTAACTCGAATTCATCCAAGGCGAATTCACTGAAAACCCCTTTGCCTCGAGCCATTCGCTTGATACGAATCCCTTTGACGACCCATCATCAAAGCAGGCTGCGGAACACGACGCCCATTCTGAGGATATCAGCAGACGAGAACGAGACTTGGAAAGACGTGAGCGCGAACTGAACCAGAGAGCAGAGCATATTCGTACCCATGGACGCAACAATTGGCCACCATGTAGGAGCCAGACTGCGCATTTCATTGCAATGTATACTCATGCTCCATACCAGTTTACCCCCTCATTTACCATGCCATCTCCGAAGAGATCCCGGAGGCTTCAAGACCTTTGATCACTCGCTTGTACCAACTTTGGCTTGTCCTTTTTGGGACCCTAATCATAAACATGGTGGCTTGTATATTTCTTCTAATTGCTGGTTCAAGCGATGGCGGAAAGGACCTCGGTGGAAGTATAGGGTGAGCAAGGTTCTAGTGTGTATTCTCTTCCTCGCTCAATGAGGCGTTAGATACGTGTTCATTATCGCGCCTCTATCGTTCTTGTTGTGGTATAGGTAAGTCATGTATGCCATGCGAGGGTCTCAGAGATTTACACCTCATTAGACCCATATATAATGGTTATATGAAGGTCAGTGTTATTGCAACATCCTACAAGCATGTTCTCAAATTGACACGTCGTGCAGGAGCAAGCACTTTACTATTGTCCGTCGAACTAAACTTTGATCCTCTCGATCGCGCTAAGCTGCATTTGATTTTCATAGACTTCTATTTCTTCTTTGGTGGCTTCCACCTTCTCTTCAGCGTTTACATGTGCGTGTACGCCTCGCAAAGCACGACTGTCGAGCTGAATGTGTTTTGATTCCGCGCAGGATCATCGGCATTCCCAGTACAGGGTCTGCAGGGTTGATTCAGATGATTCAGATGTACGCGCAAGGCCACTGGGCCGCTGGCATTCTTGGCACAATCGCTACAGTTGGCTGGACAGTGCAAGGATTAGGGAATGCCTTCTATTACCATCAGGTACGTTGCTCCGTGCACAGTCTGCGCAGTAGCGGTATGACTAGCCCGGATACTTGCAGATATGGAACCACCACTCAGCTGCCGGACACACCATGGACAAGGTAATTTACTTTGACATACGTGTGCTAGGTTTAGGGCGCTGATGCCGTCCTGCAGGCTAAAGCAGAGCTGGCTTCTCATGGCGCGAAGGCTTATTTCACGCGAGGCTGATTATGACGCTTCCTTCTCGAATAGTACTTACCTGGTCATGTGGCAAATTCGTGCATGTACTTACACTTACCTCTCCGATCACGAACTCTTGTACGAATCTGAGCTATGATCATTGCACAATGGACGGCCTTGGGATGATCGGATCAAAACTTGTGAAACAATGGCATGCTGGATGAAACAAGAAGAAAGTTTGAGCATCCACCCTTGCTTCAAGCACCGGTGGATGGTCTGAGTAAGCTGAGTTTGAAAATTGAAGATTGATCTAAAAACGTTCAGCTTCACTTGTTTTCTACAACCACCACCTTGGTTAGTCTCGTCATCCATGCTTCCGAGTGTCGTGTGCTAACCAGTTTCAATAGCCTAAAAGACCAAAAAATTTCATAAAAAAGACTATAGAAAAAAAAGCGGTTACCTTGTTGCCTCCTGTGTATGTTCGTCTCTTCTTATCATCTCCGTTCATCTTGTTTATCAATCTACATCTTCATATCCGTGCAGTCGCAGAAAAAGTCCTCAAAGCAGTAACGACCCCAAAACCCAGAAAACTAAATATGTCTTCATCTTCCGTTCCCGAGACCGTTCCTATGGTCCAACCCGAGCCTGCACCTGCCGGCCCAGCTCCAGCTCCATCTTACAACCCTCAGACTTCGGTCACATCCTCTCCTTCGGCTTCGCTTTACGTTGGCGAACTTGACCCTACCGTCACGGAAGCCATGTTGTTTGAGATCTTCAATATGATCGGTCCGGTTGCAAGGTGCGTGTTTTAGTCGCCTGGTTGATTAGGTTCTGAAGCGTCGTGGCATGTTCCAGCATCCGTGTCTGCCGTGACGCGGTGACGCGTCGTTCCCTCGGATACGCGTACGTCAATTATCTAAACACCAGCGATGGTACGTCAATTATAGCTTAGATTGGTTTTCTAACCTGATCTCTCTCAGGTGAGCGTGCCCTGGAGCAACTCAATTACTCGCTTATTAAGAACCGTGCATGGTAAGTAGCCAGCTCACCACGAAGGAATGGGACTATTCATCACAGTCTATTAAAGCCGCATTATGTGGTCCCAGCGTGATCCTGCCTTGCGCAAAACTGGTCAAGGCAATATCTTTATCAAGAATCTTGATGAGGCCATCGACAACAAAGTAAGCTTTTGCGCAGATATTGCTTTGTCAGCATCTTACAGGTCATTCCAGGCTCTTCATGACACGTTTGCTGCCTTCGGCAACGTTTTGTCGTGCAAGGTTGCCACTGACGAGCAGGGTCGCTCGAAGGGCTATGGTTTTGTTCATTATGAGACTGCCGAAGCTGCCGACACTGCCATCAAAGCTGTCAATGGCATGCTCTTGAACGACAAGAAGGTGTACGTCGGTCACCACATTTCTCGCAAGGTTCGCGTCAATTGTCAGAACATGTAGTCTCATACTTAGCTTCCCCCTATTTTCATAGGAACGTCAATCCAAGCTCGACGAGATGAAGGCCCAATTCACCAATTTGTATATTAAGAACCTTGACCTCGAGGTCACCCAAGAAGAGTTCGAGGAGCTCTTCAACCGATATGGTAGCGTGACTTCCGCAGTCATCCAGGTCGATGACGAGGGCAAGAGCAAGGGTTTCGGCTTCGTCAATTATGAGTTGCACGATGAAGCCCAGAGAGCTGTTGACAATCTTCACGACACGGAGATCAACGGCAAGAAACTCTTCGTCTCCCGTGCCCAGAAGAAGGCCGAGCGTGAGGAGGAGTTGCGTAGGTCTTACGAGCAGGCCAAGATGGAGAAGCTCAGCAAGTACGCGGGTGTCAACCTTTACATCAAGAACTTGGAGGATGACGTCGATGATGAGAAGCTCCGCGCCGAGTTCGAACCTTTCGGTACCATCACTAGTTGCAAGGTCATGCGTGACGAGAAGAATACTTCGAAGGGCTTTGGATTTGTGTGCTTTTCATCTCCCGACGAGGCTACCAAAGCAGTCGCAGAGATGAACAACAAGATGATTGGATCAAAGCCATTGTACGTCTCTCTTGCTCAACGCCGCGAGGTTCGCAGGCAGCAACTGGAAAGCCAGATTGCGCAGCGGAACCAGATCCGCATGCAACAGGCTGCGGCTGCTGGAATGCCAGGGCCTGCTTATATGGGTGCTCCCCTCTACTACCCCGGGCCTGGCGGTTTCCCTCCTCAGGGTCGCAACATGATGGGTTATGGCCAACCTGGTATGATGCCCCCACGTCCTCGCTACCCTCCTAGCAACGGCCAAGCCCCTACCGGTATACCCATGCCTGCTTACGGTGCACCTCCTCAGTTCGGCATGCCTGGTTATTCGCGTGGAGGTCCTCGTCCTCCCGTTGCTCGTGGACCTGCTTCGTCCCCCACTAATCCTAACGTTCCCCTGCCTCGTGCCAACGGACCTCCAGCCAATGGCGCTATTCCTCGCCCTGGTCCTCCCCAGAGCGGTGCACCTCCCTCTCGTCCTCCTGGTGCTCCTGTTCCTGGCGCTCGCAGCCAGCAACAGTACAAGCTCAATCCTCAGACTCGCAATGCTGTTGCCGCTCCAGGTCCAGTTACTTCTCCCCCAACAAGCGCGGCTCATCCGCAGGCCGACGCCATCCAGGCTGCCATGGCTAATGCATCTCCTATGGAGCAGAAGCAGATGCTCGGCGAGATCATTTACATGAATATTCTGACGTAAGTTATCATCGATTCAGTTGCGCATTGTTATTGACATCGCTCATCGTAGTTCCCAACCTGACTTGGCTGGCAAGATTACTGGCATGTTGCTCGAGATGGACAACTCAGAGCTCTTCCACCTCCTTCAATCCACCGATGCTATGACTGCCAAGGTCAACGAGGCCCTCGCTGTGCTCCACGATTTCTCAAAGGAGGAAGCTTGAGCACTAAAGAAGCATGAGGTGTAGCTTGGGGCGGTGGGGTCATTCGGCGATTCAGTAGTTTCAAGATGTTGTTTTCTGGAGCAAATTCTCGGCTCGTCCTTTCGTTTCGTTCACGCGCTGTGTGGCATGTTTATCATCTGCGACTGCTGCCTCTTCGTCATCGCTTTTTCTCTGTGTCATGGGTATAGGTGGTGGTCAGTCCTTTGTGTACTTAAATAAAGGAACAGAGGTGATATGCTTGTATTGTTGGCCTGTGTGATTTCTCCCATCAAATGTGAACGATATGCCAACCATTAACATGAAAAAGTAGGGTACATGAAGAGCTATGGTACTTTTCCAATGCCCAGATAACAAGTAACATAGGATAAGGAAACGTAGAAATCAGTCAAGGATGTTTAGCCTTCTTGACTGCATGCACAATATGGAGGCGCGAGGAAGCTCGGACGAGAGGGTAATACAGATCTTGATGGGCTTCTTCGATCAATTTCCTTGCTTCCCAGTCCCGCATCCCAGCAGACAAGAAAAGAGGCTTCATCGCAGGTAGCATGATGTCATAGTTCATCCACGCTAGCTGACCGATACTGAGAGCGACAGGATCTGTAACAAATCGATAAGCTCCAAGAGGCTTTGGCATTGCGATCATTTGATACCCTTTGGCCAGAACCCTATTGGGATATTTCCTTCCTGCGAGACAATCCTATCGAACGCACCAGTCGATGCAACGAGATTGGAGAGCTCTGGAGGAATATTAACGTCAATGCCTTTATTACGCAGGCACCTCCTGTAGTTCTCCCACAGTGTGAACCAGCCACGCATTCCAGACGGCTGTCCGGAGCGGGTGAAATGTGACGCGGATTTCTCATCCGCAATTGGTTCAGTGTCGGGCTCAATCAGTATGACGAGTCCACCTGGGCGAAGCATCCGTGCGATTTCATGGAGAAATCGAGGATAATTCTCTATCTGTAATTCGTGAGTCAGGGCGAACCAAATCGCTGGTATGGTATTTCTTACTCCTGTATGCATGAATCTTGCATGGATAACGTCGAAGTGCTCGCTCGGGTAAGGTAGATAAAACTGATCTAGATCACAGAGCTCAAACCTAATTTCGCATTAATGACAAAGTACTTCTGAGAGGGGATAACTTACGTGCAGTTGGCAGGTACTTCACTGAAAAAATGTTAGTGACGCCCAGCGATGGTATGATAAGGAGTGTAAATTACCGTGGTTGAATGGGAGCGAGGTCGACACCTATCACTTCTGCTGAAGGAAATTCGTCTGCTAGGTCGATAGCCCTGTAATGCGATTGTATATTCCTGAGTCACCAACCCGCCACAAAATTCCCAGAACACTCACCAGAAACCGCCTCCCGTGCCCAGGTCAAGAACACGGCAACGCTCCTGTCCCTCCTTCGGTTTCAGTATGTCAGCGACGGGGCCAACATAATTCTTTCCATTGAAGAGAAATTGTATCGTCTTGTGTTGAAGTTCTGATCGCTGGAATGGAAACAAGTTTATCACAGCGATGCCACGTCGCATAGGGAAACAGTCTGACCCTAACTTCTTCCTCATCGGCGGGTAGCATATACCTCGAACTGAGGGTATTGAATCTCCTGCCATGTATTTGACAAAAGAATTGAGAGTCATCCTCGCCAACATAGGTAAGTTGGTTGAGAGGGAAGATCACGGGATAGTTGAGACGCATGAGCAAGCGCTGGGGAACTGAATTCAAGAAAGTAACATAGTGCTGTGAAAGGAGTATTCCCAAGTCTTATATCTCAGTTGAAAAGGATAACGAGATGGCACATAGATGGCATCCATGCGTGGACAACGATGTGATTCTCGCGAAAAGGTTTGCGGGTATACCGCGGAACTTGAATGAGAGGATTTGAAATAGCGCAATCCTAATCCTATTTGACAGGACCAGCTCAGGTTTCTTCATTTGAGCTTTGAGAGCCGAGCTGTCATAAATCTGGAGATGTGAATGTGATGCCAAACTCATGAACTTTATCGTATTGGCTTGATGTCATGCACAAATACGGTACGTGTGGAATCCCCATGCCACCCACGGTTACTGCTAGCACTCACAAGGAAACGACCACCCGGATCTACGACTTTAGAACAGTCAGTTGACAGGGCACGTATATGTATTCAATAGGATAGCACGTACGCATCTGAGAAACATAGCCCCCGTGATGACCTGGAATTATCTTGAATTGGACTCCACCCCTTGATTTCATACTTCCGTCCACTTCACCTGCCTCTGCGGCATTCCACAAACGGATATTATCTGTCGACGCACTGGTACGCGGGGCCTCAACTTCTCATCCTTGTCAACGTCACGAACAAACTCACCATGCGATGTGGCGGCCATCAGGGAAGGGTACCACACAAGAAACAACACCCGAACTCGGTGGATTACGAAGACTCTTCAGTAGTCTTGGTGTGCAATTTGGTCCAGAGCGACCGAGCAACCGGACATCCCAAACATCGACTGTCCCATTTCGGCGCCCAGCGTAAATATGCGACCCGTCCGTGGACCAACAAGCCTGGGAGGCCGCTTTAAGAACGCGATACAGTGAGGAAATGTGAATACGTACAGAAACACACCACGGTGGAGTCTTTTCACTCATCCAGAATCTTCCGACACCTGTTCCTGGTGTGTTGACTCGTTTGTCCCAAAGCATGATCTGTCCGTCGATTGCGGCAATCATTAAAATATCTGGAGAAAACGTTGCACTATTGGAAGGATTTAGCAATGGTGGAGCATTTTTCGGAGGTGCAACAGAGCTTTGAGGCGATCGTGATACCTGCTGTTGGCCAGGGTGAGGTGCCACCTCAGGGACAGCCAGGTTCGACTTATTGCCCGCAATCGAGCCGTCCCTTTGTGGAACCTGAGAACGTAATGCCCCGAATTCATCAGAAGGCGGGTTCTCGTTGTCAAATTCGCCATCAGCATCCGGTTCACCATCAAACAAGGGATCAAAAGAAGCATCAGATTTAGCATCTGCGTCTTGCATTTTGTGGCTTGAAAGAGGATCAATAGAAACGCTAGGTGATTGCTTGAATTGAGCGTCAGTGATAGCGATTGGTGGCTCCGTGTTGACGGCCCTGGAAATATCATTCTCCCTCATAGGTTGTGATACCGAGTAGGAACTATAGCTTCCCGCGGAGGATACAGGGTCGGAATAGTATGGGGAGCCGAGCGGTCGAACAGCAATAGCAACAAGCTGCGCGCCGTGGGCAGTAAACTTTCGGATTCCTTGCCCGGTATTCAAATCCCATTGCTGAATATCCAATTAAGTGATCACTAGCACCATCAGAATTACAAGAATTATAACTTACAGTTGCTTCACCGTCCCATCCCGCACTGAAGAAGCCTTTCTCGTCATGATCGATGGAAAGAGCTGATATAGGTCCTCGGTGTCCGTTCGCCAGGACGTGGACTAAACGGCCCGGATCATGTCGTATTGTAAAGAGATTGATGTGGCCACGCTGCAGAAGTTCCCAATTCAGTGCTGTCGGAAACATTATGCTAACTAGAAAGCATACATTAGCTCCTCCTAGAGCCCAAATTGCATCGGAATGCATGGCTAGACTATAAACAGGACATGGAGAAGAATCGCCCATCGGAGGATACCCCGATTGAGGAACGAAATCTGGGTTTTCCCACCAAGATCGTATCTGACCGGCCTTCATGTTTCCCTCGACAACATTGCAGTGGTGTCTTTGCGGTGCTGTTAGTGTGGTCTTGCCATTTACAGTAGCAAATACGTCGTAGTCACGAATAAATCCGTCATCCGAACCGGTAAGGAGGTGTGTCATACAGAAGGACGAAGCAAGTGCATGTGTAGGCACTGGGTGGGGTATGGCACATATTGCTTCCACTGTGAAAGTTCGCGGTGGTAGTTCGCTGTGAGATTGGGGAAACGCTAGTGTCTTCTTTCGAACACTTGCCGGGGATGGTGATCGCTGGTGAATTTGAGGTATTACTAGTATTTGTCACAAGTATAAGCAATAGGATACAATAGATTCAGGACATGGAAATCTGGTGTACCTTTGGGCGGTTCAGGGGTTGGTGGTTTAGGTGAAACCGAAGCTGATTTACTCGCATCGGGTCGGACGACGGCGACAGACAGCGAAGAGGGTCCGACCTCAACAAGAGGCTCTAACTCGTCCTCATCCTCATCGTCATCTTCTGAGTCATCCGAAGGGGAATCCTGCACACGATGTTAAAGGCTACTGGCGATGTAATTAGGGTGAATTGCGATCTACCTCATCTACTTCCGTTGCCTCATCTACACCGTTGTCCAAAGCACCCAGAAGATCCTCGTCAATGTCATTCTCTTCTTCAGCATCGCCATCCGTTGTTCTTGCATCGAATTCGAGGTCATCGATAGTTTCTCCTTCAGAGTCGCTGTGAGCCATGTTATGATCAAGATTCCCACGATAACTTTACGATCATACCATTCCTCAGCTGCTACTGTCATGGTTCTAGCTGACCTTGGCCGCAAACTTAATGCTGCCCTGTCGTCGCTCAACAGGGCGCCTGTCGTTGATGAGAAGGCATATTTTGCTCTAGATTCACAAATACGTTCACTTACCGTACTACTACACAGGTACTAGATGCAACGCTCAAGGAGATTACAGCTGCACTACTAGAATCAGATGTGAATGTCAAACTCGTAGCGTCTCTACGACAGAAAGTCAAAGTAAAGGTAAAGGCAGCTTTGGATGGCTCAGAGAAGTCAAAAGATTCCAGCCGGAAGAATCTCATACAGAAGGTCCGCACGCCCGTCGAATATTATACCGGTGTTTATGCCGCTTGTCACTCAGGCTGTCTTCGATGAGCTAGTTCACTTGGTTGATCCAGGGGTCGAGCCATACAAACCAAAGAAAGGCCAACCGAATGTTATTATGGCTGTGGGTCTTCAGGTTAGCATCTCTCCCAACTTGCGGCTATTCTTTCACTCATTTACAATAATTTCAAGGGAAACGGGAAGACTACCACATGCACAAAGTTGGCTGTCTACTATCAGAAACGTGGTTTCAAGTCATGTATCGTCTGTGCGGACACTTTCCGCGCGGGTGCCTTTGATCAAACCAGACAGTCTGCAACCAAGGCTAAAGTAGCCTACTTTGGTTCATACACTGAAACAGATCCAGTTGCCATTGCAGCCCAAGGTGTTGCAAAATTCAAAAAAGAGAGATTTGAAGTGATCATTGTTGACACCTCTGGTCGTCACAAGCAAGAATCTGAACTATTTCAAGAAATGGTACAGATCGGAGAGGCCGTTAAGCCCAACATGACTGTAATGATCCTCGATGCCAGTATAGGTAATTTTTCCCTGTGCTCCAGTCACAACGGCCACTGAATCTCGACTCCAGGCCAGGCCGCTGAGGCACAGAGCCGGGCGTTTAAGGAGAGCGCTGATTTTGGTGCCATCATTGTCACCAAGATGGACGGCCATGCAAAGGGTGGAGGTGCCATCTCAGCGTATGGTCATTTTCAATCACTGCTGGGGTTCCTGACTTCTGATATGGCTCAGTGTCGCCGCGACGAAGACCCCGATCATTTTCCTTGGGGTTGGGGAACATCTACATGACCTGGATCGATTTTCGCCTCAGCCATTCATATCCAAACTTCTTGGATTGGGCGATGTGCAGGGCCTCATGGAGCATATGCAAGATCTCGCCACCCAAAACCCAGACAAACAGAAGGAGATGGCGAAAAAACTCGAGGAAGGCAAGCTCAGCATAAGGGACTGGAGGGAGCAAATACAAAACGTAATGAACATGTAAGTTATTGTTAAGGTTCATTTCGTAATCATAAACTTTGCCCCAGGGGACCAATAAGCAAGATCGCCTCGATGATACCGGGCCTTCCCCAGGAACTACTTCAAGGTTCAGACGAAGAAGGTTCAATGCGAATGAAGCGCATGATCTATATCACTGACAGCATGTCATCGGCCGAGCTTGATTCGGACGGCTCGTTATTTATGGAAATGGGGAAAGATGGTAAACCGGTGGGACTCACATGGAGAGTCACACGTGTAGCGAAAGGGAGTGGCACGAGTGTGCGGGAAGTCGAAGAGTTGCTTTGTCAGTACAGGATGATGGCCAACATGGCCAAGCAAGCGGGTGGGAAGAATGGATGGTACGGATCCGATCTTCGGTTGAAAAATGATTGGCTAAATAACAATCGCAGGTTACAAGCGATGCAGAAGATGCAGAGCGCAGCAGGGGGGCGTGGGCGTGGAGCCAACGGCATGCCTACCCCTGCACAGATTCAAGCGATGCAAGTGAGTGGACGATTTTGTCATTCTAGCGGGGTTTGACCCTTCCCTTCTAGCGCGCAATGCCTCCGGGGATGCTGCAACAAATGCAACGGCAGTTAAGGAGCGGTGGTGGTATGCAGGAGATGATGAAAGCAATGATGCAGGGTCAAGGAGGTGACCAATTTGATATGGAAGAGATGCAAAGTAAGTCCTTTTCCGATCGATTATCATGTGCTAGTTTGTCGATCGTCACCCCAGGAATGATGGGACAGATGAACAATGGTCTCGGCGGCCTCGGAGGGCTGCCTGGCATGGGAGGTGGCATGCCAAACCTCGCGGATATGTTTAAGATGATGGGTATGGGCGGCAACGCTGGACGATGAATTCCCGAATAAAGTCCAGGTTTCTGAGAACATGTATGAAAATATCACTTGTGACACCCTCTCAGACTGCTAATACTTTACTAATTAAGACAACCGTAACTGGCATGATCAAGGATGGTTATTAATACAATGCTGGTCTGTTCTATATCAAGGGTCGCGCCTTTGGCAGCGCAGGTCACTTGATGGGTTTTACGAGGTCTTGTTCCAGCTTGTTCCTTGTCTGCTGCTTACTCCACTCCTTCTTGCGGGCGGAAGCCGCGTTTCTGTTCCCGAATATGAATGTGGAGGTGCGCTTGTCAGCTCCAGTTTTCTTCGAGATCACAGATGGCCCCGCAAAAAGAAGCTGAAGACCCCAGATCGTGTGCGCATATTTCGCTAATAACATCATTGAAAACACGTACCACCCATAGTCCGAATAACCCGACAAAAGATGTCCCTAGAAAAATGAATTTGCCAAGAGAGCTGACATCACTTTTATTGTAAGAAAGGAATGCCAAAAGAACTGAGGCAGAAGTGACAGGCACGAGGAGGGGATGGGAGTTCACATGTTCATCGTGCTGGTCACCGATAGGCGAAACGTTTGGAATCTGCGAGTGCCGGCCGCATCAGTGAAATTCGAAGCATGCGATCTCTTGCAAGACTTCTCACTGTTACTACCAGAGTGAGTGCAATTGCGCCCATCACAATGCCTAGTTGTTCCGCGAGAAAGGATTCAAGGGGCAACAGTACATTTCGTCCCCCTGACGGTTCCGTCATGAAAAGGAGAAACCTTGGAAACAGTGTCAAGCTTGTAGAAAACACGATGAAGCTGCAATGCAAGCGAAGGTTTTAATACAATAGTCTCGAAGAGGTAGCAGGGTAGCATTACAAGGCTGCTGAAATCCAAGTCCAAAGACCTATTGCCCTGTCTTGCTGACCGGCAAAGGTTTCATCAACCGAGTCTACATTAATAGTTCCATCGTTCGAGTACGTTGTGCGCCTCCTGCTAGAAAAGTCTTCAAGTTCAATGTCGTTGGACATTAGTGTTCGACGTGGACAAGGTTCTGCTTGAAAGAGTTGCCGTGTGTTACGTAAGGTAAATTTAAATTGTTGAACTTAGTTTAACTATTGCAACCGTTGTTATTCTGGGCAACCAGCCACGAGACCTCCGAGTCCGAGTCACGCTTCGGCATGCGTATGCAGGCGATTCTAAGCCTCCTTGCGTCCACGCCTTATGTACGGGATTACTTCAACATCACTCACGATGTCCTGAACCATCTTGGCAGCATTTCCCCGTATCATCGTGCTCGTCATTACGATGCTTCAGAAATTGATTCAGAACTCCCCATCGACTGCACCGTTGACCAAGTAATGCTTGTGAGTTGCAATTCTGCAGTAGGCTTTATACATAAATGTTAGGCTAACCGCGAGATAGATGCACCGTCATGGCTCTCGCGGTCCCATTGGCGAACAAAGATATATAGAGCGGTTGATTCAGACACTCCATAACGCAACGGATATTATCCGGGAAGTGGAACTGCCTCGCGAGCTCGAGTTTCTGAGAGCAGGGTATAATTCCAGCCTGACGCCACATAATTTGACTATACTTGGGCGCAAAGAACTTTTTGACCATGGGGTCGAGTAAGTCAGGTTCAACTTCATGCGAAGACAATAATTATAATAACCTGCAAGGCTCGCATTGAAATACCCACACCTGACAACTGATGTCATCCTATCTAGCGATTCGGGTCGAGTGGTCGAGTCTGCACGTTGGTTTGCGCTGGGTTTTTTCGGATTTGATTCAGATGTTCGCATTGTGACTGTCAATAACAGAGATGATCCAGTTTCTTGGATCACTCCTGCACCAGGACCAGCTTGTCCCAACTTCGACTACAGTTTTGGAAGGCAGGCGACATTGACGTGGAGCAAACACTACCTACCTGTAGTCACCGATCGCCTAAATATGCTTCTACCTGGAGTCGGGTTCACTGAAGATGATATTCATGGGGCTTTGTTTGCTTGTGCCTATGACTTGGCTTCCCATGGTGCTTCTCCGTGGTGTGGCGTCTTTCAACCTGACGAATTGGCTAATTTCGAGTAAGACCAATTAATTAAGCGTGCATGGCTTTCTGATGATGACTATTATCGAGGTACGAGAGGGATATCTTAATGGACGCTTCATGCGCCTATACGTTACCACATAACATGGCCCCTCTCGTGGGGACGGTGTTTGTGAATAAGCTGATTGAGCGGTATGCACGTGTTCCATATTTCACAACAAAACAATTCACATTATCTACAGCTTCACAGATTCTAAGGGAGACAGCCGCCCGTTATATCTTGAATTCGGGCACGATGTCACAATTTTGCTTGCTCTATCTGCTTTAGGTCTAGCAAAGTAAGCATCATACTCATCGGTGGGGACTTTTTACTATGTCAATTTTCCAGGGATGACCCACCCCTGTCCCCTGACACACTACGTCCTGGGCGGAAGTTTCGGACATCTGAGCTTACACCTTTCGCCGCCAGTATGGTTTGGGAAAAATTCACATGCACAAGCTCGTCAGTATTACACTGTTTCAATGAGTCCATGCTTGGAGTTTATATATTTCCTTCAGATACAATGGACCCCAAATTCGCCTAATTTTAAACGATGCTACCATGCCCTTGACTATTTGTGGTCGAGGCATGGATCCTGTACTTGGGACATGCTCCCTCGATACTTTCGTCAATGCGAACCATTACAGCACAAGCATTCGGTTCCGAGATAAGACCTGGAACGCGACTTGTGGGGTGTGAATCGACCAACGCGATCGAAAATTTTCTTGCCATTACACTAGGTATTTCTGTCCTGTAGAGGCCGCAATACAAATCCGGCATAAGACAGTCTCTGAGGCCATTGCGACTTGTCCGAAATTACTCGGTTTTTTTGGACCACATCACTCTGAAGTTACCAAGTAATCACCATCCGATCAACGCTGCACACTGTCATCATGATCAATGGGAATTACTGTACAGAGGTAATATGAGTACATCACTTGGCGCAGCCTCTCCATACTGCCAGCATTATCCACTTATTCTTCTGTCGGAGTCTGTCCTCCCACACGACATCAACTTGGCAGGTTGGTTTCGGTGATGACAGCGTACCCGGTACAGTTGCAGCATCAAAGCTTCGTCTACCACATCCTTCAGATACCTATACATAATAGACTCCGAGTCTCAAGCCCTCGGAACGTGGGAATGTCCCCCCATTACGTCTGGACTGCATTATGATTTGCTCCATGATCGTCTTTCCTCATGCACGACCATGTGAGCAGAATTATACTGATAGGCTTGTGATTATCCCCTATATTTCCCTCAGTTCACTGATGTCATGCATGAGCGCTTGAACTCTCAAAATACTTAGGCCCCGGAAAAAAAATTGATGTCAATAGCAAATCGCCTGAGCAGTGTTTCAATCTTCAGTAAGCCTCCGTTTCAAGTATCCATTGCAGAGTGTCATCTTTGCTGGTCAACATTAGGCTTTAACCCGATCAGTTATCCGGATAATACGGTATGGCTTACTTATCAGAAAATAGTTAACGTTGCACAAACGCGACTCCGAGTCCCGGCTAAGTTTGAAGGAACTCATCCATAAGCTCAAGCTCAAACGCCCTGTGGCGCGAGCGCCACATCAGAGAACTGGTGAGAAGAAGATATTGTCATCATTGTCATAAATCGTAATATAGGAAAGGATCCAGGCATGAAGAATGGTCGTGAGCCGAGCCGAACTGGAATTCGGGATCTCTCGCGTCCGTCCCGGTAACACGATGGAGGTTGTAAAGCTCAGCTGGGCATATAAAGGACCGCACTGAACTGATTCATAGACCTATCAGTCTAGTATCCCAACAATGTTCATCCAGGGTATTCTAAACTGGCTGACCCTAGCGTCTCTAACGTTCAATTCGCATAAACACGAAGACGATGACCCCCTCAAGAGACTCGGAAACTTGACTCCGTACCGTGTAGCTCCTGCTTCTCATAAAGTCGAGGCAGAGTTACCAGATAATTGCAGTGTCGATCGAGTGATGCTGGTATGGACGAGTTTCTCCTTGCGAAGCGCGAACATTTGACACAGTTGCAGATGCACAGACATGGCTCTCGTGGACCTGCTGGTACTGAAGAGATGGACCTGATCAACTCCCTCGTCCAAACGCTGAGAAATGGTCACGATGCTCTCCAGGATGCTTATCTGCCCGAGAACCTCCGTTTCCTCCAGACTGGGAAGGGATATGAATCACATCTGGATCCAGAAAACCTGACCATCATCGGGCGTCAGCAGCTCTTCAACCATGGTGTGGAGTATGTTTATCCCTCCATTGTTTGGTCGAGTTGCGCTAATGTGCTGTCTAGATTCGGGTTGAAGTATCCGAGCTTCACTACGGAAACATTGCTATCCAGCACTACGCAAAGAGTGATTGATTCCATGTACTTTTTTGCTCAGGGACGTTTTGGTCGCGAAGTCGAGGGCAAGGACCTACGCACAGTCGATGATATACCCGGTCCAGTGTCTTGGATCACTCCTTGGACTTCGTGCCCTGGCCTCGACTGGCACTATGCATCAAAGGCGAGTAAACCGGTTCTAATCCTTGTCTAACAATATATTAATTGTTTAGGTGGCAAATGAGTGGAGCACTTCGTACCTCCCTAACATCACCAAGCGCTTGAATGACCTCCTTCCTTATGGTGTTTCCTTGACTGATGACAACACTCACGGAGCTTTGTATGCATGTGCATATGACCTAGCCGCAGGGGAAGAGTCACCATGGTGCGATGTTTTCTATGCGAATGAACTTGCAGATTTTGAGTAAGACTATTTGAACACTGGTGGTGCGACACTGACATATTATACTTAGGTATGAATTGGATCTCATTATGGTCGCAAGTGTCGGATACCTGGTGTCCAATGATGCTGGACGTGTCATGGGAAGCGTCTTTGTTAAGGAATTAATCAATAGGTACGTTCTAAGGCATGTTAAGATAAATCTTCTAAACGCGTGTACTAGATTCTCCAACACTAGTGAGGAAGCCCAGTCCCTCTATCTCGAATTCGGGCATGATGCTACTATCATGGCTGCGATGGCTGCAATGAATCTCAATAGGTACATTTCCATGCTCATAGTCGGAGACTCCATTTCATATATTCATTTGCAGAGACGAACCCCCACTGTCTTCAGATGGCCTACGCCAGCACCGAAGGTTCCGAACATCGTATCAAACTCCCTTTGCCGCCCAAATGATCTGGGAAAGTTTCACTTGTAAAGAGTCGTAGGTCCTCCTTCGTTAGAGCTGAAATTTGACAACTCATTCACCGTCAAGATTCGACGGACCACAAATTCGACTGGTACTTAACGAAGAGACATATCCCTTACGGACTTGCGCAGAAACCAAACAAGATCGTCGATTTGGGACTTGCTCACTGGATGCATTCATAAGAGCCAATCAGTTCAGTACCGACATCGAGTTCGGTGATGATACGTGGCAAGCGGCCTGCGGTGCCCACTCAGAGGTTTTGAATGTTCAAGGATGGTTGCTCAAGGTATAAACATATCGGTCCTTGAATCACCATTAGTCCTTGGAACACTTACTCCAGTGATTTTCTGCTTTGTGTAACAATGTCATCATTTTTCACCTGCTTCATTTAAATGCTACTTCAGCAAAATTGAAAGGAGATCAACGGCGCACCAGTGAGGTAGCTTAAGTAGGGATGAAACCCATGTTTCTATACATCAAGGCTCCCGAGTGCTGCATAGCGTGATGCCAGCCAGTGACGATGATCCGCCTCGAAAATCATCTTTTTGCGCGTAACTCCTGTCAAATCCAGGCATAGCAGTGCGCCGCAAACACTTTTTAAGGCTCTCCGCTTAGCAAACATCGTACGCAACCCCCTTGCATTGCTCTTGATTCCCACACAGACCCCTTTCAATTATGCATGCGGCTGTCGGTACGCCAAAGAGATATACTCTGAACGTTTCAAGGTTCAGACGAAGAAAAGACTGCGCAAAAAAAAGAGATTTCAATGATTCGCTCCTATATATTATGTGTCCTTCCGTCCGAAGGCGGACCCTTGTTACATCTAAAGAGTATAATGGGCATTGAAAAACTAACGAAGAACACAACAAGAACCAATACAATAACAGACATATCATGACCAACCCGAATCTTGGCCCCAACCCGTGGTATTTTGTATCATCGCAGCTCGTTGAGGGTTCATTCCCGGAGGGATACCAGGTAGTGGTGGACCTGAATATGCGGGAGTTTGATAACCAAACGATGCCTGAGGTGGTATATTAAAGCTGGAGCTCGGAGCGCCTGGTCCAAAGCTTGGTGCTCCTATCCCGGGAGCAGGCGTCCGACCACCGTAGGGATTAGGTGTCCGAGCGGCTTGACGAATGGACATGTGCCCAGGGACTGGGTGAGCGGGCGTTCGAGCAGGTGTCCTTGCACCAGCACCTGCGTACGGTGTTTTCCCTCCAGCGGTAGCAGCAGAAGCAGCTAAATTTTGAGATTGATGTAGATGCCTGGACAAGATTCAGCTAAAAGTAGCTTGGAGAAACCGTTCAAGCTCACCTGACTTTGAAAGCGTCGCAAAGCTCAGGAACACCAGCTACTGCGGCATCAAATAGACAATAGGATTCGGGCATAACTCGGACAGGCTGCGATACAATTAAGCAAGAGATGCATACAAGTAATGCCTGCTTACCCATGTCTGAACGGTGGAGTTCTTGTTAGCAAGGAAGCATAGATTGAAGTGGCCAGGCTTTCTCCGGTTCAAGGTGAAGCCGTATATACTCTTCGCAGGATTGGCTGCAACGAAGTTTTTCAAAAACAGATCTGGAATATCAAGATTAATCCCCGACATTGAAATACGGGGCCTTTAACGTACGAAGTTCGTCTTCGGAGCCGTGCTTGAATTTTTCGTGAGCCATCAACTCCTCCACTTTACGGGCGGTCGCCTGTACGTGATTGACAATCAATTCATCTAGGTCAGCATATTGATGCTTTTCGTCGACGATGAGTAGATTTCCTCCCTGGCCTGTATTAATTTCAGTAACGTCTGTCGTGGAATTAGAGTGAAGTCGACTTTCGGTGATTAATGGACGTACCAATGTGCTGATAAAGCTTGTCGTCAACCTTCCACGTTACAGCGAGGTGATCAACGCCTTTAGAAGATGGGCGAATTACTACATCGCCACGCTGTTGCTTGTCAAGGTAGTTCTCAGCCTGAGTGGCATTGAAGTTGTGGAAATTTGGATGTTTGACTACTCTCCTCGTCCGGTCAATCTCTGCGCGTTTTTTACGAGCTTGCATCTCCAGATCCCGTTCAAACTGTGGAAGGTTCCATTGATCGTCTCGTTTGACAGATCGGAAAAGGACATCACCCGCACGTAGATCAGACTGGCGAACAGACACTTTAACGAAGAACTGATCTGCAGGTAAATCCAACTTGACATCGACGATGACACCCGGTATAGTTTGTCCTTTCTTAACGACATCCTTGGGGGCTATGTTGCCATCTTCGGTAAGGTACCCGATATCGATGACGCCCTCGATACCGGAATCCAAACGAATATGAACGAGAGTTTGCTCAAGGCGGACCACCATAATCGAGACAATGAGACCCATACGGAGAGTTCGAGGGGTCTCTCCACTGAGCATCGTGAGAATATCCCATGGCCCTAGAGAGGGGAAAGGAGCCCTCTGCTCGGAGAACGGCTTCAGCAGCTCCTCCCGGATGACATTCAATGTGTGACGTTTACGGTCTTCATTCGCCTCGTACATGCTGACGGCAAACTCGTCAAGATTAAGTTCATTCAACTTTCTTTCGTTGTCACCGTCTTGCATGATGACTGAGACGACGTGAGAAGGATGTTCATCGTGAATGTCTTCTTCATCTAACTCCAGGGCATCAGTTGCCATTTTGCGGGCCAATTCATAATCCTCGGGGTGGATACGAGTATCATCAAGAGGATCTTGGACGTCATCGTCAGCATGACGATTCTTGGAAAGCTTGGCTTCAGGATCTCGTGAGATGCGCAGGAATCCAGCGGCATTAAGGAAAATTTTGGTCGTTAACAATGATGACTTGATGAATTGGTCACGATTTATCAGATTTCCCCCCTATTGACGGTACGTGAGCAACAACCAAATGAAAAAAAAGTTTGGATTGACCATGGCAGAAATCTTCTTGACTAAGACCTGGGCTTTTCGTGGGCCGAGTCCACAAACGAAAGGCAATAAATGCTGATAGTAGGAGTCGTTGACAGCGCGGTTGATATCAACTCCAACTTTATTCGTGACATCAACCAAAGTTCGCTCCAGAGCTGAGAGTAACTTCTCCTTAGGGATCTACGCACGCGTCAGCATCTGTCTGGAAGGCTGCATCCATTACATACCAAGTGCTGATCTTCATCCTCAAGTGGAATAGCAGTAATGTCATGTCCAAGCGCGGAGTACTCGTTCAATGGACTCTGAATATACCGAGCAAGTCCAACACAGTATTTGGCAACAGGCGACAGTGCGCTGAATTCATCCGCGGCTCGTTTGCTGTGTTGGTACATTCGAGCAACTTCGTCACGGACGTACATCACAGGAATGTTGAACGCCTGTTCGTTTGCTTCCTTGGGGGCCTCTGAAGATCCCCAACCGTCCGCACCAGTTGTTGGATCCGAATTCGATGGTTCTCCATTAACAAGAGACCTAACCTTTGATGACAACTTGGTCGTGGCCATGCTCAAACCACCCACGACAATAACGTCGGGACGTCTCCGCTTCAAAAGATCTGTGAACTCGTCTTGGTAATCACGATCAACAAGATTGTCGATTTTGATATGCTCGCGCAGTCTCCCTGCCTCGTCCAGGAAAACTAAGGTGATTGCATCCTTTTGAGGGTCCCCCTTGCCCCAAGACACGGCAAGCACAGATGCAGTGTCACCAGGTTTCATTTCGGGAGTGATATACGGAGCCACGTCAATGCGCTGAGAATGAGTCAATGACAGATCAACAGTCAGGTAGTGAAAAGGCACCTCTCTCAAAACGTTGCCGCAGTGAGCTGCGAGTGTATCTTCTACTTCCTCCCGAAGCCATTCTCGCGCCCACTTAACACCCACAGGTATGAGGTGTTGTTCAAGGGCCTCTTGGACGACACGTGATCGCTCTTCGTTCCAAGCTCTGGCAGTATCACTATAGCTGTCAGATGCGAAGGCATCATTGAGTCTACGCTCAAACTTTGACTTTGCCTCGTTGGTAAGGAATGTTGATACGGTGACCAAAAGCTCGGCTTCTGCCGCAAGGATATGAAGAAACTGTGGTGTGTCCATCATCTGCGTAATACTCTTGTGATGAAGGTACTTGAAATTCTGATGCATAAAAAGATGAATGGGCGCTCGACCAGAAGTCACGGCACTACTCACAAAGTATGGATGGTGCTCATCGATTTTAGCCATTCCCCTCTCTGTTGGCAGTACAGAGATCAAAGCATCAGTCTTGAAGAGATCACGCATTGCTTGACGCAACAAAGGATCTTTGCCCAGTTCTGTCGCAAGAATCATCCGAGCACGACGTAGTAACTCTTCAGCGGGTTGTGCCACAGCGGCATCCGGATCCGTAAACTGCTCCGCAAATGCAATGGGATTCAGCTCCTGGTCATCGACGAAATGTACGTTCTCTTGCGCAACGAAGTTGTAAACCACCTCATGTGGTTTAATTCCGAAGCCCTGTAATACGGCAGAACATGAACGTGTGCATGTGTCTCAAGAAGGGATTGGCGTACATCAGCAAGTTTAGAAACTATACTCTTCTTGGCTACCTCATACGCAGATATGCGACTAGGAGCCTTTCGCTTTCTGGTTTCCGTTTGATCGTCGTCGTCGTGGAACTGGAAGTCAAAGGCATCCTGCTTCTTGAATTTATATGTCATAGTCAACCATTCGGTTGCATCAGTGACAACCTCCACGCTGTCAATTTTTGGCCTAATTGTCTGCTCAAAATACTCGTCCTCGACATTCAGGCGTGCATATGACAAGGCCAAGGCGTTCTTCCTTTGAGCTAAAGACCGATATTTCTGGCCAAGCGCATATATACGCCAGAGTTCAGCGAGACTGATGAGCTGGACTCGAGTGCGCATTTCTTGAGGGTTGAAGTATGAGATGTAGTCTCGTTTGTGAGTCCAAATATACGGGACCTCAAACTCCTGGACGAAGAGAAAGCGAAGAGCATATGTCACGGCCATGACCAAAGGCTCGCGATACATATTGTACGGGCCTTCCGGACTAAAGAAATCTCTGGTCTTCCGAGGGGAAAGCCGGACGGTAACCCACATTGCTGCATCATCTAAATTAGCTTCAGTGAGGCTTTGGTGAAGGGATAGCGTGGATGACTGAGATAGTGATGAAGTTGCTAATTGCATACGCTCTGGTATGTCTTGCGCCCGAATCAAATCATCGTCCTCGGTCAACATACGCGCACGGATCTCTGACGGTTCAAATACCTAATGAAGAAGAGTAAACATATTCCATAGGAGGAGTTGGTGAAGAGTATACGCACGTCTTGATATCTCATCTCCGGCTTGAGACGCTCTTCCTCGAAATCCATTTCATCGTCACCCAACAATGCCCAATCATAGTCATGGCCGTCTCCAAAGACACCATGTATTTCGTCCCATGCCCTGAATTTGCATCCATGTCAAATAATGTAACACAAGGAATCGACATTTCACCCACATGTCGTCGATACCAGCTAGCTCAGGACGAGAGCCAATAGCTCTCCGCCTTTCCCTCTCTCGCTTTTTCCTCTCTCTTCGTCTTTCCTCACGCTCCTGCTCATCCATGGCACCAGCACCCTCGTCTTCATCTTCATAGTCGATGAAATCGTCCATGTCTTCCTCATCGTCACGTCCACCTCCGGCGCGCTCATCATCCCAAATACGCTGAATATCCTGGACTTGCGGCAGGTCCTCGTCATCTAAGTCATCTTCCGACGATTCCACAACTGGCTTGCGTTTAGAGGTCGATGGAGCGGATGGGGAACCGCCATCTGGACCGCGCCGTAAACGAGTCAGTCGATTCCTGAATGAAGTGCCTGTGTTTTCCTCTAGCAGCTCAAGGTCATCATCTTCCAAGGCTTCCTCCTCGTCTGAGAAAATACTCAGAACATTGCATTAACAAACTCAATTCATATGCTTACCGCGCCTTCGATGTCTCCTCTTACGCCGCTTCCTTCGTCGATGCCTTGTCTCGTCATCGTCTTCCTCCTCATCCTCATCTTCGTCTACGATAAAGCCTTCCCTGATTCTTCTCGCCTCTTCCTCGTCTTCCTCCGCTTCCTCAGAGCTATCGTCCGAAATGGCCTGGGGATCTGCCATAGTGGCATCCCCTTCCCCTTCTTCCTCGTGAACGGAAGCCATTGTCTCATCTTCCTCGATTACACGGTCAACAGGATCTGCTGAAGGCGAGGACATGATGGTTCATGAGCAAGACGTGCTGAATTTACGCGGACTTGGCCGCGCCACATGCTGTTACGTAATACAAAGAATTAATGCCGAAAGTTAGTCTTGCCATATGACCCATGGGGCTTGGCCGCCGGGGTTGTACATCGTTGTTGCTAGGTCCCCAGACCTATTTTGAGCCTCCAGGAGCAAGTAAGTCACGCAGAATGGTCACTAGTAACGAAGCTGACATGCAAAGCTCTGGCAGCAACCTGGCAGTATTTATTAATCGCATATCACACATGACGCCGACGTCTAAATCATCGACTCCAGAAGAGCACGAGCACGATCCATTCGTGCGTCAGGCATTAGAGCAGGCTGCGTTCTGCGAACCTGTACCCACAGCATTCTGTGTAGGATGCATCCTTGTGGTGCGTTTGCCAGACTCGGAACCAATTGTGTTGTCCAAGGGTTTTTCGAGGGAATTGCCAGGGAACACTCATGCCGAGGCAAATGCTTTGGCCAAGCTTGAGGGTCTCTCTTCCCTGCAGCTACAATCTCTCGTTTCTCCATGGCCATGGGAAGCGGCACTAGTCATAGAAGACCTTCTTCCCCTCGTAGACGTTTATACCACGCTTGAACCATGCTCAGTCAGAACATCGGGCCTGCCTGCCTGCGCTGACGCCCTCATTCGCGCCAGGATCAGACGTTGCATCATAGGTGTACGAGAGCCAGATGACTTCGTCAAATGTGAGGGTGCGCAAAAGATGAAAGATGCCTGGTATCGAGGTTATCTGGTATGGCGGCTTAGAGCAAGAATGCTTAGACGCTGCCCGCAGAGGTCATGAAATCTAGACTGTGAGTACTTGAGTACTACCTATTACATCAATATAGTTCTCATGTCGACAGAGCACCTTCCCAAAGACCTCCGACTATCTCTGACCAGTAGTCAATAGCTTTCTTGGCGAGTTGCGTATCCATGATAGCTGGGGCACTCTCTATCGCCATCGTTATTGTATCCTCCGAGGGGTGTACGATAATTTCAACCATAACATCGTCCTAAATTACAATTCAGCATGATCTCCAGGCGAGAAATATGTCATGAATCTGACCTGTATAAGATTCGACATAGGGATCCAGTCGACAATTTTTGGATTGGGTCCTGGGACGCCTTCTGGTATCATGTAGGGGATCTGTAGGTAAGAGTTAGATCCGAAGCAATATCGTTCGGGACTTTACTGACGTCTGCCGATCCGAACAATTTTGCTTCCTTCTCGTCTGACGGAAGCGGCCTAATCAAGTTGACAAACACATTGCACAACGGTGCACCGGTGCCTCCTATCCACTGGTCTATCATTTGAAGATCGGTCTGCTGGACGACAGGAGTGCGCAACCGTAGGTCATCTTGAATGTTACGAGCAACGTCTATGATGCTGTTGCTTCCAAGACGAGTGTGCATTGGCAGCACGTTCATGCATGGGAATGCCAATCTGTCAATATCTTTGATAGCTCCTGTTCGACCCGCGTGCCATAACCCAAATGTCACTTGTTCCTGCGAAATATAGGAAGACTGGACGTATGCCCAGCATGCCAGCAAAACGCTCTGTAGTGACACGCCATGCACCTGAGCGCGCTGTTCAAGAGTAGACGCCCCATGCACCACATCCCTCGCGATAACATTGGTTCGAGAGATATTCTTATCCTGAGCCGCGAGAGGTCTGAGCTGAGGAAAGTATGCCGGCCGGAAAGAGGGTGAGAAGATGGACCGCCAATATTCTTGCTGTTTCCGGAGATTTTCTGGTGTCGGTGCAAATGTTGACATGAACGTTTCATAATCTGACGTGACCGACGAGGGTTGGCCAAGGTAGATGTGACAGAGGTCCTCAATCAAAAGGGCAAGACTCCATGCATCGTATTGGAAATGATGCATTCTAATCAGTAGATATTGGCTGTGTGAGCCATTCAAAAGTAGTCCGCAGGTCTGAGGACCATCAATTGGAGGTGGGTAAGAGATGATTGCGTGCATCCGCGTCTTCAGGTTATCCGTGCTGTCGGAAGAATCATCGAAGGGCTCAACGGCAAACGAGCTTCCCATTTTGTCAGTACTGAAGGTCGCTATGTGGACGTCTGAATGAGACTTTGTGGAGGTGAATGTCGACCTGAGAATGGGATGTCGAGCAATGAACTCCGTCCACGAGCTACGCAGTCGTTCGGGGTCTATTTTCTGGGTCATTTTATAGGCGAACACATGCTGGAATCGCGCATAATGACTTCTTTGCCAGGCGCAAATGAGCCATTTCATGCCAGGGGCTGCCCGAGTAACTGTGAGGTCTCCGCGCCGCTCGGATGGGAATCTGTCAGCGACAGCTCGAGAATCGATCTCAGGGACTGAGTGATCCAGACGCGGTGAACTAGTAGTCTTTGGCTGTTTCTCCACTTCGACCACCCTTGTAGCCAAATCACCGATTGTACGGCAAGCGACGATATCCGCAATGGTCAACGCAATTCCCGCTTCCCTGCATTTTGCACTGAGCTGAATCGCTGTGATCGAGTCGATCCCAATAGCTGCAATTGGTCTGTCCGGGTCAAGCTTGTCCACGGAGCATTTAGCGACAGACGTCAGGACGTTGACCAACGCAGGAGGTAAATGGTCAATCTCTCTGCGGGGTGCGATGCTGGCTTTCAGCACACCGTTACGAAGGGGAAGCTTTCTGCCGACAAAGGGAACATCCGCGACGGCCTTGGCATTCGGTTGGGATACAATGATACCGAGGAAAGCCTCAAGCCGTGACATTTCATGATCCAAAGACTCCATGTCCATGATATTTGGCAGGCAAGCCAGCGTCACAGAAAACCCATCATCCATTTCGTGAAACTCGCAGTTCAACGGGTACTAAAGTGGCCCGATTAGTAAAAGTATACAGAAGATGCAAATTATGTACCTGAACGTTGGCTTGAAACTCGTCCGGATTGAGCATACTCCACAAAGAACTTGAATATATGGACTGTAGAGGTTGGAAGACAAATATGCTGTCCCATAGATCAAAGAGCCCCGTCTCGGACTGAATGTCACGAAGTGAAGCATGTTGCCATTCTAACGCGGCCAAGTTATTTGCATGGATAGAACGCAATAAATCCCTGTTGGTCGCAGTTTCGCCGATACGAACACGACATGGTATAGTGCTCTACACGCCGCATGGTCAGTGAAAGCCTGCCCCTTGGTCAAAATACGCACCAACATGGGTCCAATAACGTCTTCGTAGCCTGGGAAAGAGCGTCCAGAGACAACGTGCCCGAACATGATATCATGGGAAGACACTTTCGATGAGAGAAACTTTGACCAAGCCGCCTGCCCCAAACACTGAAGGGTGACACCCGCATCACTGGCAGCCATCTTCAGAACATGGTGGTTTAACTTCAATCGACGAGAACAGACGACCGACGAAGACTGTGTAGACTCCGCGCGGGGTAATGGAACAGGATGAAAGTCTTGCAGGTATTGGGCCCAAAAGGGAATGCTTTGACGTTCTTCTCGCAGTATCAAAGGAAGCACGTCGTAGAACTGAGGTAGTTTCGTGGAAGAACGGGATAGATACGCCCGCTCCAACTCTTCGAGCAGCGTTCCGATGGAAATACCATCATATGTAGCATGATGCATGGCAATTGCAAAGGTGTAGTTCTTGATCCCGGTGTCTTCCTGCTGTTCGACCAAGCTAAAAGCCAATGAAGGTGTGAACGTTCCCTGCTCTGATACGCTCGTTGATCCAGTGACAGTTTGGATCATGGCATCTAGAGATTCTCCAGCGTGCAGAGGGACCTCGATCCAAGTCATGGGCGCATCAGAATGCGAAACTTGCGCCCATTTTCCCAAGTCGATGATGTAATGGAATGTTGTCCTGAAGATGTCAAAGCTCGTGACAATGGATTGACAGGCTTGACGAAGACGGGCGTGGTCCACGGAAGATGTTAGCTTGAACATGAATACATGATTATAGAGTAAACCCGAGGAGACAACCGTCTGAGAAAGTAACATATCAACAACTGCGCTTAAAGAAGAAGAGTTGTTTGTTACCTGTGATAACATCCCTGCCTGTAAAGCAGTCGTTGGAAATATTCTGGCTTCATCACGATCAGAGAACCGACAGGTGGAGACGTCGAAATGGGACTCTAGTATGCGACATTCTTCTTGAAATTGATCCCGAGCTTCCGACTCCAACTGCGCACGACCAGCATCTTGAAGTAGCATCGGTAAAGACTCCAGTTCAGCCAGACATGCTGACTTCATAAGTTCTGCTGCAGTTACATGGTATCCTTCTTCCCTGAGTGCTCGTGAAAGCCCCACCGACCTGATGGAGTCGAGACCCAGAGCAATAAATGATGTTCTCGACCATAGCCGTTGGGGATCAACGCCCAAAAACTGGGCTATGATCTTCCTCACAGAGTGCAGAGCTACACTGATGCCCCTTTCCCCATTAGAATTGTGTATGCCATTAGCGGTATTGACTGATGGTGCGGATTCCGCTCGCTTGACTAGGGACTTCTGTGGAACATCGACATGGGGTACTCCAGAAGTCACCACACCGCGAGCCTCAGACTCGAATTGAAGAAGCATCGATTCGATATTGGCAACTTGCGATTCATCACCATAGAAGGCTGCCCGGACAACGAGCTGATCTTTTGGAACGTCCACCACAATCTCCACGGACAGGAAGAACTGAATGAGGGTAGCTCAAGTTAAACACGATCAAGTACGAGGCAGAAGACTCACGTCAGGCTGAGGCAATTCACTCCGCACGACATCAAAAAGCTCGTACGCAAGTTCATCTTTGTACATGACCGAGAAAAGAATATCGAATAAAGCAGCACCCGGTCTAACCCATTTCTGCACCTGCCCAAGAGAAACATTTTCGAAGGGAATTGCGGCAATGATGTCATCCTGAACTTTACGAAGACAATCAGGGTTGTTGAGGTTCACGCGCACAGGGACAAGAGATAGTAGAGGGACGAGAGCGTCGCTTATACCCTCAGCAGGTGCTAACCTCCCTGATCTGATGGTCTGAACTGCATGGTCAATAATGCCCAAATCAACCATTGTAAGGCTCACCCCAAAGATTAAGTCGTCGGACTGGCACAGATGGTTTGCAAGAACCGAAGCAAACGTGCATGTCAATGCGGCTTGCAATGTCACTTGGCAGTGGGCAAGCATTTGTTGGAAGTATGAAAGCGGGGTATCAAAGATGATAGAAGTCCGTTTAGGAGAAGCTGGTTGGGTCACATTCATCAAATCGCGGTAAGACCAGTTGAAATTACGAAGAGTCGACGTCCAATGATCCCGAGCAGGAGTCAAGTCCCGGAACGTTACGTGCTCCAATATCTGATCGGGAGGGGCTAGTTTCTGAAGCGGCTTGTCGAGACATGCGTCCTCGACATACTTCAGTATGCGAGGCAAAGAGATAGCGTCGAACAACGCGTGATGAATAGATAATACAATATAAGTGCCGCAGGATTGGCGGTAGAGCCGAAGACGAACGGGCGGTACAGAGGTAATGAGGGCGTTGATCTCCACAGCAACTTTCGCGGCTTCCTCGTCAAAGAAATAGTTGGAAAAGGTTTCATCGTCGCTCGCCGCAACGGAAGATTCTTCCCAATGAAGGTGACAGGTGGTACGTGACAAAAGCACCTGAACCAAGGTCTTGCCGAAGAAAAATACAGTCCTATCATGATACCATGAGAGAGATTCAGAGACATGGTAAGGTTCAAACCTTAGAATGTCGATATCTGCCACAGCTTTCTTCCAGGCGCTATGCAATTGCGGTATAGAGACGTCATCTCGAACTCGCATTACGACATGCTGCACACACATCGTCGGCGAGCTCTCAGAGCGATAAAGAACACCCTCCTGGATAGGGTAAGAGGGAAGAACACGCTCTATATGGAGATGCGGCATTTTCTTCCGAATTTCTGGCATCCATAGTGACGAGAAGTTGTCGATATTCGGTACATCTGCTTCTGGTCGCGAAACGACGAGACCTTCCAATCGAGTGGACAGACCCCGGACAGTGGGAGACTTCATGATTTCTGCGACAGTTATGTTGATATTAAAGGTCCCCTTGAGTGTGAATGCAAGCCGTGCGAGTGACAAGGAGTCCATTCCAAGCGCGAATAAGCTAGTGTGCACACCAATAGGTCCGCCAGAACCCGTAATCGCAAAGCTTTCTCTCAAGAGCTCCAGAATCCGTTCTTCGAGATCAGAAGTGGGGCTATTGCTGTCTGCAGTCGTCAACGTGGCCAGTAGGGTCTTCAGCTAGTCCGATCAATTTGTTAAATTCCAGTTCTGAAAAAACGGAGGCCAAGACTTTAGGTATCCGCTTTGCCGTTAGCACTAAGCGGAAGCCAACTGAGGGCTATTATATGGGCAGGGCGCATATAACTTGCTAGTTCCTTTTCGCAGGCATCATGCAAAACGCGCGAGAGGTCCTTCTCTAACTTCACTGGTCCTGGCCTAGAACTGCCCCGTCTCGTAGCAATCGATACTCCCGTGTCCCAGGAAATGAAAGAAACGAGCTGCGGTGAACTGCCGCCTCCAATCTCTGGATGGGTCCCAATAATAGTCCCGACATCAAGATTGATCTGCAGGCAGGACTGAGCAGCTCGCTGAAGTACAGCAGATATCCCTTCCGCCTCGATGCGCACTCCGCGCAGCTTGATCTGAGTATCGATTCTGCCGATTATTTCCAATGATCCATTCGGCATCATTCGCGCTAGATCCCCTGTACGATACGCCCAAGAACCTTTCTGCGGCCATTCGATAAATACTTTAGCCGTTAGATCCGGACGTCCGTGGTAGCCGCGCCCGACAAGGGGGCCACCAACGATGAGCTCTCCGACGGCTCCCCGCGGCAAGATATCGAGGTTCTGATTAACGACATAAGACGCAACATTAACGAATGCTGGCCCAACGTTGCTTTTGGGTGTGTTGCCATCCATAAAACGAGCACAACATCCTATGGTTACCTCGCTGGGCCTGGGGGAGGTGGTAAGAAAGAGATCAGCAGTAAGAAAGAGATCAGTTACCCATAGAAGTTTGCAAGTCTGACTTTGGGATGATTCGCCCACTTGTCTAGAATCTATCATTCGCCTTTCAGGACCCATAGGGCATTAACATGCAAGACCCTCACTGAGTCGCTGATTTTCTCTCCACCACTGGCGATTAATCGCAGTTTCATTCCATTAGCCATCGCTTCGTCATCTTGAATGGTGCCCATGGTCGCGTCAATCAGGCTGGGCACGATTCCAACGTGCGTCACGCCCAAAAGACTGATATAATAAGGAAGGTTCTCCAGCAGTATTCTTCGTGGCGCAGAAGCTACCACCATGCCCAGAGAGAAAGACACAAAGATCTCCGCGAGATGTACGTCGAATGCAACAGCTATGGTTCAGAGCCCCAAGTTAGGAGGATAAATGAGGGGAAAAGACCGTTCCTACAGGCAATGCTGAGATACCTTCCATCTCGGATATTATCCATTTGAACAGCGGCGTTGAAGGAGCTTAGCGCTAGTATCGCTTCCGCGAGACCTTCATGGGTGAGAAGACAGCCTTTTGGATTGCCAGTGGTGCCTAAATTTGTTGTCAGATTGACTGGATACGAGTTAATTATCTGATGTTGTTTACCAGACGTGTAGAGCATATACGCCAGATTGTTTGGAAGTGCAACATCTAGATCGGCTGTAAGCATTGCCTGTATGTCTCGTGAGACACGATCATTGTCAAGATCGAGGACGACGTCCCCAAATATCTCAGGGGAGTGCCTATGAGACTCCAAAACGACAAATTTAGCGCCTGAGTCTTTTGCAATGTATGACTTCCTTTCATCAGGAAGCTCGGGATCGATCTTTTTTGTGCATCAAATCAGTGCATATAAGAATGATAATTTCTTGTAACCAACCGGAACATAACAACCTCCGGCGCGCAAAACTCCAAACAGGACTATGTGAAACAGCGGATTGCGATCCATGCATACAGCAACCCTATCCTCGGGCTTCAACTGCTGAGATATCAGGTATCGAGCCAGTTTGTTGGCTTGGACATGGAGATCGCCATAAGACAATGTTTCGGAGACGAGATTGTCTCTAGGTCCCGTTGTCAAAGCAGAGTACCAACACACTGCTGGGGAATCTGGATCGGCTTGAACGTAGGGGAGGATAAAGTCTGTGGCAATGGCAACTGGACGGATGTGATCATAAACAGACGCACGAGCCTCTGAGGAAAGACATTGGAGGGCAGATGCAAAATCAGTTGGGTAGGAAGGAGGTGATGAAATCTTTGAAATTGGATTTTGAGCTGCGTGCACCGACAGAAAGGCTATCTGGGAAAGTAGCTGATCGGCTACGGCAGGATGTACAAGGTGCGATGATGTCCAGATAGAGAGCAAAGCTGTCGAAGGATCGAACAAAAGCAAAGGAGATCCAAGAAGGTCGTCGGGAATGTTTACATTCTCTGGTCCATCAAGGACGAAGAGGGCAGTGAACGGTGACTGGTCCTCTTTCAAGCCGAGCTCAGTCGTCAACTCAGACTCGGTGAAATTTGGGCCCGCGATTCTGTCGAGTGAACGACGAGCCTCATCCACTAGGTCGCCCCAAACTGTTTCGGGATTCCAACAGAAACGACAGGGGAGAATTGTGCCTGCTGATAGAATCCCAAGCAAGATGTCGGAAGATGCGGAGTACAAGCCTAATATGTTACAAAACGAGGCAAGTAGTAGGGCAGCGGATCCTGGTAGATCTATACCACAATCCTGGAAAGCCGTCAAGTCAAGAGATGTTGACTTGACGTAAGTAGCAGAGTGATCATGAATGCGGTTGCGGCTGCGGCCGTCAGACAGGTCGGGAAAGGCGACATGGTGGTAACCTGTCAGAAACATGTGCACATCTGAGTCCATCTTTTATTGAATCTATGATAAGACACCAGTAAGTGAATGCAGTCTGGACTTGCAAGTCAACTGACCTCAGTGTGAGTAAATGGCCTAGAACGAAGTCACTTGTGACGTCGACTAAAGTTTGGCGAACAGTTCGAAGTAGGAGTTCAGACAAGGTGTATTCGAGGTTGTAAAACGCTAGGCTAGGTATATGACATTAGCCCGTATTTAACATATCGCAAACGTCGCGATAACGAGGAGTTTGGAAAGGTAGAAATATTAATAAGATGGTCGGCTGATAAATAAAGAGTACTTGTGGACCCGGGCGATAGAACAAGGCACTAGAACATGTCAAAGATAGGCTCTCTGACTCCCACGAAGTGTCTTCCTTCTTTCTAAATGGGAGATCACTTATAAGCGTCATCAGAAGGGTGGTCGAACTATACTTGTGGTGCAAGATCCGATATAAAGCTTTGGTGCATCGACCGCTTGCTACGTAGGAGAAGATGAAGGAGTACACGTGACCGGTTTTGCATACACCACACTTGTTACACTTGTCGTCATATGTGGCGCGATGAGGCGCTATGGACGTTGGAATTACTGTATCTCTGATTGGACTGACAAGATAATAACCAATCGGGTGCATGTCATTTGTTGGAGTGGCGTCGTAGCTTAATGTATCAACTGTCTGTACATCGATGTACTGCTCAATACTACTATATGTAGTCGAGATCATCCACTGTCTGTAGAAACAGCTTTTGGACAGTTGTTTCAACCAGCGTGGCCGATCTGACAGCATATTTCTTTTAATCCAGCTAGTAGTGTGGGGGCAGAACTACGTATACTTGGGTCAGTCGGTAGAACTACTCTAGATTACGTAAAGTCAATATGCCTAATATTGATGTGCCTCGATTAACCTCATCTAGAATTATTCCTTGTTCGACCCCAACTTGCCAAAATCAAAAGCATTCCCTCGAGCACTCCAACTTCGTCAATGCTCTGAACTTTTTCTACTCTTTGAGAACCGCAAATTCAGCGGCAACGTCGTCGAGCGAGACACTCCAAAAAGATCATCTACATCATGAGGCTCGGTCGAGAGTTAAGGTCAGGGATGCTGTGCAATCTCGACAGTAATTGCTATATCTAAATCATACCTCCGTGAGTCTCAGGGCCTAGAGTTCTGCCAGTCCCTTACACTTGAATTCTGTTGTGGGCCAGGCACAACCAGTTTTGCCAGACCGGTCGGCAAAACTCCCAAGCTCTGCCAACATTAATGTTGCACTAAATCCATCACGATTAGATTCCGCCGGGCTTCTATGTACCTTCCGATTTCCTCCCGCACCTCCGCAACCCTTCTCCTCTAGCGCACTTTCAACTGCTACCTCCACCCACCAGCACTCAAGCGCTCACACGCTACTTGGTTTCGCCGTATTACTTTTCCACACTTTCCGCCGCCCATTCAATATGATCAGCAATGAGAAGAAGCAACGCGCTACTCCTTGTAACGTAGACATCGTGAGTCTCGAGGAGTATCCGCCTTGCATCAATTAATGATGATGAAGTGGTGAGTCAGTTCCACATGCTCACCTTACTAACTCTTTTTATCTATCTGAGCTACATCCACAGCTTACCTCCTATTACCTGCCACCCTCGCACTCCTGGAATTCGCCCCGTACCACCTACACCCCTTGGTTGCCTGTAGCTGCCACAATAATTATGCGCCGTCTACCACGCACGCACACGCACCATTGCTTCCAACCTTCCGTGACCGCGCATGTTATCTCTCTTTTAGTTTTGTGTTCAGTCAGAGAAAGTAGTTTGAAATATAACGCTTTGTCTTTTCATGTGCCTGCGTTTTTCCCAAGTCACAAAATATAGTTCGTTCGGGGGCTCAGATCCCAACTTCAGCTGAAAGATTTCCAAGCTACAAACAACATTAGCTGATTCAATAACTTATAATAGCGTGTACTTGTAGAATTAGACTTAGTCAGCTTGCTGCAAAAACATATCGCTCGTCCTTAAAAAATAAACTATTTCGTTAACGTTTATCTCCTTCGGCAAAGCCCTCAGCGCTCAGCTCAACATGTTGAAAGCACGAATTCCACTGCTAAACAGGGTGCTCGCTCGCAGCTATGCGACAGCTGCGTCACCTCATGCTCTGGTCTTCTTGGAGCACCACCAGGGTGACCTTGACTCTGCGTCACTTTCTGCCTTGACGGCAGCATCTCAGTTGGGCGGTCAAGTCACCGGCCTTGTCGTGGGCAGCTCGGAGGAGGTGCCATCTGTTGTGGAGAAGGCTAAGAAGTATGCTTTTGAACTTCCTCAGATCCATAGCTGATCTCTTCTAGATTAAACGGTTTGACCACACTGCTGCATTGTGCATCCCCACAATACAGCACGCTGTTACCTGAAACAGTATCTCCACTCTTCGAGAAGCTCTTATCACAGAATTCGCCCTTCACGCACGTCGTCTCCGCTCACTCCAGCTCTGCCAAGTCTATTCTGCCTCGAGTTGCAGCAAAACTAGATGTTCCGGCCGTATCTGATATCACATCCCTCGAACATGACGCAGCATCGGGAAGCACTACCTTCACCCGTCCCATCTACGCTGGTAACGCCATCTCCACAGTTCGTGCATCCTCCTCCATCCCCATCAAGTTCTTCACTGTCCGGTCTACCGCATTCGCGGCTGCCGGAGCAGGAGATGCAGCAGAGAGCGAAGTCAAAGCCCTCGATTCTGTTGAGGTGTCTGATGCACCCACGGAACATCTCAGCACTTCTCTGACGAAATCCGATCGACCTGACTTGGGCTGTTGCAAGCCGCGTTGTTTCTGGAGGACGCGCATTGAAGAACGCAGAGACTTTCCAGTCTACTCTGTATCCTCTTGCTGATGCACTCGGTGCTGCGGTTGGAGCATCGCGTGCTGCTGTGGATGCAGGGTACGCAGACAACTCCCTGCAAGTTGGACAGACAGGAAAGGTGGTGGCTCCTGAACTGTATATGGCGTTGGGCATTTCTGGTGCTATCCAGCATCTTGCTGGTATGAAGGATTCCAAACTCATTGTGGCAATAAATAAGGTAAGTGCGTCCGTACAACACTGCCAACCTCTTATAATTCGTCTGTAGGATCCCGATGCACCCATCTTCCAAGTGGCAGACGTAGGGTTAGTAGCAGACCTTTTCGAGGTAGTGCCAGAGCTGGTCGAGAAGTTGAAGCAATGATAGAATGGGCATCATCATGTTCAGCCTGTGCTCATTGGGTCCATAATATATCAGTCACGATCTGCTTTGAAAATATTGCAAGTTCAATAGTAAGATATAGGACCGTCAGCGATGCTTGATGATCAGCCACTTGACATCGCAGTGTGAATATTTGGATAGCGTTTTTTTCCCACGGCCAACCTTTCTTTTGCATATTTCGCCCACAGGCGTAGCAAGCAGATATGCGTATCGAGAAATGTTATTTTTGCTCAACAAACGTGTATCCTGGGCATGGTGAGCAACAGAAACTTAAGACTGTCAATACAACATCTCACGACATGTTCAGGAAGTGCCTTCGTCCGCAATGATTCGAAGGTATTCCGGTTTTGCACTTCAAAGTGAGTCCTATGATAGAAAACTAGAACCCACATATTGAATCAAACCTTCAGATGTCACAAAAACTTCAAGTAAGCTACTTTTCAGCCATATCTTCCTATCCATATCTAATATCCTCCTAGAATGAAACGAAACCCTCGCAAAGTAAGATGGACGAAAGCATTCCGTAAAGCAGCAGGAAAAGAAATGACGATCGTATGTCTATTCCCAATCTCAAGAAACTTTTACTCACTTCTCGCAATCAAGGACTCTACGATCGACTTTGAGAAGCGCAGAAACGTACCTGTCCGCTATGATCGCGAATTGATACATACGACGATCAACGCTATGAAACGTATTGGACAGATTAAGCAGCGGAGAGAGCATGCATTCTGGAAGCAAAGGTTCTTACTTTCCGTCCCCAGGTGCTTGTCTTTTGCACTGACTTGTATTATTGCAGAATGTCAGTTGCTCGGGAGAAACAACGCGCGCATAGGACAAAGAAGTTGGCTGCGAAGTCGGTGTCCGTCAAGCTGCTTGAGCCAACTGCAATGGAGGAAACCGTGGAAGTGCTGGAGAAAATAAAAGTGCCAGCGAAAAGCAGAAGTGCACTTATGAAAGGGGAAGGGCGCTCGATGGGCATGGATGTTGACTGATCTGTATTTGTCTTGTCATGCATCATACATTGTACACCTTCACTAATTCATACATACAATCCTTTTCGGGCGAAAGCATGCAGTAGAGACGGGTGGGGTCGCGCAAAAACGTCGAGGTTAAGCAACAGCTGTTGGGCTGGGACTCAGCGTTAGCTGACAGGGGAATGTTGAATAACTATTAGATAGCTAGACATGACGATGGTATGCACATGTAGTGGTGTCTGATTGTAATCGAAACACGATGCAAACATTATGTATTAAGTATTGGGAGTGTTAGTGAAGGGTGGGCGAACATATATCGGTAAGGCAAATACGATCATTGTCAGTTAAATATTTTGCAATGAGCAGGTTAATCCAACATAAAAACGAAAATGAGAATTATGAGTAGGTGGTGCTACAGATCCGTAGGGGGAGGTGGGTTTCGCTGCTACTGCGAGACGCAAGTACGCCTACAAAATGCAACTCAGCGCAGTAGCAAGCCTCCCGCGACCGGTATGCCTACACGGGAAGAGCCAACTCATCGGAAGACCAGCCGGGAAGGTGTCGGAGTGATGGATCCGGACTCCCGGGAGATATGCGAGCGATGACACTTGACGCCGAAAACACCGCGAAAAGATGTGTAGGGTACTGGGCTCTGTCACTCAGAGTGTGCTCTTACCGGTGGTCTGCTTCATTTGGTTGTGGAGAACCAGAATTGTAGACCCAAATCTATAATATAAGCCCGATATGTCTGAGCCACACTTTTTCCGCTGTGATTTTCGTCGGATTTACGAATTCTCACTCGTTCTCGCTGGGGAGCATTTTAGCTCAAAGTCCGGTGTGGGCGAACACATGTTTAATTGTAACTGTGTAGAATCGAGCCAGGGTATTCCGCTGGCTCGAATCTACACGGTTTCAACTTTCCGGAGTGTCACCGGTGAAGATAAGGAAAGACAAAGAAAGAAAGCGCTGCCGCTCAGCTGGATAGGGGATGTAGAACAAGGATCGTTGCCAGGACGCGCTTAGAGAGGAGCAATATATGATGTTCGGAGAGTGACAAGTTGATACAAGGATATCGCCGACGGAGATCATCCGGATACATCCGGGGCCCCTATCTTTCAAACCTCGTTTGCTTCCTTCATTGTTCTTTTACATCTTCGTATTTCACATAGGGACGTCGTGAGTACGAATTTCTGATCGAACGTGGTCATCATCACTTAAGTATTCTTTTGTTTCCCTTCTCTTATCGCATATCTGCACCTTAACCTCTGACTCACCACTCTGCGCAGTATATAAAATGGCACGTATCTTCTCAAATAGTCCTCAAATCACTCTGTTTTGATCCCGGGCCAAAAATTCAGAACGACGCAATCCCGAATGACTCTATTGCAAAATGGTTTACATTAAAAATCTAACTCTTTCGTCTCAACCCCTTCGACTTGGAACTCGTTGAGTTCTAGCTACGCGTAGCAGACTTGCAGAATCTCCTGAATTCGTGCATTACCCTTAGCCACAGTATATAAGATCCAACCTCTGGATCTTAAATACTATGGGTGAGTGTCGAAGCGTTTTTTTTCCTTCATAGCGGCATACCGATACGCACATTACCTGTCCCCCCTTTCCCAGTAGTCGTTATGAAATCGCACGTTCAACACTAGAGCCAAATGCCCATAGTAGTATCTCGAGTGACTGTCAAGGCTGATCACCTTCTCGCAGCAAGAAGGATATGCCTCGGCAAGCGACCGAGTACGTGTCTTGTCTTCTTACTTCATAGGTATTGCATGCATCGCATGGACTCTCAGAGGCGGCGCGTCTGAAACGGCGGACTGGTGGGGTACGTCTCACACCAGAGCATTCATGCGCCTAGAGATGCGTTGGGCACACGCGCGCAGGCTGGTGCGCCCTGTAAGGCTCCTATCAATCTTCTAGTATTGATAATTCTAACGCTTTCCGAGCTGCATGGTGCACCAGGTGTCACTGGTATAAATTAAGTGACATCACTTTTTGACCTTTTCAGTTCCGTTTGACCGTCATATTTTACCAGCGTAGGTAATTCGGAGAGTGTTTCCAGTATCCAGCATTTCGTACAGCAATAAGAACAGCAGAAAACAGCTACATAAAATTACCTGGTGAACGCAACCGGCAGTCATTCGTGCTTACATTTTGCAGAAATAACACTCCGTCGACAGAGGAACAGTGCGTGAAAGCATGATTAACGAGCTGCGCATGCAGGCTAGTGGTACACCGTGAGATACAAGTTCTAATACAACTATGATGATATATTACAGTGCGCGAGCAGAACGTTAGCGATGTTTGTACTTAGGCCGCATTCTCATGGCGAACGTTGGGATCCAGGGTATTGTGGAGTCCCATCAAAGTTTTGCTGACTGCTTCCGAAGCGCCAATCATAGGCTTCAAGACTGCGATTGGGACAGCTCGCACTACAGCCCGGACCGCACCCTTACTCGATGTCAGCTTGGCATCGAGCGAATATTATAGATACTACTCACTTCGTTTCCGGACTTCTCGTACACTTCCATAGGAACAGCAAGTATTGTTTGTGCAGCAGAATGCAAGTTTCTTTGCAAGCTACGATATGCTGATTGAACTCCTTCTGTAACATCAGCGGGCTGGGCCGCATATCTGCTGATCAATTCTTCATCCGGTCCTTCCCCGGAATCGTCATACGGTATGTGGAACGTTTCGGCCGTAATGGAATCCTTGAACTGGCCTCCGAGCACGCTTTCAGCTTGTTCCAGGATGACTTGAGTGCCGGTTGCCAGCCGAGCTCCAAGCTTGATCGCCTCCATTGCAGTTGACTGTACGAATGCCTTGGTACCTTTCTGAACACCACGGACGATGCGTCCGTCCTTCTTGTACTGCGCAATAGGTAGTAAAACGAGGTCAGCTACCCCAGAGCCAACATTGACCATAGAACGAATGGGTGCTACGCCAGAAATGACATCCACAAGTTGGGTTGCCTTGACATCTGGCGTCCAGAGGTCGTTCAATGTATCAAAAAACCGAGGCCAACCCGTGATCTGTGAAGGCCAGTGAACTCATGAAAAAGCGTGCCAAAGCAGTACCTACCCCATGCAAAGTCAGATGTCTCAGAGTCATCTCCGCGCCATCAAAATGGAAAAAGTTCATGAGCTCGATCGTTTTTCCCTCTCGCAGAGCCCTGTAATCCACGCGTCGAGGTTTGTAATCAAGCTTGAGATCAATCGGGAAGACCTCGGCGTGTTCTGCGGACAAATATTAATATAGTTATCCATTCGGCATTCGAAACAGGAACGCACGAATATAAGTCTCCTCGCTGGGAGTATCAGGAGGTGCAGACGGACTATCGGGATCTTTGAAGGCGAAAAATTTCTTCAAAAAGTCGAGTGCATCCTGATCAACATATAATCGCAACGGCAGGAGTTTGGCCTATGGTGATATCGTCTCAGCCCTGTCAATACGCCTTAATTCGACAAGTACTCACACGTAAACGTGTTTCCTCGGAGGGATGGGAAGGAGACGGTCGGACAGTCTTGAGCTCGATGCGAATCATACTGGAGTCCGTCTCACGAATATTGCCTCGAGAGTCTGACCGTAGTTCGGTCAGGAATTTTCTCCAGGTGGACGTTTTGACGTGATCCAAAATTTCAGCATCCTTTATTACAACCAGTGTCTTGGAGACGAGTGCATCTTTCAGACGATGACGATAATTATCGACTTCAGCATCTAGGCCAATTAGTTTGATTTCAATACTTGGGCCCTTAGACCTTGTCAATCTTCGCCCATGAATGCGAGTGGATGGCATTCGCTGTTGTTGTCCGGGCGATGCTGGAGGGAGGGTTTGCCAAGAACTGTGGCTTTCTGTTTCCGCGTTCTCGAGTTCATCATCAATAGCGGCGACAAGAGCTGTCGGATCAAGACTGTCAAAGTCCTGATCAAGGCCGATGTGAATTGAGTTAAACAACATCGTGCTTGTCTCTTCCACGCTGGGGTCTTGAGTCTGGCCATTTGCAATCAGCTGCCTGATCTTGGCTAATTTCTTGCGCATGTCTTTGATTTCTTGCTCCACAATTTTTCGTGTGCGTGGCCAATCATAACCGTCGTGCAGGAAAAGTGATACGTCAGAGTCATGGATGCGCACTCGGAGAATAGTGTCATGTAGACTGCTCAATAGCTCGATTACAGAGAATACAAGTCAAAGGCAAAAACTTACCTAGCAAGATCACCCGTATTTTCTGGAGGAATCGTGTCATAATAATGCTCGATAGGATTGATAGGCTTGATGATGCGGATTGTTTCTCCTCCTACCTTGGAAACGACCCCCGTTTCCCCAGCTACTGGTGTTGTTCGGCCGTCCTCCTGCACATCGAAGTCTTCTAGGTCATCATCCCTAAGCTCCCGCAAACCAGCAGCCGAACCAAAGGATTCGTCCAGGTAGTCGAGATTCGTCGGTAAGTCATCGTTGATCATATCGGCTGCATTGCCGACATCAGGAATTCGCCTGAAAGCTTGCTCGTCGAGAGATGCTGAAAGGAACACTTAGTTACCCTCGCATGTTCCGCAACAACAACAATCACCCATCATGCCTTGTTCAGGTGGACGATGAACAAGTGAAGCGGGAACTTTCTTTCTAGACACTGCTGGTCTGTGAAATGATTATAAGCAACGTTGTGAACAAGAAGTTTAGGTAATTACGTACTCTGCGAGAGAAGGGGACTTGAATATGGACGTGAAGTCATCCATATAGCCTGCCAGTGCAGCTATAGTATCCGCACATAGGAGCACCCGTAAGCTGACACGATTCACAAGTACCTAGATTTGATTGAGGGACGAAAAGTAACCCGGCACGCTATGACCTACGCCAACACTTGGGGGGACACATGCGTCATCAGTCTTGAACACAAGGTCCAGATCTACGACATCTGCAATGGATGCAAACCCGAAATTCTGTGAACGAGTATCATCGCATTGTTTTACTTGTGAGCCGAAGGAGAAATCACCTTCCACAAGTTGAGACTAGAACCTCCGTTTGTCTTGGCAGAACTTGGACCGTTGGGAGCATCGGCCATAGAATCGACCAATAAGAATGACAAGGAAGGAACTAGTAACTTGAACTTGAACTCGCTGGAATTACCAGCGAGCTCAGTGTTTAGTTCGGCTTCGCCAATGTACAGGACTGCAGAGCCAGGGTGGCTAGGGGCATACGTCTTGATCGATATGTCTGCAATTGCAAAAGAAAGGGACGTTCGTTCTGAAGGAACGACTGATTCGAAGACCTTGACAAGCTCATCAATCTATTCTACTCCGAGGAGGGCACACTTACCCCCGGTGGAGCTTTCATAAACTGGGTTAAGTCCGAAATCCACTGCAAATTAGGATAAACATGGCAAGTGAAGCCCCATAGAGCCAACCGTATCTTGGTCTCTTTTGCGCCGGTTTCGGGAACTATAAGGGAAGCAAAGCGAGCCTTTACCATTGGCCTTGGCACAGAGGACTAGACTTTCGTGAGGGACGCAGCTACGACAAATAACCTGCACAACACACCAGACTACGAGGTAATGTCAACACGAGGAGAGGTACGAGCTCCCACTTTGGTGATACCTCCCCAACGTGAAGGTCCATCAAGCTCGATGTTATGACAGTCTCATCCTAATTGAAAGAAAATGAAGTGAGAATTCGAAGATATATATTTGCGATTCCACAAACCTTGCCATCAGGTTTCAGTTCAACAAGGACGTCAATGTCTGAGGCGGATATGTCGAAAGGACGAATTGAGGGTGCAGATGTTTGGGAACGGGATGTCAGTATTCTTACTAGAGCTGCGTTTCGAAGATATCAGCATGAGCAATAACTAAAGCCAAAAACGACTGTACCTTCAGCAATGATCACTTTCACAGCCGTCTCGCTTTGTTTCGGTATCGGCGCTATAGTGCCGAAGCTGCTCTCGTCACTACCACGACTCCCAACGCGCCTTGATTTAGCGAAAAACCTACTGCCAATCAGGCTCGGGTTGCGGCTCTGAGCAACTTCAGTTTCTGTTTCCTCCGCGGCAGTGGTGACCGCTTGTGTAACACTGTCAGCCCAAATTTGCAATCCATCGAAGACTGGTTTTTCAAGAACGACGTTGACTAATGGGACATTGATGATGATTGAGGTCCGATGCGTCGAAGAAGAAACAGCAGCCTTTGATGGAGCCACCTGCGTCAATTGAAAGCGAATGGGAAGTGAGTCCGGCGCCTGTTCCGACAACAGCAATGAAGCCGATCCGGGGTGAATGTCGTCCGTTCGTGGTAAGGAACCAAGTGATATGAAAGCATGCGCCTTTGAATCTCCTACGGGCGCATACGATAAAACAATTCCCCTGATCTGGCCACTCAAGAGTTGTCCTGGCAGATTTTCGACGCTGGGATTCCTTGATTCACCAACATCCCCGAATCTGATAGTCGGTGATTCTTGATCAAGGGGCTTGTTAAACACCTGTACATCGTGGAGATCCAGTATAATGCCTCCTGATCTGGAGGGCTGAAGGGATGGTGATCTGCATCGGACCTCAGCGCGGAGGGCAGGTAGGATAATGGTGATCTTCGAATGTGACCTCTGCTTGGATTTGGGCTACAAGCAAATAGCATGATAAATCAGATATATAAACTGCAGATGACGCTCCCATCTACCTTGAGTTTGGTGTTTGTGACTCGCTTGCTGTGAGGTCTCTGTCTCGCCGGTGCCCCGGTCCGATAGTCGATGTCCAAATCCAAATCCTCGAGGACAAGTCTTTCCAAGCGTCTTCTCTCCCTCTCGCGTTCGAGTTGCTTTGGAGTTATGAATGGAGTGTTAAATTCATCATCACTTGCTGAATCTTCCTCTTCTGTGTCGTCCAGTGAACTACGCCCTTGGGATGTGTCGGAAGCGTCCCGAGTAGGAGATCCTTCAACTGCTAGGACCTCGTCAAGAAACTTGAGCACACCACCGCCCTCAAGCATGATGTCAACGTCGAAGAACACATGCAATGGTGCAATCCGAACCAAGATGTCGGTCAAACCCCCTGAGCGGGTATTCGTAGGGGTGACGCGAGCGGTGAAGGTAATAGCACTAGAAAAGGACAACTCCTCAAGTTCTTCTTCACTCAACAACGCCACCGTGAGTGGTTGTGGAGATGTTGGAAATGCAGAAGATTTCGACGGTGGACTGTGTACTAGTTGATCTTTCCCTGTAGATGACTTCACTCTCCAAGTCGATAACTTTGAAGAGCCTCCTGCAAGTTTCACAGCAGTCCAATCCACCACTTCAAAAGTCGGTAATGTTACTTCCGAAAGCGGCTGCGCTGGAACAGTTGTCGAAGAGAAAAATGGGCGACAATGACTGACAATATATTGATTGTGCAGACGATGATCTGTAATCAGGAGTGGTAGCGAAACTTGCGCCGTGTCCCTCTCGCCAGTCCTGGAAGTGTGGTACATGAAGACCGAGATATTTGAGAGGAGTATGTTGGATGTTATCGGAGAAATATGTGCTGCATCAGTCTGATTTCCAGGAGCCCGGGATAAATCAAGAGAACCCGTAACATTCTCCAACAATACGCGTAAGTATGTCGAAGGCAATCTTGGAGGGATAAGTGGAGACTGGAAAAATGCTTCAAGCGAAGGAACCTCTTGATCTAGGGCCTCAGTGATCAAAAGGGTCACAATTCCACGGATATTTAGACTTGCGTGCAAGCCGCACTGGAGGGCCGGAGGGCTTGGTGTGGTCTCAGGGTGTTGTGGAGTGGTACCAGCATCCTTGGATCCGCAGTAATTGAGCATTTCCAATAGCATGCGAACGTGACAAGCCCGAAGAGCGCAGGACACGATCCCAACACTGACACTGAGACATAAGGTCTCGTCCTGCTTGACCGCGATGTTCTCCGTGGGAGGCGAAACTTTCTCAAGGGTCGAAGGATGCGCGACGTCATCCTTTGTGTAGCCGGGTGGCGTTTGTAGTCGAACTACAATAGGGTCTGTACCAACAGAAAAAACAAGATCTTCTGTAGCCCAGTGAGGTACATGGGCTGACTCTCGTTTGCCTGCTATGTGATCGCACGAGCGAGGCTGAGCCATATCTCCCGTACCAAAGTTGCCGAGGGGCTCAAGACGGATGGCTGAAGAGCAGCCAGTAGTAGAGACCGCGCTCTGATACATGCTACTGAGAACTGAGCTGGACGGGGAAGCCCGAAACTGACTACGTGGTGGAAGAGCAACAATGGACTGCGACATCATCATCTGCGTGTCTTCATCAATGGAGGAATAAGATGACGCGGGTGACACCGGACGAGGAGCCTGCTGATGATCGTGCAGCGTGACATGGGACGAAGTGAGCGACACAGGCGACATGGTTCGTGGTGAGGTGACAGGGTTTTGTAAAGTAGCTCGAATGTCCCGAGAGGTAATGGCGACACCTGATATTGAGACTGTACGTATGTGACCATTCCGTGGGGATCTTTCAAGAGCAACGTTGCTCGATGGCCCATCTCCAGTACTTCGCTGCTTTGGGACACCCGAGTCCGTACTATATGCAATTTCAGGTATTGACAGGGTAAAGCTTGAGTGTCCGGGGTGGACAATGACTATTTTCGTGTCCACGGCAGAGAACTCAAAGCGTGCAAGTAGATGTTCGAAGAGGGTGGCAAACAGGGATACCCCAGAAGGGTCAGAATCAATGCCAATTTCTTCTTGAGGGTGTACACGGGTAGATGAATCTAATCCTCCGGGAAGGTGATGACCCTCATCATAAGCGTGCAAAGGTCGGGAATCTGGATGTAAAGACTCTCGGAGCGTGGCTTCTTCCCGAGGGGTAAGCTCGCTGTGGATGAATGTCTCTGCTACTGATGCAACAGATTGGGCAAGGTTTACACTGTTTGGAGAGCCAAGGTCGGATGGAGGGGTGGCATGCAATGTGAGGTGTAGTGACTGTACCGAAAGCCCTACACTGGAAGTGAGAGGATTGGGGAAAGGTATTCGTGCAGTTACACAAGATATGGAGCCATCGTAGAGTCTGAATGGTGATCCTGCAAGAAGTTTATTGATCGCCTTTGAAGTAGTCAATGAATGGACAGTTAAACCAAGAGGTAAAACCCGAACCTGGTCGTCTAGCTCAAGATCTCTGACTTGTACAACCCCAGAGCCTATCTGCGAGTCTATCTGATGAAGATCGAGCTGCCCTGGCTTTAGGAGATGTCCCAGTGACTTCTTGAGAACAAACGAAAGAAACCGACGCTGAATTGCAGAGGGTAAGGAGAAGTCGAACGACGGAAGCCCAGAGAACCAGGAAGAATACCAAGTAGACATAGTAATGGGCGTCACTTGAAGATGAGTTCAAGATCGAAATTGATTCATGACCTAGTACTCTGCATAATATTGTAGAAGTACGTATTGAGCCAGGTGGGCACACACAGCAAAGGTGCAGGGGGTATGGCTGAAAGTACTACACCAGTACTTCGGAATTGCCTTTTCCGTCACAATATTAAAGTGGACTTTGCACAAACTTCACAGCTATGTACTAACAGCTCAAATGCCAGGAATCCCAATGTCTCATTCCTGAATATATTTTAAACGGGGGTTGATAGATACTCATGAGCACATTGCCCCAAGGAAAGCTCCATTGAATTGAGTGAGACTCACTGATTTGTGCAGATGATGAAACTAAACTGATGCGCGAGGCGTGAGCGCAATACGGTCATCATCGAGTGGTCTGAATATGTATATTTCTTCGAGAAGCCACTCTATGTCGGTACTGGCCGGAAATAATAAACCATGGACTATCACGATGATGAACGCAAATCATTTACCTGAATTCTTCCTGAGTGGTCTCGATCACCTGTGTCACACGGTCGTACACATCAGCTATCCAAACCCCATAGATAGCACCATCCTGGAGCTGATAAAGGCTGGACACGATGGCGACTTGTGTCGCTGTCAATTGAGCTAGCTGGCTATAATATTGTGGAGAATAATGAGAGCTATTTTGGAGCGAGGAGCCAAAGGAAGAAAGGGGGCTCGGTGTTCGCATGACTGTGCAAGGATGGGCCGCCAGAACAATGGCAGAATGAGGAGTTTCAGGTTCAAGTGCAAGAAGTGGTGTAGGAAGTTGGGATGCAGCTTGCTTTGAGGTTGATGCGGAACTCAGACCCTCACTATGATCGCCATACTGCAGTGATGGCCCAGCAGGAGTCTGAGGAGAGCTGACATTTCTACCTTCATCATTCTGGGGCAGATCAAAAAATGAACGATAAGATTGTTCAAATGCTCGCGAGTCGGCTGCTATCGAGTCTTCCGCATCCCCTTCGAGTTCTTGGACGACAAGCATCTCGTCTGTGTTGTGAGCCTGTGCAAAGTTGGAATAGATGTGTCAATCACGAATCCGAAATATGCACATACCTGTCCTTTGTGCCTCTCGATCATCAAACTTGTCCTCATACACTCAAGAGTATGATACATAGCCTGATGATATCCTGCCCCAATCATGGACTCGATATCGACTATTTTTTGTTGGCCACGCTGAGTAATATTGCCCATGACACAAGCTAGACTGTTATCACTTGATGGATGGTGATATGATTAGAAATTCGAATTGTATTGTAACTTGAACCTACGACGCACAATTGTCGTATCATGGCCGAGAACGAGGCATGATCTTGTCCTGCTTTGTTAATCCGTGACCCATATATTCTCCCGGTACCATCATCGAGGTCATAAACACCTCGAGCATCACTGGTATCTGAGAATCGTAACGTGACATGGGTGACCAGCAGGACCTTCAGGGATTTGAGTATGTTTGATCTTTCAGAAACGGTCAAATAGCAGTGACTCGCCTTACTGAACTTGGCCCCGCCGAGCGAGAACTGAACGTCATCGGGTAAGCGTTCCGCCTGCAGCGCTTGGTAGACCGTGATCGGTCTAATTGATTCTGTTTCAGTTGACTTGATGACTGTTGTTTCTACTAGCAAAGGTTCACAGTCTTCCATCGTTGTGAGCACTACGCAGACGCGTCGAAACCGTTTCCAGCTTACCGATTAACACCGTCTACTGGGCCTGGGCCTGAGGCTTGAAGCTCAAAGTTCGAAGACCTTTGTGTAACAATGTTTACTGAGATGGATCATTCATCCATTTTGATGTGACTACTGATACTTGCAGAAAAAAAGAACAACTACATCAATCAGGAGAATATCGGCAGTTTCAACACCTAAGTATTCGCAAGCAACTTTCATTGTCAAAAGTACATGACCATCGTAGATTCATCAATCAGCAACCTTGAAATGCGAATCGTCAATAGTAGTAAAGACGAGGCCGTCGTCCATGAGTTTATCTAAAGCATTACTGGGGATTGCGTCAGACTGGCGGAGCCGAGCATGTCTTGTGAGACATACCTAATTGTGACAGCATCACCTCCGACAGCACGCGCAATAGAACCAACATGCACGCCTTCCTCCTTAGAAGGTTGGCTCAGCATGAACGTTATGATCGTATATTCCAACTTCGGCAAATGGGAATATTGGCTATTGTTCGTAGCCGGGGAATGCGATTGAGCTGCGTATGCAGAGCCTCCGGCCGCCGGGGGTCCGGCAGCCTGGGCCTGTGGAATTGTTTTTGGGTTTTGCCCATCGCGAGGGGGCTGCTCATGAAGATCAGATCAGTGATATCGTAATTTGGTGTAACGTACCGCTCCTTTCGCCCATATTAGTGTGACCGCCATCGCTTCCAAAAGGTGGAAGTATATCTCATGAGGCGACTTGACTGGCCGTATATGAGTTGCATTTACGTATCGCTTGCTGCCAAACATTTTCAACGTGCCGGATACGCGTACGTATGATCCCTCACTGTTCTCGCATTAGTTTTACTGCGGCCTGCGAAGGAGGAAGTTTACGTGATAGCACTCGATCCCGATCCACTCTCTTCTATTGAGGAGTCAATCCAATGTCGGGCTTCAATGCGACCCGTGCCATCGTCAAGCCAGTATAAGTTGTTGGTGGCTTGGCTCTGTATTGAAACAACGTGGCCGACGACGGTGACCTGCAAATTCGCGGTCCATCCAGCCAGCTACGTGAAAATGGATGCAAAAAATTACCTGGCCGAGTTCTGTATCATCCAGCATCCACTCCGCGTCCGAATGCGCCTGGGTTGCATTTAGGAGCTGAAGTACAGTTAGAGGTCGTAGGGAGTGGGCTATCTCGGTTCTCTATATTTCACTCAGTTCAGTAGAGAATTGGAAGGATCGTATGCAGCGTACTCGACTAGCTCCTCCCGGGCTACCGCTTGCGCTTCCATATGGCGATCCACCAGTCATGAACCCACCTCCACCACCACTGTTGCCGTAGTAGTCGTTGACTTCCCAGTATAATTAGTGGAATTGTCAGAGATAGTATGACTGCTTACATTGACTCATCTCGTTGACGTTCTTTCAGTGAGCGAACTTATCGTGATGGCACAGTGAGCAAGACACGACAGAAACGCGTAGAGTCACAAGTCACGCGTATTGCATGACATAATTCAATATGTCACAATTATATCCGATAAACCTAAGTACGTAGTGTGGCAGTAGCATGAGTAGCATGAGTAGTGAGTGGGGAGCAGTGTGGGTGTAAAGTAATATATGCGATGTCGGTATCGAAAATGGAGGCCGGCTTACTGGCCGTAATTGGTGCAAATCTTGACCATTCCTTTACCAACGCCCTCGAGTACTTTTTTACGCGACTCGCCGACGTTCTTTGCAATATTGAGCACAAAATCATGATGCAGCTAACGAATGATGTCAGGACATTATCTGATAATCGAAAGCGTACGCCTACCTCCGGGAAGTCGGTGATAGGTTTACAAGACTCGACGAAGCTCTTCCGTCGTTCAGCCGACCCGGCCACCTCGGCTATCTTCAAAAGGTCATTCGACATTGTCTTGAGTACCGTGCAGGCCTTCGAGCGAATATCCTTGAGGGATTGTACGAGCTGAAATGTGAGGAGATGGGTTAGGACACGTCTTTTCATTAAAGCCTATCATTCCACTTACTGCCCCCAATTTGTAAATCTTGACAACAGATGCGGTCTTGAAGCGATGAGATTCCACCGCAAAGAGAAGGAAAGCCTAGACTTAAAGTGAACAAAGCGTAGACTAGAACTCGAGTGAAAGTGTACTTCTTGGGTGAGTGTTGCTACATGTAGTAGGTCCGAGGGGAGGCTCTGGCTCTGTTGTAACTGCACGAAGCGTGCGTGCATATCTGTGAAAAGAGTGAGCAGTGAGCCAGCCTAGGTAAACTGAACGTACGCTCAAAGAATTGTGCCACCAGTTGAGGCGGTTCCTTCACAGGAGGAGCATCTTCGTCTTTCTTTGCATGACCATTGGCGTTGGCGTCGCCATTTAGGGCTTTGAGGTCAACACCCCTGAGCGGAAGCCCGGTCCTAAGCTCATTCTGTTTGTTGGCCTCAGCAAGAACCACCGCTGGAGGCGGGCGAGTATAGTCGTGATAGGGCTCGAGCCAGTCACTGACAGCAGTAGCCCATTCCATGAGTTGCAATTCATCAGCCGTCAACTAATGAATTGTTAACGTGAATCATGACTCGACCCATAATATCCTACCTCTGCTGCTTCTTCAGGTTTTCGAATGGCTAGACGTTCCCTGAGAGGAAGTTGGACTTCTGGTTCTGGGCTCTTCTTTGGCCGGTCACCAATCAGTAACTTCTCCTCGACAATATCATCCAAATCACTAGCATGCTGGAAAGCACGTATGTAGATTTTGATGAAATACCACAACCATCCTTGCTATTTGAGAAGAAGGTCAATAAATGCAAGTATCAACACGGATAAACAGCATACTCCAGTCGAGTTGCCAAACATCAGGGTCTGGTCGTTCAGCGAAGGTTGACATGCTGGTTGATAATTGGGCAGCATGCCAAAGTCCCGGTTGTCGTGGTGGACTGAGAACAGAAGTCAGAAACGTATGTGTATGACACTGGAGGCCCTTACAGCGATCAAAGACAAACTTCAGCTCTATCAGCTCCATGTCAATCAGATCAGAGTTGATGGGTTCATGTGTCATCCGCATGCGAACGTGCTCAAGCTTAACGACGTCACGTTGGAGGGAGTTCTCCAACCTGTCATCAAAAGAGACAAATTCTGGTATCTGTGGAGGGTAACTATCCTGGAGGCACAAGAGTATAAAAATCTGACCTGACTGTATTTCTCTGATGTGAATGCACGAATGATGAAATCCGGGGTCTATGAAAAATGAGAGAGGGACTAATATACAAGAAGGGTACTCACATCTTGGGAATTACTGACATAAATCTGGCTTGATTCTATGCATTCTGAAGGGTATGTTAGGTCTCCAGTTGCGGAAAGGGAGAAGGTCAATGCCCGTGTGAGAAGAAAGTGGGAAAGAGTGTCATTTTGGACTTGTTTTATATTGATGGCACGGTAGTGGTCCAGAGCCAATGACGAGGCTCCTGTAAACTCTTATCGGTATAAGACCTTGGGACATCCGTAGGAACACATACCAAGTAGACGGTATATGCGTACAAGTAGCAACCGAATCTGGAACGACATACGACTCTTTGTCAAAGCGAATTCCAGCACAGCGGCGGCGTTGTATAGATAGCTCTCGTCCTTGGTCATTGTCCACAGGCTGACAAATGCATGACCGACAAGGATCGCGAGATCATCGACTGGCTGAAGTTCGGTTACAGGCAAGCTGGAACCCAACTCTAGTCCCGCCATGTACTCTTCGATATAGGTGGATGTCAAATACAACTCTTTGTCTGTGGATAGTTCTGAAGCCGTAAGACTGATTCGTTGTAATTTCCGAACGTTTATCACCCGTTGCAGATCCCCCGTAGTAGCCTACATTACCAAACGGACTTAGGAGACGGGAAAGCCTAGATGGGGAGACACTACGCACAAAGGAGGACTCTTGAGATGCAAGGAAGCTTATCCATCGCAATTTTGCGTCTGCGCAAAGGTCTACACAAGGCCGCAAATCTTCGAAACAACACGCCTTATCGCCAAACTGGGAGAAGTAGTTCTCCATCGAGTCAACCAAAGTGCTCTCATCTGTTAAAGGCCCAAAATCAATCAGTGCATGAGGCCCCAAGGCAAGCAACATACCAGAGGATATTCCGTGGGAAAACGCATTTTTCTCAAGCTCCAAAAGCGCCAAGGAGGCAGAACGGTTATTTGAGCCATCTACCTTGGCGATTTCGGTAAGGAAATCGCGTGTTTTCGCAATGTTCTCGGAGCACTCTGACTTTTCCTCTTCGCTGACATCGGGCTGTTGCATTGAAGCAAAAGTGGCATCGATTACTGAAATGAACTCCAGCCAATTCCGGTCACTGAAGTGCACATCAGATTACATCAAAAGTAACATCCGATGTCCGCTCACTTGTTTTTGATCCTCTCTTGAGCCCGTTCCCCCTCGTCCTTGTATAGACCGCGTTTGCGCCAGATTTCCCTGCGAGTTTCATTGCACACGAGACTAGCTGAGCAGATCGACTTCCCGATATCACTTTCCAGCAAGGTGTTTGCTTCATCCCACAGTTGAAGCTCCTGCAGGATTATCAGGTGCAAGTGGAAGCGGTCCACGGCCATATATGATGGCGTCGGACATGATGTGACATGACGGTGAGCCAACTTGTAGAGCAATGTGCGAATGTTTGGAGGAGTGCCAAGGTCATTTGCCTACCTCCCCACAATTAGAACATGTTATTCGGAACACAATGCAATGGACAAACCTGGAGAATTGCGCCTACCACGGCCCAGTATACGTACCGGTCCCCCTGGAATAGCTTGTGCATTCGGGTTGCAACCTTAAGGACAACATGATTCGACTTGTACACATACAGAAGAAGGAACAGTGGGAAATACTCACCTGTTGGCAAGATTTCCAGTTGCCAGTTCGTACATGAGCAAAGAACGTTTGTGCGCCGAGTTCCTCGCTCTGAGGTTGTTGCTTAAACGCGTTATCAAACATGGCTACCATGTCGGAGTCTGTTGTTACAAGATGAGTTCAATACGGGCAAGCGGGAGCTAGGACCATCATGTACTTCTGGCAAGGCCCTTGAGGACGTGCGTCATCACGGACAGTGTGGAATCATCCGTGACAGTGGCAGCAAGGATCTCATCGCATAGAACTAACGCTTCCTCTACTTTCTGCGAACGCGTCAATGCAAGTGCTTTCAGGGCCTACATGGATGAAATGTTAAACCGCCTCCACAGGGATACTAGCGCACATACTTTAACAAGAGTATTATTAGTATACTTTTTAAGCACTTTATTGCATGCATTGATAGCAGACTTGTTTGATCCATGGTCCAAAGCATCTATCATAGGTCAGTTCCGACTTGCATGCAGGTTAACGATGGCCAACCATAGATGGGACGAATCTGACGTTCGAGTGCAGCTTCTGACATATTCGACGAGAGAATCTAGCTAGACTGGAGAGGTTTGTGGAGGGTACAACGAAGCAGCAAGAGAAGCTTCGAGTTGAGCCACGCGAATTTTTAGTGCTTTGAAACTTTCTCGCCAAGCGTTCCGCCGCGACCCGAAGCGGTAACTCTACAAAGTTTGATCAGTCATTGCGGCCGTGCGGTCTCTATAGCTCTCGTTGTCGTTTATCGGATCTCGTCAGATTTGGGTCTATAAATGACCTGTTTCTGGTTACACCCAAATCAAGACTTCTGAGTACTGGCAGAGTCCGGCGCGGATATTTCTGTCTACTTTTCACGAGTACAGAAAGCACCATAGCTAGTACTGCAGCACTTGTTCCTGCGTTGTTTCGATGCCTGTGCCTAGGTACATAGAGTAGGGGCACATGGACGTGATTTCCTGTTGTAAGTCTATGGGGATACGTTCCATGCAGGTATCGATGAGAACACGTCAAGGACTCCCTTTCTCTGAAATCTATGCAAACACAATATCTCTAGTGTCCTGATGTCCATCATGTCATGAACAGAAGCCATGTCCCCGACCTGCGCCATGATATTGTGATCAGATACGATTCTTTTGTATTCCCCGCCACGCTAAGAAAATTGCGCCAAAAGGTTTTCCAAGGCGAACGATCAACCTTAGCTCTCGTGACTGAGAGTCCATATCAATGGGCTCGTTCTCTCCAGGAGAGTCGCCGAACGAATCGGCCAACGGAGACTCGAGCATAGACTCGTCCACGCTCTGCGTATGGTCTGCAAAGTCAGGGAGCCCGAGGTCTTGACGATTCGATGGACGAATGAGTAAAAATGTCTGCCAAGTGGGCCTTGCTCGCGAGAACTGAATCAGTTTGTCTTGGGTAGTGATTACCAGGTCTTGAAGACCGTCTGCCTTGACTTCATAGGTGAAACGTGACTCCTGGTCTTGACCGCGCCTCCGTCTGACTTCTATTACGGGAAATGCGATGCACGGAAGTTGTAATCTGGAAGTAGCGAAACGAGGAGCGCTGGGGTTGTCGAAGATGGTATACAGTTTCAAAGCTGACTCCGCAGTCACAATATTTTGCAATGTGGAGACCGATGTCTGTATTTCGTCTTCTGATAGAGATGGCAACATGCACGGCGGAGATTTATACGAGGTAATGTCAGCTGGGAGACAGCTGTTGAACTCGGAAGATTTTCCGACCCAGTCAAGGGCAGAGATATCGCCCGAATGAGCTATGATCTCCTGCAAGAGTCGTCCGAGCGCGTTCTGTTTCTTCTCGCCGTAGATTGCAGGGAGGTGGATGCGGAAAATGCCAAACAATGAGTATGCAATGTCTTCCTGCAACGTGGTGATACGGCTCGACACCCATTGAAGTTTCTCTCGGGTCCCTCTCATCCCCGGGCGGAAGGCTATGAGCGCCTGTTTATTGATGCCCGTTGAACGTTCCAACTCCTGCACGATAGCGACTGATTCCTTGTGGTTACTTGAGCAATCGTCGAGATACAGGGTCCAATCTTCTTGGTAGAAGAGAACGATATTAGGAGCGAGGAATTCCTGGACAGTCCATCCTCGTGTATTCCAAGCGCTGCTCGCGAGTGCGTCAGACTTTGACGAAGGTGGAACATCCGATAAGTAGACGATGGTAAGTGCTGAGAGGCGATATCAGACGAACATGGAGTTCACTGATTCTTGGAGTTCAACATTATTGTTCTGATCGATGCAGCAGGTATCACTCCACGCCCAGCAATACCCCGCTTCACGAGCAGTTTTGCAGAACATCTGCAACTCCACTACGGTTCCGACCGGATCCAAACCATACACGGCCTTGTCCTGGATGTCGTGCAGCAGCGGCTCCTTGCTTTCCCACCTATGCGATAACATGACCCAACGGAAGTACATCTCTACTGCTTGTTTGATGGGCCCCGTTTGAAGGCGCGCACGCGCCATTGATGAATACAAAAGCTCCTGGTACTCGTTGCTCGTGATGAAGGTATGAATCTGTGTCTGTCGATCACACAAACTCCCAGTGGAGGTGTTAATTAGACGAAGCGGGGCATTCTCAAGTTGTGCGTAAATGGCTGTCTGAAAAGCACATTCTACATCTGATGGACTGACATACTGTTGATGCAGCTCCGTAAAAAAAAATGACATCTTCGACTTAACACGCAAATTTTTCGGACTTACGTCGTATCTGCGGGTCTTGGGGAATCATCCAACTTGGAGAGCATGATTTTGAAGGCTTGGACTGCTTCACCATAGCGTTGTACACCTTGAAGCGCTTCATGCTTCAGTTCGTAACCAACATAAGACGAAGGATCGAGTTCCACGACCTATAAAATCAGCACCACGGTCAGCAAGATGGCTAGGAAAAATCATGTATATCACCTTCTCCGCGTCATGAAGAACCTCCGCATATAGGTTTTGCGTAAACTTTGCCTTACTGCGGTGTGCAAAGGGGATGTGGCATGAAGAATCCAGCGCGATCGCTGCCGAATACAGTTCAATAGCCGTCTCGTAATTGTTTATGGCGGCGGCAGCATCTCCTTTTGCGACACAGCGCGCAGTGCAGTCCTGCTTGAAGGCTAATCGACACCAGAATGAGTCTCGACGTTCAAATCATACAAGATCCTCACGTATTCACCGGTAGACCATTCGAGAAAACTGGGCGTCGCAACCTCTTCAATCGTGCGGCGTATCATATACTGATGAGACCCGACAGCTTTGAACACTCTATCTGTGCGGAGGAATGCGTCGCACCGTCTTTGGTTGACGGTTCGCCATAACGAATCCAAGTCCCAGCCGAAGAGCTGTCCAGTATATCATCAATCAGTGGAAGTGGCCTCCGCGGCGTCGTAGTGACGCACCACAGTGAATATCTTCAATCTAGGTTCAGCAAGCACTCCGCGAGAGAATAAATCAGTTATACTGGGAATGTCATCGCCAAGTCGATCGGCTGCTTCGTCGTACCACCCATCATCATAAGCAATTGTTGCAAGCTGTACGCGTAGATATGATTGACGAGTGCGTTCGAGAGTGAGAAGACTTGTGAGGTTTGAACTAAGGCTTACGTTGACAACGCTGCACAGAAGTGTATCGGATCGTTGATAAGCGGTGGCGAGTTCTTGAACTCGTCGCACTGCCTGATCATGGCGACTGGCATTGAAAAGTGCAACAGCCTAGAAAACATGACACCGAAGTCTTATCACGAAAGACTGGCTATGAAAACAGTGCGAGAATACCTTGATCAATAGTAAAAAGTCGATAGCAATCGGATCACGATTCGAAAATACGAAAGCGAGATCAAAAGCTTCCATTGCATCGTAGAGCTGCTGGGTGCCGCAGAGGGCGATGCCCTTGGAAATGTAACCCAATAACGAGGGTTGGATAGCAATCGACTATACGAAAAATCCGAGTCAACCTGTCGTCAACAGCGTCATGATAGGCGAAGTGCCCTACCTTAATTGCGTCTTGCAGCGCGTTGTCCCACTCGAAATTACGCGATCTTACAATTGAACGATTGGCATAGGAGTCGTAGTTGTTGCCGTCCGTGTCGGTCTCCCGGGTCAGCAGCCCGTCATCAGGATGCAGGCCCCCAGTAATGAATGCATTGGGGACTGTCGTGTTTATGCCGAGGATCTGCATGAAGCAAGCTCACGTTCCATGATAAGTAGATGCATCAAAGGCGAACACCTCACATTAAATAAAGAGTGTTGATCGCCAGCGAGCTCGTCATTATGAATATTGTTCTCGTGGCCGCGTACGTGACAGGCAGCTGTTACACAATCGGAGTGTGAATGAGCAGGAATGCAGAATTATGATGTACAGTACCCGCATGTTGCTGCCAAAAAGAAGTCGCAGTCGCTCATCCCCTATTATCCTTTCTTCTGCTTCATATTGCTCACGTATATTCTTGATAGACCAGAGCCAAACGATCCCACCATCGCTTCCACTCACGACCATTTCTTCATTGGGAGAGATTGCGACACTATTAACCCGAGCGTCGTGTTCGAGCGACTGTCCTATTTGCCTGTGTGTTTTTGTGTTCCACAGCCGCACAGTGCCGTCCGGCGAGGCAGTTGCGATGAAAGAGCCGCTAGAAGATATGGCAAGCGAGGTTACATGATGAGTGTGACCGATGCAAGGTTGACCGATCGGATCCCCGTTAAACGAGTTGAAGAACTTGATTGTTTGGTTCTCCAACGCAGAGATAATTTACTGGCCGTCAGGCGACCACACAATACTTTTGATGGTTGTTTCAACCTTGATCTTGAGAAGTTCTTGGGCGATGTTATCGGCGCGGCCGACCTGGATGGTACCTCCTGACACAGAGGCTAATTTTAGTCCATCTTGGCTGAATGCCAAAGATCGCACATGACTATAATGTCCCTTGAATGTCTGGAGTACAGCGCCAGTCTTCGTGTTCAATATGATAACTGTAGTGTCAGATACCCCGCCGCCGGTAGCAAGTTTCGTGCCATCAGGAGAGAAACACAGCAATCAAACTCCTCTCAGGCTCTCGTGGTTCTACAGCTGCAATACTTTCTGGTTGCTCTCGACGTCCCAGATGATAACAATATTATCTTCTGCACCGCTCGCAATTCGCGTCTCGTCTGGCGATATGGAGAGTGATGTTACCCAGCTACGGTGTCCCTCGAACAGCACTCCTACCAATTCTCCCTTCTCCACGTCCCATATTCAAGCGGTATAGTCATATGCGCCAGTGACGGCTCTTCGACTGTCTTTGAAGAACGCCACTGCACGCACACTATCTGTGTGCCCTCGCATCATCCGCATCGGTGCTGGTGCCACTGCCCGCCCTCTCAACATAAGATACGCGTCTCTTACTACATTAGGCACCCTTGACATGTCGCGTTTACCTAGACGGAGACAACGGTCAGTAGTACTTGAAGTCGATGAGGAACGTACTTTGGGTATATGGTTACGTGGTCGATCTTGTGGTGAGTAATTTTTAGTGTAGGACCTCTGCCTATAATCCAATCTATTATAGGCGCTTGTGTGCGCTCCTTGTTACCACGATATTACGCTTTGAATCACACGTCGGTTCCATCATCACTGTCCTCTTCACAGCGCCCGTCCATTACTTGTTTTCCAACAACCAGGTTGCCGTGAATCCCATAACACGCAAGTTCTTGTCTTACACTACCACATCTTTTTGCGGTGTTTTCGGCGCCAAGTGTCGCATCACTCGCATATCTTCCCGGGTGTCCGGAGGCATTACTCCGACACCCTCCCGGCTAGTCTTCCGATGAGTTGACTCTTTCCGCTCCGGCGCGCCTTCTGTAGGTTTGTCGGTCGCGGGAGGCTTGCTTCTGCGTTGAGACGCGGTTTGTAGGTGTACCTACGTATCGCAGTAGCAGCGAAGTCTACTTCCCCCCTTACGGCTACGGACCTGCCGTATCACCTGCTCATAATTTTTGCATGTTGGATCAATCTGCTCATTGCAAGATATTTAGCTGACAACGATCGTATTGAGATCATTCAGCACAGATCTACCCCTCTTGTGCTACTCTTCTGATCATAGTACAATGACGATAAAACATTGTCAATTTCTGCTAACGGTACGAGCGAGTCTACCGTGATGTGGTCTTGATTCTTGAGTACCATGACATGACCCTGCCAAGCATCACATGCGAGCTCAATGTTGTCCGCTTCTCTGCCGTGAATCACCCAGACCTGACTGTTACCTTGTTCTAAATACAAGGACATTATCACCCTATTATCGTGGCAACGCTGTTGGCCAGTTTGATTAACTCTGGTCTTTTTCTTGATTGTTCTCGATGGGTGGATGCAACGGACATTGTCTGCACAAAAAATCAAGGTTTGTCGTGTGTATGTCATTTTCAAGATGAAAGCATGAAGAATCTAATATGCAGGTACTTGACCAGCCCTGCGCCATACACTTGCACTCGCACGGGCACCAACCAGTCCAGAGGCAGGGGTTGTGGTACCACTGCTGCTCGTGCAATGGTGGTGGCCAGTTGCAAACCCAGCACAGAAACTGATCTTCAAATTTGATCAGAGTCGGGCTACGGTGACATACCATCATATCTGCGTCTCTTCCCTGGTGATCATTCCCAATAGGTGTTGGATGTTTTGTATACTGAGTAGTGATTCGCATCCCCTACTAAGCAGTGAGGCGATCAAAGTAGCGGCCGCAGGGCTGATGAGGGCACAACCATATCATGATATTGATGAAGCCTATTCACGCGTATTATGATTTCTATTAGCCCCATTGTAACACAAGCAGCTCGTATTTTGACTGTAGCGGATAGCATCCACCGCTACGCAAAGAACTGAGCTCAAAGAATGGCATGGAATGATCGCTACATACCAATTGCTATTACTGCATACATCCCAGACATACACAAGGCATAACTGAGCCAGAAGTGGTCAACCGACTACTCTGGAAGATGTTTCTGCCTCTCTCTCGAGCGCATCCAGCTTTTCCTCCCGTTCACGCTTCCATTTTGCCCATTTCCACTGAACGAGTGCCGCAAGCTGTTTGTCTGGCGGGGGTGCGGTGCGTGGATGCGTTTCGTGAAGGTAATAGGCAAAGCAACCCGTGAAAATGCCTAACACCGGGTCGAGTCCACTGGTTATTATAAGTGCAAGCTTTTCGAACGGCAAGGGTTGTACTTACCGTGACAGTAAGACGGGTGTTGGCATGCTCGGCGCAAAAATGATTGGTCATTCTGGGTCTGAGCTTCTTTCCGTGCGGCCAGAGTGGCTGTGCCAATCGTACAAGTTGTTTCATCTACTGGTATTGTATTTAGTTTATCACCTTCCCTGTGCAATGCCAGTGAATGTAAGTCGCCCAAGGCTTCGTTCTTTATCTAATAATTACAATCGCAACTGGTTTTTCGCTATTCGATTCGAGTACGGGTTAAAACACGGAACAGTGACTCGAGCCTGCATGCGCACTTGCTTGTCACAGTAAGTCGAATGTATGGGCGGAGGATTTATTAAGAGGGAAACTAGGGCGGGAAGTGGCGGAGGATTTGCGCAAAAGTTTCGTTCCGATTTGCCATTTCGTTCAAATAGTACTTGTATACGAATGACTTTCTTCCTTCGTTCATAGAAGTCTGTCTAACCAGGGAAGACTACGGCACAAGATAAACGTGTTCGTGCTGCATGTTTCGCGGTTGCATAAATTTGAAGCTTCCCTTTCGAACGTATGTTTGTCGAACAGTAGAAACCCAACTGGCCAACCGATGTTGCAAGGAGCGCCTGTCATGGCGAGGCAAGGCGCATTACAAGGGACGACAAAAGATGAAAGACGAGCCGAGCAGAAAAGATGTCTGGCTGCAGAATTCACGACACCTCCAGACGCATGTGCTTTCGAGTGGGTAGTGTGCGTATAATGAAGGAATATGACGGGTATTTATGAAGGTGACGATCGCGGTGACCTCCTCGGAAGGAGCTGCAGAGATGTCAGAATATCGACCAGATGTGTAGAACAAGATTGATTTGATGTGCTCTCATCTGCGGACTCCTCCCAGAACCGTGATCATGGGGTGATGACACATAACACTGAAAGCGCCAGCGTTAGGAGGAGTGACCACACCATTGAACGTACTTTCACTGCAGTAGGAAACAAATACTATTCTATTAGCTACCTGCTCATCCACGCACATAGTGGTGTCTGAATGGCTAGCCACCAATCAAATGGTACAGTTGTTAGTCTGTTCTTGGCGTTACGCCCATGCATCAGTAAAGTTGATTGTCTCATAGGCGGCATTATCATGATGTGTTGCTCTCAAGTGACACGCCAGCAAGACTGCTAAAATGTTATTGCAATTAATGCGATCCATAAGATAAACATGATAAATGATGAGAGTCATGTGCACTCATGCGCTAGCAGCCCTGCAGGGAGATAATCAGACAGAGAAGAAGATCCACCAAGGACACACTCACGCAACTCTTTTTGGTTGGACTGTCTCCACAGCCTCGATCTCAAGCTCCGAAAGAGCGCGATTTGAGGCAGGCTCCTGAACTAACAAGTTCCCGTCCACGCCACCCATGCGTTCACAAATTACCAGTGCCTGGTGATGGAATTCCACGGGAACACCCTCAGCCTTGTCTGGCAACAGAATATGGGGAAGAACACGAGTGTGAAACAAGCGATGAGCCACAGAACCACCCTGCGAAATGGACGCGCGAGTGATGATCACAACACTTCAGGTTTGTAAAGTGATACAGCGCGAAGGGACGTACGAATTGATGATAGACACCGCCCATCACGGATTGCACCGCGTCCCCCATGACTTTGTAAAGACCCACACTTCTAACGATGCCAGGATTTCCCGTTAGTGCATTTTCTAGTTCAAAATCTGCGGACTGTTTTGCTTTTGCAGAAGATTTTTTGATGTTTTTGTGGGCCAGTAAAACATCTTGAGAGACAGTAGGAGTCCATCGCAGAATACGACCCAGGGACCACCGAGGTGCAACGTGTTCGCCTAGAAGGTAGGTGTTTAGAGCACGAGAAGAGAGGTATTCATAGTCGTGCTGATTTTGGTTCCGCGCAACGGAATGCAGGAAGAGGAGATAATAAGACTCGAGCACGCGACGTCCTGTAAAAAACAATTAAGTATTTGATATACATATGACGGATGGCGAAAGTCTTTCCTACGAAGCTGAGCCGTCCATTATGACCGTGAATAGCTGCCTTGTGACTTCCATGGGTGAGGATACGTTGTGCAAGCTCGGGAGGAAAACGGAGGGAGGGGAAGACGTTATTTAAGTGAGCAGCAAACTGTGCACTATCCTCAGCAACTGGGAACGGTTGAGGAGCTCTTTTGAAGGAACTAAGGGACCGACGAAATATTCGGGACATGTTGCAGCGCTAGCAGAACAAGTTGTAGTCTGACTTGCAATAAGTTTTAGCTTCTTGCTTGGTTTCCATAAATGGAATGTGTGTAACTGATGGTCCGTGCGCGTGTTTGTGGTGTATATAAGCGCGGTGTCGACACCGTAACAACTCATACTTACCTTGATGGCATAGGCTCCTTCAAGTACCTGGGTTTGTGGGCCGTGGGGACCCTTCATAGCACGGCGACCCTGTCCATACAGAGGGTATCTACGGTTTGTATGGGCTCCGGCTCATGCACCGTCTCAATATTTTCCAGTCCTGCCACGGCCACTCTGGCTTGGCAGGCCGTTCTTTTTTGATCTTTGGTAGTCCTAACCCTAACCCTAGTATATTCTAAAAATGGAAAATACCATCGATATGTGTTCTAGCTATTAACTAGGCGGTAAAGATGATTCATCACCCCATGGAATGTCTTTCTTTCATCAGCATTACCTTCCCTACGAAGTGCAATTCCAACTACAACACTTTTTCGGTCTACAGCCATCTTCTTTGCTTCCTCAATCCAGATAATTGTGGCAATCTGAGCTGCGTATAGCGAATGCAGCGTTTGCAAATGTTCAGAGGATGCCCCGCCGAGTAGTGGTGTAAGTTGAATGGCTGCGGGGGGCGTAGGGAATTCAGTAGTCAGAGAATTTGATTCCTCATCGTGAGCCGACAATAGGGGTGTCGTCAATGGAATGGATGCTTGAATCTTTTACATCCTTCATTAGTAGTTGAATCAAGTGCAAACGCTAAAAGTGCACCAAGTTGCCAACTTTGCCCATTTGTGTAACAAGTACGAGGATGCGATCTGCAAATCCTTGTACCATGATTTCCGTAGGTACACCCTCGAGCTCTACTGAAGTGGAATGTATGCTGAGCATGGTGATCGATAGGGAGATAAAGACGGTTTAGTACGGAGATCTAAGTCCTTAAGTCCCGTTGTCATCTATTTGTTCCGTCAACGCATGTTCTCTTCAAGGAGAAATGTACCCTGACGCCCGAAACTCTCCTTCCAAGGGAAAAGCAAAGCAAGCTGATGCACAAAACTGGCACTCACACTGGTGGGATTTTCATCCCCTAGCAGATCATCTCAAAAGGTCGCTTCCAATAAAACTTACTCAAAACTTTTCATCTAATTTGCCTATGCTTTAAGACCCGTCGCGTGGTCCAATGCATCAACCATATTCACTCCGCACCCTTCTCAGCCCTTAATACTCGGAAGATTGTTTTCTTCCTCAAAACAATTTATCATCGTATCTCCAGATCAAATATTGAACAATCCTGCTGCTTATGAACCTCCGAATGTTATCACAGTTTCATCCAATGACCATTGGTTATTCGCATACTTTCCAGGCCGCGACCGTGACGGTGTCGCATGTCTGTGGCAACGTGGATACAGTATTGACAAGTGGAATATCAGAGATTACTGGGCTTGCGAACGAGGCGCTGGTATAGTCAATGCTGTGTTCGTCGGCGCTGAACGCGAGGTGACATCATCTTTTTTTTCCACATTCAAATCATTAAACCTCATACTAGTGGGTCGCATGCCCAGATGGTTCTACCACTCGCTTGACTCAATCTGGACCCCTGACTCCTGTCTCTAACCCCACCCTACTCGCAGTAACCCAGGCTCACCAACTAAATGTCTACTTCCTGCGGACTTATGCGCCAGGTGTAAAATCTTTGACCTGTTCCCTCGTGCAGCCGTCCTGTACTGCTGAGAACATGAGCCAAGTTGCTCATGATCCTCCCCGTGGACCCAAGACTTCCAGGCTCTGCAGTGCAGCTTCCTTCAGTTTCATTTTCCACGGTGAAGCTGTACTTTTGGCCATTGATCGCAGTCATCTGACATCGTACACGTCTCAGATCGTACGCGTCTTGCAGAGTCTGTGTTTATGGTCGCCATGCGATCCCGACGCTATCCGTTATCGGATACCCTAAGAGCAGCAGCATCGGATAGCTCCCACGATCTCGGACTTTCTCTTGATATGTCTATAGATAATCAACTGGATGAGCGCCCGCCATTGTTGGATTGGAATTCTTACGAAGAGGAACAAATGATCGAGCTTTGTGAGGTGAAACTCCGTTTCGACGGCATGTACATGTGTACGTCCTCCAAAATGTAGAAACACATATTTCTAATATCTTCGTGTAGTCCTCTTCGCCGCACCTCTCTCACCCATCTATCATCCCGGGCCTTGCCTGACAAACTTCATGTTCGTCTCGGTACCTGCGTTCAAACCAGATACTTCCACTTCGCCCAAAGCATCGCCAACGAAAGACAAGCAACCCCAACGTGGTCAGCTAGAACTACCTACAACATATCTAGTCGCATCATTCTTGGATTTCGGGGAATGTAGGTTGGCTCACATTGTTGAGTACTCATTTTACTCAATAATCAATTGATTGAAAGACGCATCGCTGCCAAAGTCTCGCATAGTTGCATATTCAATAGTCAGGGTCGTTCCTCCAAATGGAAAAATTCCTTGGGTGAGTATTCCTACTTCATCACGAGCCAATTTCTGATTAAACTACGGGTAGGCTGCTCGGCTTGTCGGAGATCGGTCTTTCTCTCCTCGCATTCTTACAGTTGCTGCCCCTGGCTCTTTGTCGATCGCAACGAGAAAGGTAACGGTAATTGTCGCAATAACCAACCCAGGGGGTCCGTTGCCACGAGGCGCAGCCAAACCGAAAGACATCCCTGTGGGCAATCTCTTTGCCTTGCAACTGTAAGCCATCGATTTTACTAACAATGCTCTTGTTCTGACTGTTAGCAGACCTGACCTCTCTGATCATCCCGACTACGATCATCCAAGTATTCTTGCACCTGTTAACAGAACGAGCAGCGATTGTGAGTCCATCTTTACGCTTGCGGAGCAATGATTAACTCTCCCGGGACAGGTCCTCTGAGCATATTCATATCGCCTAATAAATTACTCGCCTGTGCAGTTTCGATGTTGCAGACCTCCGTTTACACTCTTCCAAGGGCACGGATTACTTCAGGATCGAAAGGTCGGTAACGTTACCACCCACCTGGGTCGATACTTACGCACCTTAGACACCCTGCATCAGTTGCCACTTGCACAAGCCCTGACTATTGCACTTCAATCTCGAAGATCCACAGCAGATATCTCTCACATTCTGTCTCTACCAAGTACTCCAGTCGCAATGCTGCACGATACGCTATTCGGTACGTTGACCTCCTATGAAGTGAATGCTCGTCTTGGCACCGCGAACCCGTTTACGATGGTCGACGTGATGGGAGTCGCTGTTGAGATCTACAGGTGATGAATTTTCATATTTTCCAATGCATGTATGCTGATGCGCAACAGAGCGAGGGCACGTCGAACGCAGAACGAAGATGAAAAAGAGAGGTATTTGATGCTCTCGCGAAACGCTCTCAATGTGTGTTCTGTCTCTGCTTGTCTCGCCGCTTTTGAAGACTGCAAAGAGTCAGAGGGATATGACCTCGGTGAGTTTGTTGCGGATTCATGACCGTTGAAACAAACACTTAGCGTAGTCACTTTCATTCTTTCAAAAGAGCCCGTCTGGCAGTTAATTAGCCTGTCAACTTGGGTGGTTGCTTTCTTGGAGGATCTCATGAAAGAATGCGTCTTTCTGGCTGACCTGGCCGACCCAACCCCAAACACGAGCCTAAATCCCAATGAAGTAGTGCCGAAGGAGGAACCTATGGACGATAACCCATTTCTACGAAACTGGCTCACATCCCCTTTTCAACAAGCCACGAACCAATCGCCTCATCCAGTGTCATTGGACGCGCCGATACTTCTCCATCTAGTCCATCCACTTGTTCTCACAAATCTTAGGGCCGTAGTGTTCCACGTCAGCTCTTTTCACCAATATTTGGCCTCGATGACAGCAAAACGGGAGAACTCGCAGTTCGCGAGGGATACCATGCTAGACCTCATCAATTCATCAGGCTTGGACTTGAAAGTCCTCGAAGACATTCTCAGCACTGCGATCCCTGAAGCAAGTGCAATTCCAGGTGCGTGTCTCAATTCCCTATGTATGTATTGGACGCTGAAAGCTTAAACTCATTTAGTGGAAGAAATCATGGCTTCGTTCGCCGAGGGACATCCTGTGCTCGCGCAGCATGAACAATTGAAGAAAACCATCCGATCGCTCACTATATCATCTGCGATAGACAGGCCTAGTTTGTTCATCAAGTCGTCTGATCTTATCGACGGATTTGCGAATCTGTCAGCATCGGATCGTCCTGTGGGAGACGATCCGGGGGTGGACGTGGTGACAAAGGGAAGGCTTCTGACGCAGAATCCTGGGCTACTTTGTTTGAGGTGCGGTGGGCGCTCACAGGTCGGAGGTGATGTGATGGTTGGGGGACATTCATCTCCGAGATGGAAGGCTTGGGAAAGGATGTGGACGGCGAGGTGCATCTGTGGGGGATCTTGGGTGAGCGGGAATATCTAGCGTGTATGAATACGCTGCGCCGTACTGTGCACCCTTGACTTGATTGACTAGATACTACTTGCCATGTTGCATCTCCCACTAACCATTATTGTACTGAGTTCTTGGTCTGCATCGCGCAATCCCTGAAATTAAGTGCATTACAATTACCGGGCCGCTTTGCAATGTGCAACTCACTTCCTCGACACAGCCATTGATCGATCGAGACTTGCTTCTTTTTTAAGGTTTGTCAGATCTAGGCTGGGCCCTGAGCTAGTGTGTACAACTAGTACAAACAAAGTGCCACAAAGAGAATAAGATTTCCTCGGGGATTCTTGCACACTTGCACCAGACTACACGCAGACCGCGCCGGAGGTTCCCATTTCGAGATGCCAAAAGTTACGTTGCCACAGCTGCCCGTGTCTGGGCTATTCGCTATCATGAAACCATCCGGGCCGACATCTATGTCTGTCATCAACGATCTCAAACAATTGATTGGCAACTCGCGTTTGTTTGTGGAAGCAGATAAATTAGAAAAACGCGGTAAAGGTAAAATTCCTACTAGGGGGAAACGCGCACGAGAGATAGTGAAGATAGGACAAGGGGGGACGCTTGATCCTCTTGCTGATGGCGTTCTGGGTATGATCGCGTCCCGTTGCCGTAGATCCTAGAGTCATCTCATCCCTGACCTTCTCATCCAGTCGTAGGTATCGGTAAAGGGACCAAGCGTCTCAACGAATTCTTGGATTGTGTAAAGGTATTCATCCATGTGTCGATGAATTTAAGTTCAAGGGGGTTCACCGAGATTCATCAGGAATACCGCACGACGGCGCTTTTGGGATGCGAAACTGATACCTACGATAGTGAAGGTAGCCGAGTGCGTGTTGCACCCTGGAGACATGTCACTCGAGAAGCCGTGGAGTCCGCATTAAATAATTTCAGAGGGGAAATACACCAAGCGCCCCCAATGTAAATATGTGATTTCCCTGCACCTGCCTGATTTCATATTATCCTTGTCAGTTTCTCCGCGCTCAAGATGGAAGGAAGACCGTTGTACGAGTATGCTCGGAAAGGCATACCCCTGCCCCGGCCTATCGAGAAGAGGAAGGTCACTATACACTCCTTGGACATTCTCGAATGGAAAGGAAGTGACCACCAATTCCGTTGGCCAGAAAAGGCATTCACTTCTGATGAAAAAAAAGCAATGGAAAAGGCTTTAGAAGGAGTCGAAGAAAACCCTATCATCAAAGATGAACTAGAGCCTGCGGTGGGTGACGAGCCTCCGACGTCATTCGTACTCAGTATGAAAGTGTCCGGTGGGACATATGTACGCTCGATTGTGCATGATCTCGGTCATGCTGTCGGATCAGCTGCCCACGTTGTAACTTTGACTCGTTCTCGACAAGGCCATTTTGCGCTAGAACCAACTGCCGATTCCGAAGACAAAGGATGTGTTCCTTGGGACGTATTTTCGCGGGCTTCTGAATCCGAGGGCGGTGTAGGCGAAGACGGCTGGACACAATGGGAGCGGGAAGTCATCGATCGCCTGGAAATCATTGAAGGTTCGAAGCCCCAAAAAACTTCCTGACATTACAGTACGCCCTCTTGCTGTCTTGCTGTCATTCTCTGTATTAGGTTGCGTTTGATTGGGTGGTTTTGTCCCTGCAAATTTTGACGTCATATCTGACGGGCAGACAGCTTATCGTACATTTATAGCACTATGCACTTGACGATGGCCTAGTCTCCCCTGGCCAGACCAATCGAAGGAAGATAATTGTCCCTTCATAGTAAGACGAAGGCCTAGGGATGGTCTGGGCGGCATGCGAGCGCAGTCATTGCAATCCGAATGAGTAGCTTGAGCGCCTCAGTATGATGCTTAGTGTGTGGTTCTTATCACCCTCACGCTACTCAAAGTTTGATCAGGAGTTTCGAAGAACCTCATGTTCGTATCTGGATGCGGAGGCCCATCATATTTTTGCTAATTTCAATGGGAGAAGTGTTTATCGTTGTTCGCAGCGCTGTTAAGCCGCTTCCGTGAAATGAGGTACGGATTTGGCTCCTTCGCCTTGATGCATGATTTTCTTGACGTATGAATCCGTCAGTACGGTCTTCGTTGTTTCATTTAACCCAGGAACAGTACATTCCATGCTTGCGAACTGATGGGTACCTTCTGACCCTTATTTTTACCCGCAGGTATTTTGCAGACTCTTGGCAGTGGAACGGATCAGATACAGTCACATGTGAGATCACTCAAATTGTTGGATTCACAGGTGGGGTCAGGTGACTTTCATAACCTGCGAAATTTCCTGGGGCAAAGCACATCAGGATACTCCTGTCGCGCGTGAAGCTAATCTGCCAAAGTGAATTGGTTTATCGTAGGCGTGCATGAGGCCATAATTGCCGGCGAAAATCCGCGAACTATCTCCCAAAGTTGTCTCGACTGACACCTTTACCAAATTTGCTATGAAATTCTCTCGCCGACATGACACTAGAAGAATATCAACTCAATTGAACTCCATAACATGCAGGTTTCATATAACGGTAGAGAGTTGAATGCGGCCACTGGGTGGCGATAATGCTTTAGAAGAATAATGAGTGGGTAAGCGACAACCTCCCCGTCGCCTGCCAGCGGCCGATACCAATTACATTGACTCATCATTCTATTGCAGTTCTTGATGTTCTTTAACAAGGCGTTTGTGGCCTAATGGGCACCTTGAAAACGCCAGCGACGGCCCGTAAGGGACCGCGTTATCCGGCTTCGGGCCGTATAACCCGGGCATACGAGAATCGCCACCATCATGATGAAGTCCAGGGTCCTTATATACCCTGGCCTTTGAAACCTAAGTCATTGTGTCTCCTTCACGGATATCTCCTTCATCATGAGTTTCAACGGTAATGGTACACATGCTTCAACGGTTCGCCCTTTGAAACCTGGCATTTATGCGCCAATTCCATCGTTCTTCCTTCCCGAGTCCGAAGATCTCGGTCAGTGTCTCCCGTTGCATGTCTCAAAGTATCTCGTAGTCGCAGAGCGCAGTACTGATCAGTCATTTAGACATCCCCTCTTTTGAGAACCATGTCGTCCGTGTCGCAACTGCCGGAGTTGGACCGCTTTTGGCTGGGTCGATGGGCGAAGCTATCCATTTATCACATGAAGAGCGGGTGATATTGATCAAGACTGCAAGGAAGGCACTTGACCATGCGGGGTTATTAAACATTCCGGTCATAGCCGGCATCGGCGCCGGCAGCACTCGCGAGTCCATAGACCTAGCAAATGAAGCCGCTGCAGCTGGTGCAGACTACGCCATCGCTATCACCAGCGGTTACTTTGCTGGTGCACTTGCTGGCGACAAGAAGGCACTGAAAGCTTTCTTCCAAGAAGTTAGCTCTAAGAGTCCCATACCAGTAATAATCTACAATTGTGCGTGTCTTTGTTTGAAAATATTTGATGACAAGTACCTGACCGTTATCTTAGACCCTGGTGCCAGTGGAGGTATCAACTTGGACTCAGACCTCATCACTGAGTTGGCTATTGAGTGCCCGAATATCTGCGGTGTCAAGCTCACGTGAGTTCCTCATCAATCGTCCATGCAAAATGTGTATTGATCGTGTCGATTAGCTGTGGAGATGTCGGGAAGCTTACCCGCGTGGCAGCCACGGTCTCGGATCCGATGTTTTCATCTCTTCACCCCCGGACAAACAAGAATGCGCCTTTCCTTGTCCTTGGCGGATTCAGCGACTTCCTTTTGCCGTCGGCGTATTCAAATGGGGATGGTGCTATTACTGGCCTTGCAAACGTTGCTCCTGTACGTGCTCAGTTTCGGATGGAATTTCTCTTTCCTGATTTGCGTTTGTTTTAAGTATGCTATTGTCAAACTCTTTGAGTTAAGCGAGGCTTCGATAATTGATCCTTCCTTCCTTCCCGAGGCACAGCGGCTGCAAGGCATCGTTGGGCGTGCAGACGCCACCATTGCAAAGGCGTCGATTTCAGGAACGAAATACCTTCTCCAGAAATTGTACGGCTATGGCGGCCATCCCCGAAGGCCCCTCCCGCCCATTGAACCTGTAGTAGCCGAGGCCTTGTGGGAGCATTCGCACACGCAAGCCCTCGTGCGTCTTGAACAGGAGGTCAGCGGAAAGGTGCGGTAAGAGCAAGTCAGGGACTGAGCGCACGGGTAGCATCTGCGCATGATGTATGTGTCGGAAGCCCGAGCTCGCTATGGTATACTCATTCGATGAACATATTTCGTGTTTATTATTTCGTGTACATATGCAATTATTGTAGCAAAGATTCAACTCCAGGCGGCCCTTTGACGGCCCTTGATGCATGATGCTGTGTGGCACACTACTTGGCAAATACTCCATGAATCCACAATCAAATTAAACAAAGCCCGATTTCTCATACTTTAGGGCACCTCCTTTGCCCCCGAAGTGTGCGATTGGCCTCTAAACGACCAGAAATCAGTGGTCGGACCGCCCGTGACGTTGCTGTGAGAATCGGAGGCCGCTTTGCCATGAACTCAGCTCATGGTCTTTCAGAAGATGCTAAATTTAATAATGTTTCTGTCGCGAGTGCGAGCACAATTGGCGCACACCCGTGTTTCCATTCTCATGCTGTACGCGAAAGTGACAGGATGAACTTTGATCATGGAATACTTGTCACCATATCGCTGAGCTCCGTAAGTTATGTACGCAAAGCTCTATATACACGTGGCAGCTTTCGATGATCAGCGATATGCAAGTCCTTTATATATCTAGCCGGCCCAAGTTTCTATTACTTACTATCGATGCCAGCAGGTTAGCTGAGAATCGCTCGGGAAGGGTGAGGAAGGGTGCCTCCAGGGTGCCGCGGGCCTTATTTTTCCGATGATGATCTCTATTTACCTCCGTTATCATGACCTATGTATTTAACGAGTGTTTTATGTAACACATGCGTCCAACTTAGACCGTCTCTTTTGTCAACCGCGACCATGTCCATGCTGGCGTTCAGGCCGCCAGCAGCGAGGCTGGGCTGTCGGCCAATAAGTCTCTACACTTCAAGGCGCAGCAGCCTCCGATCACTCACTTCAGGTCAGTGAAATTGTATATAATTGGCTCCGGATTGGCCTCATAATGACATATCTCTACTTACAGCGCTTCGTTCATTTCACTCCTCATCGCGTAATGCGAACGAAGCCAAAGCTGTCCCAGAGGCACCAAAGGTTTCTGGTATGTACTTGTCCTTCATCTCAACCTGAGGCCTCTCCTTAACACGTTTTGACGCCAGGCATCCCTTATGCGTCTCTGACAGTCGGAGCACCGCGAGAGACATTTCCGGATGAGCGACGGGTATCTCTCACGCCTCATAACGTTACCCTCCTTAAGAAGAAAGGTTTCACTAATGTTCTTGTCGAGAAACACGCTGGTGCACAGGCTCAATTCCTGGATGAAGAATATGTTGCAGCCGGGGCTACTGTCGTATCTCGAGATGAACTCTTCGATAGAACGGATATCATGCTCAAAGTACAAGCACCGTCCGTTGCTGAAGAGGCCAAGGGCATGAAGGAGGGAAGCACGGTCATTTCGTTCCTATACCCTGCAAAGAACAAGGCCGTGGTAGATGCGCTGGCTTCACGTAAAGTTAATGCATTTGCTATGGATATGATTCCTCGTATTTCTCGTGCTCAGACGTTCGATGCGCTGAGGTCAGACTCAATCACGGCTTGGCATGGAGAAGCAAGTATTGACCAGCATTAACAGCTCAATGGCAAACATTGCTGGTTACAAGGCTGTATTAGAGGCCTCTAATCATTTTGGAAGATATCTTACGGGTCAGGTTACCGCAGCTGGGTCAGCCTCAATTGTTTGTTTTGCTTTCCATGTCTAACTGGAATTGGCCTTCTTTAGGAAGGTAAGCTATCCGCGGCGCAGTGTTCAACGTCGTCTCATACGACCTTAGATTCCACCTGGTAAAGTTCTCGTCATCGGCGCAGGTGTTGCTGGATTGAGTGCCATCGCTACTGTAAGAACAATCTAATTGTTGTGCTCACGTTTTGCTTATGATACCGTTACGCTAGGCTCGTCGGCTTGGTGCCATTGTTCGCGGGTTTGATACACGGTCTGCAGCTCGTGAACAGGTGCAATCTCTTGGTGCAGAGTTCTTGGAAGTCTCCATTGAGGAAGAAGGAGGAGGCGCCGGTGGTTACGCGAAGGAAATGTCTAAGGAGTTCATTGAGGCCGAGATGGCGCTGTTCTTGGAACAGTGCAAGGAGGTCGACATTGTCATCACTACGGTATGTGTCGTGCGATTTTTCTTGGCCCTTCTGCTAACCAATGTTTATAGGCCCTTATTCCTGGAAAACCTGCACCCAAACTGATTCTCGATTATGCAAGTATCCACCAGAGGATTTGTGATGTATCTGACCGTTGTCTTAGATGGTTGCAGCTATGAAGCAGGGTTCGGTTATTGTGGATGTGAGTTACCTTTGGCAAAGAATCAAAATTTCACTATTGATGGCTGTTATACTTAGATGGCTGCCGAAGCTGGTGGTAACTGCGAAGCGACGGTTCCTGGAAAACTCGTAGTGAAGAACGGCGTGACGATCATAGGTGTGCTATCTGCTTTGCGTGATAAATAAAATCTCAAAGGACCAAGGTTACACTGACCTTCCTTCACGACTTCCAACACAGTCGTCTACTCTGTATTCGAATAACATCACCAAGTTTTTGTTGTCCATAGGAGAGAACAACGCCTTCAATATTGATCTTACTGATGAAGTCGTTCGTGGTTCCATCGTTATCCATCAAGGTGCCATCCTCCCTCCTGCGCCCCGACCTGCTCCTCCTCCTGCCGCGCGTCCCACTCCCAAGGTCGAGGAGAAGGCAGAGACCCTGGCCATCACTCCCTGGCAAAAGGCTACCCGCGAGATAGCTACAGTCACAGCTGGAATGGGTTCCGTAGTGGCTCTCGGCAAGATGACCGGCGCCGCCTTCATGAGCAACTTCTTCACGTTTGGCCTTGCAGGTCTTGTCGGATACCGAGTCGTCTGGGGTGTCGCTCCAGCTCTGCACTCCCCCCTGATGTCCGTTACCAATGCCATATCTGGTATCTACCTTCTCTTTTGGTGTGAAATTAAACTGAGTGTTTCAAAGGTATGGTTGGTGTTGGCGGTTTGTTCGTCATGGGAGGAGGATATCTTCCAGGAACCATTCCTCAAGTATTGGGCGCACTCTCCGTGCTCCTCGCTAGTGTCAATGTCGCCGGTGGTTTCGTCATAACAAAGCGGATGCTTGATATGTTCAAGAGTGAGTCGAGCTTTGATCTCGTCTGCTACTGCAGTTAAACATGGCGTAACAGGACCAACGGATCCTCCTGAATACTCTTGGTTGTACGGTGTCCCAGCTGTCGTATTTACCGGTGGTTTCTTGGCTGCTGCCAGCACTGGTATGGCTGGCCTTGTACAGGCAGGTTACCTGACAAGCAGCATGCTTTGTATTGGTAGGCGCATTTTGTTATTTGGGGAGTACGAACCTGATAGGCTATGTATGACCTACAGCCTCTTTATCTGGGTTGGCATCTCAGGCAACTGCACGACAAGGGAATGCACTGGGAATACTCGGTGTCGGATCGGGCATTCTTGCCTCACTTCTGGCGGTTGGCTTCCCCCCTGCCCTGCTTGCCCAGTTTGCTGGTGTTGCCACTATCGGAGGTACAATTGGTACCATCCTTGGTCGTCGTATCACGGCCACCGAGCTTCCACAGATGGTAGCTGCTTTGCACTCCGTTGTCGGTCTTGCTGCCGTCCTCACTTCCATCGGCAGTGTCCTCGCTGATCCGTCTCATCTCTCTACGCTCCACCTGGTCACTGCCTATCTCGGGGTTGTCATTGGTGGTATCACCTTCACTGGCTCCATTGTCGCGTTCTTGAAGCTTGCTGGAAAAATGGGCTCGAGGCCGCTGATGTTGCCCGGAAAACACATCATTAACTCTAGTTTGCTCGGAGCGAATGCATTGACCATGGCTGCTTTTGTCACTGCTGCACCAACAGTGCCCTTGGTTGCTGCAGGGTATCTTGGAGCTAGCACAGTTCTCAGTTTCATCAAGGGCTTTACGACGACAGCTGCTATTGGTGGTGCCGACATGCGTATGTACGATTCCAAGTACTTTTAGTCAGTTTCTGACATGCTGTTTGAAGCCGTTGTCATCACTGTCTTAAACGCCTATTCAGGGTTTGCGCTGGTCGCAGAAGGTGAGTGCCGGAGCCGAGCTTTAAGCATGTGTTTGACCTTTGGATAGGCTTCATGCTGGATAACCCCCTCCTTACGACAGTGGGTTCGCTGATCGGTGTCAGTGGTACGATCCTGTCATACATCATGGTGCGTGTTATATGCCCCCAGATTTAGAGTAGCTCAAACAATATCTCGCAGTGCGTGGCGATGAACAGATCGATAATAAACGTCCTGTTTGGTGGCATTGGCACTGTTGCACCGAGTGAGACCGCTCAAATTGAAGGCACTATCACGAAGACGAACATCGAGGACACGGTAGAGGCTCTTGCCAATTCTGAGAGTGTGATCTTGGTAAGCCTTGATGAGCCAGTTTGCCACACCCCTAATTTAGGTCCAGGTTGTTGGGTACGGCATGGCCGTCGCTAAGGCTCAATATCCTATAGCAGAAATATGCGCTATGCTGAGAGCGAAGGGTGTCAAAGTGCGCTTCGCTATTCATCCTGTCGCTGGTCGCATGCCCGGCCAGTGCAACGTCTTGCTGGCCGAGGCCTCTGTGCCCTATGATATCGTCTTGGAGATGGACGAGATCAACGATGATTTCAACGAGACTGATGTGACGCTCGTCATCGGCGCCAATGATACTGTAAACCCTATCTCCCTTGAACCTGGCTCTCCGATTGCTGGTATGCCTGTTTTGCATGCATGGAAGAGCAAACAGGTCATTGTGATGAAGAGAGGAATGTCCAGTGGTTATGGTGCGTGATAAACCTGACATTGCTAATTGGTCGATTTACGTTTCTGCAGCTGACGTCCCGAACCCTATGTTCTATATGCCAAACACGAAAATGTTGTTTGGTGACGCTAAAGATACCTGTGATGGTGGGTACACGTATGAGACCATAGCTCTCTTTGGCTAACGAGGTTTTCTTTGCAGCTCTCAAGAGAGGTTTGGAGCAGAGAGCATGAAGTCGCATATTCTCATCTTATCTATCCGTCGGCCTGTCCATGTTGTACATTATACTCCGCACCGCTTTCGAGATCTCTGACAAGAGCATCACACAAACTACGAGAAAGCTTCCGTGGAGTATTGATTGTATTGTATATCACATTGTGTATCGTAGGCCGACTACCATCCTGTAGTCAAATTAAAACAGCGTGATGATGGGGACACAATAATGGGTGTACCGTAACTTAAGCGTCCAACGAGCTATGCATGTCCGAATGTAACAAGAGTGACCGTCCTTATCGGAGTAAATAAGTGGTCGAAGACAAAGTGTTCCGAGCACTCCCGGAATAACGATAACGGGCTGAAAAAGTTCAGCTCGGAAACGTGACATGTCCCAATGTGCACTATCATCATCCTAGTTCTTGCCCACGTAAACTAGTCTTGATGTGCTAGGGTTCCGCCCGGGCTGATTGTACAACCATGTTGCGATAAGGACGATAACAGAGCCGAGGATGAACGTGAACGTCATCTGGAAGTCGAAGAGTGCGACTGACGCCAGGAATGAGATCACGATGCTCAAACTTGTGGCGAAGCCCTTGAGGATATTGTCAGAATACTTGATAACCATGGCAGTGACCAGGCCACCAAATACTTGGATGGCGACCGTAGCCCACGCCCAGGCGCCAAAGTTCTCGAACAAGGAACTGAGGAGTCCCGTTTCAGATGGTCGTGAGAGTATGATGGGAACAAGTGCAGGGAGAAGGGAGAATGCAGAGAGTTGCACGTTGCGAATCCAAAGATCGGACTGAGAATTTTTGAGGACCATTTCAAAATAGACACCTGCGAGGCCGGATGTGAAACACGCGGCAAAGACCGCGAGAAACCCCTTAAGGGCGTTCATCGAGGTTCCATGGAACAACAGCGAGGACGCCTTGCTCGTGTCGCTGACACCAGTCTGTATCTGCACCACGCCAACTCCAATAGCAAGGAACAGTAGCGCTAGCCATTGGCTAGCACTTAACTGCTTTCGCAGAAGTATGACTGAAAAGGCCGCCGTGGAAAGTATTTTCATTTGATAACTGACTTGGAAAGTTGCCGCTTCCAAATTGGTGGCAGCGACATACTGCAGATTATTTTGAACAACTGAAACCCACGGAGAGAGAATGAGAGTAGCTCATGTGCAACGCGGAGTACATACCATATAGGATGGCGGGTATCGACAGCTTCCAGCAATCCGGTGAGAAGACTTCTCTGCCTAGTCGTCGGATGCGCAGAAGGACCTTTGTAGGATGCCAGAAGCGGCTGGCAGCGAGTGGTAACTGTGGGGTGTCGGACGTGTAAGGCGTGACACGGTTTATACGAGCGAAAGCAATGGCGAGTGATATGAACCCTTTGAGAAGCTCGTTGAGAAGAACGGCAGTCGGGGCAGAGTAGGACTGGGATGGAGGAATGGACACGCGCGAATAGTGCATTATTAATGTTAAAAGAGAATTCTGAACCGCCAATGTCACGAGTCTGTAGACATGAGTTGTGAGTAAGGTCGCCTACGGTTCAAGACAAGAAAACTTGGCAGGAACATGCCAGGCTTAGACCTCGCAACAGAAAGACGCGACACTCACGATATGTATTTCAATGGAATGCCACGAAATGAGGGAACAGGAGGGATATCTGCGGGCAGCAGTCCGAGCTCTTCATACTCGATGTCGTCGTCGTCGCCGCCGCCTTTAAGGCTATGATTTTCTTGGTGCGCAGGGAGGGCGAGCTGGGACATGAGAGATATGATGGGGGTATTCGAAAGGGAAAAGGTGCAAAGGGGTATCGCAGACAAGTGGTATGTGAAAAGGCGTAGTACTAGTATTCCCGACTCCCAACGTGCCCAGCAACAGCTCCAAGTTCAGTCTCGATCTGGTTTGGGGTCGTCCGCAGCTGTCAGGCTTTTTTTTTTTTCCTTTGCGCAGTTGGTTGCAATTTCTTTTCCGCAGTAGGAAGGAAGAACACAGAAGGAAGAACTTGCTATAAACACCCTCTCACGAATCCGAGCATAACAACTCCCACATATCACATGTACAGCTGTCAATTTTATTCCGTTGACTTGCCGGGAACAGTTCCTGTAACCTGATCGATTCAAAGATAAGAGCGCCAAGGTTGAAACGTTGACCACGATCAGAGTGGGGCACTTGACAAGGAGACCACCGGACAAACGTAGTAATATTAATAAGTCCGACCTTGCCAAGTTACAGCTGTAACTGAACCTTAGCATACAAAACTACAGTAGGTGACAGTCTGTCGTATAGTCTGTGCGCGAATCAATCTAAATCAGTATCCAAATGATGTTCCGCGACTTTTCCTGTCCCCATCATACAACCCATAAATGCTGTATGTCGGGCTGTGGTAGTCAGCATATGCTTCAGGGTTCGCGTGAGCAAGTGCCATTTGTGCAAGCGATGGCAACGGCGGAGGTGATGGGACACGCGGTGGTCTGTCCTCCACTCTCTTCTTCAAGCTCGTCTTTGGTTGACCGGACCCCCCGGAACTCTGCCCTCCCTGAGATTGTGCCTCACGCATCTCCCTGGCCGCTTCGGACGGACGTATATTTACCAGCGACGCAGTCGACTTTGACGCCGCGAAGTCCACCATCATTAAACTTCCAAGCGCTGCAGAGTCAGGTGAAGATGACTTGTCGTAATCGAGCATAGCTTTGGGAACCGGTTTCTTGTGGCTGCGCGTACCTGTCACGGTGACCTTCTTTCCTTCTCCGATCACACTCATGGAGTCGTCCGGGTACAGCGTTGGATGAGGGGATGGCGGGACAGGCGAAGCTAGTCCAAGAGCGCAGGTCAGCGCCTGTGTTTCACGGCCTCGATGAGACTCGGAACGCTGCAAGCCATGAGTGCGATCAGGGTGGAGGCCATCTTGCTGTCGGCGGTCTTTTGGCCATGCCGAAGGAGCTGCGGAGGCGCGAGGATATGAACCAGGTGTGTAGTATGTTGATTTGATGCGTGTACGTCCCCCGTTCTGCGCGCTTCTCCCGTATCCAGGTGAGGTTGGAGTGGTGTCCATTCCACCGTAGGCATAGCTCTGGGAGCGCCGCAGTGAGGAGGCATCTTTGGCATTAGGGGGAGCGACCATGCTGTTGCGCGCGCATCCTGCCGCAACCCTGTCCTTTGCACGTGTCATAGTTTGACCATCGCCTGTCAGAGGCGCTGTGCTCTCGATGGCTACACCCACGTTCGTCGCACCATAGTAGGTAGTGTTGCCTGGCGAGTTCGGGTAAAGAGACATAGAAACAGTGGAGAGCCGAGAGACCGCGCGAGTTATTGCATTCTGGATAGGCTGCAGAGTTGGTTGGGTCCTTTGTCCAAAGTTGCCTTGTCCAGTGAAAGGATATTGGTCCTGCCCACCAACAGAGGTCCTTTTCTCGGCAAGCAAGTTCTCTTGACTGCCTGATCCTTTCACGGGCTCGCCTGACGATGACTTTGAGACTGTGACAGTTGGCGACGGCTTTGGGATTCCAGAGTGATACTGAGTCCATGTCCAGAGCCCCGTATTTCCTCGTGCACTCCTCAGCGAGGGCGAGAATCGCTCCTTGCCTCCGAAAACCGGAGATCCGGATCCTTCGTTCTCAAAGTGGTCTGAGAAGGCACCATCTTGGAGAATGGGGAGAGAGGGTGTTGGACACTTGCGACGGCGGGGACGTCTCAAAAACCTTATCACGACGAATACTCCCAGTAATACGACACCTCCAACAACAGAGAGTGCAATTATTGCCGGTTTTGAAATTTGGTGCAAAGGCGAGGGATTTTGGACTTGGGCTGATTGAACAGCATTGTGGGACTGAGTTGAACTCGTCCGAGAAGGAATAGATGTTATTACGATAGCATGCACATTGCCTGAGGTTGGTGTGGGCTCAAGAGATAGTAGTGGTGGCAACGGGGTGAAGGTTGACACAGGAATCACGCTGATGGACTTGCCAGTGATCGCTGCAGCGTGATACTCCTGGCCCGAGGACTGATGGATTACCGAAGGAGATGCAGTAATTGGCGGCGGTGTGAAATATACTATATCGTCGCTTGGAGGAGGAAGGCCAGTGTCTGGTACAGGATTCGGTACGTTCGTCATCTCCTGGGAGTCGTAGTCCGCGACACGAACAGGCCTGATGGAGGTTGCCTTTGCTTTATCTTTTGTCTTAAAAAGCGTTTTCTTGGAAGTTGTCTTAGTGGTGGTCATTTTTTCTGCGCTGATAGCAGGCATCAAGGCGGCGGCGGCACCTGAGTCATCCACAGAGAGGAATGTTCGAGCGGCGGAAGATAAAGAGCGACTCTTTTTCGTTTTGTCTATCTGGTACATTGCAGCCTACTTTTCGGCGGCCAGCGCAGAGGTTTAAAGGAGCGAATGCGAAAAGATAGGTTGGCACGAACTGAAATACGGAGAAGATGTAGAACAAGAAAATCAACCACCATTAGATTAACGCGTCGAGAGCACGTGCATTGATTTCTTACGTAAGACTGTTCGTTCGGCAGCGATATTCGCTTTCGTTCGAATAGAATTATAAAAGAATGTCCGGAACAGATCTGCTCAAGTTCTGTTCGTAACCAGATACGAAATAGATAAGCGGATGGCCGTAGCTGAATCGTGCTTAGCTAATGAGTCAGTGGCAGTGTCTATTCAATCACTTCTAATGGACCCTGAGCTAGGTGACTGTACATGCTATTTGGCTTCCAGAGTCCAGGCGCAGATCTGGTTCATTTTTCCTGTCGCACCCCAGTTTGTGAATGTACCCTAATTTTATATTAGGAATTTTCGTAGATCTACAGTCTCTCGTTCTTCAGCTCAGGCAGAGTATCTACGTGACTCCAGCCAACAAATACGCACTCAGCACAACGCAAAGCTCATATGGACATCTTCGACCACAGGCGCGTCGTCCTTGTGTGCTGAGCGGGACTTTCCAATTAAAGTTTACCCGTTTAGTGATTCCGTAGAGTCGCAGCCGACCCAGCTCCTACAGCATGCACTTACGAAACAAAAACCATTTGTGGAGCATACCGATGAGTGGGGTTTGAATCACGAATGCGAGCAAGACAGGAATCTCAGTACAAATTTTTCTATTGACTCTATGATGATTCCGCCTGCTCGAGGTTCATCATCCCGCTACCAGCTCAACTGGCTCGCCCCAACACAGACGCAGCCGCAAGTTTTGCACAGGGAGGAGGAAATAATCGAGGAAGGATCCCAGAAAGAAAACACTCCAGCCTCAAATAAGAATAAGCACGAAAACATTACGCGTACCCGCTCGTCTTCCCCGCAAGCAGCTTCTGCCAAACCGGCCAATGTAAAGGGTTCCCATGCCGATTCTTTGAGCCACCCTGATTCACGTACAGCATCTGGTATCGGAATGGCGAATGGTGAGCCACCAATCAGCCTTTGTATTCTTTGCTCTAAGATCCTGTTACCTTTTAGTCCCAAAGTCTGTTTCCTTTCAATCTCCTCGTTCAGCAAAGCTTGCCCAGCCACTTCTCCAACCTACCAAATCCCTTCCTGTGGCGCCCAGCCGACGCCAGAGATCTTCTTCCCTTTGCTCGCAAGATTCCTTCGGTGGCGCAGTATCACAAGATCCTGCAGCAAATTACATAGCGCAAGTTACTCAGGTTTTTGACGTGCCACTCTCTGACCTAGGACGGACTACTGCAACGGATCTTGCCATGGATGATCCCATGGACCATTCATCCAAGTCGCAGGAGGAGGATGGTGATTCATGGATGAATAAAATACGGCGCGCTTATGAGCAATCGAAAGCCAGCGAAGCCAGTGGCAGCGTCCTTGTGGCAGCTACTCCTTCGCACTCCAGTGGTTCTGAAGGCTCTTCCCAAAACACAACCTTTCCCCATCCTGATGCATCGCAGTTGTTGAATGATGGTGAGGGCCTTTGTTGAATTCATTTCTTCCAACCTCATCGCTTTCCGTTTGATGCAGAGGACTCCCTCGAATCCCTTGAAGCACAACGCAATCGATATGGGGTCCAGGCCAATGCATCACAATCTTCACTTATTGTAGCAGAAGATGAACTTTTAGAAGAGAAGAAACCTGTGGCAATTCCTGAACAGTTTGCTCCCACTCAACCATCAACACCACTGGATAATACCGCTACAAGCACAGTCGCGGAAGAGCTGTACGCGCCGACCTTGCGTTCCAGAAGTGCTCGTGCCACTCTTGGGACGACTTCCTCGCCAGGTCCGCGTAGTCTCCTGTCTTTAATCCGCCCAGAACAACGGGAGCGTAGACTTCGACAGATGGCAGGCAAAGGCGCCGGTGCGCCTTCTCCCCCCGTGAGCGACAGAGTAGCCATGCAACCGTTTGAACCTGTTCAGACGCCAAATGATCATGCCGAGACCCAACCATCAAACTTTGTAGCAACACTTCCCTCAGACTTGGTTTCTGAGGACATCGGCCCACCTCCGTCAGTTAGACAGGCACCTTTTTATCGCCCTCGGTTATCGCAACCCGAATATGATAATCTTGACATCGTTCCCGACTCTGAACCGCCCGCACCGAGCGCCGCCACACCCGCAGGAGACGTTAGGCTCAACGAAAGTCCCACAAAACGCCTTTTTCATCCTCTTAGTCCCATGTCAGAGCTTAGCTCGGGGGAAATTGTTGCAGACTCTGTGGAGGTGCATGAAAGCAGCCAAGATCCGGAGGGCGATATTCCTTTAGCTGCTCTTCTGCAGGTTAGGTCAGCTGCAAAGTCGATAGCAGCCCCGGCTTCTGGCAAAACGCGGTCCTCGATGATGCCACCATTTGTTCCTCCACCCCCTGTGCTGGTCAAGAAGGTGATTGGTCTTTCCTTGTTTCTTGTCGCTTGTCTTAACCAGGGTCACCCTCAGTCTGTGAAACCACAGGTAAAGCCTTCCACAACGAAACCGAAGAGTTCAACTCGTGGAAAGAAGAAGGCGAAAGAAGAGTCTGGAGAAATCCCTAGTTCTGCTCCTGAGCAGGACCAGCAAGATCGAACTTCGGCGCCTGAGCGAGTGGCTACCCCCAAGGTAGTCCCTTACTCCTTCAAGAATGGGAAAGGGAAAGCACTACCAGCACGTACGCGCAAGAGCACTCGTACTCGTACTGAATCCTCTGCAAAGAAGCGTAAACTCCCTTCGGATACTGAGGCCTCTGATGAGGATCAGGACGAGATACATCCAACTCCGAAAGCCGAGAAACAGGAGGAGGAAGAGACGGAACTCGCTGATGATGATGACTACATGGACGTTGGTCCCGCTCCTGCTGAGATCAAAGCACCTTCATCGCGGAAGCGGAGGCGCGTTGAGGACGTCAAGCCTGTTCGTGTCCCATCGAAGGCATCCACTCGTAGTAAAACCGCTGACACTCCTGCACCCGCTACCCGAGTTGCAAAACGGCTTCGCCACACTGTTTCTACAGGCCGTGCCCTTGCGGCTCAGCCCGCCACTCGCGTATTCGCATTATGGAGGCAAGATGGTCATTACTATGCAGGCACCGTCCACTCGTTACAGACCGGTACTAAATATCTCATCAAATTTGACGATGAGACCGAGGACCAGGTGGATGTTGTTATGCTTCGTCGGTGCGAACTGCGGGTCGGAGATGCTGTGATCCTTTGCCACGGCAATCTTCGTGGTACTGTGGTAGATATCGGTCAAATGGAATCAGGATCCGTCACTGTCGAAGTTGACGACGGTTCTGACACCACTAGCTCAGATTACGCCATTTCGGACGTCCGGATCGCCTCAAGAGCTATCCAGTCTCATTGGAAAGACCGCATCCTTACTGCAGATTCCATCGTCACAATTATTCGGCCGAAGCTTCTACGTGCTACGCCCTCACCTTCCGGGATGTCCTTGATGAGTGCCACCTCGCTCAAGCATAAGAAGCCATTCGCGAAGACCGGTTTCGTTGTGACGCTCACCGTTCGCATCAAGCACCCCGAGCAAATGAAGGACAGTGTGATGCTAGCTATCAAGCACAATGGGGGCACAGTCATTGACGACTGGTCAAGCATTTTCCCCATGGAGGGTACCCATAGCCAGTCAAATAAACGCTGGGTAGCTTCCCAGGAAAACTTCAAGTTCAAGCCAAAGCCCGAGTTCGAGGGCCTGGAACGTGTTTTCCTCCTGGCCGACGATTACAACCAGAAGCCCAAATTTCTGGTGGCTCTCGCTCTTGGGATACCATGTCTATCTAATGAGTGGATACGAGATGATTATCTAAAGAAACAAACATCACCGGTACGTTGGGTTTGAGTCTCACCGATCCTCTGGTAACAACCGCTATATTTAGGACTGGCAACCCGTACTGCTTCCTGCTGGGTTTTCAGAGACATTGAGCGCTCGCGTATCTCAACTTGTTGATTTAGACTGGGGCAACTGCAAAGAGCACTTGACTGATATCATGTCGAATACAGTAGCATCCAAGTTATTCTCTGGCAAGACCATACTGTGCCTCGGCTCTGATCTCGTGCCCCTACCGTCACGCGGGGGGAGAAAGGTATGCAGTACATTACCATTTGCTCTGTTGATACCCATTTCCTCGCGCAGGGTGGTTCCGATGCTACGCAAGACGCGAGCCGAGTCGTTCCTTGGATTATGATTTGCATGGGAGCTTCTCGGGTGGAAGCCGTGACTGAAGCCAAATTTGCATCCAAAGATCTTCCCGCGTATGACTATGTTATCGTTAAGGAAGCCACAGATTTTCCTAAAGACCTTCAGGACGACGTAACATTCGCTCACGTTCCATGGGTGAAGGATTGTCTCATTTCAGGAAGGCTTTTAACCTTGCCCGGTCGTTGACACTCTCTCGACGATCTCATCGGTATTTTGACTATTTCCTGCTTACTGTATTTCATTCTTGCTTGCTAACATACTTGTTGTCGCGTCCTGGTTTAATCATAGTGTACTTGACTCAAATTGTTCTTGACTTTGCGATGAATGTTGTGATCTAACTCGTTCGTAGATACACTTTTGCTTCCGTCCCCTGTCCGTCACCGCAATAAATTTGTAATGATGCTTGGAGTCGCAATTGGAAATATTCTCCCACATTATTATACGACGCCCAAAATGCGAAACCTTGCTCAAGGCTTACTGTCACCTTTCTATTCATGTCACCATGAGTGACGCAGAATACGAAGTCGGTGAGTCTCCGAGTGCCTGTTCTTTGCAGTATTCTATGGTCATACTCATGATGGTTCAGAGTCTGTGACAAAGGCGCGTGTGGAAGCGAAGCGGGGTAAGAAAATCATATGGGTAAGTCCAGGATAAAGCAACGTTACATTATGTATCCTAAATTTCTGGTCGAAATAGAAATATCATGTCAAAGTGGGTACATAACGTATAAGAGGGCCGCGGTTTGCTCAACTGATGCGTCGCAGTGGAAAGGGTATAGCTGGGATGATAGCACGTAGGCTGTCACTTTGCTTGCTGGGTGGCTTCCTTACTTATATACTGCACAGTTGGGAACCCGAAAGATCTTTTACTTATGGCTCAAAGCATTTTCTCAAGACCTTCTGGGCGCATGCTTTAACCCGCGGCAGAGATCATACGAACCCACTGCTTTTTGAGACAGGCGAAGAGGTTCATGTTTCGGGCTTTCCTGGTATGCTATGTGTACCCCTAGTGAGCGCTTATATTTAACAGTTCAATATGTTAGGGGCGAGTCCGCGTCCTGAAAATAAGTCTAGTAGGGACAACCTACAAGGACCTTCTGAGACATTCGAAGATGATGCCTCCGATGATGAACCCTTGACCACCAAGAAGCGGCGCAGACGTCAAAAAGCCACGGGAGAGCCGAGGGCGAAGCGAAAGCGCGAGTCAGAACCTGGCACCGCTGGTAATGCCTCGACTCAACGAGTGAGGGCATTTGGACCCAAAAGCAAGGCCAGATCATCACCACTGGCGAAACAAAGGCGCGCTTCGTCACCAGGCCCCCGTGGCGCGCGTCAGCTTTCCCTAACTAAGCTGACTGATACGGACGCTGAAGGGGAGCTCGACATGGAACTCTTTGGAGAAGTGGAGGAAGTGGCAGGAGAGCTGATGCAGACAAGTCCCGATGACCCTGATACCCGGGATGTCCCCAACTCCCATGTTGAACCTCCCAAGGTCAATGGGACGGTCGTGGAGTTCGAGGACCTTCGCAGCTACTCTCCTGATATCGAGGATACCATCGAAGTCAGTCAAGTACTGACTGAAGATGCAGTTCTTTCTGCCGACGAGGGACGTAGCTCACCAGACCCCCTTTTCGATTCTCCTTCGCAACCGAGGAACGGCGAAGGATCCGGGCCCCCCGCTGAGCCAGTGGTACCTCATCACCGTGCTCGGGCGGCTAACCCTTTGGTCAAGTTTATCGATCCTGCTCCACTAATGGACAAGAATTCAGGGGCTGCCATCCCCGCAAAGACACGCTTGATTTCTGGCCAGCCTTCGAACTCATCTCAGGACAGTGGTAGTCACACATCCCGCAAAACACGACCAAAACCTGCTCCTGGTGGACGTTCCGTGGGTTCCCGGGGCAAGAACCGGAGCTCCCTGTTGACAGCTGTGAAGGGCGGCCTAACTAGCGTGAAAGGTCGCTTCGGGCGAGCAAAGGATGTAAGAGAAGAGTCGCAATCGATTGAAGATCCAGCACCGTCCCATTTTCCAGAGGAAGAATTTGCCATCACATCCTGGAGTGATGAAGATGCAGCAGGCGAGACAGATCACGAGCATCAAGCAACTGCATCTTTAGCTGGCCAGGTGGGACCCAAGTCCACTTACGCTCCTGCTCCTTTGCCAGTTCCCTCCGGACAGGAATTGTTGGAGATAGCAGGTTTGAAGCGGGATGCAGATGCGTTGCCTGACTTCGAAGATGAAGCGAATGTCGAACAGTCACCTCAACCCACGAATGTAATCTCGGTGGAAACTCTCGCTGATGATGTTCCGACCGAAGAAGCAGCCTCGCCTGCCACCCCGGCCGTGGAAGACGAAGCGGCTCGAAAGAGGTGAGATAATGCCGTAGAGTGTAACCAGACCTCGCTTGAATGATATGTCTTCCTAGTCTTGCAGAGGCCAAAGAGCAGCTGTTCCCGTCTATGCAGGCTTCGGCTTCGGTGACTTCCATTTCAAGCTCGTCATGGAAGACGTCAAAAGACAACACCATTTTTGGACCAATGTGCGGCTTTGCTTGTTTTTTTCTCGGTGGTGCCATCTCACTCCTCAGTAGGTATAAGTTACAGGAACCGGCTCAAGAACCTAACGGTGTCAACGAGTTTGTGCTGTGATTTTCGGATGATTCATGATCTAACTATCATTAGATCTGTTCCTACATTCAAGCTCATTCTGAATGCGAATGCTCCCGTTCCACTTGTGTTGAAAGATTCCAACAACATGAAAGGCGTTTCATTCACCGATATATACGCTGATAAGTCGCTGGACGGTCGAGCGGGAACGTTCTATCTATTAGAAGATGCAGTCAGAATCGTCAGCACTTTCTCGGGCCTCGGCAGCGCGAGGGTTGTGCTCGATTCCTCTGCAGACGATAGTCACAAGACGCAATTCGACGTATTTCAACAACGTCTGCATTCAGGCCAGACGGTAAGCGATTACATTTCATCTGGTTCGCTTCCCTAACCTATTTTATCTTTAATTCAGTTCGTTACCAAGGCTGGGAAAGAATTGCTTGTCTTTTTTAGCTCGCAGAATATGGAAATCTCAGCCAAGCTTAGTCCGCCACAGATACTGATAGGTCTTGCAAATACGGTGCTCCTCATGCGTGTCCAGATCACTGACAGTACTGGATATGCGAATGCTGTCATGCAAATCACTGCAGTGTAATTCTACTGACTACGATTTCCATTATACACTCTTGAATGGCTTTTGAAATACTTTACGTAGCTACTCTCGGTGGCTACGACCATTTTTGCATATGCGGTTTGCACGTATCTAATGAAAAGTCAAAGGAGTCGAAGAGTTCCAGCAGAATGTGGACGCTCTGAAGGTTTAGTACTGTAATCGGCTTGATGCAATGGCACATCCAACCAATGTTAACGCGGCCAGAAAACATGGAGGTGGTGACAAACACCATCAAACATTGACATAGCTTCTCCTTATCAACTGGCACTACAATATGCAACCCCGAACGGCTCAGAAGCGGTCAGCAACGTCCAGCGCAGACGCGTCAACATCTCAAAAATCTTCACATGCTCCAAAAAAGACGCGTTTCACCGAGCCTGATGAAGACCCAGTGAATTTTGCGGAGGAAGTCGACTCTGCACTTGAGGATCCTTTAGCCAAGCGTAAAGGACGGGCTAAGAACGAAGGATACGACTCGGACTCGAGTGATGATGGAGAGGGTGTGGTACTGAGCAGAAGAAAGAACGCAGATGGGGAAGGGGTGGACGATGACGACGATATGTTTGCAATGGCCGACAAGGAAGAGAAGAAAGACGAGGCGCAGGGGAAGAAGAAGGAAGAATTCTTACGCCTAGGGGACATAGAAGGACAAGAATTCAACGATGGGGAAGATTCAGATTCGGATGAAGAGGATGAGCCTGAAGACGAGGACGAAAGAGAACGACGGATGAAGGCTGGCATGGGATTCGAGCTATCTTCGTTCAATATGCGGGAGGAGATGGAAGAGGGCAAATTTGCTGCTGATGGCACATATGTCCGGTCATTTGACGCACACGCCATACACGATCGGTGGATGGACGATCTAGACGACAAGGAAATCAAGCTGGCGCGTCGGAGGAAACGACAGCAAGAACGAATACAAAGAGAAAAGATGAAAGCGGAGGAGATAGAGCTTGAGCAAAGCGGTGGAAAGGGAGCTTTGGAAATGCAGCTCGTCGGAATGCTCAAGAAAGGAGAAACAGTACTTGAGGCACTCCAACGATTAGGTGCAAAGGCGAAACGGAATTCGCGTTCCACCAGGTACGTTGTCGAGCAAGCACCCTTTAGGACCTAGCTGACTCCAGCACCTACCTCGCAGGAAAGTCGATGGAAAGGCCAAAGATGATACTGCTATGGCCGTCGACAACAAGGCGGCAGAGAAACCCAAGGGTCTCAATGATATTGACACGATCACCCATCTGGCATCCAACCTCATGTCGCTTGGTGACACTGACATCTACTCTCGATCATATGAAGAACTCGTCCGCGCGGTGCGTTCTAGCGGAAGGATGGGAGCTAATTGGATGCCTCCATCTGCAGACATCACATACGAGTACAAATGGGACATCTCTGGGCAATCTACCGAGGAGACTTTCGGGCCCTTCAGTGAGGACGAAATGAAGATGTGGTATACGGCTGCCTACTTCGGTGAATCAGGAGAGAAGGTTAAAGTGAGAAAGGTCGGTGACGACTGGGGAGCCTGGGACGATGTTATAACATAGCATTCGTATAAAAGTCCTTGCACTAATACCTGTACCTTGTAGTCTTATCTTTTGTAGTATAATGATTGTATGTGCTGTGAAACAGTGTTACAAATGGTGAGCAGTGAATGTCCATGACAACGATACGGACAAAAATAATCATAAGAACCCTGGTATCTTCTAGTGACTGATGTATTGAAAAACGAAGGAGATCTCAGATAAGCCTACTTCAGCTCGGAGTAGGTCGTCATGATTACTCTTCAGCTCCTCATTGGTATAATGATTCCACCTGTACACAAAAGTAAGGGGGTATGCATCCCGTTTCCAAGAGGCAAACTCACGTGCTTGCATCTCCGTACAACAATGCAGGTGACTTGATAACTTGTTTCCCGTCCTTGCAGCGTTTGCATTTGAAGGTATCATGAGTATCGCAAATTGTGGTCTCATTGAATAGGAACAGCTGCCTAAGAGACTCGACCGAAAAATGCCGTTCAGCATCTTCCTTCTCATCGACGACGGCAGAAGATAAAGCTTGTTTTGATGCTTGGCGTTGGAATATCTTTTCTTCAATCGTTCCCGTCGAGATAAAGCGATAGACGAAGCCTATGATAACAGTGGTCAATGATGCACTGAAAATAGACGCGTGCCAGACTTACACTCTTTCTTTTGGCCGTCGCGCCATACACGTGCAAGAGCCTGCTGATCAGCAGCAGGGTTCCAGTCTGCACAAATCTTGTCAGTTTAAGCCAACCAGCATATTGAACATGCTAACCAGGGTCAAAAAGGATCAGTCTGTTGGCGCCTATAAGATTGATACCACATCCCCCAGCTTTACTACTGAGCAGGAAAACAAATTCCTTCCCGTTTGGATCATTGAACTGATCTACGAGCTTCTGGCGCTTGGTAACCGTCATAGTCCCATCAAGTCGAAAGAAGCCATACCTGGTTCGTACATCAACATAAACCGAAGCATCGTCAAACATCATAGGCTCACTTCTTGCTTCGACACAGCTTCTCAAATAAGTCAAGCGTCTGCGTGTAATTGCTAATGAGCACAATTTTGTCATTGGTGGTTGTCTTGAGGCGATGCAAGAATCGCTCGAGGACCAAAAATTTTCCTCCCCAATCACACCGCACCGTCTGGTTCTTGCCTTTGTCGCGTGCCGTGGCGCCCGCGCCACCATAGCCTTCGGGTAGAAGCTTTTCGGAACCATAGAGGTCGGAGGGAAGGTTGAGCAGTTCAGGATGGTTGCAAAGCTTCTTGAGGATGTTGATTGCCTTGAGTGGCTGGGAGTCTGTGCCTCGAAGTAATGCCTTAATTTCGGGTGAGGATATGAAAAGGCGGTACAAGGCAAGCTGAAAGTCAGAAAGTCCACAGAACACGACGTGCTCGTACTTGACCGGTACTACATGATAATTGGAGTAAAAATCGCAACAGCGCAACAAGTAACGACTCACGGTACTTCGACAATAGGTCATTTGTTCGCCGAATGATGAATTTAGTGACAAGACCACCAAGTTCTTTGAGTTTCTTCTCACATTGAGCTTGTACTTCTGCACTGGCGCTCGCGTCGCGGCCACGAATAATAGCGTTCTCGAAGTTTTTACGAAAATCATCTCGAGAGCCAAGGAAGTTAGGGTTTGCGAAGTTCAAGAGGGAGAAATATTCTGAGAGATCATTTTGAACGGGTGTTCCTGTAAGAATGACTCGTCTCTTGACATTGAGCGAATTCAGGGCTTGGAATGTCTGGTTGCCTGAAACAAGACGTGTTATTCATAGTACTCCAATGAAGTCCTGTGAAAGTGAGCTCACCAGAGTTCTTCAATCTGTGGCCTTCATCGCAGAGCAAGAGGCCAATGCTACAGTTGGCCAATTGTGCGGTGAGAGTACGAAGGGTTTCATAGGAAACGATCATCACTGAGAGAGACATGAACGTCAGACATCCATCTTTAACCTGGTCAACGGCAAACCTGGCTGTGTAACATTCCGACCCGTTGCTTCTACCCACCGAACAACCTTCCCATGGAGTTCACCTCTGCCACCCTTGCCATCCACTGCAAGCTCTGAAATGGCATCTTTGCCCAGCCACTTGACTGAGAGAAGTGAGCAGATGTCTCGGAAGAACTGAAAGATAAACAACACACCAAGTTCGTTCGCCCAATTTTTCACCAAACTAGAAGGACATGCTATAATGCACTTCTCTATTGTGGGCTTTCCCGCGTGAGGAGATTGCTTAATCAAGGTCCATAACAATGCGATGCATTGTAGGGTCTTGCCAAGACCCATTTCATCGGCCATAATGCAGCCGTACTGGTTATCCACCATCATACCGGTAGTACATTTGTACAAGAACTGCGTATTAGGATGAGTACAGCAAAAGCACGCTATAGGGAATGCTCACCTTCACACCCTCAACCTGATGTGGACGCAGAACCTTCACGAGTCTAGGGTCAATTACTACAGGGACTTTCTGTGTCTTCTCTTTCTTGCCCTTGCCTTCGCCCAGGAGCGTCCGTAGATTCTTGTGCGGATTATACATCCCTGCAGTCTTCTCTTGTGCTTCTTTGGCTGCCTTCTCTTTAGCTTCCTCCTTCTCTCTTTCCTGCTTCTCTTCATCTGTTTCGCGGTCATCGATCGTAGGGTCGTAGAGGACAATGGCATGGTCCTCCATTGGATCATGTAACGGGCGAGGGAGGATCTTGGTCGGTGGACGAATCCCCAGAGATGCATTGGTAGGCGGAATGTGAACCTTTTCTCCGCTCTTATTCATCATAGTTGGCATTGAGAACCTGCGCAGCATATCGAATGGCTTGGGCTTGTACACTGGAAAGGTCCTGATAGCAGCTTTCAACTCTTCCTCGTTGTAAGTCCCATCCTTGTCTCCCTTCTTCTTTTTCTTCTTTCTTGCATCGTCGTCATCACTGTCGTTCTCGTCAACCGCTGCGTCTTTGTACGAAACCCGCTTGCGCTTGCGCTGAGGCTGGACGCGCTCGGAAGCGTTGACAAGCGATGGGGGTTTGAATGGCTTGTTTACGCGCGTGCTCTCTTGTAACCTGTCTACAGGTTTCCCATCCGAAGTCGTTGGGGCGCGCCGTAGCATAAACATGATGGTGGGTAAAAGTGAAGAAAGACGAAGGGTCCGAGCTTCAAGTCAAGCCATCAAGACCAAATCAAGACGTGGCGCGTGTGGACGCGTAGATAATAGCAAGCGGTCACATGACTAGGCTATCATTTTGGAACAACGCGTTCAAGTTTGCTTCCGTCATACTATCACTTAGAGGGCGGACCTTTATACTGGACAAAGGAAGTTCCCTATATTATCCTCGACGCTGTCGTGAATTCGGTGCATGATGGACATATGGAAACGATCTCCCTCTCCAGAGGAAAGCTGGAGTGATGCGGAAGGTGGGAATGAGAATGGAGAGTGGCCAATCAAGGGGGTCGTAGGTGAGGAAGTTGATCCTGATGGCACTTCAAGGTAAGCTCCACTTGTATTCTACCCGCCTCTATGTTTACGAGTCTACTAGGTATGAAGTAGGCACAATCACTAAAATTTACACTTGATCTGTACTTAACACAATCAGGTGAGATGGGGAAACTGGTCGCGAAAGGATGGCACAAACACGACCTGGCAAACCTATATAACTGATCGCAGTGATTTGATCAATCGCTGGAACAAAGTGCAGGGCAATAAGCGTAACGCACTTGCCCAGGACAGTCTAGACATGGAAGTGTCATGGCCAGATGACGCAGTGCATAAGCGTTTCACGTTCCTGCGCGCGCAAGCATACGAGGAGAAGAAACACAAACGGCTTGATAAGCCCTCAGCGGCAAACTGGGACAAGGAAATAGAAAGTGCATGCAGATGCACAGATGAGCCCGACGCTGAAGATGGCAATGCGGCGTCTCGCCTGCGTGTGCGCCGAGGTACCCCGCGTTCTACCCTATCATCTGGTATGCCACGTTCGTCCTCTTCCAAACGTACTCGTGGACCAACTCCTTCGAATCCCTTGTCTTTGTCTAAAAGAGGTGTTTCTGCAAGGAAAAGGTCACCTTCCATAGGGGATGACGCTTTTCGCTCTTTGATGTTCAATTTGTCTACAAGCACAGTGGAATCTCCCAGGGCTATATCCAAAGGCGTTACAGAAGGATCTAAGAATGCTATTACAAACCACTCTGTCAAATATGGGCAGGCCAGCACTTCAAAACCCGCGTCATCAGCTATGAAGGGCGACATTATATTTGTTCGCTCTGCGAAGCCTCTGTGAGCTTTATTCTTGGGTTCCTACACGTCTATCTTACTAATGTGTCGCAGGCGCGGGCGAGCGCACTTACAGAGTAATTGGAACCAAGCAGCGCAGGAAGCCGGTGCCGCAGATCTACACATCTCCAGCGAGATCGTAGATGGCGACATTGGGCAGCATCTGTACAAATTCAAATATATGGAGAGGTCATATCATTTGTGTGTCCTCTGGTCTCTCATTTTGTTGGACCCTTTTCATTTTATGAACCAGTGATAATGATGGTCTCCAGTCAATCTTTGACGTCGATCCAGGGGCTTTTCTTGCATGTGCATGCACGACGTGTCAAAGAGCATCTCGATGCGACTGTCAGACAGAATCGGAAATCACGAATGAAAGAGGGCATAAGTTATACGCCTATAGCGGGGTGAGTATCTCTATCTGTTGCGGAACGTATTGGCAACTTGTACAGGGACTTTTTGCATTTCGTATCCCCCAAGGAGTTGAAGTTATTGAGTGCAACAAGGTACAGGTTCATCCGAGGCGACATATCGATCGTACTGAAGTTGTTACAGTACTGTAGATGTGGTCCAATGTGCGGTAATCGCGTTGCTCAGAAGCCTCGTGATATTCCAATCGAGATTTTCAAGACAAAGCAATGCGGCTGGGGTGCTCGTTGCCTCGTCGCACTGCCAAAAGGAAAGGTATTGGGAATATACACAGGGTTCGTATGATTATGTCACCACTCCCAAGTACTGAATTCTTCATTGCAGGACGCTGCTGTGAGTTCTGCCATCCTGGCTTCTGCAAGCCCTCACTTGATTTCATAGACGTCGGGAAGACGTGGAGAACCTTCCTCCGGAGCACATTGGTTATGTTTTCGATCTTGATGGCACAGAGGTCCGTGGTCAGCACAATGCAGGAGACAAGTTTTCGGTCGATTCTTATGACTGCGGTATGGCCCCGTGTCGCGATTTCTTCAATCTAATTCAATTTAATCTCTAGGTAACTGGACCCGCTTTGTCAAGTGAGTCGAAACGATCTGCCTTAGGGCCCCTGAGAGCCGACATTCAATTATTTGATGTGTAGTCACTCATGCTCCCCCAGTATGAAGGTCTATTCGGTCGTCTTCGACACCATTCGAGAGGTAATTGCCTATGACCTACAATTCTTGCTGTCGCTCGAGACTTTGGTTTAGGTACATATGCCTTATGTGGCGTTCGTTGCTGCACGAGACATACCTATCGGAGAGGAGCTCACTATTGATTATGAACCAAGCGCTGCCGAAGACATGGCTGAAGGCACTGGGAAGCAAAAACGAAAGATGTCACCCACCGCGCTCTTATGCAAGTGTGGCTCCAAGCGATGTAGAGGATGGATTAAGCAATGAGAGTCACTCCAAGGTTGTGCGCGTCATGCATTGTTGCAGCCGACGAGAGAATATATCAGTCACCCCTCTCCCCCGATGGAGTTTAGGATCATTGGCTCTGTTGTGATCTGTATCTTGAAAGCCTTGATTGAAATCTCCTGTACGTGTAGAAGACGATACCCATCGAATGTACAGATATACATAATACAAGAGGTGGTTTGTCCACATTTCTTGACACCGACTAGATCAGTCTATACTGCCCAAAATGCTGTTATCTTCGCCTTCACAGCATCGTTGCTCCAGCCTGGGAAGCGAGCCCTCATCCACAAAGTAATGCAGTCACCGACCTGCAAGTCACGTACAAAGCTACCATCGTATGATTTCCATCCCTGTCCCCTATTTTCAGCTGCAATCGCTTCAGGTGAACTTTCTTTGACATCATCAAGGTCCGTCCAAGTGATGATATGGTGTGTTGTTCGACCTTCCGCAACAATATTTTTCTGGAGAGTGGAAGGAGAAGGTAAGAATGGTCGCTTGACATCTTTTTGAATAAATCTGAGGGAGAAACTGGATTAGCCATCAAAGGTCGGCGCATCAGCAGGGGCAAGCATACGTGACGTCGTCTGGCAGATTCAGGGCATCAACTGCGGTGAAGAGGAATGAAGAGGGCCACTCGATGCTTCCCGTGAAACAGGAAGTGGAGTGAAGTCTCTCCACACTGGCATCGAACCAGGAGTAAGCACCATTGTACGTTCCTCGACAACCAAGTTCACCGCCCCAGCCCTGGTCATGACTCCATAGCTGAAACTCGATCTTGCGAAAGGGTTTGGCACGTGTGGGCGCCGCCCACTCCAGCTCAGTTGGAGGTAGCCCGCCCAGGACAAACCCTTCTCCCTGTAAATTTTCTTTATCGAGTAGGAAGTCTCCTTCTGTGCCATACACTGCAAGGGGCAATGTACGCATGTACATCTTGTCTCCGTCGGCACAGGCAACAATATGACCATTAACTGTTAAAGATGTGTGTGCCCAATAGGAGGCAGCATCGATAATGTCATCGATGAGTTCATCTGGAAGTGAGATGGAAAATAACTTGAAGTATTTCTTGACCATGAGAATGTCCGCAGTGGTCGGTTCATATGAACCAGATGGGCAGACTTCCGGGGAGGTAGCAATCATGATGATAATGCGACTGATACTTGTCCTCGAATCTGATTCTATCAGACGTTGATCTACACTAATGCCTAGCAATTGAGATTGGGACTGTGACAAAGAAATGTAGATTCAAGTACTTACCAGTGTAGAGGTCCACTTGAATTTCAGAACGGATTGAGAACCTGAAAAGACTCGTATAAAACAAACTAGGGCTCGCAGCGGCATCAGTATGTGCCTGAGACAAGGGACCTTGGCGACCTACTCGCAAACCAGGACCATATGATGCCGCATGTTCAAGTCACATGGTCTCCCCATAGCCCTAGACAAACATAGATGAATTCTAGAACGTCAGATTCGGCAGCATCGATAGCGGGATCGATGAGTTTATCCGAAAGTGTACTGCACGATAGGAACTGATTGTATCGTTCAGTCGGACTTCCGGGGGGGCGGTGCACCAGTCACTGATAATGGTGCCCATCCTCGAGAGTTCCGAGGTAGAATTATAACACCCATCTCATTCTATTAGATACTGATACTTGGCAACTGAAATCAGATTCGGGAGAGCATGGATTGAGCACTTAACAGTTTAGAGGCCCACCTGGTTTCAGAAAGGGTGAAGCTAATGATCCGTTCAGTTGAGCGCCCACGTTAGTACCAAGTGATAGGCGCCTGTGACGAACTTGAGCAATTAGTAAAGATTTATTGCTGCATGCACTCTGCAGCACCACATGTTCCTTGTCGGATGCCGGAGGATGACTGAAACGTTGATCATGCACAATGGACTAGTGATGAGTTAGGTTGCCCACGACCGAACAGGGCGGTTTGGATGTTCTGCCACGCACTAGCGTGTGTGAACCAACTGAAGGCAATCCACAGCGCTCGACTTGTCGTAACCCACTTTATTTACATCTTCACCTCGAACCTTCAAGTTCCGGTGGGCCAAACAGCGAGAATGTTCCTTGCAGCGAAATTCAGCGAGTTGCTCGGTTATACTTCTATAGCATGTTGGCTCGGCGCCCAATTTCCGTGAGTGATCAGTGATCAGTACTCAGTCTTTTATTCAACTTTTATTACGTTGCATATCACGGACTTGACAATGAATTGCGCCATATTCGCCATCGTAGACAAGTGATAGAAAATCACAAACGGCAGTCGTGTGAGGGCCTCGCACTACCGTTCTTGTGCAATTGGTTGCTCGGTATGATACATCCTTATCGATCAATTCGCTGTCCACTGATATTACTTTCTAGGCGACTTTTCGAATTTAGTCGGTTGTTTGCTCACCCACCAGCTTCCCTTCCAGGTGGGCCACTGATATTGATACCGTATCTTCATAATAGTGACTTGCTTTTGCTTTTAGACTTATCTTGCGACCTATTTTTGCATAGTGGATTGTTCGTTACTGGCTCAATACTTCTACTACTACCATGGTAGAGGACCAGAAACACTATCCGAGGCATACGTACGCACACGGTCACGAACCATCTCCACTGCTCGTCGACTCTCATTAGACGCATCACACTATCGTACATTATCGACAGTCGCGGGGAATGTTGCCGCAGCCGCAGCACTAGCCGCATTCCCTGAACAACATCCTGAACATCGCGTCTCACGAAAGCATCTCGCCGATCAGCCGCTCGTTGACACCGCACCCCAAATCGTCGAAGAAGCACAGGATGAGGTCGATGATGCTGTCTTGTCGGCACTCTCAGAAAGTCTCCACTCTGGACGGAAACGCGTTTCATGGAGCCAAGAACGCCACGATCATTCGGTCGTTCCAAAGTCATTGCAAATTACAGCTCCTCAGTGCGAGTTCGCAGCATTTTCCCGGGGTCGTCCAGAGCAGCGTGTGGCAGATGCGGAAGAGGTTGAGGTTGAGCAACCCGACTCACGTGCGACGAGTGGCCATAGGACTAGTTCGCGTGCAAGTCGACGCGGGGCAAGCATGGTTTTGCTTGGATTTGGGATGCTGTTTAGTGTTGGAGCTCTAACCAGCACTCACTCCAGATCTCTGGCAGGGAGGAGTGACAGCATCGGACGGGTACTAGTGGACGAGGTTAATATACCCCATCCAATGACAGCGTCCTCCGTGCAAGACACAGCCTACCATGCGTCATTATCGGATGCAGGAGTTGTGACTGTGGAACTCCCTTTGACACTTAGTCAAAACGAGTTGCGATCTCAATCAGAAGACTCCCCATCTACGGAACGTATCATTGGACGAATATTCGCCTGGCTGTGTACCTCATTGTATTTGACTTCTCGGCTTCCTCAGATATGGAAGAACGTGAGTCTCCTTTTCGTTATGGTTGGAATACTTTCCTCTAAACGACCTCTCCAGTATGTCAGAAAGTCTGTTGAGGGGCTTTCAATGTATCTCTTTATCTTTGCTTTCCTTGGCAACTTTTTCTATGTCTGCTCGATATTGACATCTCCAGAGGCACACATGCCTCCACCTGCATCAACTAAGTTTTTCAAGGAGAGCATCCCGTATGTTCATTGTCGTATCTTATTCATTTTGTCATTGATGACCTTATAGATACCTGCTTGGAAGTGGCGGCACACTCATCTTTGATGTGACGATTGTATCTCAATCCTTTATTTACCGAGGGAAGCCTCCGCGTCGGCGGGGCCGTGGTACATCAATCGCACACAGCGCTTCCCTCGCTGAAGAGCAAGCTTGTTTATTGGGAGGGGATGCTCTTTCTGGTTCGTACTACAGTGGTAGAAGTGCAAGCGTTGTACGGCACTCTAGGACTCGGACCTCCAGTTCACGTCCCACTTAACACCGTAATTGCATGAGACTCGAGTTATTATACCAACATATGTATTGTAAAGACCTGACGAGTTGAACGTTGAACGTATATATACGCATGTGAGAGTTACCCTCCGAGCATCATCTTCTCAGGAGCGAACTTGAGATCCACTTGAAAGTGATAGCTACGCCATTTCTTCACATATGAACCGTTCGCGTTTGTAGATTATATTCATCCCCATACATCAAATGCAGCTACTAGCTACTCCACTCTACATGTTATTGTTACAGATAGTTACTATGTCTATACCAGCCTTGAGCATTTCCGGCATTTACAAGAAGGACTCGGAAGTTGCAAGCTTCACGCTCAGGGACTTGGCTATGTCGGAGATCTCTTTGATGCCCACTTCTTCACTGGAGACAGCATGAGCAACAGAATACTTGACAACTCGAATGCCCCCGATCAAGCAAAGGGGGCTTGCCACCTGAGACTTATCATTCGTGCTTGAGTGCAACGCTCTTCGAGTGTTTGTAGGCGAGATTAAGGTCCTTGAGGCTTTGGAAGAGAGCTGCTGTGGATATTGGCTATGCGAGCCATTTTCCGATCTTGTCAAGTATGCAACAGCGACGGGTGTCCAGCTAGCAGCACGCGGACTTCTTAACAGCTTAAAGTGATCCAGCAATCGGGGGCGCATCCGTGATTGGTGCGTGGCATGCGAGGGTTAATACATCCATATAAATCATAATTTGCCTCCCATCGCTCTATACTTTCTGACGATACCCTAGACATGTGCTCGACCTCCCATCCTTCCTCCAAATGCAGGTACAGAGCTCGTTCTTTTCGGTTGAGATTGATCCTCTGGTAGACCTAGGGGAGTTCGAGTAAGAAATAGGTGCGAGATAGTGCGTTTGAAGCCATTCAGAGGTCTAGAAGTGATTTAAATGAATTGTCAACATTTTCACTATTTTTGAACTGCCACAAACACGTGAGTCAAGACTTTCGGAGTCGACTGTAGTCTGTAGCAGTCCAGCGCCTTCTTAAATTTGCATCATAACAAGCAGTGTCGCTTGAACTCCTTTATGTCTTCCATGATTAGGAGCCCAGCGCCTACATCGCGCATCCCATCACCGTCTCCACCAGTTAGCAACCAACAATTCGCGAAACCGCAACCTGGTCATCTCGTGTGTTCCGATCCGCCAAGAACTTCGTCTTCTATCACTGTGACTGATCTCGCTCTTCTCTACAGCGTGCCTTTGTACTCGATTATCTTTGTCATAATTGTTACACCAAGACTGCGCAGGCATTTGCTAGGGATACCGCCGTGAGGCACCTCGATAAGGACGGAGACGAAATCACGTCGCCTGACAGAAGATTGCAAGGGACCTCAGTGGACCTAACGGATGAAGGCCTCCGGAGAATACGGCGTCGTGAAGGTGCGGTGAATTCTTGGTGGAGTCCGTTAATGTTAATATTCTTGTCCAGATGTACGAACAGAAATTCTCTCGGGGCGAATTGATGAAGCTACTGCCCTCCTCAACGAGCACTTCCCCATTGTTCTCGCTTCATCGAGCGTATCATTCTCGGAAACGTCGTCTTCCGTCGATTCTTCCCCTGACCGTATAGAGTACACCTCCCGTACTGTTTTGGACCCGACACTCCTCTCACTAAACCTCCGTATTCATGCTTTCATCGAAGCCTGCCGTACAATCCCTCTTCCATATGTTCCGCATCATCGGACTATACCCATAGCAACACCAGAACCCCCGACGAATCTCTCCCGTGACCCTGATCTTATGGCTGATGAGCGTTATCAGACAGAGCTAATACTGCGTGCGCAGAAGCTCTATGCATTAGTGGAACTATTACGGAAACCAGAAGACCAAGCGACGTATTTGAAGGAACTGGAGAACGTCGGCGGGCTTCTCGCATATAAGGTGCCAGAGATGAGTCCTATGTCAAAATATCTCGACCAGGCAAGACGAGAACGTGTAGCAGACCAGATAAACCGTGCAATACTCTGTGAGTGCTTGATTTCTTCGCATGATATGGCGGTGTGCTGAGACCCATTTCTCAGATCACAGCAACTTACTATCTGTATCCCATCTGGAAGTTGCCGTGCGATATAATTCTTGTCTCTGGGGAGCTTTGAGCGAACTGCATATCAAAGTTCCCACAACCTCTAGCAGACCTGCAGGAGTTACCCTCCCACCAAAGCCTACCAGCTGGAGTGCGTCAACTTCAGGAGAGAAGAAATCGACTAGTCCTGTTGAGGTAAGTTTTATTGCAGTGAAATGTCGTCTGCGAGATCTAATATGGGATGCAGTACTTGCCACCATTTGATCTGGGCTTATTCCTCGATGCCCGGGTATGATTTTACTTACGTTCTACTCAGGCTCCTGTACTTTCGTATACCCACCGGCAATCTGTACCATTCTCTCCGATCCAGATCTCCGTATATGTGGTTCAATTCATGTATATTATATACGTAGAACATCAATGAATGACGTCCACGTCATCCCATCGACCTCTATTGACTTGCGACAGAAGTGTTGATGAAACGTGACATCCTCGTAACCCTAAGACCTTCAAATAGCGCAGTTTCTTCCACGGGCAATCTTGTAGTAGCTTCTCCCCTGATGCTGGAATGAGCCAATTATTGTAAGACAGGTCCAACAGCGAGACCAGAGGGCAGTACAATGGAAGCCATTGAAGGGACACTGGTTTAGGGATATTTATGAGCGTGAGGCAAGTGATTGTGGGCGGGAGGTCGCTCAAGGCGAAGGTTAACGGTGTGGACAGTAGGGTAAGGGAGAAGAGCGCACTAGGCTCGCTCTCCTGTATTGCAAGGGACTCCCACGTAGACTCCTCTGCTGCACGTTCGGATTCTCTTGAGGAATGTATGCGCCGGAAATGGTCGCTGCGCAATGTAGCATGCGGCCCAACGACTACAAGCTCTCCGTCTGCATGCCCTTCTTCTCCGCATATTGCATTCAGCTCAATCTGAGAGAGAGGACAGTTTATTGCGCTGTGACGCATCAAGACGCGACGGAGGTGAGGTGGGATATAGGGCCTGATTTCAGCCAACTCGTATCCGCTGCATGCCATGCGGATGACATGAAGGGATAGTAGTACCAGTGTAGGGAACTCGCCCATCTGAGGGCTACGAAGAGATGCACTAGTGCCTGGTGGATGCACTGACGCGTTGCCGTCAGGGGAGAATACCAAGTCGAGGGCATGTTTACGCCCAGTAGGAGAGTTTATGTCCGACAAGTCTACCTCCTTGATCTTCGGATATGAACTTAGTGTTGTCCAACTGCGAGGTGGATCAGGACCTGCGACTCGGCCAGGTCTTGTCGAATGGTGCCCTGAAGGAGCAGCCGCTGCATTCCGCCTGCCGTCTTCTGCAGTAGGATAAATCAGGTTGATCGGAAGGGTTGGGAGGTTATTGACATGCAACGACGTGGGTAGGCTCGCTGGGACACGCTGCACATTACGCGAGTGGCGAAATTGTTCTCCTCTGGACGAAGGAATGAGGTGCTTCGTTCGAGCTCATGTCACCACCCGCAGCGCACCTCAAATTACGTAGGATATTGTTTACTTGACGAGAAGTTTCGCTTGTGTCCTGTGGAATAGTTCGTTGTAAAGGCATCGCAGAATATAGACTGCGCTACCGTATTATCACGTCCCTCATGGATTGGGAGTCGAGGAGTGAAAATAGAACAGACGTTATCACCGTGGTAATTAAGTGGACGCGGACTCCACCAAGCTGAGCTGCATTACAGCGACGTAGAATAATACAAATCTCATATCATGCCAATGAATGCTAAAGTGTTGGAAGAAATCCATACGCGTTTTCATAGTGCATACATGGCAAAAATAGAGGAACATGATGAATTTCATGCCAAGCATACCTTACGACTACTCCATCCCGCCACTACCCCTCCTCGGACCGCAATAAAAGATACACTCAGTTCATTTGGCGGATGAGCTTGTTTATGTTGGCCTCTCGGTCACCAAAGTCACCACCTTGCACGAAGTGCTTGAATTTGCGCGTCCTCCAGCCACCGTTAGGGTTCGACAGCTTGAACGGCCAGAGGAAGTTGGATGCCTGTTCCAGTCTGTCAGTAGAAGAATATATTTATGACATGGTCGTGCTGACCTGCTTGAAGTTAGGGCCGGCAGTAGCGATCTCGTGAACAAGATCTTCTATGGAGAGGATGTCATATTTGCCGAGGGACTCCTCGATGATGGCATTGTTGGTCAGGGGAATACGCTGTTTGTTGACCTTGCCGTAACCGCGCTTGTAAAGGAGTTCGCGGACGGATTTGATGTTTGGTTCGCTGAGGAAATTCATCAATCCTCGTGCATATTCACCAAGTAGTTAACTTACCCGTATGTAATGTAGGGTTCAACCAGTCGGAGCATTTGCTGGGTAGCTTTGGTGACCTTTACGAAAACACCGTTGTTGATCTGAAGAAGGCGGAGAAGCTGTAGGATTTTGCGGGGTTTGGGTGCAATCTCGTTGATACTACGCATATATGAGAAGAATGAATAATCACAAAGGAAGCCGTACGTACCCACGAATACGGACGACGAAGAAAACCTTGGCTTCGGCGGGAACGTAAAAGTCGCCAGATGTCCGGGCAGCACGCTTCAATCGGATCTCTTCCTTCTCCTTTGACAAGTACTCCTTGACATAGCTCTCCGCCCGCTTGAAGATAACCTTGCGCTTTGCCTTTGATGCCTGAAACAAAATTTAGTATGCAATCGGAAATAGAGTAATTTTAAGGTAAAGGATCAGTCCCGAAAGATGGTTAATTTGAAGGCAGCAATGCAGAACGAATCCCACTAGCCATTCGGTCGAAATAATCGTATGCATCATACATAGAGCAAGGCTCTAATTAACAGGTTGACACGAACCTTACGTGCAGCAGTAGCGGCAGCAAGGCGCTCCTCCCGTGCCTTTTCGTTTTGCTTGCGCTTTTTAAGGAGGGTCTCTGGAACTTCGATGTCCTGTGGTAGAAGTTAATGGATATCACATAGATCGCGAGCACATGAACGAACCGAGACAGTAGGAACCCTTGTGAAGATGTAAACACTCGTTAACCGTTCAGAAACTTGACAGACTCACGTTGTCGAGGGGGCCATGGCGAGTTTTGAGGATATTGTCGGCGCTGTAGGCCTTGGCGGAGACAACTTTGGAACCTCGCGGTGGCTGGTAACTGTATAGTCTTAGTCAGATATTCTCACGGATGGCAGGAGATTACTCGGCTCTGACCGGTATGATGCACCTGACACTACTTCTATCTTAAGCTTCTGATCTGTATGCTCTTTCATTGGTCCTTCTTTACATACTCGACCTGTATGTGGCATAGATGGCCGAATACTTATCATCATAATCACCGACACAGGATCGTATGATTGCGGTATCGGGGGATCCGAGCGCTCAAACGGCCAAGCAGACTTTGTCCTGTTCACGAAAACGAGTCTGCATGTACAATGGACTCGGCACCAGTGGTGAGCCTTGACCCTAAGTCACTCGCTGCAACGGAGAGGCGTTTGGACTTATCAAAAACCCTGAGGCCTTCGTTTCAAAGATCAGTGTCCAATCAAACTGAGCAGTTATCGGAATCCCATGGAACTGCTAGAAGGAATCAAGTACCATTACTTGAAGGCTTCTCCCCATTCCATCATCTTCATTCCGCCTTCCTTCTATCCATCATGTCACCATTCATCAAGACGTGGTCCTTGACAGTCGTTCTAATAGCAGGAGCACTTGTCCCCAGAGGTGCTTTTGCGCAGGTCTCCAATGCGACATGCCTGTCCTCCTATAGCTGGGTAATGAACTGTTTTTTCCCTCTTGTTTTTGAGTATCAAGATATAGATTCTGAAGCATGATCTGCAGATGAACAACTCACTCGGGCAGGATCCTTGCGTGGTTGCTTCTTACCTCGAGAGTGTCTGCTCGGGTGGAGGTACGCAGTTTTCGTTTCTTAGTATGCCTTGAACCTGCATAACTAGTTCTGGCGCAGCTTTTGAAGTAATTGCTTTGCTTCCCGGTGACTTTTATGAAGGTCCCTCGGTCGTTCTAGCAAACTCTTGCGAATGTAGTACAGTGACCTACTCGTTGATTAGCGCTTGCGGCGACTGCCAGAACGCCACATTTTTGAAGTGAGGTTGTGTCAAGTATGCTTGACTTCACAGAGCGCTTATAAATATGCCTCGTAGCTGGTCTGGCTGGAGCTACAATTGCTCCCAGGTATTCTCCCAAGTGTTAGTCTCCAAGGTTGTTTATATTCCCCAAGCTTATAAAATCCACCTCGTCGACAGATATCCGCATAACATTCCCTCCGGCACTGTGGTTCCGAATTGGGCATACCTGAACGTTAGTGCATGACTACTCATCTCAAATATATTGTAATCTAATTCTTTCTGAAGGTGACCGCAGCTGGGTTCGATCCCGTTGTAGCGCAAAGCGCTGGAGGTTAGGTTTCGGGCATAAGCCCCCGTCGCAGAAGCACTTTCACTCACCTTCTTGCAGATCTCCCGGAATCCACCGCAACCAGCGTACAATCTACTGGCTCGGTCACTTATTCGAACAGTGTGTCTGCTTCTTTGACCAGTTCTTCGGGTGCAGCCACAGGATCTTCGACGACATCATCAAAAAGTAACGTTGGAGCTATAGCTGGGGGTATTGTTGGTGGAATTGTGGGAGCTGCAGTCGTCATTAGTCTTGCGACATGGTGCTTTGTCAAACGCCGTCGCTCCTCCACAACGCCATTCAGCGATAATGACGGAGGTCCAGGCTACACTCAAAGTTATTACTCCGCTAACCCTGATTCATTCCAAGGGCAACCCCAAATGACGCAGCAACCACGTCTCTACGTATGTTTCTCATTATTTTATGGTGCATCGGCTCATCCCCTCGCGCAGGACCCCTCTGACCCGAGCACTTTCCCAGATTCTCTTTCCTCCCCCACCATTACCTCATCTAGCAACATGTACCAACACCCATCCATACCCCCACATGTCTTTTCCGAACAGCCGCGTCCTGGACAGTACGCTGGCGCTCCGGAGGTCTAAATCATGGGCTTTTCTTACTTTATGTCACTTACTTTCTGGTAAACGAAACTCGCTCAAATTCACAAGTCGCGACCACTCGAAAAGTGGCGAAAGTAGTATTAAATGCAATGTGTTAGTACTACAAGTGTGTGCAGTAATCGACGGTACTACGAAGTCACCATGCAAACAGTTCTCGGAATGGCGACTAAGCAGATGTACAGTCCAACGCTCATATGCGACTTGTTACGAGCTTGGTCGTGACAGGTTCATAACATATGTGGAAGCCACTGGCATGGCTACTTTAAATAAGTGTCAGCTCGCGTTAGCGTCAGCACATTCACATCGCACGCACGTAAAGTCATCTCACCTTCACAGGAGTGCACGCCTAAAACAGTCAGCAGGAACAGTGGACTGGTGGAGGCTGGTGGGGGTGCCTGTTTCGCACCAAGCGACGCCTCACCACTGAGTTACACAACTCACCAGGTCGGCCGGTGATCCGAACCTCCTTCCAGTTTCATATTGCCAGGGCATTCGTGACTCTAGGGATGTGACTTATGGAAAGCGTGAGTGCTAATCACTCCCGCTTTCCATAGACTCACTTCGTTAATGGTGCACTGTAGACATACGAGCTTTGTTACGCGTCACAATGACCCGGACGATCTTATTCCGTGTGACCCATATGATTGGCCTGTACTCGCGTGATAAGGTTTGAATTTGCGATGCTGATGACACCGCATTCATCCCCCCCCCACGCTGTGACTCGCTAGCCCGGGTTCAAGCCTGTACAGCAGCATGATCAGCAAATTCAGTATCATAGTCTCGATAAGTGTTGGAAAAATAGCAAGATAGCCACAGCGCGGAGACTGTGCATAAGCCTTGCTTGAAAAGTGTGTAAGCCCGCTGGCTTACCTGGGTTTCCGCCATCAGCATCAATACCTGTCAGCGGTAATCAAGCGTGAGCTTTGATTTTCACTGCCTTCTGGCATAACTGTTAAGGGACGACAGTCCAGTGGTCACTGTTCAAACACCAATACACTCGACGGTACAAACACGGGTGGCCTACCCGTAACAAGTGATCTGCTGATACGACACGTACGGTGGGATGCGCACGAGCTTACTAGTACATCGGTATATGTTCGACCAACTGCCGCAAGGAAGATATGTACTGGACAACGGATACCGATGCAAAAACGGGTAACCGTTCACGACATACTTCATAGAACCCATGATGCATCATGCTTAAAATGCGTGATAATACAGTGGAACTCCCACTAGAGGAAAGACCTTGATCGATCCTCGAGTGTTACAAGAGCAGCGGAGGTGCCATAGCTGCACTGCCTACATATGATAACAAAGGACGAGCCAGAAGCCATTCTGAGTGAAAAAATACAGTCCAAGTTGAAGTTTCAGGCAGAAGCCATGATGTACGGAAGCTTAACAGCCGAACCAAATTCGGCTCGTTGAACCGACGGGCCTGTCACCTACATAACATCAACCTTGACATCACCACATCAAATAATTGCGGCATCATGAATTGGATCCCAACGCTCAGATAGCCAAGCAGGCTTTATCCTGCTCGAAAACAAGTTTATCGTGTACAAGAAACGGTCATTACCAGCGGTGGGTCTCTACCCTGAGCTACTTACCGGAATGGAGAGGCGTTTGTACGTTTGAACTTATCGAAAATCCCGAGGTCCTCGTTTCTAATCAAACGAGGCGAACGGCTGTCGCGGCATCGCGTCAAACTGCTAGAAGGAACAAAGTGCCATAATTTAAAGGCTTCTGCCCATTTCGCCTTCCCCATCTTTGTTCTCTCTATCCATGATGCCGCCACTCCGAACCAAGGCATGGTCGTTGGTAGTGGTCTTGGCAGCAGCACTTGTACCCAGAGGTGCCTTTGCGCAGACGTCCGATGTAACATGCCTGTCTTCCTTTGGTTGGGTAATGATCTCTTTCATTTAAAAATTTTTAGGCCTCAAGATATAGACTCTGATTCATGATCTGCAGATGAACAACAGCCTCGGGCAGGATCCTTGCGTTGTTGCTTCCTACCTCTGGAGCGTCTGTGCACGTACGCCTCTTTTCAGTATGCCTTAGCCTTGCATAACTAGTTCTGGCGCAGCTATGAACTTCGTTCCTTTATCTCCCGGCTGGGTTTACGCAGGTCCCTCGGCCGCTTCAGCAAACTCTTGCATATGCAATACGGTAACCTACTCGATGATAGGCGCTTGCAGCGTCTGTCAGAACGCCTCGTATGAGTCGTGAGTCGTATTCAATTCGTATCGAGTATGCTCGACTTCACGAGGCGCTTATTTCCTATCAGCTGGTCTACCTGGAGCTCCAGCTGCTCCCAGATATCCATTCGAGAGTCAGTCCGCAAGGTTCATTGATATCCTGCAACCTTTTCTAATACACCCGAACGACAGATACCCGGACGACATTCCCGCTCGCACCAAGGTTCCGAATTGGGCATATTTGAACGTTAGTGCACGATTACTTATCTCAATTGTTGTAATCTAATTTTCTCTGGAGGTCACCGGCAGTGGGTTCGACCCCAACGCAGCTCAAAATAATGGAGGTTAGGATTCGGGCATAACTTTTACGTTGCAAAAGCACTTTCACTTACCTTCTTGTAGACCTCCCGGAATCTACCGCAACCAATGTACAATCTACTACCACAGTCACTTATTCGACTACTTTGTCTGCTTCTTTGACTAGCGTGTCTGTTTCTTTGACCAGTTCTTCGGGCGGAGCCACAGGATCTTCGACGACATTAGCATCTGATTCGACAAGTTCCAATGCTGGAGCTATAGCTGGGGGTGTTGTTGGTGGAATTGTGGGAGCTGGAGCCATCATTGGCCTTGCGACATGGTACTTCGTCAAACGCCGTCGCTCCTCCACAACGCCATCAACCGCCTTCAACGACATAGGCGGAGGTCCGGGCCACACTCAAAGTTTTTACTCCATCAACACTACTACATTCCCAATGGCGCGGCAATCACGTCTCTATGTATGTTTCTTATGATCTTATGATACATCAGCTCGTCTCATTCCCTCGCGCAGGACCCCTCTGACCCGACCACTTTCCCAGATCGTCCTCACTCCTTCGCTGGCCCTGTCGCCTCATCTAGCAACATAGACCTAACCCCGTCGATACCCTCACCCGTCTTTTCCCAACAGTCGCGTCTTGGACAGTACCCTAGCATTCCACAGGTCTAGAGTTTGGGCTTATCTTACTTTATGTCACTTACCTTCTGGTAAACGAAAATCAGAATGTTGCTCTCTGGACTTGTTGGATTTTCTTTAAACCGAATTCAGAGTGCAGTCAAGTTAACAGGTTGCGACCACTCGCAAAGCGCCAACAGTAGGTTTAAGTGCAATAAGTACTACAAGTGTGTACAGCAATCAACGGTACGCGCAAAAAGTTATTTGGAACTGCAGCCCAACAAACGGTTTGACGCTTACTTGCGACCTGCTCCAGTGGCAGGCATGGCTGCTTTCGATAGTGTCTGTACCGTAGTTAGCGCTGAGCTGTTTAATTGGCTACAGAGACTCATTTCGTTAATGAGACATACGAGCTTCGCCACGCGTCAATCGCAATGGCCTATGAATCGAGCTTATGATTTCGTGTGACTGGTACTAGAAGAAATAAGGTTTGCGATACCGAGCGCTGAACATGTCGCATTCCTTTTGTAACCCGGGATGTGACTCGCGAGCACGAGCAGATGCTTCTACAGCGTGACTCAATCAGCATGGTAAGGACTCTTAGAAAGTGTCTAGCAAGATGGCATTAGAAATTCACGGCGCGGAGACTATTGAAATGGTGTACTTACAAGTACTATGTACCTGTAACAAAGCCGTGAATCATGTAGTGGTTGCGCCGATCTGCTGATACGACACGTACGAGATGTGCACGAGCTACCTCAGCATAACTGCCGCAAGGTGGATACTAGATGATCTCCCGGTGGGATACGGACAACCGTTCACGACATACTCTATCGAACTTACAACACAAACGCATGGCCATTGATGATACAGTCGAACGGGAAATTCTTACTCAGATACTTATTGCAAGAGCCGCAGATGTGCCGAGATTGTATCGAGAGGCGAGAACGAGCCAGAGGTCAATTTGATAAAGACACTTCAACTTGAAGTTAACGAACAGCTCAGGCTCATACAGAAGCCATGATGGGTGGTGGTGACAACAGATCAACGAAGTATTGTAGATCTCAGAATTCGAAGCGACAAAAGGGTCGCAAAAGAGGTACAGAATGAGCAGGAACAGCGCTTAGCGAGTTACACAGCCAAACCAAAACTCGGCTCTATTGGAACCGACCCTTGATTGCCCTGATACTATCCCTTCCGGTGCAATCGTCAACCCACAGAAGTCGGCACTTTCACAAAACTCGTATTTCTAGCTCCTTATAGATATCTTTTTTTTTCTCTGATACAACTCATCACGAAGTTGAACGACCACGATTGAAGCAGAATTGAGTGAGATAGTTGAAGTGCCGAAGTCACACAGGAATGTCACTTGCTGACGGAGTTTCAATACTCTCTGGTACTAGCTATCAATTCTAGCTAGCCCCCACATCATCATCATCCAGTGGTCTCATTGTATCACCATCGAACTTTACATAGACGACCCCATCCATATATAATGTACCAGGCTCGAATTTCACTCAATCTTTGAAACTGCCCTATGTGACATACTGTGACAATGTTTGCGTGGCTGTGCCGATTACATCGGAAGGGATAGTAGTACTAGTATAGATACAGGGACTGACTCATGCTTGGATGGACTCATCTGGATCCGAGCTCAAATGTCCCTTTATTTTACTCGAAAACAAGTCTGCCGTGGACAGGAAACGGACATTACCAGTGGCGGGCTATGGCAACACACGGACCAGAGCGTTTGCACTTATCGAAAACCCTGAGGCCCTCATTTTCAAAGCTGTGTTCAATCAATCTTGGCATGATTGATGTGGCCGACAACAGGTCGAACTGCCACAAGGAACAAAGCGCCTAATTACTATATGTAACTTGCAGGCTTCTCCCGTTCCGTCTTCCCCATCCTTCCTTCTATCCACCATGTCGCCGCTCTCCCAGGCATGGTCGTTGATAGTGGTCCTGGCAGTAGCGCTTGTACCCAGAGGCGCCCTTGCGCAGACATCCAATGTGACATGTCTGTCCTCCTTTGGTTGGGTAATGCTTTTCTTAGTTTTAAGATATAGATTCTGATGCATGATTGGGTGATCTGCAGATGGACAACAGCCTCCAACAAAGCCCTTGCGTGGTTGCTTCCTATCTCGAGAGTGTCTGCTGGGGTGGAGGTACGCAGTTTCCGCTTCTTAGTACGCCTTAGCCTTGCATAACTGGTTTTGGCGCAGATTTTACAGTCAGTTCTTTACCTCCCGGCACCCATTATGCGGCTCCCACGGTCGCTGACGCCAACAAATGCGAATGTAGTACAGTGACCTACTCACTAGTTAGCGCTTGCGGTGCCTGCCAGAATGCCACGTTTCTGAAGTGAGTCGTGCTCAAATCGTCTCAAGCACGCTTGACTTCACAGAGCCTCGTAGCTGGTCTCAATGGAACTACAATTGCTCCCTGGTATACTTGCAAGAGTAAGTCTGCAAGATCATTTATATTCTCCAAGTTTCTCTAATCCACCTGGCCGACAGATATCCGAATAACATTCCGTCTGGCACCGTGGTTCCGAATTGGGCATACCTGAACGTTAGTGCACGACTACTCATCCCACATGTTGTAATCTAATTTTTTCTGAAGGTGACCACAGCCGGGTTCGATCTCACCGCAGCGCAAAGCGCTGGAGGTTAGTATTTGGGCATAACCCCCCGTCGCAGAAGCACTTTCACTCACCTTCTTGCAGATCTCCCGGAATCCACCGCAACCAGCGTACAATCTACTGGCTCGGTCACTTATTCGAGCAGTGTGTCTGCTTCTTTGACCAGTTCTTCGGGTGCAGCCACAGGATCTTCGACGACATCATCAAAAAGTAACGTTGGAGCTATAGCTGGGGGTGTTGTTGGTGGATTTGTGGGAGCTGCAGTCATCATAGGCCTTGCGACGTGGTACTTTGTCAAACGCCGTCGCTCCGCCACAGCGCCATCGGCCGCTTTCAGCGACATTGGCGGAGGTCCAGGCTACACCCAAAGTGTTTACTCTGCTAACCCTCATCCATTCCCAATGCAACCACAAATGACGCAACAACCGCGTCTCTACGTATGTTTTTCATACTTCTGTGATGTGTCGACACTGATCTCACCTCCTTGTGAAGGATCCCTCTGACCCGACCACTTTCCCAGGTTCTCCTCCCTCCCCCACCGTCCTGACCACCGCATCTAGCAACATATACCAAAACCCATCCATACCATCGCATGTCTTTTCCCAACAGTCGCGCCCTGGGCAGTACAGTGGCACTCCCGAAATCTAAGTGTGAGCTTGAAGATGATCGACGACCATTGGATGTGATTCCCCTCATAATTTGATGACATTACACTTATATATCTATGCAGCTTCGTGTTCATCTATCAATTTCTTCGGTACTTATCATTGCACACTCACACTTGAACCCCGGTGTTAGTGTTGAGCTCCCAATTATCCATCGGAACTTTTATCGTCTAGGAGGACCATTATGAAATGCAATAGTGTCGTGTACCTGAACGATCATGCGAGTGGAAACGTTGAACGCTTAGCTTCGTTCTTTGTCACGAGGACATCCTGTCAGGGATCTACTATGAGAAAGCCATCTTTCACGTCAGCAATCACGATCGCTGCTGGTAGTCCTAACCGTTGCAGTGTTGTTGCTGAAGATGACTTTGTACAGATGCTCACGAACGCAGTATGAGTTGATTGGTGCATTCTGCCAGGGGGCACGTGGGTATTGTGCGGACCTTGTTATGCCAGAATGTTTGTGATGGCAAAATGTATTTCATCCATAAGCCATACCGGATGGATATGACCTTTTGGCCCATCAGAGATGCAGATGCTGACAGATAAGGGAATGTATCACTCTCGCGTGAGGGCAAATTGTCAGGCGCGAATTTAATGTTTGCATCATGAAAAACCTGTGTTCGACCGTGTTCAACACTCACTGTCATTACATTACATGATAACGTCATGGAGACATGGCACCGCCAAATGTTTCTACCTGTAAGACTTTCAACTGACTCGATAATTTCTTCCAGGTTCCACAACAAAAACCTCAGTATCTCCATTGTCGGTCCTCAACACATGGCACACCTGCAACTTGCTCCGTTTCCAGGTGTTGAAGTTCTTTGATGTGATTTCAAAGAACTCAGGCTGCCCATTCTCGCCGATGTTAGTGATGCTAACAGCGATTTTCTCCCCAGTGTCGTTGACAATGGTGACTTCATTCATATTCAAGTTGCCTGCTCATGTGTCCGAAATGATCATTATGAATTCCCTTTATACGTCCGAACGCACCGTGACTTTCAACGATTTGATAAGTTTTTCCGGGCTCCACAACAAGAACCTCAGTTTTTCCATTGTCGGCCCTTAACACATAGCACACTTGCAATTTGTTCCGTTTCCAGGTGTTGGGGTTCTTTGACGCAATTTCATAGAATCCGGGTTGCCCACTGTCACTGGTGTTAGTGATGCTAACAGTGATTTTCTCCTTTGTGTTGTTGACGATTGTAATGTTGCTCATGTTACCTGCCTGTAGCATCGTATAGTCAGGATGATTATGATGAACTTCCTTTATCTGAACGCACCTCAAAGATCGGTGTAGTAGAAATATTCCACGCGAGACTTGGACAGAAACAAGATATTCTAGAGAACGAGTGAGACAAGATAGAAGATCTAAACTGAGGGACTCACTTGATCAGAGTAATCGAAGGAGTGATGAGGGGACGGACTGCTTAATTTCATATCTTAATTTATAATGATGTGCCGGGCCTAGTAAAAATACAGGCCAGGCCCATCCAGAGCCTAGAGGGCTTTGGCCTAGGGATCCACACAGGTAAACCCCCGAGTATCGAAGGTTGTACCCAGACCCATACCTGGCAAAAACACGTACCCGCTCCAAGGCCCGTACGGGTTTTTCTGCGGGTGTTGCCAACTCAGACCCGTACCCGCACCCGTGCAGGGTTTACCCGCGGGTAACACATACAGATATGTAGTATGGAATTAATATTAGAAAAATGCAGATTGTATTCTATGAGTAGATACATGAACAAAATGCACCTGTAGCGCTCGCCGACGTGACCTTGTTTGGCTGTGGTTTGGGCCGCTTGGTACAGGCAGCCGTCATCCGTCATCACTTGTCATCGAGTGGATGGTTTCATGTTGTTGCCGATGAAAGAAGGCGGAAGACGAGGGGTAATGATCGAGTTTTTGTTGTTCTGGTCTCCCAAGAAGTAGCCCGTTACTTGATGATGTGAAACAGAGAGGTACACGCACTTCCCCTGAATTTGCGCTTGGTCTTCCAGGTTTGGCTGCAGTGCACAAGTCTTGGGAGTCCATGGGATGTGCTACCCGCATCCTTCATGCAATCATAGTGCTCAAAGAACTGGAATTGAGGGGGCTCTGTTACCTTGCATACAAGTGATGAGCTAAGCAGTTCTCGATATGGCACCGAGTCGGGCGCCTGCAATAAGTCATCGCCTCTTCTATCCTTAGTACATTGCTGAATATATGCAGCAAGGTAATAGGAACTGAGGGTATCGGATGTAGGAAGTTTCTGGATGGGAGGCATTGTATCGTGCCCAGCTACTGCGCGAGGAGAGGCAAGTTGTATCTGAGAAGTAGTATGTGTTTTGACTTAGGTTCTGAGTAGTATAGTATTAGCGTGATACAAGTCAAGCAGCTGTGGTAGTTCACACAGCGATCAGCTTCCATCGGAGAATTCCGTCATTATTCTTATACTACCTAAATTCTCCGCCACTCGGATATATCCGATACTCAGATGAGTCGGTGTCATTTGATTGCTCGCTCATATCGTACTTCACAATTGCAACAGTATGTAGTATGAGAGGACTGAAAAAGTTGCTATAATTCGAGGAAACCCATGGTCAAAGCACAGGATTACTAAGCGTTGGGGTACCGTCCTTTAAAATTGCACCAGGATGACGCGGTCATAGTCATTCTACAGAGTAGGGCACTTCGTCTGAGATCTGAGGTCCTAGATGATATGCACCAAAATAATGATGATATTAGATTGTGTAGATCAAAACAACAAAATTTTCAAATGTTGGTACACCTGGTGACCGAAGCATCCAAGAAGCTAGGATGGCCGGCCAAAGGGTGAACCGTACTCATCTGAGGTACTACGAGATGAAAGATTGCCAGTAGTACAGACAATCGAACATGTGGTATACAAGCACCTGGAAGTTGTTAAAAAATGTTGGAGGGAAAGTAAGCCCAAAGTTAAATACACGTGTTTCTTTAGGGCTGGTCTATCAATTATTATATCACGCCTCGGCACGCGTATAGGAGATTTATCATAGCGTGTGCCTCATCGCTGAGAATATAGACCATCTCACGGTGGTATGGCAATCGTGGGGACGGTGCATCTTAATTGCGTTATCGCACTCCATAGGTCACCAGTCATGTTACGGAGATCCGCTTCATTAGTGCCACTAGTACTAAAGTGCTTCGAGAGACCGAATTTAAAGCATCACACAGTAATTGGGTTCCGTTCAAGCCACTTTGCAGGTTCATCATCCATAATGACCATATCTACACTCCCTCTGAATGACGGGTACCAGGTCCCCTGGATAGCTTTTGGCACCGGTACTGCGCTCTATCAAAAGGACGCTGAGGAGGCCATCCGCCTTGCTATTGACAATGGCTTTACGCATCTCGATGGTGCGCAAGTCTATGCCAACGAGGACACGTTGGGGAATGGGGTATTAGCTTCTGGGAAGTCCAGGTCCGAGCTCTTCATAACGACGAAGCTCGGAAAATTGCAACCTGGTGCAACTCCCAAGAGTGCACTCCAGGAGTCCTTGAAGCAGATAAAAGTGGATTATGTCGATTTATACCTTATCCACCAACCCAGCAACCACGTCGGGAAGCTAAAGGAGACCTGGAAAGGGATGGAAGAGGCTCAGAAGGCGGGCTTAACCAAGTCTATTGGAGTTTCTAACTTCACTGCTGACCACCTGAAGAGTATATTGGAAATTGCCACTATACCCCCCGCAGTCAACCAGGTTGGTTTTATGAGCCCGTCGGTGTGATAGTCCTTATTTAACCATATCAATAGGTTGAGGCTCATCCATATGTATGGAAAGCGTTGCAGCCGAATCTTGCCATCCACGACCAATACAAAATCGTTACGTCGTCGTATGGTGGTTTGTCACCTCTTTTCCGTGGAAAAGGTGGCCCACTAGACCCCGTGGTCGAGCAAATCCGCGCTCGCTTGGAAAAAACTCGTGGCGCCCCTGTGTCTGATGGTCAGGTGTTGAACAAATGGCTTCAACAGAAAGGCGTTCTTGTGGTAACGTAAGATTTAATCCCCACATTCACCAGTTATGGTTTTCTAATGCTTACGTCATCGTAGGACCTCGTCGAAAGCCGAACGCATCAGGGAATACCTTGACACTCAGAACGTACCAGAGCTTACACCCGAGGAGATCGCCCTTATAGACACTACTGGGGGAAAACTTCACCAAAGATACTTCGTAAGTTTGGAGCTTGACGATGACTCACGTTCTCCTGCTCATCTTCCATTTCAGCCTGGAAACTGGCCGCCCGAGTAAGTCGGCGATTATTGTGGCAGGACTTGGAATGGTTTCATCCGAGAGAGTAGATCTCACTTGTAACCTGTAGGAGTTTAAAGTAATAGTGAATCACGTGACTTTGAGCACAATTGAGTCGCAACTCAAGTGGATTGTGGGCCGTGGCTTTCGCTATATCTATATAAAAGTTCCTTGCATTCATCTGTGTTGTCAACAACCATGTCATCTCTAGCTCTGTCTGCACTGCCAAGCTACGTATCAACATCAAAATCTCGTCTACACTCGCTGTATTCCGATATCCACAGACAGAAACATTCCAACCCTTCTTCTTTCCATGCATATGTTGACTGGTGGCATGGCACGCTCAAGGATTTCATTTCGCGAGGTTGGCAGGGAAGTGACGGGCCTGACGGAACAAGCAACAAACTTATCCTAGGGGCACGAAGAACGCTGGTGGATAAGTTGCGCTATGAAGGTGTTGGCAAGCCTCTCGGCCTCGGAACTACCATAGTGCGTCATTACGCAGCTCTTAGATTTTTTGGTATTCGACTCACGGCACTGCACTAGTAAAGGCTGAGATGCAACGAAGTAACGATTTAGTACTACTCTCCCAATTTCTTACTTCACAGCAATCTGTGTACGACCCTGGCTGGTTCCCATACCGAATTGCGTCCTTCGTGGTCGGAAAACCACTATGGTGGGCTATGGAGCAGCTTGACATAGTTCGCTCAGAAGACTCTTATACAGAAGCTGAGACATGGAAGAAGATAGAAGGGGACTACGTCATGCTTGGGCTTGTCGTACAGGCAGCTGATACCCTTGAAACTCTGCGAGACGGCATCGGACTCAGCCCAGCTGACAACCTGTATACTTTCGAAGATTTTCGCAGGGAATTTGGGGTCAAGGTCTTACCCGGAGTCGTGCTGAGCGAGATAGATACAAAAGTCCTGATCAAATTTCTCGAACGGGAAAAACGAGTGGTTATACAGAATGGCGATGTAGGTATTTCAGTCGTATATCTTATCTGCTGGCTGATATCACTTTGAGGTCATTAAATTTGTGACAGCGACCCATGATCGAGAAATCACTGCTGTGGATCGAGGTATTCTTCAGCTTAAGACAGCAGTGAGAAATCTCCATGAGCAGGTGGATAGCATCCAGAATAAAATTGATCAGTAAGGAGCATGTTTTTCCACAGCAAGTCGTCGAATAACGCATGTATACATCTAGGACCACCTCAAATATCTCAAACGCCCTGCGTCAGCAGCGCAAGTCAATTGCACTAGCAGAGTTGCGGTTTAAGAAACATCTGGATGACCTGCTTTCAAAGCGTCTGGGATCCCTTAATAATCTAGAGTCAACATTGATTAGTGTTGAGACGGCTGCGGGTGATGTGGAAGTGAGTTAATCCTCCTCTTCTGTAAATTCCGCGTTGCTCATCAGTAACCTCTTCAGATTATGAAGACGTATGAGAGTTCGACGGCAACATTAAAAGCAATCCTTAGCCACCCCTCCCTTCAACGCGACAAGATTGAAGAGACAATGGATGCGCTTGCGACATCGACTGCTGATGCACGTGAGATAGACGATGCTATCAGAATGGGCGGAGACATGGCTGCAGTAGACACGGGCATAGATGACATGGAACTAGAAGCCGAACTAAACGCGTTGGTGGAAGAGACAGAGAAGGAGAGAGCTGAGGCGGCTGAACAGGTGGTTGTGGAGAAGCTTCATGGCATTGGAGTTCATATCCCAGAAGGTGCACCAATACAGGCTGAGGGAGCGCCCAGGCGGATGGCAGAGGCAGCATAAGAGGACACCTTGCTATAAATAGTGTACAATGTTCCTAACTTGATGACCTTATGACCTGGTCCTACAAGCTCAGGCTGTTTCATTCCCTGTTTAACACCGTCTCGCACATTTACAATCAATGGCACCCATTCGTTTGCGGCACCCCAAGGGCATCACGACGTTGCAGATTGACCTCGATAATGCTCTAGTTCAAGATCTTCAGCAGGAGATATTTGGAGTGTCTGAAATCCCACCATCGCAACAAGGACGTATGTACTATGCAAGCGCGTGTAACAAGTACATTTAACCGTCATTTTTGTGCATGTTAGTCAGGTCGGGGTACCCACCACGATCGCTCACAATTATCCCAGAGCTTCCGCTTTCGAGTCTGGGATTAAAGTCCGGCGATCAGATCATCGTAAACCAGAACATTTCGAGCTCGGTGCGCGCCCCGGCACCTTCCCCACCCAAGGCCAAGCCAGTGTCCTCCCAGTCACCTCAAGCCTCTTTGTCGCAACCAAATTCAAGCAGGCTCGCACCGAGGAGTAGCGGTCCAGACTATGTTGACACACCAAACGGTGTGTTAGTGCACAGGGTAAGGTAACGCGTTCCTATGTTGATCGGTCATCTGTCACGCGCCATAGATCGTGCCAGACGATAACTCGTGTCTGTTTTCGTCGATCGCCCTCATTTTCGAGCAAGATTCCCGCAAGGCGCAAAAGATACGGCAAGGTCAGCCATATGATCACATCGGTTCAGAATCCGCCAGATTGACTGATCGGCGATCCCTACATAAGTCGTGGCAGATGGCATCCGAGCAGACATGGAAACCTACAACGAAGCTATTCTGGGGTAACTGGCATCACTGCATACTACAGTGTAATACCGAGTTGATTCGAATTTGCAGCTTGAGCCGAGATGCATACATTGCCACCATTGTGAAGCCTGCGACATGGGGAGGTGCAATTGAACTTGGAATCCTCGCCAAGCATTATGGCACGGAGATTGCATCTATTGATGTCGAAACCGGAAGATTTGATCGATTTGAGCCTCCATTAGAGGCGAGCACGGGCAACCGGTAGGCACCCTGTGTGGCCCTCAGTGTTTAGAAGCACATCTGACGTATTGGTACGCAGTTGCATCGTGATTTATTCTGGCATTCATTATGATGCCGCGTCATTAGCGCCCATGGCTGACGCTCCGCCTGAATGGCACCAGACCGTCTTTCCGATCGTGAGCGTATCAGTCTCGTACACGCCATTCTAGAGTTAACCACCCCTGATATTAGATTTCCGCGGACGAAGATGATCCGGTTTTATCTGCTGCTAAAGAATTAGCTACTATCCTGCGGGGAAAGAAAGCGTATACTAACACTGCAACGTTTGATATCAAGTGTGAAGTAAGCAGGCAATTTCATCGAATGATCTGCACAACGGATAATTGACGCATCCGCACAGGACTGTGGCAAGGGATTGAAAGGCGAGAAGGATGCGAGAATGCACGCCCAGGAGACGGGCCATGTACGATTCGGAGAATATGCGGATTCTTGATTTGTCCATATCACCACCCTTATGTCTTATGTATTTCACTAGGAAACCGCGACGTGCGGAAGATAGCGGATATTCACATATCGCGAATGCTACAGAGTTTAGCCTCCCGTAACGACGTCGCTCTCTATTTCCATCACCACTGGCACATGATCTGATGCGCCATAGATCTCACTTCTGATCTCGCACATCTTGACCTTTTCCACTAGTCGCTCGCTCACCACGACTGTGTAAACGGATGCTGATTTAAGATCAACCACCTAGCAGAGACTGGCAACTTACACATATCCAATCTCCAACCAAGGCCTTTGGTCCGGCAATTAAAACGGTACGAGAAATATGTGTAGTGTTTGTCTTCTGGATGATTCTGCCTCCAGACATCAACAAATTTGCCAACTCCAGCAGCAGATGCAGGAGGGTTGAGAATATTTTGAAACGCTTCGGTTTCATCTTTTGTATATCCAGGTGTCTTGTTCCAATTTGACTTTGCATTTGCCAAGTCTGAATATAAAAATGTAAGATACACTGAGCCAAAACCGCCGACGATGTGAATCGTGCACCTATTGCAGTTGGCGCGACATTGAGGTCACCCATCCATATGACAGGTTTCTTCTTGTCTAGATCCTGGATATATGCGGTGAAGTGCTCATTCCATACGTTCTTCTCTTTTAGGGTCTGGAATAGGTGAATAAGTGTGCACGCCATATATCTGATGATCTAACCTTGAGCCCCTGACCAGCATTCGTCACATATGTGGCTACAATATAACAACCAGAAAATTCCACCGTGATGATACGACCCTTGACGCTGCTTGGGTCTGGATGTCCCGGAAGCTTTGTGTCTACAGATAGAGGCTTGTGCTTGGAAAGCACGGCTGTTCCTGCTGCGTCGAGTTGAAATTAGGGAAGCGGGGAGCCAATGAAGGTCATTTACAGTATGTCTTCTTGGAAGATATAGCCCAGGTACAATGAGGGAATCGCGACGTCAGGAATGGGTCTACAGGGACTTCGTTTACCTAATATGAGAGTATTAGCAAGACTAGGACTAGAACTTGGTATGTACCTTGGTCTCTGTTAGCACAAGAACGTCTGGATCCTCCGCCTCAACATAGAATTTGAATCCCTGATGGATACAACAGATGATTAGGAAGTCAGCACAATATGAGTCCAATGAGCGCACTTTCTTAGAAGCCGATGCAAGCGAACAAATATTCCACGTTGACAGGCGAACTGTGCCTGCTATCCGAGGTGGAAAACTGATGTTGACAGGTAGTACTTTGTTAGTAGGCTGGCCGTTGGTGGCAACGGCGGACTCTGGCAAGTCTTTTGATACTTTGGCCTTCTTTGAAGTAGACTGTGTGGCTTCATTATCCGATTGTGACTCGGATGCCGCTTTACGCTTTGCTGCAGTTTTATTTTTGGGTGGCATTATTTGGCGGGTCAAGAAAGACGCGTGAAGTTGGCGAGATAGTGGTGAAGCTGGTCGTCGGCCAATAGTGGACAATGCACAAAGTTGTGGATTGTGGAGGCTAAGTCGCGTCAACAATGCCATGAACCCGAGTGGAAGTTCTGTCTTTCCTAATCGAGCATAATTGTGGGCGCATATTTGGGGTGCTTAAAACCAACCATGCCTACCAGGCCTTTTGCAACTTAAACTTTCGCGCTTTGGACAAGTCTAAGAGCAGCAGCTTTATTTCTGTAACATAGTCTGTGTGTAAGCTACGCCAAAGCTATCAGTGCCAATCTAGTTATAAACGGTCCATCTTCACTTTCAGGCTCTCGACACGACGCGACACAACCTTCATTTCTGGACCCTGGTGCTTACGGTCCTTAATTAACTTATCATCCCTGTCCTCAAACACGGTCAGCATCACGCAACATGCTCACGCATCGTGGCTTCTCTGCATGTATAATCTCCGAGGGCAAACCGATTCCAGAGTATCTTGTCGCTGTTGCCGAAAATCCAAACACAATCTCGTGTTGGATCCCAAGTGAGGTGGGAAAGGTAACTCGATTCGTTCATCTAATCTCGACGTGCCTCACCGATCCCACCAGACTTTTTCGGTATACTGGAGAGACGAAGGAACAAGGATGCATTCATGCGCGTTTATTACGCTTGACGGATTCGTAGTTCCCGGTCGGTTCTTGTTTGGCGAAGGGGAGGCTTGGAGGAATGGCGTAAGATCAGGTCCGCAAACAGAAAGACCCTTCATGTTCGCACAGAGGCCAAGCTCAAGTAAGTCATGACAAACAATCAGTACATTAGCACCAAGGCTCATATTCAACAGGTACAAGCGGGGAAAGCATGAAGGATGCTGGATCCATCATGCTCAAGATTAAACTTGTCACGCTGGATGGGTCGAAGGCAGCAAATCCACTGCAGAGTATTCCAGATTTGAACTCGCAAAGTCACCCAGGCGATCACTGTGTTGGGTGCGCACAAGTAGACTCCGTTGATATTTTCGTGTCTGACAAAATTTTCAAAGGTACGGCCAGGAGAAGAACACGTACATGCAATCACCCATGACGTGGAAGGTGAAGCCATCCGACCAGCACGGTAATAGGTCCCATGTTACCTTTCTGTTCCGGTACAGGTCTCCCGGTGAGTTTGGAGTTCCTCGTGAAGATTCACCCTAATAGCAACGATGGCAGGGTGGCTGATGGCGCAAGGAATAATATCTGCTGAACTGCATGTGCCAAGAAGTCTTCCTGCGAAGCGACGGGTCGCCAGCGCGCCCGTTGCGCAATTGATTAACGCGCCGATGACCCCGAGCCCAAGTCCTCCCAACTCAAGAAAGGCTGAACGGTCTGAGCGACTTGTCAGTGTGGTTGTTTCACCGTACCATCCAACTCACATTCGTCTGTCCTGTAGAACGCAGAACTAAAGAATGGCTTCTCTCCCGGTCAAGGTCCAGTGCGGCCTGCACTCAGTGCCAGGACCGTGAGCGTCGGGGGCCGGGGAAGGCACGACAAATGTGCAGGGGAAATACTACTCGATTTTCAAGTTGGTCCTCCACTCGACCCACAGTGCGCCTCAGGAGTCGGACAGCACAGCAGTAGGTTGGACGGAGCCGAGCGATGAGATGTGATTTGAGCGAGAGCATATGATTTCGTTCTGTTGTTTGTTTCGATGTGCTGTCTGATGTCTATTTCTTGGAGAATATTTCTGTTATGATAATTAGGGCGTTCGTGCAAAGTCTGTAAAATGGTTAACCATGCGTCTGGAATGTCATGACTTACATACAACCTCAGGGAAACATGGTATGGAAGGCGTTTCAATGCAAATTACAGAGGAAGGGATGCTGGAACCTGTGTTCACAACAAGGGATAGTCATAGCGCAATGGCAAAGCGAAAGTATTTGGATTTGTGTGTACATGTTGAATCCTAAAGCCGTTCGACAAACAATGCCGGTCAATTAAATAGTACATAACCTTCTGCCTTCTCGGATGTATGATGTCTACGGCAGCTACACAACCAACCTTATGCACGCTGCATATTTGGCCTTCTAGATGGAATCTCCCATCTATTGACCCCACATGTATTGCAGCAGTTTTCTACCTGCAACTGACCATTCCAGGGAAATTCGAAGTTGTAGAATGTACTAACCCCGACGTGTCCCCTAGCGGTGCGTCTATATGCCTTATTGCTTGGGCTTATATCTCATAGCACGCTGCAGGAAGGCTTCCCTTCCTCATACATGGCCATGCCATAGTGTCATCCCTCCCAGCCATCATTTCCTTCGTTTCCTCGCTGGCAAAGTCTACCTCATCAGGTGCAAGGGATCTCGACGCGTCCCTAAATGCACCACAAAGAGCAAAGCGAACCGCTTGGTGCTCGCATGTTGAGGCGAATATTGGGGACCTCGTGGTGAGTACATACATGACATATGCAGAACGTTTAATGGTTGACATTCCCGTAGGCATATTCGTTCTATTCTTTGGACGACAACTTCTGGAAACTCACAAATCCCACTATGGCATCTATGCTTCCAATTCCGCAACGCTACTATGTGCCTGGACGTATACGTGAAATGCATCGACCACGCCTAGAGGCTGCAGGTCTGTGGACACAGGCAGCCTCTGAAGCAGAGAAAGACTCCTTTGGGAAACGACAGAAGAAAGACGACCCCAAAGACGAGTATGCGCGCGCTTTTGAACGGGACAAAGTGAAATACTCTTCGTCTGCCTAGACGGACCTGATGTTTACTACCTTACAGGTATCTACGCAAGCGAAGACATCGTTTGCTCTTTATGCAAAGTTACTGAATGGGCAGAAGTTTTTCTTTGGGGAGCGGTGAGTAAGACCAGCGTTTTTACCTTTGTATTGTCTGAGCTCGCTATTAGGCCGAAGACTCTTGATGTTTACCTAGCCTCGCACATTCTCCTGTTGCTTGATCCGCCATTCCCGGACCAATTAATGCGAAGTATTCTAGAGGAGTCATACCCGACGCTCGTAGAGCATGCGCACAATGTGCGGACAGAAGTCTCACAAATGCCGCGCCAGTATCTTGTCGTTTCTGCGCAAAAACAGTCGTTGCTGTCGTTGATACCACGACCCCTGAGTAACCCTCCCAAAATGAGGAGCGAGATGGATGAAGTAGACCTTCGATTTCGTAGCATGAGATGGATATGGTTTGCCCTTGCTTTTGGCGGCGTGGCGTGCTACGCTGCTCAACTCTGGATAAAGGTCACCGTCGTGAGGGCCAATGGGAGACATCGACGTGTGCAGAGGCGTGGGGCCGACCAAGAACATGAAGCGGTGGTTACGGATGAAGAAGGCGAAGAAGAAGGTGGCGAAGAGGAAGATGAAGATGAAGATGAGGGTGTTCAGGACGGGGACGAGTAGGGTGATCCTACTAGTCTCTGGATGCGCTTGTGGATCGACTTGGTGCACTGTATTCGTAATGTGATGATGCTCGCCTCATTCATAAACCCATGGCGGCGGTACCTCGTGTATCTCTAAGTCTCGCGCAGTTCTATCCTGATTCCGTTGCTTAACCATGCAGGATCCTGTACAAGAATTAATCTCGAGTATACATTGTGACCGTCACATCTGGTGTGACGGAAATGATTTGGACGACATTGAGCCAACTTTGAGCGACCATCGACCACATCATGGATGACGACCTTATAGTCGTGGATGATATTGACGAACAACAAGCCGGCCCATCTACCGTCAATGGCGCTAAGCCGATCCCTCCAACTCAACCGCAGAGAACACGGCCCCTTCGTGCCGCCGCAGAACATGCAATGGCTACAACCCTTCGCCTAAGGGGCACCCCCGAGCCTTCCGAGCGAACGACGCGCTCATCATTAGCAAAGAACCGGCCCCAACCAAAGCTAAAACTCAAGCTCAGCGATAAAGCAGCTGCGCAGGCTCCCGGAATGTCATTCCTGGGCTCATATGATCGGGAGTTGGACTCAGATGATGAGGACCTTGCTTTTGAAGAACAATTCATCATCCGTATGCCGCCTGGGGAGGATTGTGAAAAGTTACGCAAGATGGTTTCCTCTAGGGAAGTGGGGAATGATGTATGGTTTAAATTCAAAGGCGAGTGGCCTCTTTCTCTGACAATGGTCGGGTTGCTCGAACTTTACCTAGACTCCCGCCGAGGAGTCTTCCATATTGGCAATACCTTGTATTCCTTCAAGCTTGTTGATCTTCCGTGTATCATTGAAGCTCAGAAGACCTTGGACAACAAGCAAATGTTCAAAGTAGCAGACATATGTCAGGTTACTTGTCTCGCTTATCCTGTCGTATGTTCCACTAACGTGCCTGTAGATGCTTGTGGTTGAAAACCGCATTCCCAATGAGGAGTCGTTCACAACAACTCGTAATGTGAATGTCGATGAATTCATCTGGCCGCACGGTATCACGCCGCCGTTGCACCAAGTTCGCAAACGACGGTTTCGAAAGAGGGTTAACAAGAGGGTACGTCCCCCGTATTGTCATTTTCATACGCGTGATTTCCACGTTGCCAAGTAGACCATTGAAAGTGTCGAGGAGGCGGTCGAGCGGTTGTTGGCCACAGATGAACTTGCTTCAGAGGTCAAATATGGTATGATCATCATTCTTCAGAGTTGGGGTGTGTTTTGAGATGCCCTGCGGCTAGATGTCCTGGAAAATGTCAACCCAGATCTTTCTGACTCAGAATTCATCGAACGAGATGAGCCCATGGATGCACCTACACCGGGTGTCGTTGGCTCGGAGGCAGGCGATGCTCCTACACCAGGACCAGACTTCGGGGGAGATGAGGGAGAAGCTGAGGAAGCAGAAGAAGATGAAGGCGAAGGCGACATCGACGAAGATCTCGCCGCAGAACTAGATCTTGCCCTTGGTGATGAAGATGACGAGGGTGAGGGTGATGACGAGGAGGATGACGAAGAGGATGAAAGTGAGGAAGAAGATGAGGACGACGATGACGAAGAAGCGCAGGAGAGGAAGTTGTTGAATGAAGAAATCAGGGACCTTCAAGCTGCCGTGTTGAAGAAGCAAACTGAAATTGCCAGCTCTGCAAATCCTCTGATCAAGGTATTTATTTCTACACTGTTTTCATGTTTCGAATCTCATGTTGCTTCTAGAAACGGTTTGAGGATGCACTACGGAAATTATCAGCTGACCTTGAGATGAAGGTTGCCCAGAGAGACGAGATGAAAGAGAGACAACGGCGGAAGAGGGAGGGTATTGCACCAGAAGATCCAGACACAGACCCTGAGGGACCTACTCAGGAAGACGTAGATCAAACAATGGGAGATCTATTTGGGTCCGATGACCACGCCGCAATGGACATTGGTTAACACGGTACTACACACTCATTACGCTGTGGTTGCTTTGCATTTTAACTCCATCGCTTGTACGTTCTGACATTACGCTGCCATTGATCTATAACCCCTGTAGACATACAATAGCAGCTTGCATGACGAGGGGGGCGTACACGATACATATGAACGGCGCGAACCATACACCTAGCACCTCCCAATTCCAGATCGCGCTTTCAACCTCTCCAGGTACCAATACTAACCAGCCCCATCCTAGCATACAGTAGCCAGCATATCGCAAACGGGAGGTCACCGTGCTCGAGGATGTATATGACGTCGCCAGAGGGACACCCATGGTTATAGCAAGCATGGCGGCGAGGGAAAAGTTTAGTAGGGACATGATAGATATCACTGTCGATGCTAGGCATAAATTCGACGCTTTCAGGAGCATTGAAGTTGGAGCTGCTTCCGGACCGTTTGCTGAAAGTAGTGGGAGGAGCATTGGAGGTATCACAGACACAACGGCAAAAATAGCTGGCGCAAGAAACTATGGGACGGATGGGGTCAGTGTATAGCACCGACAGGTAGTCAAACAACTAACCGAAGGATACTCAGCAAACCATCGACTGCAAACTAGGTTGAATACGAGAACTCCTAAAACATGAGTTATCACCACAACGATAAGCGCAGACACCAAGGGTCGTCGCCTGTTTCTCCATGTGCCTTTCGTGGGGCTAGGCTTCTCAGTCTCATTGCCTTTCGAAGAGGCCTGAGTTATTTCGCAAACCCACCCCGCAGTCACCCACTCGCCAAGGCCTTTGAATAACATGGCAACGCTGACGAGGATGGCGCTCGGGAGAAACATGCCAATCTTCATGAAAGTCCCAGGGCTGGTTAAGATATAAAAGAAGAAGGAAGCGTGTAAACGCTCTAAAAGGTTATTCATTGTTCTGAGCGTGGACTCGACAATTCTAGCAGGTGTTACTGTAGTTGGGAGTGATAGATAAATTATGGTTACTCACCTTCCTAGTGCATGGAACCCATGCGGTCCGTCTGCTGGAACGGCAAACAAGGTGATAGCGTCGATACGGAATCTAAATCAAGTCAGTATCCCCATACTAGCTACTAAGAACAGCAAAATTACTGATGCATTAGGCCATGCACCCCACTGCACATGCCGCGAGCCTGGTAGCCGATGTGTCGGACTACATTCCGCATGCGATACCCGTATTGCTGAAGTTGTGGACTCTGCTGAATAAAAAGCGGAACCCATGACGGAAAAGCGCTCTGTTCCGGCAATCGATCAACAGAATCTGACGGCTCCAGGTGATCGTACACTGTCATTGGAACGCCGCCTGTATAATGTGAGATTAGTCGGAAAGAATTGATGAGGTCCTGATTTGGGAGACGTCCGTTCAAACCCTCTGTAGGCATCCGTGAGTAATCAGAGAATAAGATGGCAGGTGTTTCGCCCACCATGGAAGACACCAAGGTGCGAAAAAGAATGACTACTATAGTCAATATTCAAAGCAGTCCAAATGACCCCCGAAGTGTGCTCGAGAGGGTCTGTATGAAGATCTAGTGGGCAAGAAAATGAAGGCTAAGTTGACTCTGCAGATGCAAAACGACATACTCGACGGTATTGTGCCGTGGTATGCATTCAGCCACGCATGCATTCCATGAAGGTAGTCGTCGCTGATGATAAAGATGATATCTTTCGCCCATAAAGAATAATCTATCAAGCATGTTGCATATCGCGGATTTGGAAGCCACTCAATAACCCTACCTTTAAAAAATGCAGCGAGGGATAATACAGTAGATGTCCCACGCAAATTCAGTGCGCCGTGCCCTGCCCTGCTTAACCATGATGCACTGATCACCATCGCTTCTGTTCCAGCGGCTCGAGGCGATGACATTACAGCATACACATTGTTGCCTGAGACGGTCTGGCAAATGATTATAACAAACTGACTGCTGATCAAGAAAACTCACTCCTTTACTGGTACTGAAACTATAATTCTGTATGGAAGCAGCAAGGCCAAGCTTACTGAATTCAGTCCTAAAGAATTCTGCTCTTCTGTCGAAGACATTAGCTATGACAGTCGAATATCCGAAGAGGAGAATGTCATACTGTTCACTCGTGAGATTTCGTTCTCGAATACCATCCAGTTGGTATAGCTGCAAGTCTGCTGTGTGAACATCGCCCCAGTTCCAATATGTATTGACCTGTAGCTGCATTAGCTCATGTGGCAAGCAACCAATATGCACACGTACTTGCGCTGGCTGAAGCGCATTCTCGTCTATGTATGTTCCTTGGGAGAGCAACGGTATAGGGATAAGCAACATCCACACATATCCAATGATGAACAAGGTGGTCCTGCACAACTTCAGCGAGAGAGCGAACAAGGGAGACTTCACTAACGTCAACTTTGTTAAATTATGGTGGATATAGGCAGCCGCCTGTCTTCGCCGTCGAAGTCTTGCAACATTCGCGTCTGGCCTCCTGGGGCGCCTTAGGAAACCTCGTATTCTGTCCATGGAGTCACGGTGGTGACTAGTCACAAGTATCCTGGAGACGCGTGAAGATGGGACACGTTTATGCAATGAACAAGTCAGAGCATAGAGATCTGTGGTTTCAAGCAAAGAGCACCAGTTACGTAACGTGGTCGAGTTTGTTAGCGCGGAACCTTCGGCGGAACCAGATTATTTGAGTTTATGGAAGTCAAGTTACTCCTCCCTGTTTCCGGGTTCAACTCGTCCACGTTTCTTTCTTCTCCCTCCATCATCTTCATAGCCAAATCCGCTTTTCAGCTTCCATTAACCGGTCATGCCTCCGAAGCGCAAACATCGCTCGTCACCGGCTCCTAAGGGACTCGCTGCAGGGGAACAACTTAAACGAGGCAAATTACCTGGCAGCGATCCATGGGGTTGGGTTGGCACGGAGGTCACCTGTTCCTCTCAGATCACCTTGGAACATCACCTTATGTCGTGTGGCCTTTCTCGGAGGAGTAACAACCCGCTCTGTGCCAACAAGTACGCTCACAAGCCAGAGAAGCAGAGCAGCCCTGCTCCCAAGCGTGAATCCGCAGGTGGCGAGCTGGGAGACGACGTCATTGTTGTCTCCGATGATGAACCACCACCATGCAGTAAGAAGTTGTGCAAGAACAACCCCAATTGTTTGAATTACCTCGGGCAAGAGACGTGGAAAGACGAAGGTGAGTTTACGAACTACCAACGCGACTTTCTACATCGCAAGATTAACACACATGTTATGGACCTAGACAAAGCCAGGGAATTATTCTTGAAGGCATCTGACTTAGGGTTCAACCCAGTGCTCGACGCCCGAGATCCCGAACTTCCTGTTGGCTTAAAGGTAAAACAAATTTATATCGTGCTCTTTGAGATTGTACAACCAGTCATACTCACATATGCAATTCAGAACCTTGGCGCGACGTGCTATGCGAACGCCTTCATTCAAGTAGGTATCTTTTCGCTTCATCATCTCGAACTGATTAGAATAAGCGCCAAGGTATGGTTCCGAGACCTGGCTTTTCGCAATGGTGTCTATATGTGTCAGCCTTCACAAGATAAGGAGGACGTATTTGAGGTTGGTGAGCAGATGATAAATGAGCGCATATAAATCAAACTTGCGCCTAGGATTCGCCCATATTTCAGTTACAAGTGACGTTTACCGCATTGCAGGAATGCACGCAAAATGTCTTTAATCCTGAAAAACTTGCCGAAAGCTTAAAGCTTTCAACCTCAGAACAGCAAGACGCTCAAGAGTCAGTCATTATTAGTTAACTTTGAACAAATCCCTCACAAATTAAACAGATTCTCAAAGCTTTTTATGTCTCACCTCGATGCTGAATTCCAGAAACAGTCATCACCATCTTTAAGATCACTTGTATCCAATCAGGTAGATCCTCTCCTTGACTAATGTGCTCAATACACTTATGTCGCTAAAGTTTCAAGGGGAGCAAGTATACGGCACGATTTGTGGCAATTGTCACAATAAGTCTGAACGGTCTACGGACTTTCTTGAACTTGAAATAAATATTGAGGTTATTGATGCCCTTCACATGCTCATTCTTGCGGGCTAATGCAGCCTTCGCTCAGAACAACGCTCGGCTGGAGGACCGTATTGCCGCTCTTCTGCAGGACGAGAAACTCACTGGTGACAACAAGTTCGTGAAGAGGTGGACTGTCTATTCGAATACATCACTCACGCGTGCTCACCAGGTACCTGTGTTCGAGATGCGAGTCGCTTCAGGATGCCACACGGTATACTGAGTTGCGAAACCTTCCCCCTGTACTCCATTTCTCCCTCTTACGATTTGTTTACGACTTTGCCTCCATGGAGCGCAAGAAGTCTAAGCACAATCTTCTGTTCCCAACGACGCTTGACATGGACCAATTTGTAGGCTCTGCTGCCGCCCGAAGAGTAACGAGTAACGACAAAAGTGCCAGAAAGAACATCTATGAGCTCAGAGGCGTTCTATTACACAAGGGACCGAGTGCATATCACGGTCACTATGAGGCTCAAGTTTTGGATACCGCGTGAGTGACTCGACGAGTGCTCGCGTGACGTATTGAAGATGGCACAGATCGAATACGTGGTTTCAGTTTGACGACGAAAACGTCACGAAGATTGATTCACTCGGAGAGAGGAGATATACTGGCCGCGATATAGTTGATGTTTTGAACGGGAACCCCAAGAAGTATGTGTGGTCAAATTATCGAAAAATCGAACTAAACGATTGGGGCAGGGGAAGCACTGGAAATTCCCGTGGACGTCCCGCAAAGAAAAGGCGGCGGATCGATGATAGTGACGATGACGTTGTCGAGTAAGTTCGCGAAAGTTTTATTGGCAAGGTCTTTTTGAACCTGATTAGCAGAGTTTCGTCACCACCCACGGAACCTAAGATCCCTGAGGCAAAACAGCACGGTCTTGAGTACTGAATACACTTGTCGCTGAAGTGTCACTGATTTAGTCTCTTGTCCAGGGATATCTTTTTATCGAAAGATGTCTATATGCTTATTTATGTCCGCAAGGATGTTTCATCCCCAGACAACGTCAACTGGGCAGCAGCTACCGTTGCTAGTCAAGAATCCGAGCATATAGCCACGACAGCTGATGCTGGAAGTTTTTCCCCTCCCCCACGCGCTCAGGAGGTTGTAAATAGTCTGAATGCAGCTCATGACATGGCCTGTGATGCATATGCAAAGAGGCAAGCCAGTTCGATACTCGAAACGACTTCTTCTTATCATGTGTTTTAGGGAAAAAGAAGCAAAGGAACATTTTAATGAGTTGCTCAAGAAAATGAAAGATATCTATTCTTCTTGGAGCGTCAATTCTATGGATGAGGTGTTTGATTTCCTCCATTTTATATGTTCACATTGTTTATGATCGCTTCCAGGACTCCGTCATTATAAGCCGTCAAGCTCTCGAACGATGGTTGTCTGAACCTTTTGCCAAGCCGAAAACCAGACCTAAGGGTGGAGAGGAACCAGAGACCACACGCGAGATTTTGCCAACTTCAGATATCCTTTGCCAGCACGACGCCCTAGATCCCCAAAGAGCTAACAATATGAAGCGTGTCTCTGCTGTGAGTCCATTAAGCAATCTCCTGTGTTGTACTAAATCCAAAATTTTAGAGCGCCTATGAGAAGCTCGCTGAGTTTGGCGAGTCCGAAATTTCTCCGGTATGCCAGGTGTATAACGTTTGTGAGATTTGTGTCAGGGAATCATTCATAGGCATGTTTGAGTCTCATTTTTCCGCAATTTTTCTTCATTGCCCAAATAGAAAAACTGTATCAAGTCGAACATCCTCGACTGGTAGCACAGTTCGATGCGGTTTGTGATGAAACTCCTGATCAACCCGGCTACTGGATATCGAAGAATTGGCTCAAAGGTGCTCATTGTCGTATGATAGTATGCGTGCGTCACTAATACCATCCACAGACTGGCGATTGCAGAAGCCCAAGATGCACATACTGCTGCAAGGAGATATGCCACCCGATGCCCCAGAGTATCTTGGGCATGTTGTGTGCGAACATGGTCAACTGTCGCTGGTGTCTACAGCACGAAAGAGCATATCCACCAAGGTAGCACCGTTCTATTTATCCCGTGGGGGGATAACATTGCTAAACACGGTCACAAGGCCGGTGACATTATTAAAGGCTTGTTCCCTCAGTGGGTACCACGCTCGACTCAAGAAGAGCTTTGTGCTGTTTGTGAGGCAACCATAAATATGTCCAGGGAAGATAAGCGTGAGCTACGGAGGAAAGCTGAAGACGAGAAGGTGTGTGGAAGGTGGGCTTGATGAGCTTAGCGGCTGACATTGTACAGGCACGGCTACGTCACATGCACGACAACGCCCTAACAGGAAACACTCTGCTTCTCGAGAATGTCCCTTGTGCTATTCTGCCCGCACATTTCGTGCGTTTGTGGAGAAAGTGGGTCACTCGGCCAACAGATGGTCCACGTCCCGAAGGAGTCAATAATTCACAATTCCTGTGTGAGCATGGGCACCTTCTTTTCGATCCTAATTGTCCAAACGATTGGGACACGTCTATTGCGGTTGTACAAATGACAGAGTGGATGCTACTAGCAGATTTGTGTGTGGTACTTGAATGTCACGATATGCCCGGCTGATTTTTCCGATTATAGGTATCCATGCATCTTCCCCATCACACTGGAGAAGAAACTTGTCGAAAATCCACCAAACGTATTTGACACCAAGTTTGAGCACGATATCCCTGTGTGTCATGACTGTCGTTCAAAGAGGTGGGCACTCCTGACTATTCCAGCTCCTGTTATTTCGATACGGATACCTCACACAGGCGGTCTAACTATGATGTTGCCGAGATCACTGTTCGGCTGTTGAGCGGGAAAAACGCATCCAAAGATGTTGTAACACAAGAGAACAAAAGCCATAAATCTGAGGAGAATGGTCAGCACCCTCAAATGGCATATGGATCTAATAGGACCTTTGGTACGCGGCAGTCAAAGCGCATACGCGAATCCAAGGATGGTGTGGAAAAGAAACGGATCACTGTTTCCAAATCGACTACAGTGAAGGACATCAAAGTGATGGTTAGTGCCTGTTTTGTATGTTGATTGTTCCTTGACTTTCGTCACAGTTATATGAAGCGCTCAAGATCCCAACAATCTGTCAACGACTGTCCCACCGTGGCCAGGAACTTGACGATAGTTCGGTCACCGTCGCAACTCTTGGACTCCTTATCAACGATGTCCTCGATCTTCGGGAAGAGGCAGAAGACGACGAGAATGCAACAACAGATGACGTCACTCGTGCAAAGAAAAGGCGCAAGGAAGAGCGAGGTTTCGGTGGCACCCTGTTGGCTTCGTCACATCCAAACATCGTTGCAGATGCTACTGTAAGCTCTGAAGGGGAGCTGCAGTCTGACCATGAGTCCCCCCAGATCTGTCGGGTATGCGATCTGCAGAACCCTCCAAACAGACAGCAGTGCAGATTTTGTCAGGAAGATTTGAGACTCTGAGGAACGCGATTTCTCAGTATCATATAGAAGTACATATAATGCTTATTCGACCTTCTTTTACACTCTGGAGTCACGATAATGATTGAATGCCGTGCCGGATCTCTATAGGAGATGATGAAGTAAGTGAGATAAGCAGATAACCCAACGACACATAATGAGTCCCAAAACCCTAAATGAGATATGCTAAGAATCGCGGAGCATCATGATAGTTGACCAAAATTTGATAAGCTACCAGAAGACATAGCAGATGGATAATGAACGACACCAACACTGGATTGAGCGGTCATGGTTGCTGGATATGATGGGGCTAGAGGTAGTGTTCCGGCAGAGTGGGAATGCAGAGAGTTCATGGGCATTGATCGTTGAGCGGAATCGAGCATCGCTGAAAATGGACTTACTGGAGCTCTAATCTGCTGTTGCAACAAGGAACTTGCCGTCATCAGGACGTCAACCTCGTTGGATAACGGTCCAGTGATTTCGACAGCCTGTGCAACGGCTGATTGCGTGGCAACTGACACTTCATTAACAGTCACCTGTGTAGCAGCATCAGGTGGGGGAGTGAAACCCGCGGAGATCTGACTCGCAACAGCAGCAGAGCGATCCGCAACTACTTGGCGCGCGGCCTGGAATACGACCTGTTGTGCCGCTGCTGCTAATACAGTAGTTGCCTGTGGGCCAATCTCCGACCGTTGTTGACCAGTCACTTCTTGGTCGAACGCTTGTGCGGTAATTGTCAACACATGCTGTTGCTTCGCGAGGGCCTGCAGCTCAGGGCCGGGCTCGCCTGGTATCGCGGAAGAGATTATTTGGGACTGAGCTTCTTGAGCGACACGCTGAGCAGCTGACGTCAGCACTTGAATCACTTGCGCATCACGCGTGGCAACTGGTGACACCAGACCAGACGATGGTTGGGACCTTAACGGCCTGGAATGGAACACGTGAGAGTGGACGTCCTTAAATACGGACTGACACTGACCTGGGAGATGCCTGAGGAACTGTGGAATCAGTTGCCACCCGACGTGGCTTGTGCATCTCCCCATTCATAGAACCGCGACGCGAGGCAGAGAACGAGGTGTCAAGGTTCGAGACAGGCACAATATTAAGATGGAAGGTCTGCGTCAGCAGCTCTTCTTGCCCATCTTGAACATACTACGCCGCTGGCGTTAGATAATAATGGACGTCTACACAGATGAAACGTACACGGGCCACAACCGTGATGTCACAGCTCTCTGCGTCCGGAGGAGGCGTTCCTGACAGCACATCGTCTTCCCAAAATAGCCAGGATGGGAGGGACGGCGAGGTGTACGTAACTATCAAATTTGATCGCGACGCCTGTGGATCCCATATACGAGGTGCCCAAGACCACCGAAGGCCAACGTAAGCAACACCAGGCGGTGAGCCAGCCACTTTCCGATGAAAAGGGCGAAAAGTCCAAGTGCCATCATGAGGGCTCTTCTTTGCATCTATGTTCCAAATATGATTACCCTTAGACTTGGTCTTTTTACCATCCTCGTTGAAGCGCGAGATATACGGTTGGTTCCATAGGTAGTTGCGGATCTGCACGAAATCAAAGTTCAGTCAGGTTATCATCAGATGATCGATCTCATGGGCTAGCCTTCTTCATAGGAATTTTCTCTTCTGGGTAACCTTGTTTGGCCAGCTGCATGAGCGTCAATGTCTCATCGATCACCTCGTGTTTCCAAAGATTACACACCTCTTCCAAAAATGCATTTGTGAAAGCCTGTATCCGGAATTTAAATGGTCGAAAATCAGGTGACTCATCTAGACGTTGCATTTTCTTTGCCATTAATGTTTGATGTATCGGCTCCCCTTTCGCATCGGTGGCATCCACTACAGGAAAGGAGGTTATATTAATGATAGAAATGATTCGGAGGAAGTACTCACAATTTGAACAAATACTATTCAAGAACTCGAAGAAGATACGGTCAACTTCCGCGCGATATTCTTGCGGAACTTCATTGCTGTGCCCTTGCGTTGATGTCGGAGACAAATTCTCTGTAGATTGTCGTGTAACGAGAGAACATGAACGAACGTCATACCCCGTGACAGTGCGAGATGAACTTGAATGGTGAGAAATCGTCCTCAATCCTGAGGACTCAGGCGGGCTGTGCGAGACATCGGACTCGTCATGTTCTCCTTCAAGAGATGAAGTTGGACTATGCGACCCAAGCGATTGTGCAGTAGGCGGTGCTGAATTCAAAAAATCAAGGGCATTGGAGGGAGTTACCTCGGATATTCCGAACGCCAATGGATTTACATTGCTAGTCGTGAAAGAGCTGGATCTAGAAACCCTGCCAATTGGCGGGGTAATGCCCGAGCCGGTATTCGTGAGAGAACGTGGCTGTGAAGATGATGAAGGGAATGTTCCGGTTGTTGAAAATGGGAGTGGTCCGAGAGGCGAGTTATTGCTGGGTATCGAATGAAAATTGATGCCGGCGTTGAGGGAACTACCCGAAAGTGAATGCTGATGGCTGCGATGAGGTAATGTGGCAGCACTGTCTGACCACGAGGTCCGGACGGTGGGGGGAGGGGGGAAATGAGCAGAATGTGGCATGGTTGTCGATAGCGGTGACGTTGAAATGAATTCCGTAGATGAGGGAGGCGGTGCTGAAGATATGGGTATCGAAAAGCCCATGGATGCGGCGGGCGGTTGATGTGAAATTAAACCGTACCCTGCTATGGGAGGTTGACCTGCGGAGCTTGTTGGCCGGGAAGCTGAATCTGCAGACGCGTTTGCAGGAGCATATGAAGCCGCAGATCGTATGTCAGTCATGGGGGCCGCAACAGCAGAAGAGAAGGGCTGTTGGCTGGACACTGGTGGAGGGATGATATGAAGTGGCGTGTCCTCTTGCGGCTCACGCTTTGGCGCCTTGATAACACGGTCACCGGCCATCGACGAAGCACATCGTTTCCGAGACATGTCTGCAAGATCACCATTACTTTGACCATCCATAGTACCTAAGTCTGCTGCAGAGGAAAAGTGCATGCCCGACGCCAATTGCTCTTGCGTTAGAGGAACTACGCCATGTGTGGACGGGGAAACGTTGGAATTTGCGCCCAACAAAGAAAAGCGTCGAGGCGAAGGATTGCGTGATATGGCTGGGGTATCCGCAATTTTTGTGGCAGCAATAAGCTCGGAGACCAGTGTAATAGTCTTCTTGAGCTCATCAATTCTGACGTTGGCCTCAAGACCCTGACCACGAGAACATGCTGTACTTGCTGATTGCGCGGTGTGCGCAATACTGCGTATTTACCCAACACAATTATTCTTAGTCTTGAAGCAGAAAATACGAGAACTTACGTTTTAAGTATGTCTCCGACGACCAGTAAGTGTGAGTCACCGGGTGTCTCTGGCGAGCTGTCGCGCCCACTGAACAAATCAGGCACGTCTGGGGGGGGAAAGATAAAACCTGGGTCTTGTGTCGGTTTTGACGAGCTATTGCTTAAAGGGGGAAACGCCAGCTCAGAAGCTGGATTGCCCAAAGCCCCCGGAGACCCTGAAGAATCCAACGCCCCGGCATGCACAGATTGGATCATAGACTGTCCATTGACCATGATGGACGAGGTACTCATGGTATATGCAGATGACACGCCATGGACGGCGGATGAAGGACCGCTGGAGCCCGAGGTGGCGCTTTGCGGGGAGTGAAGGGTAAGATGACTATCCATTCTCGACATTGAGCTGTATGAGATATTTCGACAAGGAAAATCAGAAATAAAGCCAGGTGCTGGTGCACGCGATGAGGTAGTTGTATCAAGTACATCCATTGAATGCATTCCAGTGGAAGAAGGAGAGGTATCTGCAAGAGAGAGGTGGAGAGCGTTAGGGTCCGCCGGTCGTTGGAAGATGGAAATAGCTTCACGCGGGGTATGAGACATGGTATTTTGTATAAGAGGATCCTTAGGGCGTTGAGGAACGAGAGGTTGGTAACCTAGAGAAAGGGTATTCGATGGCGATTGGAGGGAGCTAGTGTCCATCTGAACATTTGGGTCCCGCGTATCATGAAGGGACATCATTGATCAAGGAAATGTGCTTCGGAACCAGTGGGCAGCCGCTGACAGCAAAGTTCCTGGGAGATCCGTTATGGAAGACTAAGGCAAAAGATATAGAGAGCAGAAGATCAAGGCGTGATTTTCTATAGAAAGAAATGGTACGGCGACAAGAGCGTCCAGAGGTTGAAAGCAACGGAAAACCTTTGAAGAGAAAGATTGCGATTGTTGCTCCGAAATGCTTATAGACTGCCCGAATTTTAAGCTACTGACTGTCAGTGAGATTCACGACGGAATAAGATGAATGCAAGAAGCGTTTTATGAGGATGAAAGGACACAAGAAATAAAAGCGCGGCTTTATCCAATAGTAGTAGCAAGACACAAGAAAGTGAAGAACATGCAGATTGCATGCACTTGTCCAATGTCACGATTAAACTGTCACAGGCACAACATCATAATTATACCAAAATAAATGTAATGGGTATCTCTACATTAGGTTAGTCGAAAAAGATTACGGAACTAGCATTAATGGGTCTTCCGAGTCTTGCCGTCCTGCTCAGCATGTTTGTAGCATTCAACTCTATGCTGCGGCCTGTCTTAAAATCTCGAACCTTCGACGTATATGTACATACATACTACAATCATCTCAAAGTTCGGCGCCTCACCGGATCCACGATGCAACCCACGATGGCTCGTATCCCCGGTTACAAACCCTTTCCAAGCGTAATACACTATCAAACACCTTGCTACATCAGTATCGTCTGCGGCCAGGAGATCGAGAGCGATCACGATCTCTCCGACGATCACTGGAAGAATCATCAGTTAAACGTTATCATTGAGGCCGCCAACAAACTCACTCATATCTCGATGCATGTCTATCATACCCTCGTTCACGTTCACGATCATCACGTGATGACCGATGATCGCTTCCTCGGTCACCGCCGGGTTTGCTTGCACCCCCGGCTGCGCCGGAGGGAGGTGCAGAAGACGGAGGTGGCATTTTACGCTTTTCACGTTCTTCCCGAAACTTACCTAGCATGTTTCGCAACTCGTGATAACCCAAGTGCATCTACCGACACGTGAGAATATATTTTTTCAAGCGAATTGATATGAAAAACAACATACCTTGCCTCCAAAGTGGTCCGCAAGGCGCCGGTCGGAATCAAGCACAGAAAGGTATGCACCACAAACGTCACACACCCGGAGTTTCTGATGGCCGGAGGCTCCGGACGTATCCGTGAGTTGCTGAAGCTCGCGCTAGATCCAACAGATTGAGATCCTGTTCCCATGGTAGAAATAAATCGAGGGCGTAACATACCTCCTTTTCTGATTTCTCGCTCTTCAAAGCTTCAATGGCGGCCATCTCCCTCATTGACTCATCAACCTTTCCTTGTTCACCTAGGGAATGTAAGAAAGCAGGCAAATTTCCAAAGGGAAAAGTACATACCAAGGGTCTCGATCTTCTCAGTCCCACCCTGAATAGCCAACTCGATCTCAGCAATTTCTCGCATCAAATTGGTTGTCTTCGCGTTCTCCTCTGGTGTCTTCTCCAACCTTCGGTGCGCAGCCCGAATCCTTCTGTCGCACTCGTCCACAAAGGCAAATATGTTCGACTCGTACTCCATTTGGAAACGAGAAAATATAGGATCACTCGGGTTTACCTCTCTAGCTGCTAGAAACTCTGTCTTCAATCGCTCCGTGTGTGATTTTGGGCATGCTCCAAGATCCATTTTCTAAGTCGAGAAGTTCCATTTAAGTACTCAAAAAAGCAGCGAATCAACGTACAGTGTTTGTGAAAAGTGCATGCGGGCATGTCCCGCACAGAAAGTTCCGGCAAACTTTATCATCAGACCAGACGAGGTTGGCATTGGCAACTCCCATTGCCTCAGGGCCCATCATTTGCTGGACACGTAAATTAAAGACAATACTTCGGCAGCCAGATGAATGACATACCTCGAGGAGCTTCCTCTGCATCTCCGCTAGTCGACCCATGATGTCAGTGGTTTGGTGTATAGATTGGCAGCTGGATGTAATGAAAGGACCAAAGTTGAAACATGTTTGGCCGTCTTTGTCAACAGCTTTGGAATCAAACAAGAGCAAATAGTCATTAATGATAATACTTGCTCAGCCGAGGCCACATCAAAGAATACTGCGAACGATTTAATTTACATACAAGTGGTGTATGCGCATAGAGTAAATATTACACAAATTTGCGATATAAACATTAGCTAGCGATCATGATGTCAGCTATAGCAAGACCATGGGATGACGCAATTGATACTTATGGATGCATGGTGCGTCAAGAAGAGGCTTGATGCGAAGGAGAGGTATGTGCCAAGTAATGAAAGAATGAAATGAAAGAATCATGAGATATGCTGATGCCGAGGAGTACACGGAACAGAAGTATGGGATCACTGAATAACGATCTAGGTTCCACGTCCGCGACCGCGACCCCGTCCACGACCCCGTCCGCGACCCTGCCCACGTCCACTACCGGGACCCCGCGAATGAATTTTTCCGGGTTCTGAGGGGGAAAGTGGGGTGCTGTTGTGGGGTAATTTGGCAGGTTGGGCGTTGGGACGAGATTGGTTGACGCTTGGTTTTTTGGGACGAGTCTGCTGACGACTCTTGGCAGAGCCGTCCGGCGCAAACGGCGAAAGGGGAGAAGGAGAATTATGTCTCGTATCCTTTGAGATCGAGACCTTTGGTGTGGGTGGCGGTGTGAACCCTCCAAACGTCATAAGAAGGTTCTGGATCTCTGAAAATTTGACACAATCTCGGGGAAGTTTCTTGAACAGTGGCTGATTGGTCTGTCCAGACGTAACCTGTGTCCATGCATTTCCGATATCCTGGGTGGAAGCTAGACCCTTCTCGAGGATCAACCACACAACCTCTGGCTGGCCAGATTCCAAAGCTAGAGAAAGAAGCGACATTGGTGGTGAGAGGCTATAAATTGCACTATGGTCGTCGTCTTGCTTCGGATCATATGACTGGAAGAAATGGTTTATGATTGGGATGTAACCATGCTGAAGCGCCAAGTGGAAGGCCGACAGCCCTGCAGAGTTGCGCTCTTCCGGATCTGCGCCTAGAACGGGTTAATTAACTCGTGACAGCGGTAATTAAAGTAACGTGACTGACTGTGGGCGTCTAGCCACTCCACGAGGTCAACATCACCTCGCTGTGTAGCAATATGTAACAGTGTTTCCTTCGGATCTTCAGGCGGCCTCTTGACGTAAGTTTCGCAACTAGGCTTGATTTCGCCTCCAGCAGCATCGACATTCTCTTCCCAAACTGCCTTCTTGACTTTGACAACGTCTCCCTTACGTGCAGCCGAAAAAGCTTCTGATCTTATGGTCTGGATACGCCGTTGCTGAGCCTCAGCAGTCTCAGCCGCTCTTTTACGAGCGGCTACAGATTCTGCCTTTTTAGACGCAATTTTAGCTTGTTGCCTCTCAGCTGCCTCTTTACGTTCTAGAAAGGGGTAATTTATAATTGTAGCGACTGAAGACGAGTAACATACCTTTCTCGCGTTGCCGTGCTTCAAAAGCTTTGCGTTCAGCTGCCTTTTCAGCGCGCCGTGTTTCAGCCTCGATTTGCTCTGCGCGAGTCCGTTCGATTCGAGCCCTATATTGTTCGGGGGTCTCAGGGGAGAGAGATCGACGACGATAATTACGGTGAGGGTCGGCTACACCAGGCGTTCTATTTCCATCGAAGCGCAACTAGGGAAATAAATTACTTACGTCGTTTAAACCGCATATGTATCCCATTCACAAACTGGAAGAAAACGTCTCTGTGAAGAATGAGTCAGGAGTTTACGTCTGTAAGCGACTGTAATAACGTACTTGAAAAATGCAGTGCGGGCTGCTTCGTCCTCAGAGTCGTAGAGATCCTCCTCGTAGTCCCCATAGCCTTCGTAGTCGTCATATTCGTCATCGTCCATGCCATGAGAATGCATCCGTCTGGGGCCCATAGGTGGATTCAGGTGCCTTTGGAGGACAGTGTATGCATCACCGACTGCCTGAAATTGTGCAGTAGCATCGGCATTGTTGGGATTTTTGTCTGGATGAGTGCGCAGCGCATGCTGAATATTATATTATTGGAATAGCTGCCGATGTATTTTTGCCTGGACAGCTTACCTGCCTATAAGCAGACTTGACCTCCTCAAGAGTGGCACCCTAAACATGATTTTTGATTATATTCACTTCTACAGAAATAAGAATCTTATACCTCTTGAAGACCGAGAATGGAGTATGCCTCAGCAACGGACGAGTGCTTGACCATGGCACCGCGATGGAAGAGGATAACGAGAAAAACGGGCAGTCGCGCTAACAAACGCGCTCCAAATTGGGAATCGGTCCGATTTTTTTTTGCTCTACAACTTGAAGTACTTCGTACTAGCCTAGGCTCGTCCATAACAAAGAAGCCTTCTATCTTTAGGGAGACCAGCTCGGGCAAGTTGCCTATCAAGCTTTCTTTTGTTTCGACTGATACTGGCTCATCATGGCTGTCCATGGTGCTTCTCTGGAAGGCCAAGTTGCCAATGCACCAGGCTTGTCAAGTACTGGTCTTGCAATACCTCAAGATGCAGGGGCAGCTTCATCCTCCATCATTAACAGCCTTATAGGTGATAAGTACGTTCTCCGTAATATCTATGGCGACCTCCAAGTTACTGAGAGCTATTCGAAAGTATAGCCCCTACTTCCAAGCTGGTTTCGGTCTTATGGTCCGTACTACATTTCTAAAATTTCTTTGTTCACAACTTGACACGTCAATCAGGGCGTCGGCGTTGGTTTAACTGTACTTCGCCAAGGCCTGGTCTTTGGTACTACCGCACTTCGCCGGCGTCTCCTCGTATCATTAGAAGTGAACAACAAAGACCGCGCATATGAGTGGTTTCTCGCATGGCTTGCACACAATGCACAATCAGCTGCTCCAACTTCTTCTCGAAGAGCCGAGTCTTGGTTGCGCAGCCATCAACTTAGTGTCGAAACTGCGGTCGAGCAACGCAGCAATGGGAGTTCTTCTGTTCTATTCAGGCTAGTCGCAGGCCCAGGAACCCATTGGTTCAAGTACGGCGGAGCTTGGATGCAGGTCAGTCGCATCATGTGTCACACCGGAACATATCTTCATAACATTACGATCAAGATGAAAAGAGAACGTGAGACCCGCTCGATGCAACTCACGTCGGGCACGCCATGGGAAACTGTGACAGTAACAACACTATCCAGAGATCGCCATCTTTTCTCGAAGCTCCTCACAGAAGCACGCGACCTTGCTCTCCGCGGTCAAGAAGGAAAACTCGTGATCAGAACCGCATGGGGGATCGAATGGAAGCCATTTGGTCAACCTCGGCGAAAGCGTCCACTACATAGTGTAGTGCTGGATACGGGTGTAAGTGAAAAAGTAGAACAGGATGTCAAGGCATTCTTGCGACGACGTCAATGGTATGCGGACCGGGGCATTCCTTATCGAAGGGGATATCTCCTGCACGGCCCTCCTGGTTCAGGGAAGACTTCCTATATTCAAGCTTTGGCAGGATCGTTATCATATGATATATGTCTCCTCAATTTGTCGGAACGAGGACTCGGCGACGATAAACTCAATCACCTGTTATCAAATGCCCCGGAGCGTAGCTTTATACTCATCGAAGACGTGGATGCCGCATTCAACAAACGCGTGCAAACAAGCGAGGATGGGTGAGCCAATGGTTCTGATACCTCGGAACGCACGGCTAACAGCACATGCAATAGGTATCAGTCCTCTGTCACATTCTCTGGCTTTTTGAATGCTTTGGATGGTGTTGCCTCGGGAGAAGAGCGCATTATCTTCATGACGACAAATCACTTTGGAAAATTGGATCCTGCACTCATCAGACCGGGGCGTGTTGATCTAAGCGTGCTTGTTGATAATGCGTCACCCACGCAGGCACGCACGCTCTTTACACGTTTCTACGGAGGTAGTGAGTCTGTGCAACCGGAGCTTGTAGAACGCATGGGGCAGCAGGTGGAGGGATTAACTACCAAAGAGATGTCTAATGGGAGGGAAATTAGCATGGCTGCCCTCCAAGGCTTGTTCATCAGGAACAGTGCTCAGGATGCGGTTAAGACCCTCCCCGAGCTATTTGTGGAGAGACGGACATGAATAGACGGAGGTACTTGTATGGTATCCTTTCACGAAGATCCGGTGTTCGTAAAACACTGCAAGAAATTCCACTAGAAGATTGGCTTGCGCTTGCGGCCAGTGAATTTTGAATCTCTTGGTACCCCTTCTTTTCCTCGTTGGCGATACAACTAATGATGTCAGTGAGCAAATAGGCATGGTCAGTTTCTACCTGACTTGCCTCTTTTTTCTTCAGGATCCAGTCCCTGTCTTTCATGTTTTTTCTCTTCCCACTTACATCCCTCTTCCTTTCCTTCTCCCTTCTTCTCTCGAATCTTACTTGCTCGTCGTCTTCACCCTCCACGCCCTTAGGTATTTGCTGCTGCGTGCTTCCTCCGCCAACAAACAAGCATAGGAACACCTTCCTTGCTTTCTTGGAATTTGGGTAATCTACGACGACACCTCCTCCAAAGCCGGCCCTCTGCGCTATCGAGGTAATCAGTTGTATCTGATCGTCGGAAGTCGGGTAAAATTGAAAGACTGCTCGAGATGGATTTCGAAGAGCAGAGTGTAGAGTCGTGAAGAAACGAGTGAGACGGTGTGGTGGTGAAGACGTTGGATGCGATGTTTCAGCATTCAAAAGCCATTGCAAGACAGATATACTAGTAGACTATAAGATAAAATTACGAAAAGGAAGTCCAGTCACAAACCTTATTGCCCCATCGAAGCTTCCTGGTCGGAAACTAAATCCTTGACCGATGTCTTGTAAGAAAAGGTCACCGTCAATATCCCTCTCCAGTGCGACCTCTAGTTATGATCAGCCCACGTCTAGTGCTTACTATACTAAGATCTTGGTACTCACCGAGCATACTTGGCGCGATATCTACACCTGCCCAAATGTGTCCCTCCTCCTCCAAAATCTCACCTGAAAGCCCCGATCCACATCCTATATCTAACAGAAAAGCAGGCTCATCTGGAGGAAGATTGAGCAGCTCAAGAGCACGGTATGTCATATCCGCCTGGATCTGTTGATTACGGGTGCTTGTATGACACTGAGAACAGCAAGGGGATGCATATGTGAACAAGCATACTTTTGAGTATATTTTTTGGCTTCAGCGTCGCCATAATACTATAGATGTCCAAAAATCAGTCTCGCATCGCCTGTGAGTCGACGAAAATAAAATATACAATCTCTGGTGGGGCCTGGTACTCTGGACGTGACATGTTTTTCGAGCAGCTCTGATGATGATAGTAGGTTTGTTAGAGTTGACGGGCACGTGGGTTCAATCTTCGATTCAGCCTAATTTGGCAGCTGGTCATTCGTCTTACTTTTGTCGACGATGGCGACGACGAGCAAACAGTACAAAGCCATCGGAGAGGACCTTTGGAAAAGTCGCACAGATAAAATCGTGAGGTTTGGACTTGGCGTCGCGTCTTTGGGTCAATGAGGCCCCAACTGACCGCAAAACAGAATTCAGAGCTGTTTGCTCTTACATACGGCGCCCTTGTCGTCCAGTTGATCCAGGACTATGAAGATTATGCTGAAGTGAACAAGCAACTCGAGAAAATGGGATTTAACATTGGAACACGGCTGATTGAGGACTTCCTCGCAAGGAGCTCTTTAGGTCGCTGCTCTGACTTCCGAGAAGTAGGCGAGGTGGTGGCGAAGGTGTGCGTTTACTACTACCCCTCCTGAGCTGACGTTCTTAGAGGCACCTCGTTTGAAGGTCGGGTTTAAATCCTTTCTAAATATCACACCAACAGTTACGCACTCTAGTGCTCCACCTCCTTCCTCCCGCTCCACCGGTGCAGCTCAACAGTCAGGAGTTCCTGGCTCGTCTTTCATTCTGACCCTGGATGAGAATCCCCTGGCTGAATTTGTCGAACTCCCTGACGAAGCTTTGGAAGGAGGACTGTGGTTTAGTAACGTGCTGTGTGGTGTTCTTAGAGGAGCACTTGAGATGGTAAGTTCACAAACTAAAATAATCGGCGCAACTATGTATCACGCCCATTCCAAAGGTTCAGATGCAGGTGCAGGTGGAATTTTTGTCTGATGTACTTCGCGGTGATGAGAGCACGGAGATTCGGGTGACATTGCTGAAGTACCTGGAAGAAGAAGTGCCGGTCGGAGACGACTAGAGAAGCCACCTCTGATGTACTTAGAAATAATGTATTATCTAGAAGACGGATACGGGACAAGTACGGGGTCCGGTAAACTTCCGAGGATATAGGAACATACATAATGAACACCCTCAGCCACGACGATCGACCCTGTTGAGTTTCTTCGCGGTCCGCGCATTGTTTTGGGTATTCTGGCCGCGGACGGGCAGACCCATGGCATGCCTCTTGCCAACGTAACTGCCTATCATGCGTTGGTGCGCAATATTATCTTTGACCACTCTCCTTGCTTCGCTCTCAATCTTGATGTTTCTCAATGGATCTGCCCATGCCCTTTGTGAGAGCTTCTTCGTCTCCTCTTTCAGGACCGCGAGTGGAGTGGAGGCCGGGGGAGGTTTATAGGACGACGTGGCTAATGGAAAGCGAGGAATAGGTGTTGAAGTAGAAGGAGAGGAAAGGAACGCAGCAAGTTCTGTGATTTGATGGGGTGTTAGACTTCGAACTTTGCATTTGTCGTGAATTTGAAGACGCGCACAAAGTCGATGTGCAGTTTTATGGCCAATACCATAGAATGCAGTCAAGGCGAACTAACTTGACAGTGAGCAAAGCTTTTAGAAACAATTAGCTATAGCGCACCCTTGCATACTGGTAGTCTGGGAGCTGCACCCCCAAGACGTGGACCATGGCTCACTCGGACAACAATTAGAAGGGAATACCGAACTTCAACGCTTGAAGCTTGAAAAGTAATTTCATACTCCGCGACTCAACTTCGCGCTTCACACCGTAAGCTTCACGCAACCAAAACCTTCATGGCTACTAACAACGCCGAAGGACGTCGCGAGGATGCTTTCATCAAGCAGCGAGCTCAGAATCGCGAAGAGTATGAACGCCAAAAACAGACTCTCATCAACGAAACGGAAAAATCCCGTCCCTCAGCCAACAAGTTTGTCGGGCAAAATGACTCCATGGAGGAGACCCTCAAGAACCAGACTATCGGTCTAGTGAGGCTGGAGGACTTTCAGCAGAGAAGGAAAGAACTGGAGGAGGCAAAGGCTCGTGAGGCTGCTCGTACCAACGAACTCAAGTATGTTATTTTCAGTATCCACTGCCATTCTCTCTTGTGTCGTGTCGACTGTGGAAAGATGGCTTATATTCCGTGGAGGATTTGTTTAGGGACGAAACGAAAAGGGTAAAGAAACGCAAGAAGACAAAAGCTACCTTATCATTTGCCATGGATGATGAAGGCGACGTTGAAGGAGACACCTCGTCACGTCAAACTCCTGAGGTCGAGAACGGTGAACAAGCGTCCAAGCGCGCCAAGTTCCGTAAGAATCCTAATGTTGATACATCATTCCTCCCGGACCGCGAACGAGAGGAAGCGGAGAGGAAAGAGCGCGAAAGGTTGCGCCAAGAATGGATTCGCAGACAAGAGGAACTTAAACAAGAAGAAATCGAGATTACCTATTCTTATTGGGATGGGAGTGGTCACAGGAAGTCGGTCGTGGTATGTTCTCATATTGATCTGGCGCTCAATCGTTTATTCGCGGGATGCTTTAGTGTAAGAAAGGTGATACCATTAGCGCCTTCTTGGAGAAGTGCCGGCAGCAGTTCCCTGAATTGCGAGGCGTTAGCGTTGACAACTTGATGTACATCAAGGAGGATCTCATAATACCTCACGTGAGTTTGAATTTGAGTTTCCCTGTTGATTATTCATTTCAATGTAATTCGACAGCATCACACATTCTATGACTTCATCATCAACAAAGCTCGTGGAAAGAGCGGACCATTGTTTAATTTTGACGTTCATGATGATATTCGCTTGCTTGCTGACGCGACCAAGGAGAAAGATGAGTCACACGCTGGTAAAGTGGTGGAGAGGAGCTGGTACCAACGATTTAAGCACATCTTTCCAGCCTCTCGATGGGAGGTAAGCAAGGCATCCCTCCTGTGTCCACATCCTGTTAATCCAGGCATAGATATACGACCCAGAGAAAGACTACGGAAAGTACACCATCGCTTGATATCGTCACGTTCATACTGTGTATACATCGCGTTTTGAAGACGTCATAAATCTTATAACCTTGACTAAAAAGAAATGCCAGGACCGTGGATTGAACACGGGACCTCCAGAAGACATCGTCTTTTCTTTACTTCAGTCTGTTGCTCTCCCAGCTGAGCTACCCCGGCGATTCGTTTGGAAGGAGATTATCTGTTCTGGTACATTCCCCATTTCCAGGCCAGAGTGAGTATGGTGACAAAAGTTATCTGATAAGTATAACCTTGAGGTTTATATCGCACAAAGAGTCTGCCATGCAACTTTAGGTAACATATAAGTATTTCGGATGATATGGATTATAGTGAATAGACGAGGCAATCCTAAACCAGATGCTATAGTACATGCCTTGTCTCTAAGTGAGATGGGACTAGGTGGGATCCCGTTAATAACGCTTTGAAAGTCAGGGTAGATGATCGATATAATGCGACGTGATATCGAAGAACGTCCAGAGGAGCCCGTGCGTCGTGATACTCCGCACTGCACTGACGCCAAGACCGCGATATATGCGTGCTATGCCAGCAAGGACTGGCTTTGGATCCTTAGGATCCGGACCTAATGAATTTTGAGCCATAGTAACATGTCTGTATTGGTCTGCCGTACCGCGCACGAGGCGACGGAGGGTTTCCCATACTCCTTTCGGAGGAGTGCCAGCTAAAGCACGTTGCTGGACTTTGGTCTTTACTCTGATAAAAGGTGGAAAGAAGATGAGTTTTATGGAAAGGAAAGAGATGTGGACTAACACATCAAGGGGATATATCAATGCCCATGAAGACACGCCGGCTAGCGAACCACAGACGAAGGGAATCAAGGATGTGGGTATCGGTAACCATGCCGGCGTTGGTCCCTGCTCTCCTGAGCGCTGGCGGCCTAATAGATGTCGCATAGCATCATATTCGAAAAAGTATAAAGCAGTGCCAGCTGTATCTCGCACTATGGGACAGGTCAATCAGAGTAATGAATAGCAAAGTACATTACTCGCCAAAGTGGAGACGGAACCCTATCCAGAGCCCGGACAGCCCGTGAGTTCGAAAGATTTCTCGGACAGCGTCGATAGTATTTGGGGGTTTAACCATTTGTACGCCTTTAGTTGCGGCTATGCTGTATTCCAATTGCCTTCGAACCTGTCAACAGACTTGGAAGATTACCTTCCCAAACAAATTGGCCAAGTAAAATACCTTGACAAGTTCGAAAGCTAGTTTCACATGTCAGATGTTTGAAATACACAGTTAAAGAGCACGCACGTGCACTAGTAAATGAAATCAATGATCCAGACAAGGCACCACTGAGACCGCCCGCGAGAGCAGCATCAGAAGCTCTATCACCTGTAAAATAGTTGTTTTTACGACAGTATTCTTTTGTCCCACTGTATATTGTGAATGAAGCAGCGCCTGGATCGTCGTTAGGCTTATAAAGAACAGACAGCGTGCGATAACTCACGGACAAACGAAATCGTGACAAGTGGTATCCAGAGACCTCTATAGAAGCCGGTTACTCCTTCTTCCCGATAGACGATACCAGCAAGCTTGAGTACTGGCATCCTTGTCTTGGTGGTCTGTAGTCTCGACTTCAAAGAATCCAACTAGAAAACAGCCAAATTCGCAAGTTTTTTCGATGCAGAAAGGGCAAACGCACTGGATATCCAACAAAGGTTGAAATGTAGCTAGCTGAGAGAGCGCAAACCACCGGCTTATTTCCTAGCAGAGGAGTTATTGCAAAATTAATGTGTGATTTTCATCATACATACGCTTCAGAACGTCGTTGAAACTATCCCTGTTGAACCAGGGATTTATTGGCGGGCTAGAGACTTTTCAAGAACTATGACCTTGCGAGAAGTCCAGATTGCGGGCGTACCTTGTTCCGTCCATAACTCTTCTCGCTGGACCAGACGAAAAGTCCAGTTTCGTGCCTCTGCCAGTCTGTTTCGAGAAAGGCCGGGCGTGATCTCAGTTGGAGCCAGAAAGAAGAGCTGGAGAGGAGATAGGGATATTCAAGGGCAATTCGATATATGCTTGAAGAGTATCGGAGGTGTCACGCGTCATGAAAATTACCCATATTTGGCTGACAGGTTTATGTGCCTATATTTAAATTTCGTATTCACGACGCGTCTACACATAACACCATTGTCCACCATGATCCGAGAAACCAATGGAAATGCTACCAATTGTGTATTGTACCAATCTCGAGGGTGTATACTGCTGATACATATTTATCAGAACCCACCCAGCCTCTTCTTCACGAGCTTCTTATTCGGGGCATTTCGACCGCCATATGGTCCAGGTAACACTTGGGTACTCGTCATCAACTCTTGGGAGGGTTGAGAAGGTTCAGGATAATCCTCATGTTGAGTATTTGTGGTTTGAAAAGTGACACCTTGAGGCTGGGTGCCGGACCTTCCCCAGTGATTCTGGGCAACATGGATGGGAGGTGGACGGGGCTCGAAACCTGCAACAATCAGCGGAGGGCGCTGTGATGTTGTAGTCGTCGTTTGCGTAGCAACCGGTGCGGTGGGGAGTGTCCGTTCTCGGGAAGGACCAATAGGATCGTTTCCTTCTGTGTTGTATGGATCATGATACGTATAGGACTCAACCTCTGTTCCAACCCCCCACTCCCTCAACAACAATCGTACACCCAGCGGACTGGAGAAATCCGCATCCTGTGCAGGCTCCGCAACGGCATCCTTGTCCCTGGAAGCATTAGGGTAATGGTTGATACAAAGCTTGGAATATGGACGCAGGTAGCCAAACTGAATCTCGGGAAGTTCGTCGTCAAGTGTCAGAGATTTTGCGGCAAGAGACATACTCTCCACATCGTCAACCTGGATCGGAGCAGCGGGCATGGAAACTGGTTGAGCTGAAAATACCATACTGGAAAGGGTCAAATCGAGGATGAGCTGTTCTCGTGACTCTTCCTCTTGTTGTGCGAATGACCCAGTGACATCGTTCGAGTAAGACAAACTGAAGGCCTCCAGGGCATTATGCATCTCCTGCCAGTGGTCCACACGACCAAGCCCCATACGGTAGAGAAACAGCTTAAAATCGCAAGACCATGCTGCACCACTCGTAATTTTCTGAACAGTAGCTCGTTGCGTACAAACATTTTGTACCCATGATTTGAGTTGATGATCCTGCCAGCAAAAAAATTCGTTCGTGAAGCCTCGCCTGGCTCTTCGTCAGCGCTAAGGCAGACATCATACCTGATAATATAACGGATCAGCGTCTAAGGACGACAAATATTTGAACATGCCTCACAAGGTTAACATTGCCTTGTCAGGGTTATTTGTCGTTTCCCAAAACTGAGACAACTTGTCTATCATCATGGCAAGTTCGCCCTCAGAAGCAGCTTGTTCCGTAACACCTCCCATAACGAAGATTTCTGCAACCAATATCAGTATCAGGACAAGCTCGACCAAACCGAATCACAAATGCTCACTCTGATACGCAGTTCGTAAGTTTAACTCTGAGAAATGCCTTGCACTCAGTGGCCCGTACTGAGGTTGAAGCTCCCTTGCTCTTTGAGCTAGTTTCTGCACATCGGCGGACCATTCGTGGCTAGTACCACTAGTCTGTCTTGGAAGTACGTCCATGCCATTGCGACATACAGCAAAGTCTTGGCAGTGGAGACTGCCTTGTCCAGAGAGCCGCAAGAGTGAAAAGGTGGTCCTATCGGGCTGGACAAAAAATGTACTTTCCGACCCAGACGCACCCATATCTTCGTCGTGAGGTAAAGATGTTGGAATGGAGTGACAGTGGATCAGATTGTCATTTCCTCGAGACACGTCATAAATGGTGATGAGTCCGTTTTTAAGCGAACTTAGGAAAGTTAGAGGGCCTACAATGGAAAGTAAGCGACTAGAGAGGACCAATATTTTGCTGGTTCCGTACCACTATCAAACTGTACAACTCTAACATTAAGCGACCTATCATGCGCTCGGTTGTGCTTAAAGCTCAGAAGCATCTTCTTGGGGTACCGATTATCCAACCATAGGAGCTCCGAGGTTGTCGAAACGGTGAGGAGATGTTCTCGCTCTAACCAGTCAAAAGATGTCACAACAGAGCCTAATTGATCAGTGGAAAACAGATCGACAGTAGGCTGGCTCGACTATCTCTGAGTTAGTCGAGAAATCGAGATGTCCTACTGGAATTCGTACCCTGAAATCAAGATGTTGAATGCAGCTACTTGACGCAAGAAAGTAGCCTTGGTCAGATGGGCGAAGCCTCCAAAATTGGTCCCCATGTGTGTTCTCAAAACGAACTTGGTTAAGCCCTATGCGCCGTCTGATGAAGGTGTTAGTTCAGTGAAATTGAACGAAAAAAAGTTACAAACACAGCTTTTGCTCCTCGATATATACTGCAGTTGTAAAGTGCTCCAGAGGTGTTCACAGCAATGATATCCGAGTCACGGGGTGAAAATGCAGCATCTACTACGCTCCTGCCTCCTGCGTCATCAGATAATATGTCCACCTCCCTTGTGGCCTTGAAGTCGGTGCCTTCATCCGCCAATTCGATGCTCAATAGGGATGTTGCGGAGAGTGTTCTAACCAAAACAAGATTGGTACCACGCTTCAGAGGTGAATTTGATGCATTTGGAGTTGAGATCTGGAGAATGGGTGTCTCGAACTTGGACGCAGCGTGCCCAGGCGCGTGGAAAGTCGAGTCGAAATTAGTAGCGGATACAAATGAAATATCTGGCATTGAAACTGAGATTAACAAATAAGGGCGAGATTTGGCACGACAGCCTACTCAATTCGTTGCTGGCTTCTCCCACCGGAAAGAGAATCAGTGATGTTTGAGGGGTGCTGGAAGATGGTACAATGCTAATGAGATTGCCTCTCAAAGGATCGTAGGCTTGCAACTCTCGCTTTTGTCGTTCGTCGGACTGGAATTCCGCCTTGATGAGCTCCGCAGGGAAATCAGCGTCCGGGAAACATGTTCTAACGAAGTTGAGCTATTAGGGAATGCACAATGTCAAGATAACGCTAAGAACATGGATGAAATCCATACTCCTTCCTCAATTCGCCTCCACTGCGCAAGACGACTTAGCGTCGGATTCACAGGTCGAGTGGCAGGAAAGATACAACGCCCTACTTCAACTGGTGTCACTCTTCGAGCTGAATGAATTGTCAACTAAGATCATCCTGACTCATGCACAAAGTTCAAACTTACCATTTGATGTATCGACAACAGTGGTCCAAGCTAACCGTCCATCGGATGACACGAGGGTCGCTCTACCAAAAGAGCCATAATCGAGGAAAGGACGATTCCAATACTGAGTGTCGTAAACCTGGAGCCTTTTGTTTCCCCTTCCCCGGGCCTGCTTCTTCACAGGCAATGATTTATGTCGTTCATCCGCAGGCCAATGTTCCATTCCATCTGCGCAGACACAAGAAAAGGTTCAAAGAATGCAAACCAATTAGCATAAGTTGTAAATAGTTTCAAGTTACTAACTGAATGCCATGGCTTCAATTATGAGTGTGGAAATAAAGCTCCGGCCTCCGACAACATTTTCTTTCAGTAAAGCCGCAGGGTCAAGGTTGTTTTCGACCATGCTTAGACATTGGGCACTCGCGCCCAGGCCATGGCAACTCACTTCACAACGTCGACACTTTAGTACGACCCGCATTGCATGGGCGCGAACCGTAAACCCCAGTTCTTCTGTGACGTCTGCCAAATGGACACCGAATTCGATCCGCACTGGTCTCATTGCGCGTAAACGTGGAATGACCGCTGTATGGGATGACCACGGTGCGCGCGTTCCGGTCACGGTGCTGCAGGTGAGCGGGTTCGCACGTGCATTTCTCTTGTTCTCATATGTCGTAGCTGGAGAACTGCCAAGTGACCAAGAATATTGTACATGTGCGTCCAGACCGCACCGAGTATCATGCAGTCCAACTTGGTGCATCCGACCGTCCAAAGAGGACAACGACGCATCAGATGAGGGGTCATTTTCGGAAGGCTCATGTTAAGCCGAAGTATATCGTGAAGGAGTTCCCTATTACCCCCGATGCACACGTCCCTGTCGGTGAGTTCCTCGAGAGCACGTTTTCCAATCTTCCGTGACAGGAAAGTTACTCAGGAACAACACTTTCTGCCATTCACTTTGTACCTGGGCAATTTGTGGACGTGATTGCCAATTCGTGAGTTCTCCGTATCATCTTTGCATGTTTGACTCAGGCAATCCAGTATTGGGAAGGGATTTCAAGGCACTATGAAGCGGTGGAATTTCAAGGGTCTACGTGCAAGCCATGGTGTTTCTGTATCACATCGTTCAGCCGGTGCGACCGGACAGCACCAAGTTCGTGTCTATTAAACTGAGCAACATCCCTGCTGAGTCTGACTTATAGGACCCGGGTAGAGTCTGGCCGGGTAAGAAGATGGCAGGCCGACTGGGAGGCGAACGAACCACTGTCCAGAATCTTCCCGTAGTCCGTGTCGACACGACCCTCGACCTGATTTTTGTCAAGGGCGCAGTGCCAGGAGTTGATGATGCACACGTCCTTGTTCGCGATGCGAAGAAGAAAATGCTTTGCCCCGCAAATGCAAACCAAGCTAAAGGTCTTTACGAGAGCGTCCTTCCCAAGGGTGTGGATGATCTACCTTTCCCCGCTGGTACTAAGGATATGGTTCAATCCCTTCCTCCCGTTATCGAAGCTCCCTCAAAACGGAGTAGCCCATTCATTCCGAGGGAATAGACCATGTATAGTTCACCTGTTTCTCAAGCGCTCCCTATTCTAATTTTTGCACCATTGCTGTTGTGAATATATTGGTCTATTTTTTCTATGGTGGAGGTATGTGTATGAGTCAGATGATCCAAAGCAAGAGTGATTCAGTGTGATCGCAAACCTGCTCAACATGAAGTTCCAGCTCACTGTCCCAGGTCTGGATTCCATGTTGGTTGGAATACCGATCTTTGACTTAAGAAGTAACTGATCTGCACTCATTGTAAGTTGGGTGGGGGAGGAGATCCGAGTAGATGAACAGAGAACTTCCCAGACTCCAAAGGCTTCCGGCAATGTCCACGTGCAGATCAAATATAACTTGAAGCTAGCTCACTCACCCATCTAGTAGGATTCAAGAGCCCATGGTCGTTAGAATGAGAATGGGGTTCTATTGTTGAGCTAACAAGATCGAGTCGATGAACGTTCCGAAACTACTGTAGACATTATGATATGCAAAAGCGTGACGTCCACGGTATGCCCGACCTGTTGTACTGCGGGCGCGGATATAAATCTGACAGGTTAAGTTAGAAGTTTCTCGTCAACGATTTCCTTAGTGAGCCCTTCCTCCGCATCTCGAACTTCGATAGTCTTGTTTGCTTCTGCCTGGAGCATTGTGAGCGTCATTGAGTGAAATCTTGATAGAATTGAGGCTTTGGCGCAGTACTCACGACTCTTTGAAAGTCAAGGAGGGCGCTTGCATGCAAGGTCATCATGGTTGTCTCGGATGATGATGGAGCCCAGTTGATAAACACGAGTGGGAATGATGTCCTTCCATCGCGGTGTTTGAGTTCATATGACAACACGACATATCTGGGAGAATTTTGGGGTAGCTCTGAAGTATGTAAATGAAGAGACGAAAGATAGTTCCAGGATGATCGTACCCTCGACAAGGTCTGCGATCGAAATATCGTCATACTCCTCGTCTACGACCATCTTGAGAGCAGCCTTATTGATCTTGATGATGATTGCTGCGTGTCCCTGGCTCCTACGCTGAAACCGAAATTTTCTGAGGGCCTTCGTGACATCCTCGTTGATATCCACTGTCCTTGCTGTCGACTAGAAACAAAGTTATAACGAGAAGAGGCAGATGCGTGTACGGGCTTACCGCCATGTATGACGATGGATAAGATAAGGTAAGCGACAATCTGAAACCCGACTTATCGGTAAATGACAATTGGATGTCCGGCTAGCCTAGTATATACATGTGCTTGCCAACGTGATTTCGGGCAGAGCACCTCGCGGTGCATATTAAAATAAAGAATGACAGCCTCATTCCGTCCGCAGCCGCCCAGCCCTTAACGGCCACCATGTCTCGAAGATCATCCAGAAACACGTCTGTGGTTTCCTCGAGGGATGGATATATTCCCCAATCCGATGAGTTAATCTTGCCTAGTGTTCCAGTCGATGAACACATTCTGCACGACCTAGTGCACCCACATCAACAGTCAGAACGCACGCTCGTGGACCAGGATAGGTCGTTCCAGCTTGACCGAGAAGACGAAGAACACGACGAAGAAGTTACAGCATGGAAGGTACTGCCGTGGTGGAAAAGACCGTCCCCCTACTGGTCAGCGAGCGAGTCTTCTGTGTCGGAGATAATATTGACCATGAAAGCAGGTTGGTATTTGCCACGCCTCTGGCATCGATAGGCTTCTCTGCAGTCATTGGTCCTCGGGTGGAGATGTATACTGTTCTCGCATGTCGTGTTCATGCGCCCGGGAATGAGTTACAGTATGATCCGAACGACACGCTACAGAGTCTAGCTCAGCTACATTCAATGTTATCCATGAACGCGGCGAGGACCCTACATGACGGATCGACTCTATATGACCCCAGTGCCCCAGTTGTGTCTCCTCAGCCTGTGTCTCTATACGTCCCCGCAGATACAGGCCACCAACAGTCACACATCCCCAACCGCGACCAATGCGCGTCCGACCCAGTCGTGCAAGCTGCCGTCGCGCAATTGTCTGCAGGTTGGTTTCATTATCATTCTTTATACAACAGAGAGTTACTTATACTGAGGTAGTTCTGAACACTACTATGGGTATTTTGAGCTGCCTCTCAACCGCTTGGTGGGGTTCGGTGAGTCACTACATTCATGTTTTTTTTTGATGTTCCCGTGACCTCCCGCTCTCCAGCTCGCAGACCGTTTTGGTCGAACATCAGTCATGGGCATCTCGATGCTCGGTTTGCTTGCTAATGATTTAATTTTTATTGTCACTGCATTCTTTGTGGAAAGGCTCCCGGGCGGATACTGGTTCTTGATACTCGGGTTTGCATTGGACGGTATGGTTGGTGGTAAGTCAGAGCATGTCATTCGAGATAAGTCAGTGTCTAACGTACTTTAAGGGATGACCACTGGGATTGCGGCTTCCCATGCCTATCTCGCCGACAGTACCCATCGTTCTGAGCGGTAGGGTTGCAAATTCACCTATGTTCTGCTCAAATAAATAATCATCGATAGATCTGGTATGTTTTCTCTAGCATTGGGCACCATGTTTTTTGGTGTAGCCCTCGGTCCTGTCATTGGAGGCATCTTGATTCGGGCGACGGGCTCGACACTTTCCACGTTCTATTTAGCTGCAACTGTCCACGCGCTGCACGCTGCTTCCATGTTTCTGATCATCCCCGAATCCCAGACAAAAGCGAGAGCATTTGGCGCCCAGAAAAGACGACAGGCGTCACTTGAAAGGCGGAATGATGGCACTCTGAGGGTTGCATCCCTCTTAAAGGGTGCCATGAGGTTCTTCAGCCCTCTAGCGGTTCTCCTGCCTGAGCCTATTAGTGTTGACGGAAATCCACTCAAACGCTCCAAGAGAGATTGGAGTTTATGCTTCATCGCTGCTAGCTATGGATTCACCATGTCCCTGATGGTGTGCCGCCATTATATGTTCATGGTATCTCTAATACTTACACCTAATTTTCCCGTAGGGTCTGGTGACGTACGTATTACAGTATGCTGTAGGAAATTTTAAGTGGTCATCGGAAACGGTAAGAGAACGCAAGGATGTCGTCACTAGATCTGACAACCTTCTAGATTAGCTACTACGTGGCCTTCACTGGAGCTGTTCGTGCACTGTTCTTGGCTGTCATCTTGCCTGGTTTGTACCAATAATTCGCACTTTTGTTCAATACGAATTCAATTCCCTAGTTATCATCAAGCTTCTGAAGCCGACGCCCGTGCAGCTCCCTACTGCCCCAGATGAGCCACTTCAGAACTTGTCGTCACAGACCCATCCAAGTAGGCAGAACAACGCAAAACCACCCTCTCATTCCTCGAAATTTGATCTCAATCTCGCTCGAATCTCTGTCGTTCTTGACATTCTTGCGTTCGTGATAATGATATTTGCTTCCAATGGTCTCGTCTTCGCCTCCGGATCTATCTTGCAATCACTAGGCGCCGGGTACTCGCCTGCTGTCCAAGCATTCGCGCTCGATGTTTACAACAGAAGAGGAGGAAAGGGTGAAGCTGGAAGGCTTTTTGGCGCCATTAGTGTTGTACAAGCTCTCGGGTAGGAGAGTCAATTTTGGCCAACTCGAGCTCTAACGCATTCGATACAGTTCTCAGATCCTGGGTCCCGCAATGTTTGGCTTTGTGTATTACAAGACCGTCGCGACCTTCCCTGGTGCAATTTTTGTTTTGACCGTGGTGCTGATGATAATTTCTCTCGTCTTGCTAGCACTAGTGCACCCACCTACGAGCGAGGATGATGTTGAAGGTACAGTTCCAGTGACCCGTGTTGAGATAACTCGGGAGGATACTCTTGTTCTCATTGATGATGATGAAGAGCCGAGAGGATGTGACACTCAGAAGTCAACATAGATAATTATACCTAATACAAGGACTCCCCTTCGGTCGGCTCTACGACAATATATTGTGTTTACAGTAACAACTCAGGAAATACTATATTAGCGTCCGTCTCTGTGATATACAGTGTCTCTTCGCGTTCTCACTCTTGACAACGCTGTGCACAAGCAACCGTGAGCGAAGTGATTCAGGTTAGTGCGGAGGTCAAACACAGTTTGCGCTAGCGTCAAACCTTAAGCATCCGTTAAATGTAGTTGCATATGTGGGTCGCAGAGGAGCAAGAAGCTGTCTTCGATTGATTGTCCGTAACGAACGGTTTGTATGGAGTGCAGGATGCAGTGGCTTTCAAATGTATTGAGAGGTTGGACTTTGAGGAAGCGACAATGTAGCGCGACGACGTGCGCGCGCGCGTTTCTGACCCATACCATTTCTCTCGAGAGGTCAGATAGGTTAATATTGCCAAGTAGTCGAGCGTACGTTCTGGTGTGTTCAATGGAGTCTGCCCAGGTTGTCTGAACTAAAATAAGATTCTACATGGCTTCGTCAGTGAATTAATATGCGATTAATATCAGTTGCGATACTTGCAAAAATCGCCCGGTAGTTAGTCTATAATTTTGTTGTTGGAAATCCATCGGCATAGACGTTGAGAGGGGAAAAGAATGCACGATCAAGACGGGTTTCGGCGCCTTCGAGGAGAAGGAGTGAATGGTGTCGTCAAAGTTTGTGGTCCAGTAGTTGTCCGCACGTCCAATAGATAGATTCCGTCTTCGGCAGAAGCAGTACCAGAAAATTATTTTTTTCAATCTGATACCTGCTTCCGTTTTAAAGACCAACAACGCCCTGAAATGAAGCGGAGGTCACCATAGTAGTGAGCAGCATGAACAACATAGCATGGCGCGGTGAAAAGAGACAGAACGCAGCAACACAGCATGTCGTCATCCCGGCGGTTATTCGTAGATAGATAGACCATAATGCCATTACATGTATACCTTGAACATTCATAATTTATATCAACCTTGGCTCTCGGTGACAGATACGCCTGGCACTTTCCACCATCTCCATGCGGCGATCCCCAGAAAGAAGTTGAAAATCCCAACAATGGCTGAGCCGGCTCCAACCACTGTGAGAAGCCACCACATGGACCCAATGATACGATCAAGCGTACGACCAGTGTACCGTTTCAGCGTAGCACGAGGATCAGGTGTAGGCATGTACGACGAGGGCAATCGGAGCATGGGAGGTGCGCATGTTTCAGGGGACGATGTAGCGGCCGGTGGTGGAAGCAGTAGTAGGCAGACGACAGGTTTCTGCTCACCTATTAGATGCGAAGTGAAATGGTGATGAGAACTTACATGGTCTGACGTGATGTATGACGGTATTGATGTGTACAAGATGTTGGTAATATTAGATTTCTCAGGCGTGTCAGGGGAATCAGTATGAGTCGCATACATTATCCTATCAGTCCAAGATGGGGTCCGTTTAGTGCTGTCAAGGCTGGGTAAGTGAGAGAAAATTATCATAAAAAATGACACACCTGTACCGGTCGACCTCTCCAAGCTTGTATTTATATGTGCATTTGAACGTCCAGAATGAACCCTCACGCAAACCGATGAAAGCCGTCCCTTTCCTCCGCTGGTTCAAAAGTTGGTCAAATTCCTTCAACTGTTCACGAGATACGTCGTCCTTCAACATCGCAAGAACATTATAGGGTTGGGATGTTTGCACATGTGGATGCGACAGGGGTATTGTTATACGGAAGTTGAGGTCGCCGAGGAAGAATAGGTGTGACGTTGAATACATGGTAGTAGGGGAAGCGGAAGGAGATGACGGTAGTGGAGGGAATAGAAGAGTGCTAACAATGTGATGGTAATCTGCGACCCGTCGAGCGAGCTTGGGCTCATGTGCGGTGAGGTGAGCACACACAAACCTGGAAAGCGTTTGTTCGGGACACAAGCCATTATGAACATGAAACATACGTGAAAACTTCTCCAGCTTTGCTCCCTCTGTCTGAGACGCGGAAACGTATGCCAACAGCACCTTTGTTACCCATATAAGCTGGGCCTGTCCCGGTCCATTGAGTTTGCACATCACAAACTCGGCGCGCGACACCACTATCTCGTGCATACACGAGAAGCGCGACACCAACGTTCACAGCCTTCGCAACGAGCGTGTAAGACCCCTCACCGGGAGTATGCTTCTCAATCTGACTACGAATATGCGCGTCCCTATCGTCGATCACAGCCTTGGACAATCCAGCCACTTGGTGGATGTGTCATGTCAGAATAATGGTGGACGAACATGACGACATACGTCCAAGGTGAAGGGGCAGAAGTTCCTGGAAGCCAATCGCAAAAATATCTGGTGCGCGAGGCTCCTTGGAGAGGAAAGAGGCTACTTGGAGTGTTGGAACGAGCCAATCGACAAGATCCTGAGGCACGCCAGCTCCGCCTTGGAGGTTTGTATTATATGAACCGACCTGAATAAGCAAATTTCCGTCACTGGACATCGAAAAAAAGTATGCCTTTGATGGACTTTAGAGTAGTTGAATTGACAGGTCCAAGTGAACGGACGAAAGGTTAGCACAACGCGGTTGCTGAAGCGCTGACCCGCTTTTGGCGAACGTTACGTCGTTGGCATTAGTCAGCCAATCATCCACTTTCATCGACAAGCTCTTCATGCACATGATCTTGACCGCAGTAACCATCCTGCTCTAGTCCAATCGATGAATCAAGAGAGGTGGCGGGTTATGGAACATCATGTTGATGTCTGGATTCCATGGTGCAATGAAGTAGCCCTGATCATGCAGCTCTACAGCTTGAGCAAGCTTGCAGGATGGTGGTACTTTATCAGCTCTTCTCTGTCATGCTGCGTCGCACTACTTACCGTCGACTTTGTGCAGTAGCCAACAAGTAGGTCCTCCATGTGCGTAGCCCTACAGGCAGATGCATCACACTCCATGGGGTGATGTAGAGGACTCAGGAGATCTTGGTTGAATTATGTTGTAAGTACTGGCGTGTTACATTTCATTCAGTTTTCCGGATGGACGGGACCTTCTGGTACTCTCAATTCCATGTTTTGCCTGGTGAAGCGGCAAACCCAAAGCTTCTATTCAGGTACGCACGGTCCACTGTCCTGACAAGCCATCTGGTTGCCAGGTTTCAACGTAATAGACAATGTGAATGTGTGACTTGAACGGCGAACAAGAGCAGAGTCTGAGAAGTCTTTCGTTCAGGAGATCGCCGGATCTCAAGCACTCCTCAACTCCGTTGAGTTCCAATAGGACCACGCCAAGTTGATCGCTGCGCAAGCGTTGTCATCACGGAATATCAAATACACATGGAAACCTCTTATCGGGCAAGATCGGGACAGTCGAAGGTCCGGCAGTTCAGTTCAACCAAGTACAAGTCACAGGCGGGTTTATGGAGATCTTAGCTAGCTCTTTGACTGATCGGATATCTGGTGGCCAATACTCCGATCCTCGACACAAAACTCATCTATCATGTCCCTCAGACTTGGACTGAGCGAACCTTCCTCTTGCGCTTTTGTCCCTCTCGTCAAAAGGATCGTGTTTGTAAGGAGCAATAGACTTCGTTTTTTTTGTAGACTACGGCAGGAATTCTGCACGAGGTTTGAGGTGCCCAAGCGATGTGCACCACAATTGAGCGGTGTGACAGTGCCATGAGGTCTGGCTGCCTTGGTCTATCGGTCCATTTGAAATCCAAGGTAATGGCCTTTTTGTCTTCCTGGTAATGTAATTGAAGCAACGAATCAGCTGTGGTTCGACTGATTGAAAAGCAGCGAATTTCAATCAGGTCAAAAGACGAACTTTTGACGTGTACCCCTGGTTGGTGACTTTGGACTCTCTGAGCCAGCTCACTGAATCTACTCTGCGCGTAGTCCAGTTAGCTTTGGCCTCCTGACCGCAAGACTAAAGTTTGTCTGGAACATTCGCTGGCACCTGTGGAGCTCTTCATCGAGCCCCTTATCTTCCATGAGATGTGTAATTGACCAACAATTGGATATCGGACCTTGTCCTTTGTGGGTCACATTTCCGTGTTAATTCGAGTTCGAGGTGCAGTTGTCATAGTACCCGGTGCGTTGCTACTACCTCTCAAGAATAGGACTTATCTCTCTTTCGCTCGGTTCTTTCTCGGCCCACTGGCCCGTTCCTTGCTAGGTTGTGTTGACATTGATGCATGCTTACATATCAGATAAATATCAGATACTTTGCCTTGGTCTGCTTTAGGACATCGTACTCTCTCTAACCATGGCTATCATGGAAAAGGTTTCTAGTGCCACCAACAAGAAATCCTTCGACGTGAAGGAGGAGAAATCTTACTGCGTCAAGGGGGACATCGAGACCTCCACCGGAGAAGATGACACAGGCGAAAACGTTGTCCTCCAGAACGAGCGAGAAATTGCAACTCACGTCATTTCCGTGGACGACGATCCTAGCCTGAACCCCTGGACCTTTCGGGCTTTCTTCATCGGCCTTGGCCTTTCCGCCTTCGGTGGCTCCCTGGGTAATGCAGTCGAGATCATTCAGTCAAGGTTCTTACTCACTTGCGCTGCTTCCTAGCTCAAATTTATTACTTCAAACCTGTGAGAGATTCCTGTTCAAACATTCCCTCAGACACCTCATTCGGGTTGACACTCCAGCAAACCATCAGTGTATCTTTGATGTTCCTCGCCATCATATCCTACGTGATTGGCCTTGCGATGGAGACATTCATCCCCCGCCACGGATTGCTCCGATACTTGAATCCGGTGCGTCTTCCATGTAGCCCCTGACCCCAATGTTTGTGCGTATTTATGAATATCAGGGGCCCTTTAATAAGAAGGAGAACGTGTTCATCATCATCATGTGCAGTGCAGCTGCGAATTCTGCGTTGGCTACGGAAGTTCTCGCTGTCCAACGGTGGGCTCGCAATCCGATTCCTCTGTCGGTGGTGATTCACGACTCGTTAGTTTGTATTATAACATCACGCCTGACGCCGTCTCATCAATATTTTTGTTGTTCTCTTCTCAACTGCTCGGGTGCGTTGTGCTGGCGCACTCCCTACTGCACCCATCGCTGATACCGCAAACCACAGCTATGGGATCGGCGGTCTGATGCGAGGTACCTCTATGTTAAACAGTAGCTATACTTGGGTCCTAACTTACGACACTGACCAGGGATCCTCCTCTATCCATCGAAGATGTTGTACCCCGGTATTCTCCCCTTACTCTCCATGTTCGACGCTCTCTATCGCGATGGCATCGAAGCACGCAAAAGGCTTAAGGTCTTCTATTTCGTCTTTTCTGCGTGTGTTTAAAATTCATCGATAAATCATAATCTTCAATTTCTAATTGTCTCGAACTCAGAATCTTTATATGGGAGATTTTTCCTGAATGGATATTCCCGCTGCTCACCGGTCTCTCAATATTCTGCCTCGCTGCTCCTAACAATGCTGCTGTATCTCGCGTGTTTGGTGGTTCCAATGGAAACGAGGGCCTCGGTCTATTGTCAATATGCTTCGACTGGCAGGTAACGTTTGCTATCTCAATTTGGTTGACACTTGGGTTGAACTCGATTTGTTTAGTACATCTCAGGTGTTATAAACCCGATGGTTGTCCCACTGAAAGCTCAGGTTAGTTGGCACACTAGTCCGTACGACAATTCTAACGTCTGCCCTAGCTCTCCAGCTTCATTGGTTACATAATTTGCATGTATGTGAATTAGATCACGGTGGATCATATTACTGAGGCAGTTGAAGGGTTGTTTTCGTCGCCATATTCTACAATAACATTTGGGAATCTCGGAACTTGCCATTTGTACGTGATATCCTCATTGCGCTTTCTAATGTCCAGGCTAATAATGCGCCGATCAGTTGGCGCAGCTCCTCTTTTATGGAAACGGGACTATCTACAACCAGACTTTGATTATGAACTCCAATTATGAGGTAGATCCCACTTTAGTGGCAGAACAGGGACTGCCATTCTACGCTGGTACCTGGATTATTAACCTGTTGTCAATGAACCTCGTATGCCATGAATTACTGCTGATGTAAAGTGCTTTGCTCATAGTTCCAACACAGGCGCTGGCCGCGACATTCACTCACCTCCTCTTGTGGAATAAAGATGACCTTCGCGCAGCCTGGACTTGGATGAACATGGACTCTCTGAGGAGTTGGCGTGCTAATTTCGATTGGAAGTTCTGGAAACACAGTGGAAAGAGGGAAGTCCCCGCCAACACTGAGGATCTCGACCCACACTACCGGGAGATGCTGAAGGTTAGCCCTTCTGACATCAGATGGAGACCTCACTGGTGACACATCGCCATACAGTATCCAGATGCTCCGAATAGTTGGTACCTCTTGACGCTTGTTCTCTCTTTCACTGTTGGATTGGTCGTCATCCACAAGACAGATTCCACGCTTCCTTGGTGAGCAATATCTCATTCTCCATCTGACGAAATATTTTACCATGTCTTTTGAGGTGGGGCTTCGTCATCGCGGTCCTCTTGGCCGCCGTGTCTATCTTGTTCTTCGGCGCGTTGTACGCCATTACCGGCATTAATCTTTCTATTCGTACGTATTGTTTATGCTCTATAGCTGTTCTGAGCTGATCTTTCGGCGAAGAAACCCTGGTCCAGATGATTGCTGGCTACCTGCACAACGGAAGGCCCATGGCGAACATGTTCTTTGTTCGTATTGACATACTTTCTAATTTTTGACCACTGCTGATGTTGTTGTCGACAGGTCCTTTACAGCTATGTCTGTATCCTTATGGTCGCTTTGATTTGGGTTTGATTCGCGTTCTCGTCCAGAATACTGTGTCTCAAGCTTTGCTGCTACTACGTGATCTGAAGATCGCTCAATGTATGTCCACATTATTTGTCAGGAAAGGTACCTCTAACTGGCGGATACCTAGATGCCAAACTGCCTCCCCGCGCTGCCTTCATGGCCCAGATCATTGGCACCTTGTTCGGCGCTGTTCTTAACTATGGTTAGAGAGCGGTCTTGCTTATCCATTCGCCACACTTGACTTCTTTTAGTATTAATGAATTCTATCATCGACAGTCAACGCGAAATTCTGCTATCTGTACAAGGAACAAACATCTGGTCTGGCCAACAACCTCAATCATACAACTCGCAAGCAATTGCGTGGGGTGGCCTTGCTCACGAGCTCTTTTCATCTGGTAAAAGGTACCAATGGGTCCCCCTGTCCTATCTCATTGGCCTTGTTGCGCCTCTTCCTTTCTGGATTATTCACCGTTACTGGCCGAGACTACGCATGGATTACTATTATACCCCTATCATTTGGTATGCTCTCAACTCATCACTAATCATTATTCTAAGTTCATTATATGTACAGTGCATACATCGGATGTCTTTGTGCTGGAATAAACTCTTCAGCTCTGACGTATTTCATGATTTCGTTCTTGTGTCAGTGGTGGCTTCGTACTAGGTACCCGCGTTGGTTCGTGAAATACAACTATTTGGTCGGTGCAGGTAAGGTCTGTGGCCTTTTTATTTCAAAACCGCCAACATCATGCTATACTATAGCCCTCGATGGTGGAACGCAAGTTATGGTATTCATTCTAACCTTTACGGTTCAAGGGGCTACTGGAACATCACATCTTTTCCCGGAATGGTGGGGTGCAAACCAAGGCGGAAACTACGACCGCTGCTTGTATCTCTGAATACCAAGCACTTAGTCTATTACATTAGGTTGAGGTATTTTTGCAATAAAAAATTACAAGTTTTGTCCTAATGCTGAGAGTTACGTTCTATGTAAGGTAGGGCTCGTACAAAACCGACCAACCGTGACCTACTGTGACCTAATGTGACTATGCTAATTGGCAGCCGGCGGACGGCGTCACGGCAGTGTTCTATGTTTGGCCTGAAGTATGCTACACACATGTACAACATCAAAAACTTCCACTGCACCTACTTTACAATTATAACTCCTGTGAACTGTGCCAAACAGCTTTCTCAATGATCCACAGGAGTCTGTTTTTTTTCTTTTTCGTGAATCTCTTGAGCCTTTGTCTTTTCTGTAGTTTTGTCATGCTTTGTATACTTTGTCACATGATGTTGGTTGGTTTTGTACGAGCCTTACCTTAGGACAATCTAAAACTTGAAACTGCTTGTCAAGCAGACTTTGATTTACCCAAGTGACTATAAAGTTGTTGCTTAATGAGCAAGAAAGTTTTGCGCTAGAGATCAACATTTACAAATCCCTGAATGTACTGATTGAAACATTTTATCATGTTTACATTTAGGGTCTGTACGGACAGTGAAATAAAACAGAAAAAGAAAAAGAAAAAAGAAAAACATTGGTCATGTGACACTATCACATGACCACCTGGGAAATCCTGGGTACATATTAGATATATCAAAGTGTACATAGCACTTATCAATTAACACAATGGAATCTGACATAGGATCTGCAGGATCTGGACAGTCCCTCTGCTCCCAAGGCTCTGTAGACACCCCAGAGACCACACAAACCTCCAATGCCAATGTCTCTAACCATTGGCAAGAATTTGAAGAGACTGCTTTACTTGATCATCTCACTGCTGAGCTTTCTACCTCTGGTGACAGCTTGAACTTCCCCAAGCATGTGTGGAAGAGTGCGTCTGAGTATGTAAATTCAGTCCCTGCTCCCTCTGGGTCCAAGATGCACTCCAACAAACTACCTGGGTCCTGCAAGAGCAAATGGGGGAACCTTAAGGGCACATTTCTCCAAGTTCAGTTCATCAAGAGCACTTCCGGTCTTACATGGAGTGATGCAGATGGAGTAGGGGTGTCACCTGAGAACCAGAGTGTATGGAATGAACTTGTGAGGGTGAGTATGCTGTGGTCTACTTGTGATCAGTCCTGATATTTTTTTTCAAGAGCCGCCCTGCAGCAAAGCCCTTTGCCAACAAAGGCTTCATTCACTTTGCTGCCATTGATGAAATGATGTGCAATAAGAAGGGGAAGAACAAAGCCAAAGGAGCATTCGTTCTTCGCAGAAAGAAGGTGCCTGCCTCCAGCTCTTCTATGCTTCCTCCACCCATTCCTTCATCCAGTTGCGCCATGCTTCCTGAAACTGGGAATGCACTTGATCTTTCCTCTCTATCTACCTCTGCAGACAATATACTATTAACTGCTGGTTCTCCTTCCAACAGCTTGCTGGTTCCTACTCCCACCTCTCCCTACTCATTCATCACCTCTACCAACCCCTCTGTGATGACCAGTGCCAGCCATAGCAGCAATAAGTGCAAACATAGCACTCTTGGCCATAGTGCCAGTGAAACTTCTCAGGAGAAGCCATGCACTCCATCTGCTAATGTGCAGGCCCAACAGGAGGGGAGTGCTGTGATGTCAAAGCTTGTCGACATTGTAGGAGACTTGAGCAAGATATTCACTGAAAGCTCACACATGCCCCCATTTCCACACCACTCACCAAACCCCAACACTACCTCTCATTTGGCACAAGCCATTGACATCGTTCATCATGACCCAGGGTTGTCAGCAGAGGACATTCTAGACATGGTTGATCACTTCTCGTGTGCTGAAAATGAGGCCAGTGCAGTCGCATATGTTGCTCTGAGTGACACTCAACTTAGGTCCATGTGGATATTGAGGAGGCTCAAGGAGCTCTGTGCCACATCCAAGTAGTGTCTATACTCCCTCGAATAATTAGATAGTTTGTAGTACACTTGCATGTCCTCCCTTGTTGCACTCCCAAATATTGATTCATTTGATTCATTCATTGAGCACAAAGTACTGTAGAGCTATGACACTAGGTTTGTCACAGGTCACAGCCCTTGATGAATTGAATCTATTTGGTGTGACTGTCACATGAATTTTGGCAGGACGAAGCTAATTTGTGATATTCAGAAAAAAACATAGGAAAAACATAGGTTGTGCACTAATGGGACCAAAAATCATTATACATCGAATTTGTGATGTGTCTATGCTTTCCATGCCCATAATCAACCTTCGGAACACTGTTTGAGCCACCTTCCACATCTTCAGCAGCAATGTCACCCACATCATAGACTTTGGAGTGGTTTGCACATGAAAGTCCACCATCTGCATTGATATGGCAGTCAGAATGGACCTGTTCACCCCTGGAAGCCATATAGTCAAGAAGTGCATCCATTGGCATGTCACTGGCATCAAGATCATGCTCGCCAGCATCATTGAACGGGGATTTGACTCCAATAGCATTAGTACTGGACTCACCTGGCAGGCTTTAAGACCATGGAGTCTCCAAGTCCACTTGTTACAATTTAGTGCTATGTGAGGCAAATCCTGAAGCAAGTTGCTGCAATCACGAAGCAGCATGTCAGAATGACAGGCACTTGAAAATGGATCATAGACTCACCTGGCAGGCTTTAAGGCCACAGAGTCTCCAAGTCCACTTGTTACCACCACCAGCACTATGTGAGGCAAATCCTGAAGCAAGTTGTCACAATCACAAAGCAGTGGCATGTCATATGGTTGCAAGTGGTGAAGCATCTGCAGGTGAATCTATTTGGGTGTGGTCACAGGTCACATGGACATTTGAACCAGTGACACTGAGTATGACATAATCACATGCTGCATGTGATGAACCTAGTGTCGTAGCTCTACAGTAAACTATTGTTGACCAGGTACAGGTAGACCACAATGTACATGTTCTGCGCAATAATCCTCCCACATTTCAGCAGTGATTTCCTCCTGATGTTGCTCTGCTCTTTGCTGTTCTGCTCTATCAGCAGGGCCTTCAGCCAACTCTCCAACATCACCTCCATCACCTCCAAAGACCTCCAAATCGTCATTGATATCAAATACAGCTGGGTCATATCTACAAATAAAGTTATGTAATGCGCAAAGCACTGCAGGTATACATGCTTGGACTTCCATTCTATACTCTGGGGGCAATTGTAGAATGTGCCACTGGCACTTCATGACCCCAAAAATATGTTCAACAATATTGCATAGACAAGCATGGCGATGGTTGAAGAGTTCTTTGGGAGTTTGAGGGCTACATAGGTACCTAATTAGAAAGAAATCACAGAGAGAGAGAATGAAAACTCATGAGACATCTGCTTGCCACCATTCCTTCAGGTGATAGTGTACACCCCAGTATGGGACCAACAGAGCATCACAGGACCTGAAGCCTGCATCTGCAAGCAGATACAGCCCTCCTGGGATCCATAGGTCATTTTGGCATGCATTGTGCCAAAGTGATGCATCCACAACTGATCTGTCCCACCCACAAAGTGAATAGATGAATAAGAAGTTGAAGTCGCAGATGAAGAGACAGTTTTGTGACAGGTAGCCTTTCCAGTTATGCATGGTATTGTGATCTTTGTCTGCTGAGAATACTTGAATATGGGTACCATCAACAGCGCCAATACAGTTGTGAAAGAAGTGGTAGTGCGGGTCATTGTATATGGTCAAAGAGATGGGTGTTTCACCAGTGGGGAACTTGACTTGGGTATCATAGAATTCAGTTTCAGAAAAAAAACAAGCAAGTGCCTGAAGTATCTGATACAACATCAGATATCACAATAAAATGAATCATAGGAGAATTACCTTGAAATTGTATCAGGTGAATGCTGGAATCGTTTGCCAAGATGGCAAGTTGAAAGTCCTGTAATGCAGGTGTACAGGAATATAGTGAGCTGTTCCTCCACAGATACACCATTGTGAGAATGTGTAAAACCATTGGTCTTGAGAACTTGCACCAATGCTTCAAACACCTCTAGGCTGACACCAAGATTATTTTTGATGTGGCCTGGGTGGCCTGTAAGGAGTTCACAGACCCATGCATAGCCTGACAGTGCTGATGTGTGATATGGGATGTGGGGGGAAGGAGATAAGAATAAAAGTTGATACATGTACACTAATTGGGACACTACGCATGTTACAATAAAAACCAGGCAGCATCTGCATGTCTCCTCATGCTGCCAGAGGTCAAATAAAACATGCTGGTAAGGATACATTGTTGTTGTCACTGCACTGCCAGCACTGGTGAGAATCTAGGGTTTCCAGGTGGTCATGTGATAGTGTCACATGACTGACAATTTTCTTTTTCTGTTTTATTTTGCTGTCTGTACAGACCCTTAGATATGATCACTATTCTTTGAGGTTCATGCTGGTGTGTCGTTTGTGTGGAGAGTGAAAGAAAAGAAAAGAAAAGAATTCTGAATTAATATACTACATTTATACATCATAGGGTAAGATTGGGTGAGAGGTACTAGTAGGACACAATTCAATGCTGGTTTGGAGGATTGTCATAACCAAGCCTAATAACACTGAGCCATCCACATCTGCAAAACCACTGAAATGAACACTTAACTTACAGTGGCTCAAAAAAGTGTCTCAATGTTTGTGACTTTTCATGTAATTGCTGTATTATGAGCCAGGGCATGAGAATATGACTAAGCCATAGGGAGGTGTGGGAAAGCTCTGCTTCTAAGCTTCACATTTGATTCCTATAGTGTGGGAAGATTATGTCATCAAGTGAAGATATGGTTAATTTAATTTGGTGACTCATTGAGACACTTTTTTGACTTTTAGTTTGGCCAACACAATCTCTATAATTCTAGTACTTGGTGCTTCCTTCTGTTGCTCTAATTACTTCCACCACTCTTCTATGCATATTATCTATCAATTTGAGGCATTCCTCATCAACAATCTTGCCCCACTCTGCTGCAACTCTCTCCTACAGCTGAAATAGCCCCTATTATTATCCTCAGCTCTTCTAATCTGTACACCAAGCAGATTGCTACCAAGACTGGTCTGAGCAGGGTTACTATCATTAGGATCATAAAAAAGTTATGCCAGATAAGAAAAATATCAAACTAGATTGTCCTTTCAAGCTTACACCATATAACAAAAAATCTCTTGTTCATAATATTCCAACTAGGCAGGCTGCCAATGCTACTCAAGTCACCAAACTTATTAATTACATCATCTACACTGCTCTCTCCACTCAAATAGTCAAGAATACTCCTAAGGCAGCCAATCTTAAAGCTATAAACAGGCAGAAAAAACCTTTCCTGTCTTCAGCCTATAGGAGAAGGAGACCAGCCTTGGCTTTAAAGCCTCAATATTGGATTGTTGAGGACTGGAATAGGGCTACCTGGTCAGATGAGACCACAATCAATAGGATGGGGTCAGATGGCTAGGAATATATATGATGGAAGGCAGAAGAACTACTAGAAGAAAGAAAAGTCAAGAAAACACTAAAGTATGTAAAGTAGGAAACTTGATGGTATGGTGTTGTATGAGGTGGAATGGAGTAGGAATTCTCTGTGAGGTGGGGGGGAGGATGAATGCAGAGTAGCACATTTCAATTTTGGAAAACTATCTGCTCAGAAGCATGCAAGAATCAAGAATTATTGAATAAGATGTTACCTTCTATCAAGACAATGTCCCTGAGCATACTTCAAGTTGACCATAAAATGGTTTGAAAACTATGGTATCAGTGTGCTATCATACCAAGTCCAGTCCTCAGACATCAACCCTATTGAACAGCTCTGGTAATTACTCAAGATATCACTTGCAGTCCATCAAGATCCTCAATAGGGGCTATTTCAGCTGTGGGAGAGAGTTGCAGCAGAGTGGGGCAAGATTGTTGATGAGGAATGCCTCAAATTGATAGATAATATGCATAGAAGAGTGGTGGAAGTAATTAGAGCAACAGAAGGAAGCACCAAGTACTAGAATTATAGAGATTGTGTTGGCCAAACTAAAAGTCAAAAAAGTGTCTCAATGAGTCACCAAATTAAATTAACCATATCTTCACTTGATGACATAATCTTCCCACACTATAGGAATCAAATGTGAAGCTTAGAAGCAGAGCTTTCCCACACCTCCCTATGGCTTAGTCATATTCTCATGCCCTGGCTCATAATACAGCAATTACATGAAAAGTCACAAACATTGAGACACTTTTTTGAGCCACTGTATGTCTGACAAACCCTGAGTTGAGGGGTCTTCCAAAATGAATTTTCCATGTATTCCTGAAGGTTACCACCATTCAGATTGACCTTAGGTATACCTCTTCCTCCACACTTGCATCATCTGCATCAAGTACATGTATTGTTTCATTTGTGCTCATATTGATGAGGGTACTTTTTGGTATACCCCATTCAGATCAACATTAGTTAGTTCTCTTCCTCCACACTCACATCATCTGCATCAGGAGCATTTGTCATTTCATTCACACTCATATTCATGAGAGTACTTTGTTACAATCATTTTTCATTTGCACTCATATCAAAGGGGGTAGTGTGTAATGTACAGTAATGTGAAACTTTAACTATCAGACATTTGTCTGGAGTGATAAAAGACTCTTTTTCTTTTTCTACAGTGTTCAGTTGCACTTAAAATCACTGCCCTCACAGTAATTTCCTCTAAAAGCAAGTTCTTACTGCAATGCCTCATCAATGAGGCCCAAAATCTTGGACAACTCCCAAGGAGGAGGCTTTCCTCCAAAGTCAGCTCCCTGCCTATATTGCCTGTCAGGCAACAAAGGTTTACTACAATTTTTGGAATACTATGATCCATGATTTTTTGAGTCATTGGCTGGAGAGAGCATGTCTAACTGATATCCCACAGGAAGGCAAGCTAAATGACACACAGAAGTCTCAGGTGGCACTTGTAATCCTGAAGTGACAATCTGTGAGTTATTACGAACTAGGATAGTTCTAACGACAGACAACTCAATAAGAATCAGGACCTCTGCTGAGAATCTACATAAGGTGATAAGCCCAATGTTCAAGGTAAGCTAAGACAGAGGGAGTGCCTCTGACTTAAAGTACAGTTCAGACAACTTAAGATTGGTGGTCTTAAGTGAAGGAAGTTCCAGGTAAAACCTAATAAGATTAAAGCAAAGAACTACAACAGTAGAGTTGTGTATTTATAGGGAATAGCTATGGAAGGTTTAGGGCAGGTGTGAGTAAGTAAGAATACAAGCATATGCCTAATAAGGATGAAGCGACAAGTCAGAGATACAAGAAAGGAAATGGATACAGAAATAGGACATGTAGACAGCATCTAATGGCAGCAGTAGCAACACATGATGTAATACAGTAAGTGTAATATGAGTCAGATGGAAACAATAGATGACAAGAGAAAGAAAAAAGTACAGCAGGGCAGGGTGTATCATAACATTACCCTCTGTTTACCATTGAAGTCACCAACTTCAATTATCCTGGTTGGCCCAGTAGCAAGGGTCAGCATCGCTGTTGGAGTAGAGGAGCTCATCCTCTTCCTGAGAACACTCATTCATCAACTTATCACAAGTCACTTCCCATTCTCTGACTGCTTCATAGAAGCCTGGATCAGTGAAAACCATTGGCACAATGAAAACACCTTTGAGTTGTTTGCAAAAGACGGAGAGGTGGCCAGGGGCATATTCACAACAAACTCAGCAGTAGTAAGTCAGGCAATTCTTGTGATGATGGCCAGTAAGGTGGCAGTTGCGACAGACAAAGTTGTTGGCAGGTTCAGTTTTAACAATGGTGATGGAGGTGCTAACTGGTGCAGGTATTGGCAGGGATGGGATGCAGATGG